TCTATCCACCGCCACCACTACCAGCCAATTTCCTTCATCACTTTGCTCAGACCCATCCAGTAGCTTTTGCAACGGCTTATGAAAAATTCTTTAAACGCCATCAACAAGAAGCCGCTGCAGCTGTACTAGCAACCAGCAAGACAGGAGATCGCTAACCTGAACACTTTATCTAACTGACATCTTATACAAAATATACATACATGTGTTCGTCGTATTTTCTTGTTGTTTTTTTTTTTGTTTTAATGTCTCGTTTCTTTTTCTCTCACTTCTTTTTTGTAAACGTATACTCATATTCACTTTTATAAAAGAAAGAAAGTCTAGATCTTTAACCAATATGAATATTCCACGGTCATTTGCCGCCTTTTTTTTCTTAACTATGCTAATTCTTTTTTCTTCACTGCTAAATATAATCAATCGGTTGATTGATCGTCTGCAAGATAAGAATAATACTGACGGTGTCACTGGATCCGGATGTTTACACGAATCGTTTAGCTGATATATAAAACAATGTTTTTCTCGTCGTCGATGAATTAACGTCTCACTTTCTCTTAGATCGTGCGCCGGCTACTTTTCTTTTGATGCATAAAGCTTCTTGCTCTGATATCTTATAGCCTCGCAGTGATGTTCATTCATTAGTCGACGTGTTAGTACAAACTGTTAGCATTCATTGTCGTTAGTTTATTTATTCAATGAGGAAAACAGACGCAGCTCAATTATCGATATTTAGCCTTTTAGTCAAAATTAGTTGACAGTCATTTCGACGATTTCTTCTTCTTTATCGAATAACATGATATTGTTGATAATAATGATGATGATCTAATCGCATTAGTCTCACACTACGATTCCATCGATTTAATCACAAAGAGATGTTAGATGTGTGACATCAGACATCATGAGACATATTTGATTTCTAATAAACATTTGCAAGCGACTTAATCTGTTCGATTGTCGTTTTAACACGAACGACAGGAAGAATAGAAAAATGTTTTGTTAATAAAAAATGCTTCTATCAATAAATATCAATTGATAAACACACTATCAATCAACTGAATACACCAATGAAGATTAACGTATGTGATAGATGTGTTCCGGAATTAATAACATAAGAAAATAGAGGAAAGAACAAGTCGATAAAAAGGCAATGAGATGAATAAAACACGACAAGGCGGTTACTTTAAGCTGCAACTATAATTTTAATATACATTCATTGAAAATCTTTGTCCTGATTAATTTGATCAATATTTTTCCATTCACATGAAATTAACTTCACATGTTGTCTTTTCCTCTGTTCTAATCAATCACGTTCGTTAACAATAGAGATAACGAATTCTATTGGTTGGATATCAGACTTTTCCTTCGAATTTTTTCTCAGCACATTGTTCCGTATGGATGTCAAATATCTCAGCATCACGTTTCCAACATTCATGATAAAGATAAGCATCGAATAAATACACCAAATCACCCAAGATTTGTATCAAAAGTGCAGTATCCGAATTGAGAATTTTATAGTTTCTATAACAATTGTAAGCGAATAGAATTGCACATAGATAAACGAGATTACCAAGAATATTGAACGCATGTGCCCATACATAGAGATTCTATGTCAAAGAGTAAAATAACGAAAAGTGAAAGTCTCTTGCATTACTCGAAAAGTGCAACGGTCTTTTGAATAGTGGGAGAGTTTCTTTCCAAAGATAATGAACCAACCGAGTAGGACAAGAATGGATTCAATTAGAAAACACAGAATACCAAGGAAATTAAGTAAGAAAATATGATTTATCCATCGTGTTTTATCACAAGAGAGTACAGCACCAAAGAGATAGAAATAACTGCCAAGATTTTGAAAAATACAGGCAAAAAACTCGGAAGGATATTGAATAGATTTTTGACCTTCTGATGCTGGAAATTTCATGGCGTAAACATACCAATCAACTGTATATAAACTAGCATCAAGAACAAATAGAATAGCAAGTAATAAGTAAATAAGAAACGAAAGTGCATTGTCAAATTTCGTAGAAGTATAACTAATGATATCAATTGTTAAATATCCTATCATACCAATGATATAGACAATATTGGCCCAATAACCCCAGAATAGAATTGGTGAAGTTGATGAACACATTCTGATAAGATCATCAAGATAACGCACTTGTCAATACTAGTATATAAACAAAAGCAACGAAGAGATCTATTTAGATATGAGAGATTCGATAACAAAAAAATAGGTTGTCAAGGAGGGAGATTAATTTTCTCCTGTTTTATCATGATTTACAAAAGAAAGCTGATCTTATTCCTTTTAGTTGTGCAGACAAGTCAGATTCAACTCTTCAATCGCTGTACAATCGAAGAGAAACAGCAAGTTCTTGTAACGATATGAGAAGTGCATATCCCTTGAGACATTGATTTCAATGACTATGTATCGTACTAGATGGCGCCACATATGGTACCTTATTTGCAAGAAGCATTCGTTGTTATATGGTTGGTAGTTCTACGAAGTAATCAAAATTTTACTTAATTTGTGTTGTATATACACTCTTACATGAATAAATTTTTTCCGACTATTGATATGAGTTGTAAAGTACTGCGAAGTTATGATTATGGCAATTTCAAACCAATGAAAACCTGCTGATATAGAAACCTATACTTGTTTCTTTCTTTTTTTGTAACAGTCATATTACGTTACATATCGATATAAAGCATCATTTTTTTGTCAAGTCTTTGCGAATTATTTAGAAAGAAAAATTTTCCACGTTGCATCTATGGATTATTTGTTGTGAAAAAGTTTATATTGGAAGCATATGCTAAATATTCATAAACGCCTAGTTCACTTCGTATCTATTAAATCATCTCGAAAAGAAAAGTCAGTAAGAGAAACGTGATGGGATGTAAGGATCTACTGTCCTTGATTCTACTTCCATTTGTATTAGATTTTTATATTCGAAGTTTCGAATGAATCTTGATCTTTGTTTTCCTTTCTTCATCTATTCGACTAACAAACTTGACCTTTCTCTCTGTTGTCTATTTCTAGATCCATACGTCCATTTTTTATCTGTTCCACTATTTGTCTTTTAAACGGATCGGCATGTATCGTATTGGAATATGTTCTAAATGACAAAAAACAAGTAAATAAAACATAGCTCTGCAGGCAAAATTCTTGGAATACACATTTTCTTTCCTTTTCTTCGAAAACCATACCATGTGTATAACGTGAGAGTGTTGGCGAATGTAGCGAAAAAAGAAAAGAAAAATTGTGATGAGATATCATATTTGATATTTCCATTGATTTCGTGCTGTTTTTTTTTTCGTAGAGCGTATTTGCATCAACAAATTTATTCTATTTACAGAACCTATCATCTTCCCAAATCTCGTTGGTTAACAATGAAATCCCAAGAAATTTTCGAATATCGATTTATAACTTATTTCGTCACACTAATTCGATTGGTGACCATTCTTCCATTCAAATGTGTTGTATGTATAGTAGAACTAGTTATCAATTAGAAACATCCTCATCTACTTGTTTATTGATAGATGGGCATATTTCGTTCAATTGGTGACCTTTTTAACTTCTCTTCTTTTAATCATTCAGGTGGTAAAGGTGTGTAGAAGAGTTACATTGTTTCTTGATTAATTATCTGTTTTTATTTTATTTTAGAACATTATAGTTGTGAATATGGTTCAGTGAAGTATTATATTTATTGTGGGATTGGTGGAATGATCAGTTGTGGTATAACACATACAGCTCTTGTTCCATTGGTATGTGTTTTATTATCATAGTTAAATCAGAAATATGTAAAGCATCTATGCTCTACTTGTGTGAATTTATCTTTTCAAAAATATTGACTGATAATTCAGTGAAGAAACTGAGGTACGGTGTAATACGGAGACTAATTTATTTTAGGATCTAATCAAATGTCGATTACAAGTAAAACCTCAAAAATATGTGAATCTCATAAATGGCTTCAAAGTGACTATTGCGTATGTTTTCTGAGAAGAAGATTGTGTTTTGTATGATGAAATGCCATCGATTTAGAGAAGAAGGTTTCCTTGGTTTAACCAAAGGTTGGGCGCCGACGTTGATTGGTTATTCTTTCCAAGGTCTCGCAAAATTTGGTTTCTACGAACTTTTCAAAGTTTTCTATGGTGGTATTCTTGGAGAAGAAAACGCATATCTCTACCGAACATTATTGTATTTATTATCGAGTGCGTCGGCTGAATTTTTTGCTGACGTCGCTCTATCACCATGGGAAGCGACTAAAGTACGAATACAAACACAAGATAATTGGGCATCAACACTTAGACAGGGCTTGCCGAAACTTTATGGTAAGAAATGTTTTCTTGGAGAAATCTTTTGTATTGAATCTTCCTTTTCTATGTTTTTAGCGGAAGAAGGATTGTATGGGTAAGGAGAAGATCGAACGTATATTTTTCATATTGAAAATCAACACTTTCGACGATGATGTTTAGATTTTATAAAGGTATTGTACCACTTTGGCTTCGTCAAATACCTTATACAATGATGAAATTTGCCTGTTTTGAACGTACGGTTGAAGCTCTCTATAAATACGTTGTGCCTAAACCACGCGAACAATGTACGAAAACCGAACAACTAGGCGTCACATTTGTTGCTGGATATATTGCTGGAATATTTTGTGCTATCGTTAGCCATCCAGCTGATACGATTGTCTCAAAATTAAATAATGAAAAAGGTCTGAGTTTGTTTGAGGCCGTCCGTCGTGTTGGTTTTGCGGGTAAATCGAATCAATTAGTCATTTGAATAAAAGACTATTTTCGTCTTTATTTAGGCTTATGGAAAGGTCTTGGTCCCCGTATATTCATGATTGGAACGTTAACAGCTTTGCAATGGTTCATATACGACACTGTGAAAGTCGTTTTGGCACTACCAAGACCACCGCCCCCGCAACCACCACTTTCACTACAGAAAAGATATGCTTTCAATAGTGACAAAGAACCGTTGATACGTGATTTGAGTGTTAAAAGTTGAATAGGAGGTTTTATCATTAATCATTTTTTTAAACAACATTTTCTTTTGCTTCTCGTTTAATTCTGGTATAATCTTAATTTCGTTGACGCCTGCATTATTATTTATGTGATATGTGTATATGAATTTTGTTAAATTCTGATATAAAAAAAAGAGAAATAAATCACACGATCTTGTTGACACAAATCTAAAATACTCTAATCAGTGAATAAGCAGCACGGCAAACGAAAAAAGAAAATCCATCAGCTAATTAGCAATCGAGGTCATGTGTTAAGGAAATTTATTTCATCACGCGTGCAACAGTTAGTACATTTTCTATCGTTCCAGAAAGATTTATCATCAAATATCATCCTCTGAATAATTAACTATGACGAGCAGATCTCTACCTTGGTATTCCCTTATTCGGTGGAAGGACAAATATACTTGATTAATTATTGATAGTTTTCTATACTTTATTGATCTACATTGTTTACGTTGACAAGAAACATAACTGTCTAATACCATATATTGTTTACTAAAGATCTTCTCTGCACATAACAGAAGAGTGCATCGTCTATGATCATTCACGGTGTATATTCGTTCTTTTTCTCTGCTAAATAATGTAAGTTAATATTCATTCGGATGGCAAATTGTCATTAAATTAGTTCTTCGAACAAAATGGATTCGAATCCAAAACAGAGACATCGATGACGTCTGTCAAATATTCACATTAGTTCTGACATCAACAAGTCCTTTGTTGGTAAGCTTACATGTAGAGTACTTGAGAGAAAATGAACTCTACCAACTTCGCATCGGAAAACAAGAGATCTATTTATTTTCTAAAGCAATTTGTATTCATAAGAACATAAAAATATTAAATTGATGAATGAGAAGAATCTTTCAAAATCGAACACTGTTTATCTTCGTCAGAATACAAAAGAAAATCATTTTTAATTGATTCTTCGTTTTGTTTTCATCATATTTAATTAATATCTCATGGCCTTCTTGCAAATAATGAATTATTTGATCTAGTCTCGTGCATAACTGAACAATTCTGTGTCAACTTCTCTGATGAATCAAAGACACGCTCTAGAAGACATTCAAGTTTTATTTGACACAATACGAGCGCAGAAAAAGAAAACTTTAACATTTGTTGAAAAAGAACAGTATGTTTATGTATGAATTTGTCAAGGGATCGATGTTTTTCACATCAAATCGATTTTCTCAACTCGGATATCGACCAGATCGCCGTAGCCTTTTGTTAATACAGGAATGTTGCTACTGGTAATGAAACGTGTTTTTCCATCAGCGACGATTCGTACGCGAATTGAGTAGTTCGATGTTTTTTCGATATCTTTTTCATCGTATTCAAGATTGAATGTTATCGGAAAAGTAAGAACTTGGTTTTCAAGGATTAATTTTGCAATTGTATGAAATTTACGAACATATGAACCATCTTGAGAACCAATGTCTGAGGAAAATGTCGGAATGAAAAAGAAAATCATCTTCTGTCATCTTACCTGTCAATGTCATATCGTCGAGATAAATCAAAACTTTATGATTATCATTGAGTATTTCGTTGTGTTTCTCGTAATCAATCGTACCTTCGATACGTCTGACCATTTTGATCGATGGAAACTAAATGAACAGGAATCTTGATAGAATATGTGTGTATTTATATTAGAGTGAGTTAAAATGCTTCGATGCCGAAAGATGTGTTACGTACGTTTTTGGTATTTTCTTGTTTTAATGAAATGGTTTCTCGAAGCAAGTATAATTGATTGTATGAATGTAAAGTAACACACAATTTATACGTGGGATAATGTAGTTGCCGGCTGAAGCTGACAAGGTGTACGTGTGAGCGTGTTTGTTAGCTGTAGAGCAAGTTCTAGAAGAAAAAAAGCGGAAATTCTTATTCATACAAAGTGATTGTTTCTCTTTTTCCCTCTCTCTCTATTTCTACTCTCTGTTTCGATATTCGTCGATTGTCGGAAAAATCATGATTCTTTTTTTTTTCAGTTATTTCTTCTTCTTTTCTTTCTCTCTACCATAGAAAACATTGAACTGCCCATACCGAGAATGTCTGACATCGCGTGCAGTGGAACATATCCCCTTGCTTAGTGAAATAAAGACAAAGAGAAGGGAACATGCTTGTATTATTAATGAAAGTTAAAATCAAGTAGAAAACAGAAAAAGAAAAGTTTAAGAAAGAAAAAAAAAGTTATAGTTTCTTCTTCTTATGCGACCTTTCCGACCAATAATGAATTTGTCATTACTGTCTGTCGATCCTTTAGAGAAAGAAATCTTGACGGATCAGAGAACTAAACTATCCTAACAGGCGTTCACTGAAAAATCGATACATTTGAAATATGAATAGAGAACAAAAACAGAAAATTCTCGAAGTGACGCACATTAATTACTACTCTCATTTGTTCTTCGTTATAGAATTTCTTTGTAGTGACGTACATATGGTGTGATAGTTAAGTCCAATATAATTGGTTTTTACTTGTTCGTAATGATTAGAAAAATACAACTGAGCAATACAATTAAATTTCTAGTAATTATTCATTAATCCATAAGTGCGTTCTTCCAGCGTAACAGAGAGAAATTTTATTTGTTGCAATGATCAGTAGTTTGCAATAACGGGTTAGATCAAGATTTTTCTGGCATAGTGATATAACTAGTCTCAGTTTCTTTGGGAAATATATCTAAATTTTGTGACATCCTATACTTAAATATGATATACGATGATTATAATTTTTAAATTGATGTTAGAGCTCTCTTAGATGATTATTAATGAGAGCAAACACCGTCACAGAAATCAATGGAATAGTCTGAACGGCTAAGATATGGTTTTTAGGGATTTGTTCTATGAAAATGTTAACTCTCTTCGTGAACAGTACATTTAAAATTTCGATGATAAGCTCTCAAAACGCCTAATGTATGTGTGTTTACATGAATCATCTAAGTATCGGTGAGATAACTTGAATAGATAAGGTGATCATGCCTGGCTTTATTTAGCAAAATGTTTATCTAAGAATTTCGGTGTTGCTTGTATGCGATTTCTGATATGAATCATTATCAAAGTCATTGAAATGAGAATAGCAAACGGAAGTATTAAATATTGATGTCTAATGTTCCTCACTGTACATATTATAGATTATCTATATCTGTATGCATGGATTTACATACAGATGGCGCTGTTTTCATCTACTCTTTTCTAAATCTACACCTTCTCAAATATGATTGAGATTGACGAAAAGTCCAATAAACTCATCAAAAAACAAATTCTTGACGATCAGATACTCTTATCAGATTAAAATTTGAATCGAAGATTGCTACGAATGAAATGATTGGTATGTATTACTCATCATTGCATTCATATGATTCAGCAGTTACTCTATGTTCTTATAAAAAAAGTGACAAGTACACTGTTGACTTTAGTATTTCGTTTATCATTGTTGAAGATGTTTTCTCATATCCTTGTAACATGTTGTATCGTCTTCACAATCATCAATCCAACATTAACAGATATTTATCTGCATAATCCACGGTAGTGAGATTTTCATGGTATTGATATTAATATTCAATTTTCTTCAGAGGTAGTAACAATCGACACAATGAAAAGACTCGCCAGCGTAGCACTCCTACACTGTAAGCCATGTTTGATAAAGGTTTCACTTTCGCTATCATCATGTTTAGAAATTTTGATTCCCAAAATAATGAACGAGGTGGGTATAATGTTGGTGACGATGGTGCCATATATTATTACGCAAATTCTATATTACCGATACAATGGTAATGTATAGTTAACACTTTGTAATCACTTTTGTTTATAGAAAAAATTTCCTTCAGGACTAATCAACACTCATGCAATGATGTTAATAGCGATTGTACACTTCTACTTCAATATACGTGTGGTGATACACTTCGAGACGGTCAATCTACTGCGTAGGTTTTTCTGAGTACAAATTGGGAATAACTATTTTATTGTAATAATCTAGGAAAATTCCTGTGACTGTTGAAGGAGAAGCAAATGAAACTTACAGATTAACGGAAGATTTAGTATCGTATTTACATTGTCGCGTGCGAAGTCGTAACAAAAACTTATATACTGCTGGCCAAGTAATACAATAGTTAAAATAGCTTTGTGAAAAATTCTGTTTTCCTCACAGGGTCTTAAAGACTCATCGATTTCTACACGACAGAATCCTGCTGGTACTCAAAACGGTTACGAATGTCCAGAAGAACGGGATTATTATCCATACTGGCAGCCAACAAATTGGATTGTATGTACAGTATCCTTATGTCTGTCATTGACTGAATGTTTTTGTCTAGGATATAGCAATACTAACCAATCGACAAGATCTCTGCTCGTACTATCGTCAAAATAGTCAAAATGTTCAATCGCGTTTTGCGTGTACATTTGAAAATAAAGATGACTTGATTCAAGCAGATAAATTAAAAATTATCATACCAATAACAAAAGAACAGTGTCAAGTAAGATTTCACATCTGTTTCCGTACGAACACGATTACAAGAAATCTTTTCTAGGCATTTAACGATTCACGTCTGAATGGTGTCAAACCACGTTGGATAGAATATCCAAGTCATAACCAACCAGCTCCGGAATGCTATTCGCCTTCCTATACAAGAGAGAATCATCTTGGTGATATAGTTGGTTCTGATATGCCGGTCTTCAATTGGACTTTACCAAATATAAGTGCAAAGAAGTGTGTTTTACGTATTAGATACAATATTTCTACGGGTGATTATGATGGATGGAACACAAGTTCGAGAAGTGATGTTTACGTTATGAAAGAGTATGAGGAAAGATTGGGTGATGTTTGAAAGAAGTTAAGATTTCAAATTTTTAGACTTTTTGCAAATGAATCTGTTGCTGACAAACGAGGATATCGTTTTACAACCAATCCCGAAATTCAATTATTTGATAACTTGAATTTAACATTGAAACTTGCCATTAATACTCAGCAATATGGACGTGTTTTCCAAGACAGGTATGTCAAAGAATCCGTTCATCCAAGTGAAATTTTGTTGCAAATATTTAGATCATATACATTTGAAATTCGACGACGTCCTGCCGAATTTCAAGACCGACCCATTTATAACTTGAATGTACGAGGCAGACGTGGAAATATTGTTCAAGGTAGATAGAATCTTACTTTCAAAGTAATAATTGTGGTATTAACCAATCAATTGCTCTTCTTTATAGTATATCCAGCGCTTGAATACGATTTCGTTCCTAATCGATTAGAAATTCCTCCAAATTCTTATGTTCACATTCAGTGAGTTGATTCATTTGAGAAAATGCAATCTCGATTCGAGTTATTGTAGATGGATTGGTTCAAACACAACTCCACCAGGTGCTGGCCAAGGCAAAGCCGAAATCGACCGAAATAATCTGCTACTTCTAACCGATCAAGTACAATTTGTTGCCCACAAGTAGACTTACTTCTGTGCTCTTCTTTCAGACAATAAATCCCAACTGGAATCCTTTCGGATACTTAAATGCAACTGGTTTATACACTGCAAATATGCCAGAATATTTGAATCAAAGTACTTTTCTAAATTTACTTACGAGTGATCTTCGGTTATTAGCTGCTAGTGGACAAAGTAAGCAAACAATTGCGAATACCTTGTAATATGACGCAATCTGTTGTTTTAGACACCGATGTAGAGTTAGTCAACGCGTCAGCATATTTTGATCTTGGACCACGTTTGATAACAGTGGAATCCGCAGGCATCTATCAATATGTTTCTACGCGTAATAATGATTTTTCCAATCGTGATCAAAAAGGTCGGATTATTGTTCAACCATTCGCATTCAGATATCAAGTTATCGGTCAAAATAATTATACAGCTCAATTAGAGTAACGCATAGATTTGAAAAAAGGAAATTATTATGTATTTGATGCTTTATTTAGAAACACTCTTGTTATATTTCCTGAAGGAAGTGTCAAAACAACAGTTCCAATCAAACTTGCTAAATTCACTCGTGATCAATTATCGAAAATTTTACCCGAAAACGGGCAAAACATAGTTGTACGTTTATTGAAATCTCGCTCGTCTACGAAAAACGTACTCTTCTCTTCGGTTTTGTAGAACAAAGAAAAGCTTTTTAATAGTGTCTATGTTCTTGAACCATACGATTTACAATTCACTTCAAACGTTCAATTTCAAATCCCATTTACTGAATACAACAACGACGAGAAAAACGTCGATGTTTTACAATTCGAACCTCGGAATGGTGTTTACTTAAAACTACCAACTTCACTCGATCAATCCACACGCATGCTCAAATTTCAATCGAATACGGCTGGTGTCTTCGCATTTGTTGAAAAGTCATCCAGTGTAAGTAGTATGACTGATTCATTCACTTTCATTTCTCTTTCTTCATAGCCTGTATGGATTGCTGGTGTAGTCGTACCTATTGTTTTGATTCTTATCATTGCCATATCGACAATCGTCTATTTTCGATTAAGTCCGCATCGATATTCCCAAGTGAAAGATCAAATTTCAAAAACGAAACGTTCGTTTTTTTCACGTGTATAACGAAACCGTGTTTACTTTCATCTTTTTCAAAATGTATATGAACAACATAATATTGATTTTTATTTATGTATTTTTTTATCGAAATTATTAATCCAATAAAGTAATGTATAACAAAAAAGGCTACACCGATCTTTGGTACTGCAAAACTTGTGAATTCTAATGAGTGACATAAAGGTGTTCTAGTTCACACTCAGACATAGAATTATTCCCGATCCATACTCTGCTCTCAAGAGAACGTCTCATGCGTAGTTGTCGCTATTATTCCTAATAGTTATAGATATTCTATAAATTCATCCGAGGGCGCGATCGCCGAATTTCCGTTTGTTATATCTGATTCCTACTATAAGTCTAAAGAAAACTGTCCTGTATAGACATTGACATTAAGAAATTCTTCGACATAGAATTCTATAAATAGAGTGATATTGAATTGTATTCAATTAACTGGGAATAAATTACCATTAATGCATAATTAAAATGTCTCTGCGAAACAACACGAGTAATCGTACCATCTGTTAGGAACTCGACCGTTAACCTATTCTATTGTTCTTCATAGAATATATACGAAGACGTCAATACTCATTACGACCAATGTAAATAAAGCAGATTTATGTATATGTATATGTGAAGTAGAAAACAAAACGAAAAAAAGAACACATATTTTGAAAAGAAAAAAAAACGAAAAGATGCGTCTATTGTCTGATGTCTAACTGTTTTGATAAAACAATTTGATTGGCAGAAATCGGTTTTCTCGCCTAGAGATATCGACAATATCAACAGTCGCTGAAAATAGATACGAAAAATGAATTGAAAACAAAGAGAAAGCACCACATTATTGCACAATAAGATGAAAAATTTTCAAGAAGAAAAACGAAAAAAATTAAGAAAACGAAGAAGACCGGGTGTAGATATTCTCAGTTAAGCAACTGATTCATTTCCGATTCCACTTGCCGAGCGTGATCTTGACTGTTCAATCGAACGTTTGATACTTGCATTTTGACGATCATATTTTTGAGAATAGAGCCAATCCGTTCTACAAATGACAAATAAATATGATCAAATCTGAATTTGACGTTCGCGCAAACAAAACAAGTTGGAAGGGGTACGCATGCAGACTTCAACCTTTTTACTTACAACAAGAAAAGCAAGAAAAACGGATTTTTCGAGGTAGGACAGTTGACCTGAATAAATATTGAAGAAATTCGCTATGAGAACAAATTGTTCATTAGTAGACAAGAAAAAAAAAAGCAAAGATGAAGATTGTTGTTTATACTCTCGATGGTAGTTCTTATCAGAATTAGAAGAGAGAGAGAGAGAGAGAGAGAGAGAGGAAGTAGAGAGACGATCACCAGTATGAAGAAAGCGAAAATGATAAACAACACCGAATGATGACTGTACTCGGACAATATTCTACCTTTGATTTTGTCTTAGAAAAAATCAGCATAAGTTACTGATGTATCGTGTCTAGAGAAAGAGAATTATTGTTCAATTTTCACATATGTCGAATGAAACAAGTTGGTTTTCAATGAAAAGAATGGGATTCAATTAATACGTACTGTTCGATAACAACTGGAAGTTCGATATGATTATGAGGAAATTGTCGTTCAAGTTCCGCAATTGTGAATAGATAATTAACTTTATGATAAAATTTGTTACTAGAAGAGAATGAGAGAATAGGTCAAAGATGTGGTTTCGATTGGAGATTCTACCTGAAAAATGGTCGGGAAAATGCAATTAAAGTACGTAGCCATCGTGTTGGGTGGACAACATAAACCGCCCGAAGATTTTTTCGTAATCTACATTCGAAAGGAAAGAAAAGTAGGTCAATGATACTGAAGACATAGTAAATCTCACCGAAAGTTTAACATTTGATAATATTTTCGAAGAATTTTAAAATCCGGTGTTCTATGTTTGGGTGTTGCTCCATGGAAATAAACCAGAATATAATCATTCGTAACTAGTTTATCTAATTGATGATAAACATAACTAAATAAAAGTCGAAATTTCATTCGAGATCAATTCAAACAGTGTAAACATACTAAAACAACTGATCCATTATGTAACGATATTCTCTCAAGCGACGATCTGGTAGCCAGCAACCGTAAATAGCAATGACAGCTGTCTGGCTATCTTCCTGCAGTTGACCAGCTGAGCCAATGACACATTTAAACGGTGATATTGTTTTGACATCGATGGTAATTTGATTATTATCAATTACACATGATATAACGTTATTAACTTCATCCGGATCGATATTCGTATTTTCTCTTGACACTGAACGAAGGATAGCTAAAAGAGAAAGATGAACATGTTTATTTTCGTTTGGCAGATCGAGTTTCGAAAAAAAAGTCTTCTCGGTTTTTTCTTTCATTTCAAGATATGATTTCTTAAGATAACAGATAAACAGATTATCCGTGCTTAGGAAGAAATCTTTCATGGTCGAAATTCTTCTTATAATTAATCGTCGAAGACATGTTTGTTTAGCTTGTTTTCGCTTCAGACGAGAATATTATTGAGGAAAATACGGATAATGTTGGCAAGTGTTTTTCAATGAAAACGATTGTTTGAAAAGATAGAGATCACATCAGTCGAGAGTTTTGAAGAAGATATCATCGTTGATATTTGGATCTGGTAGGCGGAAGGAAATAGATGAGAATATTCTATATAACGCTTCTTTCTTGAGATATCTGTATGTATATGGGAATTATCAAACATGCGCTACTGTCCTGTACAATGTCTTTCTCCTGTTTACTGAGTTCTCTTTGTTGTTGTTGTTGTTGTTATTCTTATTATTAATATCGCTTCTTTTCTTTTTGTGTCAACACTTCATTAAACGTCATCCTTTAGTTAGTCAAGTCAAAGAATTGTCCATCGTACACATGCTTTTATCAGAAAAAAAAGAAGAAAAAGCTTGGAATTCTCATCTCTTTATCGGATGATTGATGGATAGAATAACTGTATAAGTAACTGAAAGATCTCTCCAACACTATGGAACACTCGTGTTCACGTCAATGTCTTCGTCGATCATTTTTCGCCGTTATGATTGGTGTCGCACCTGTTGCAATATGTTTAGTACTTATCGCTATCGTTCGATTAATTTTATATCGTCTCGAAATTGTATATCATCGTCGTAAGAACACAGCCGATCGTCGCTTATCGCTACTTAGCGCTCAAAGTGGTCGTTTAGCTCTCTCTTATACACCTGTATCGAACGCTGAGCTACAGCGTATTATTCTCGGGGAATATCAAAATCAACAATCGAGCGATTTCTTAACTGTTCCACAGACAAACAGCAATGCTATACGCAAAGCACCACGATTCATCAAATCAATACTGACTCGACGTGAAATACCAACATCAGCATCATCATCGAGCATTCTCGCTAATCTTGTTATACGCCATGATATAACCGACGTACTTCCTATGCCATCCATTCTTCAACCTATTGAAACGCCATTACAACCTACATTTACTATCATCAATGAGCAAGATAGACAACGACGACCTAGTTTGATTACAATTACTAGGGAGCAAGTTGAAACGACGACATTAGCAGCGTTGAAAGCGAATAAAGGTGAAAATTCACCGAAAGGAACTGATATTGTCGATTTTGAATCTACGAAAAACGATCCTGTTTTATCAACAACAAAGACAATGACGACAACAACGGTTGTTGTAGAAGAATTTCTCGACTTTCATTCAGTTAGTTCATTACCATGTGTACTAAGTCTACTTGATACAATTGCCGACAATGACAGTGATCCAAATTTCGAAAGAAATAAAGATAACAATGATGATTAATGGATAAGTATTATTACCATATAAATATCTCGTTTACTCAATCTCTTGATGTTAATTGAAACGATAGAATGATAAATGTAAAATAGAACCTTTTTACCATCAAGGTTTCTCGGGTTTTTTGTTTATGTATATATATATATATCTATGATACTCATTAATTATCTTTATCATAGTTATAAATTCAATTTTCATGAACATGTTCTTATTTCTCTTTTTACTCATACGACTCAGCTAAACTTATCATACTCAGCATTGCTAATGGATACAGTCGTGTGAAAGCAAAGATATGGAAGAGGAAAACACTCCTACAATCTCCGACATAGATATCGATATCAGTGGATTTTAGACATCAATTTCCTCTCAATAACTAGCATACTATCTGTAACTGATATGATTAATAACACATTAGCAATAATCTTAACGTTGTCGATAGATAATAGTATGGATAATACTCGAAAACAGTTTGTATATCGACAAAGAAAATCGATGGTAGCATCTCTCTTGGACTAAGTCTCATATTTTGATCAACTAGAAATTAGATTAGAATATTTCACAATACCTGAATCGAACGATCGAGTGGCTTGTGGATCGGGATTGTTGTGTAATTTCGCTTCTGTTGTTATTGTTTGTATTGTTGCAGTCGGTTCTGATTCTGTTCGTGAATTTATATTACGTTTTAAATCTACGCTGGTTGACGATAATGACGATGACTTCGATGGAATGTTATCTGTCGATGAACCTAAAAATTCCACGGAAATAAGTTGAATTACTTTCTAGGAAGAAAATTACCTGATTTCTTGTTCAATGGTGGCAATGGTGGTAACGGTGGTGGTAAATCTTCGCTATCTGCTAAAGATATTTCACTTTCTGGTCGTAGCACAGTTTTGTTCACAATTGCTTCAGCTGGTTTTTCTTCGTAGTTAATGTTATTATCATTCATATGATCCGTAATTCGATCACTAGCCATACGAAGATTGATAGCTATATGTTCTTCGTCATCGTCATCATCATCATCTGAATCAGGCGGCGTTTGTGGTGTTTCGGATTCTTCGAGACTATCTTTCGGTGTTAGAACAGCCACATTCTCAATGTTGTTTTCATCGAATCGAACAGTTTTATTCGATGGTACTTCGTTTTCTCCCTTGACTTGATTTTGATTAAAATAATCATCATAATTTTCTTCTTCGATCTCATCATCTGATCCTTCAGTTGTTGCTGGTAATGTCGTAGCAGTTGCTATTGCACTTGATTGTTGTTCCGAGAAGAAGTTATTATATGAATCATTTTTTTGCAAGATAGTTGTTGTCTGAATAGGTGTAATTTTCTCTTCACCACTATCATCAAGTTCCCAAGGTTCATTATCATTGTGACCACCATCGACAGATGTAATCATTTCAGATTGTCGATCTATCGATGTTGTTGATTCTTGCATTTGCGATGAGTCATTGAATTCACTATCAATCTCTGCTACTATAGAACCAATACCAAGCGTTTTCAATGGTTGATCACTGGCATATGCTTCAAATTGAGAAAAACGGGATTTTTCATTGAAGAAATTCTCTTGTTTGTCGAATTTTAGATTATCATCATTTTCATTTTCGCTTGTTGGTTCTTCGGAAGTATCTGCATTTCTCGTTTCCTTAAAAAGAAATCATAGAGTGGCTGTGGAGATTCTTAGGACTGATCTCACTGTTGAATTTTTTGTTTGCCATGCGCCGTCGTTAACTTGCTCATCCGTGGTTAAAGATGATTCATTCTAAAAACATCACACCGACAGATTATTCAAGTATTCTTAAATAAATGAAATCAAGTGAAGAGTGCATGTGAGCATAGAAGCTTTGGCGGCAAAATCAGTTTACCCATCGACTCGAACATAATCCAGAAGAAAAATACTCAGACACATACGCCGAAAATCAAATACCTGATATGACGCGAAATCATCTTGAAATTTACAGCTTTGATTCATAGTAACATCTGAATGAAATGGATTTGTTAGTAACATTGATACCGTCATCAGTTGACTATGACTAGATGAGAATAGACTTGAAGTATTATAGTTATCAAACTGTTCACTCCAAATAGTATTGAAGTTTTCATCAAATGGATCGCAAACCGATTTGTTTAATATCGTTTGTGTCTGCAGACCATCGTTTGTCGGAAGTTCTTTGGAAACTTCATCAATGGCATTAGATAAGATTTCTTTAACGACATGTTCGGTTTGACGATCCGTTTCACCAACTGCTGATTGATCTATGTTTGACACAAGACTTTCCGCAAGTGGCGGAACTTCCATATCTGAAGGTTGACAGAAATAATTAGTCAAATTATTTTCATCGATATTTGATGAGACGATGTCATATGTTGACTGAGTCGACAAACTATCCCAATTAGAAATCATGTTTTCTTTTGTCATTTGTGCGAAAAGATCACCAGTATTTGTAGATGTGAATTGGACATCACCGCGTACTAATGGATTTAACGATTGTATTGAATCAGTAAATTCATTTGTCGACGATGATGATGATGATAAAGAGGAAGATGTATGAGAATTGAGATTCAAATCTGGAGAATGTGATTTCTGGTTTGTGAACGGATTCGTCGATAAGAAACGATCAGTTAAATGTTCATCGTTCTCATTTCTTGTTAGTAAATTGTTGAATAAAGTCGGATTTTCTTCTTTATCGATCGACGATGTTGATAATAAATTCGAGATAAAATGATGTTTGTCATAATTATGACTTATATTATTAAACGTTGAATGCGTTTCTGGCGATAAATTAGGTGCATGCACAATACCATGGAATTGAGCAAGGGTATTCAGTAACTCTAAATCATCATCATTATAATCGTTGTCGTCCTCGCCTGAATTCATTTCGTCTGATTTGTCAAGAGTTGTCAGTTGTTGAATATCGTTGTTAGGAAGAATAGTTTCTCTTGACTGTTGTTCTTCTGTTTGCTTTATACTAGTCCAATTACTAATACTAACATTTTCTTCTTCTTCTTCGTCTTTTTCTCTTTTTCTGATCAGAAGGTGATTGACAGAAGAAGAAGCAGAATAATTATTTGTTGTTGTTTGTTGCCAAGGTCTGCTCTCTTCGCTACTCGACGCCGTTGGTTCTATATTTTGGTATTGATCAACTGATTCACTTTCAAATTTATTATCACTTAACAGCCGTGGCGTTATCTGAGATGTACTCGAACGAACATTTGTTTGCTCGGTTAAATCCACTTGCTAAAAAAGAAATGATGAACTAACACTCAACATTCCACTTTTTTCGCATCTTCTCATCTCTTCTGATTAACTGATAGTTGGATAATGATGACAGTATCTATCAATTTACCGTTATATAATATCTATTCTGTTAGGGAAGATATATCATCTATAGTAAAGAGATAGAACCGATTTGATGAAGAAAAGAAAAACTAATATCCATCCATATGTGAATCCACAGAAATCATTTTGCCTTGACTTTTCTTCAAGGACTTATCGAAGATATCGTCTGAGTATGAAGTCAAGAATTTACCTGTTGTTCGTCTTTGTCGAGCAGTACTTCTTCGAATACGGATGGATTGTGCATAACAGCTATAAATTCATCGTCACTATCGTGTTCATTTAAAATATGTCTCAGATTAATTATATCACGTACAATCTCATTTTGTCTTGTGTTGAATTTTAATTCCCACGGATTTCTCGGGATTATAATCGGTAATACTGGTTGATCAGAAGGAACTAATTCGTCATCATCATCATTATCATCATCATCTGCGAGAGCAATAGGAGCCGTCTCGATCGGTTTTGTCTCAACTATATCGGCGTCCATGTCGACAATAGGTGTTTGATCAACGATAGGTGATGTTGAACGTGTACTACAGCTAGAGGAAGAATGCGAAGATGATGATTTGGAACGATGATAATCTAAATTAACTTGTAATGCAAGTTCTTCATCGGTATCACAATTAGGTAAATCATTTTCCAAATCAATTTGAAGATTATCATCATCTTCACGTTCACTATCAGATTCCGATGAACTTTCCAATCCATCATGACCGTTGATAAATATTTGTGCTTGATCACCGTAGCCAACACTTAAACGAGATGATGCATTGGAACATCTTGAAGTACTACGTGAGGAATCGATGAAATCGACTTGATCATGTGGATGAATATTTAAATTAATTGATGGTGGTAATGGAGCATTCGGACGATCATTTTGTGGAGTCGATTTCATATTTAGTATAAAGTCGTCATTCCATTGTGTGACATCATCATCATCATCATCTGCATCTTCATTAATATTCATCACTTGATCTCCAACATCAAGATCATCGTCATCATCGTCGTCACGCAAGTGTGATGATGATAGGACCGAGTCGGGTGATGATGAACGGATCGAATCGGATTGATCAAGCATATCCATATGATCAAATGGAATTCCATCTATGTCTTTGTCTTCATGTGCATTTAAGTCATCAATATCCGGAATATCTTTGAATAAGGAAGGAATCGCTTGTGATTCATATTGTTCTTGTTCGTCATCGTGAAAATCGTTTAGAATCGATTCAACATCGTCAATGTCATATTCATTGTTATTTTCAACATGATGAATAAATTCCTCGAGAGTGTTATCATGTTCAGAATGATTTATAAACGAATCCATATCACCATTATGCTTTGGTTTTATCAGCGGGGATGCGTGTTGAATGGGAATACCATCAAAATCATCCTCTTCTTCTTCTTCTTCTTCATCATCAATATCTTCGGGAAGTGCTAATGATGGGATTGATGTTGTCTGGATATTATTACTATTTGGAGAATTATTTGCTTGTGAAACAGTATTATTATCGAGTTGTTGTCGTCCTTCGGTGGGTGAAGATATAGACGGTTCGATAAAAGCCGCTCTGGTAAATGGTTCAGAGTCAGTAAATAGAAATGAGCCAAACATCGGCTGATAAGGTTTTTCATTGTCAATCAGTGTTGTCGTTACATCGTTCGATTGTAGATTGGATATCGATGAATGTGACTCGAAAATCGAGGGTAAATTCGCATAAAATGTACTGAGATCTTCGTCGTCAGTCGGCATATTGATTAGATGAGCATTTAACGCGAAAATGCGGAGAGAATCGACGGTAAGGAGAAAAGAAGGAGAAGAAAAGAACGAGAAAAAAAAAGAATGAAGAAAAAAAAACGAAGAAAAAAGTACCAAAGAATTGACAATAGTCGAAGAGGACCAAACAAGAAAAAAAGATGATGAGACGTCTAAAATACGGAAAAAACGCGAGCGAGCAAATATGCAAGCAAATCAAAAGAAAGAAGAAAGAATAAGAACAACAACAAACATATGAGTAAAAGCGTCCAAGACACTTTTTTTACTCTTTTTTTTTGCCCGACGTTGTCGTATATGTTTTTTTTTGCTTTTCATCAACATACAATACTTCTATGACTCGAACTGTCCTTCATATGCAGTACTGAGACAAATTATTTTTTCCATTCTCCTCATCTGTCAAAATATGTCTTTGATACAATAAGTACACATATATACATGCATAAATATACTAAGGAAAAGCATAAGAAAGTCCTATTGATGTGGATATTTTCAATCATGGAAGATGTCGATACATTTACTACAGAGTAATCGAATTAACTAGGGTAAATGTTGTCCTAAGGACAGATTTCTCTCTTTTTTTTTCTCACGTGTAATCGATATCAACTAAACAAGTGTATCCTTCACTTTCAATCTCTTACTTACTCATTTCTCCTTCGTCTAGAAAGCTGACAGATACTTTACGGAGTTATTTGAAAACGAAACTAGACAATTTGACTTTCTTTGGCACGACGTGTCGACTTACTCATCAAACTGAGTAATGAGAATAATTTATCGTGAGTTGTCACGCTTAGTTAATCGACGACACGTGAACATATCGGAAAATTCGCATTAAAATTGATGTCACAGGTTGAGAAAATCATGAGACAAAGAAGGATGTGACATTGAATAATGATAGACGATTGATAATTAGGTTATGTGAAGAAAATAATTCATTTTTCTTCTTTGTATGGAGGCATGTGCGCATGTTTTTTTCGACATAAAAGGTCGACGACATCATTACTAAACATGATAGACGAATCTATCAAAGATTCAATTGAACTTCTTCTTACATAGAAGAGAAAGTTTCGTCAAGCATACACTTGTACTAAACAGCGAGTCATTCTTTTGCAATCAATGTGAATTATGATGTCAAGCAATCATATTCGATCAGACTGAAGCAACTTACAGGATTTGTAATCGCTGAAGCATCGTCATCGGCATCATTTCTCTCGACAGCGACAAAATCGTTTTCAGATTCGGATGATGACGAACTTGGGACAAATGTTGCACGTTTTGCTGGTCTTGTTGGTTGAGTAACATCTGTCGATTGATCATCTAAATCGTACACATTAACAATTCGAATATAAATCAACATTTTGTTTTGCATACGTGAACGAGACGATTCCGCTTGAGTTGTATCTTCAACGGGAACTGCTGGTGTAGGTTCAACTGATTTGTCCTCTTCTTCTTCTTCTTCGTTTATACTGTTCGAACGACTTGTATCAGGTGTCGGAATATCATAATTGTCTTCTCTGTCCATCGCTGACCGAGTTTTGTGCTATAATCTATTCAGATGAATCGATCTGCAAAGAATTCGAAAGTAGTTTTCGTTTTTTTAGCAATAACAAATCGAATTTACGATGAAAATGTCCTTGACATGTTACATTTCAACAAAAATCTTTTCTACTTGACAATCAAAATGCATTACTCATTGAACGATCAATTGAAAAGAAAAAACAATCTTCGACTTACATAAAGATAAACATTGAAAAAGCGAAAAGTCTTTTTCACGGCCTTTATTTCGTCAGTTTAGTAACAAAAAAGAAAAAAAAAGCCTATATAAAACATGATGAATAACTATAAACACCGACATGCAAACAAGACTCGTCTTATCAAATGACATTACACACTCCAATGTAGTGTGTTACCGTTTAAAGATAGTAAAACAACGAAAGAAGATGTAAATAAAAGGAAAGTAAAACGAATATTCAAATTTTTTTATTCTTTTTTCGCCTAAAAATAATACAAAAAAAAAGGAAAGTCTTTCTAATTATGGATAAACTAATCAAATGCTTTTCAGTGTAAATATTATTCTTTTCTAAAGTGATGACGACAAGTATGAAAAAACAGAAGCGAGAAAAAAGTGATTTTTTAAACATACGCCGTAGTCATAAGCAAATCAGCAGGAGAGGACAAACAAGTTTTTCAACAAAATACACCAATTCAACCAGTGAACAGCAATGGCTCGAATCCCGCTAGAGTTATCCGATTCCAGTGGCTATGATGTATCAGGTCTGTTGACGAATGAAAAGCAAATGTCAATGTTTTCTTTCAGACTCGATCATGGAATATGGTAAACAATTGCGATTTCCCAAAACTCAAAATCGTTATCGATTATTAGTTGATCAATTACCAAATGGAATGAAAAAGTTGCACATCAAAGGTGAAAGACTGATGAAGAACAAGCGCGGAAATATTTTATCTTCGTTTAGGTACGGATGCTCTATCAATTCCCACAGAACTCTATGAAATAACCGATTTGGATATACTCGACATGACTCCCGAGTCGAAATCGGGCATGATGTACACATTGACACGTGTTCCGAGCAATCTCAGTGTTCTGATCAATCTGAAGTATTTGCATTTAGACAACAATGATATTGTCACTATTCCCAGTGAAATCAGTCAACTGACATACTTAGAAGTGTTCACTGCAAGTAATAATCACATCAAAACATTACCGGATTCCATGAGACAACTACAACGGTTACAATCGTGTCATCTAGCAAATAATAACATTGAAGAAATGCCATTGTGTTTATGTTATTTATCAAAAAACTTATTATTTCTTGATTTATCTCATAATTATATACGAGAATTACCGTCAAGTATTTATCATTTGAAAGAATTACGCACATTTTTATTGCTAGGAAATCAATTGAAAAGTCTGCCAGATTCATTGTGTCAACTATCGAAATTGGAGACATTGTGGTTAGGCGATAATAAACTAAAAGAACTACCGAAGAATATCACTCAGTTGAAAAATCTTGATTGGTATCATCAATGGGAATTATCATCAAACTTCGAAGGCAATCCATTGGAACGACCGCCGATATTCATTTGTCGAGAAGGCATGGAAGCGATCGAGAATTATTTCAAAAAATAAAACTTCGCATTTAATTCTTCTTTCTCTCGAAATAAACGAAATCGAACGCGTTCGCTCCTATGAACGTTGATTTTTAATCAAAAGAATTCGACTAACTAGAGAATAAAAGAAGCAATTTTGTTCCTCGGAGATTTGTGGAAATAACATCGACCTACTTGATTAAATCGATCGATGCAGAATCTACTTATCTGATTGGCATTCTTCCGTTGAACCCTCCTCCTCCTCCTCCTACTCATTCAATCAATCGATAAAAATACTTCGGTAAAATCATTTCCTTTTACATTCATACAACAACCGGAAAGACATTCGCAATGTCGAATACTATTTAAGAAAGCTTTTAACCTATCAGAGCAATAGCACGATGAAATTGACTGTCGAAGATGGCTGAGATGGAAAGTTCTGCTTTTTTTGAATCGATTTGATTTATTCAATGCTTAAAATACAAAATGATCTGGCTGTGTGCGTGAAACAAATAAATGAAAAGAAAAGAAAACGTTCATAATCATCAGAAGGAAAACCGGAGTTGTTTATTTTGTCTTTTAACTACTGGAAAGACCAAGAAATAGAGATCGTATTTGATCAATATGTAATTCTGTCAATACAACTGTCGATATCAACCAAATCCACCATATAGTTTTTGTTTTTGTAATGAATTCCTGTTCAAATAGAACTTTCAACGAAATATCAATGATTTATGTCGAAATCTTACCCATGTTCGATCAATAAAAATCGCGAATTGAAGATAATCTTGAATACTAAGTGCACATAAATATCTCCAAAGATAAAAAATCAATATTGTTAACGGAGAATGCAATATACTCAATTGCAAAGCCTAAAGCAGGAAAATCAGTAGTATAAAGTTGATCACAAAAGAAAACAAGACTTTGCATACTTTTTGTTGTGGAGTTTCCGCCGGTGAATCTAGTAAATCCTCATAAGCATGAACATCACGATCCCAAAACATCGCTGCTAGTGAATACCGTAACGAGAAGGAGGCTAAGGTTATAAATATAGTTTGCTTCGTTTCTAAAGTTTGACTTGTTGTTTCGTTATTTGTGGAAGGAGGTGGTGATGGTTGTATACGTGGAGAGGACTGTTCATCTTCAAGATTAAGGATCATCATATCAGTTTCTTCGCTTCCGCCATCGCTTGCCGATGAACTTGTGTATCCATTTGTACGTGCCGGAATAGAACGAAATGGTCGTTGTTTATAAAAGTAAAGTAAACAACCGATGATTAAACATGTACCACCTAGAATATCGCTGACAACGTCAACATAATAACCGAAGTCTCCATAATAAGATTTATAACGCTTGTTATGTGAATGTGCGCGAAAAACGACCCCGTCAACACAATCAAGAAATGTTCGGAATTGAAAGATACACACACCTAAGCGTCGTCGAAATAACGATTCACTTGCAAGGAATTTAACTGATATCAACGACAGGAAACAATGAAAATACGATATCGCATTCGCTGATATGAATGGAAAATAGTACGTGAAATGTAACGTAGTTTCAACTTGTTCAGCTAATGGTGAACGAACATAATGAATCTATTTACAATAGAAAGAAACATAAGTTTTGACTTGACATGTCTAGATTGCTTACTATAGGTTCAACCATGATTTTTTTCACTGGTAATGGATCGAAGATGTGAATTGAACTTGTTTGATTCGTTGATGTTTTCGTTGTAGTGAAATCTAAGGATTCTCTTGAACGTATTTTGAAGTAAAGTTTTAAGTCCATCATTTGTAGATAAATTAGAAAGCACAGAAGTAGAGAGTAACCAGGATAGGATAGAATAAGATGAAACGCACGAACACAGAAATGTCCGTGTTGATAAACAGGTCGTGATGGATAGACACCATTACTCAATTTACGAACGTCGGCGATCAATTTCCTTTTCGTATTTGTATCCATTACATAAACATAATCTGAAATTTTAAATTGAAAGTCAATAAAAAGTGTATTGATGTCATATGAACAAACAAAGAGTTTCTCGTCGGACCATTGTCGGCTGTTCTTTTCATGCTGATAAGCCGATCTTTTTACTTTTGGTTGACTACAAAATGATAATGATACAAAATCGAGTTTGTCCGTATTCAGTTATTTGTAATCTATAGGAACAGGAACGGTTTACTAATCATTATTGAATCATGCTGACTTTCATATCTGACAGGACAAAATGCGACAGAAGGATAGTATTCACCAATCATAAAACTCAATTTTGCACTCTTTATCTGACTGTGGCAAACGTCCGGCAGTAAAAATTCGAAAAGTGTTTTCTAACATCTCTCGCTGTTATCACGGCAACTATACTCAACAATCTAGATTATTCGTTTAATCATTCGAACGCAACATGCAAAATAGCAGATCGTTTTATCTTCATTAAATTGACAGAGTGACAAATTTACATATAATCTCCGAAGAATATCAGTCATCCGTCGTATTATATTTCGCTCTGCATGGCACTAGAGATCGTTGGACGAAAGTCCTTGTATACGTATGTAACACTTACTTTATTCAAATAGTATTATCAATACTTGCGCGCACTGATGAGATATATTTGAGTCACCTGTTGATGTGAAAGTAAGAAAAAATAGGAGACACCGACTCAGTTGAAGATCAAACCATAATGAGTGCGCATGATTCTTATCTTTTCTTTTTTTTCTTTATGCTTTCATCTTAAATTTTTACTAAAGGAAAGAATGGAAGAAATATGACGAATCAACTTGTGTCTCAGTAGATAAGGAACTCAATATAAAAACTTTCTTTTCGCTGCTATAAATTAAAAGATTCGAAAACAGGACCGACTGGTAATCGGCGAACATCGTTGAAGAAAAAAGAAACGTTGTAAATCATCATCATGCATATTCTGGATTTTCTTTGACTTAAAACTTAGATGAAACAAAAATCAAGCAAAAAGAGAGAGAGAGAAAGAAGAAGAGAAATAATAAAATGTGATTTTTGTTTTAGCAATTAACTTGTATCCATTGTATTGTCTGATGGTTTTTTCTCATCATTATCCTTCTTGTAGTGTTTTTCCATTGCTTGTGCGAATGCTTGTATGTCACCTTGATTAGCAGCGGCAATCGCTTCTTCTGGTAGACCAAATTGAGCTAGAACTGGACCTAGTTGTCCTGTTTGTAAAGCAACACTAAATGAACAAAAAGAAAAGAAAGTTTTACAATTTAAAACGAGAGAAAACAAACCCAAATGTGCTAACAGCTTGTCGAAATTGTGGGGATTGAATAGAATCTCGCAATTCTTTCTCTGTACCTGGAATTGTACTTCCGTCTGGTAAATGAGATCGTAATGTTTCTTGAACTTCTTTTTTGCTCAAGATCGGAATTAAATTCTATAAGCATGACAAGAAAAACTCGTTTGTCTACAAGAATTCGATTGGTTTTACCTCTGTTGTCATAATATCATAGAGATCAATAGCAGGTTTAGATGCGGCAGCACTTTGTCCTGCTGCACCAGTACCACCTAAATTGGCTAGAATATTTGAGAGTGCGCTCATTTGGATAGGACCACCTTTTGGTCCACCAGATGTTGCTGAACTTGCTCCACCAGCGGTTGACGGTGAAGAGCTTGTTCCACCATTGCGAGGTTTCGATGATGAACCGCTGGGACGTGTGCTGGACGCTGCTGTTGCACTTGCTGTCGCTGTTGCCGCACCTGAACTACGTGTCGCAGCTGGTGCAGTATTAGGACGAGAATCAGGCGTCTGTTGTCCAAATGTATCTGAAATAAATAATATCAATCATGTAGAGGAGATCGGAAATATCCTACCACGGTGACTACCTTGCATTAGACCGGGAGCACCTCCACCACTTCCAACAGAAGACAACAGGGATGCTAAATCATTTGGATTCATGCCTGACGAAACCGAAAAAGAAATTTATAGATATTTTGTTAGTAACCAAAGAATTCCGTTTTACCACGTAGAACATTGGATAAATCGTTTGGATCGATACCACCTGCACCACTACCTCCTGTCATACGGTCCATAAGAGACTGTAGCGGATGAGCTCCACCTCCAAGTCCACTACCACTATTACTATCATCACCAAATCCTGGTGTTGGTGGATGATTAAGCTGTGAAAAATAGAACATATTTTCAAATCGATACTAAATCGAAAGCGACGCTTATTACCATTTCATTAATTTTCTTACACCATTCTTCATCTTTATCCTCTTTTGGTTCTTGCATCCAGAAGAACAATTTTCGAGCATTACTTCTCCATTTGAGTATATAGACTCGTCCTTGACAGATTCAAAATTATTGAAAATCTTGTCACTAGCAATCATTCCTTTTACCTGTTGTATTTTGTGTTACTTTTTTAAATTCGATTTCATCCGGAAATATGACAAGATCATCTTCGGCTGTGTTACTTGCTCGTTCTTTCCAACAGAAGTGCATCAACATATCATTGCCTTGATATAAATAAACGAGGCCTTTACGTTTATCAGGATGAACCTACAGCATCGGGCAAAAAAAGCAAATAAATCATTGAAAATGTATGCCGAAAATTAGAGCATCATACCATACTACCACGTAGATTCATTTTTCCTGCTTTGAATTCAACTAAATTTCGACTACGAGCTTGTGATGTCATTCCACCGAATAACGACATTTTGTAGTTTGTTTTAATCGATTAGACAAGAAATCTAAAGAAATATAAGACAGTAAATTTCATGAACTTTTCTTTTGATTGTAATAGAGAACAGAGGAGAGGGTAGACAAACAGACAGGACAGGAATAATTATATATCTATCATGAATCGGTATTTATAAACGAACCAATGGTATTCTGATCGATAGAGGTCATTACAGATTTATGATAGCTAGCAGTTTTATTGAAAAGAATTCTGATGCAAAGATTTAAAGTCAATCGATTTGATTGATAATCATACAAAATATCTTTTCAGATGTCAATCATTTATTTCGTGTTCGACATCGGCATATGAGAATAATCCCAATAACAACAAAATATACACTTGCAAAACTAAATCCAACAATCAGCATGATCAGAAAAGGTGTAGCTAATGGTGGTTCGTCCCATTGAACATTTGTCAGATTATTTTTCTGATAATAACACGTATAGTTTGTGTTAACTTGATATTCGTTCAATCGATTCAATGCGTCGACGGATTCTTGATAAATTTGTGTTATTGTTGAAAATACATAACTATCCGATGCAGAATTTGAAACAGTGTATTGAACTGACCACATTACCGAGAAACAACTTGTAGCTGATAGAGAAATTCCATGGCCGCAACTGTCATATTCGTGATCAATTATTGTACATGTTGATTGGGCGTATGATTCGTAATTTTTTAAAGTGGGAATATAGAGACCTAAACCAATAAATCCGATGACGATTGATGCTGATCCAATGACTGTTAAAATAAGGACAGTTGTAAAATAGGCCGTATGAGAAAAAAATGTTCCGATTCGACTGGCCATTTCAGAGATTTTTTGTGTTTTATTTGTTTAGAAAAGAAAAATGTATGTTTAGAATATAGAATAAGAAAAGAATAAAAGAAAAGAAATAAAAATGCAAACTTTCAAATTCGAATCGTGTAAATAAGGACAACTAGAAAAGGAAAAGATGTGAAAGCCTATGAGAATTTTAAGAACATTTCAACGGTCAAATTTATCAACATAACAAATGAATGTATTCTAATAAATATTCATCAAAGTAGAAAAATGTGTAAGATGAGTTCTTCAAAGTTATGTCATAGTATACAAATTTATTAATATTTAAACACAATTACAAATGATATACTAATAATACTGCTTGTACAATTATAAAAAAAACAGTTAATCAGTATCATCGGCACTGTCATTCTGTATACGGGGCTTTTTGTTTACTGATTCGTCGTCAGTTGTGGACGAGTGTTTTATGAATCTTTCTGCTTCGTGATTCCTTAGTTCTCTTTCACTTTCATCTGATGAAGCATCATCGGTATCATCGAAATCTCGGGCATGTTTTTCTGGTTTCCATTCTATGTCTCCATCCGATTTTACACTATCTATAACAATACATATGTTGCAAATAGGCATCAAATGAATTGATTCATTCCTACCTTCTTCAGCATTGGTACTATCACTGTCAAGATCTTGATCATCAATGAAACTATCATTATAATTATATTCGTTAGGTAAACCATCGTCATCATCATCATCCTCATCATCGACTAGAAGAACGAATATTAATATTTCTTTTAATAATACATTGGTAGATGCCTTACTTTTGCGTTTTGTCGAACGAGATTTTGTGTTAAGTTCGATGCATTTCTTTTTCGGATGATTATATTCTTTGAGATGATCTGTATTTGTTCGATAGCATTCCCTACCATATGGACAGTCGGGTTTAGTTGTCTTCGATTCTTCATCTTTAACTTCCCAATCTGGATCACCAGTATGACTAGCTTCCTGTCGATGAAGCAGATTCTTTCTGTAACATGATGCACCATATGGACATCGATCTCGTTGTTTCGGATCAACACTGCCCGATGCTACTGCTGTTGAGCTACTACCATTATTCACTGCAGTGACAAGCTTAGGCTCGCTGCTCGACGGTCGCAAATCGGACTCCTCGTCTGTATCATCATCATATACCAGCGCACTTGCTTTTTTCTCTCCGGGGTCTAAATAACGAAAATGATACGATGAAAAGAAAGATTTGAGAAAGAACCATTTGGCTACATACATATTCTCGATCTGATATGTGGAGTCGTTGTGAGTTTGTCTTCACTTGATTCTTTCTCATCAATTTTTGTTATAGATTGTGAACTATCTGGTATTGGATCAGATACTACTATTGCATTCGTATCACTCTCCAGTTGAGATTTTCCGTCGTCACTGTGAGTGTCAGTTTTTAATGCTTGATTTTCTTTCTCTGTTGTTTCATTTTGTGGTTTAATCGATACTTGATAAAAGAACTCATCTGGTAAAAGACCAAACTGATCGTCCTGATGCAATTGATATTTCTTGTTTTTTGTTAATCTAACAATTTGATTAGCTTTGGTTTTATAAAATGTTGGATTATGGTGAATAGCTTTGATCCATAGACTTCCATCTGGTTGAAGCCATAATTGTGCATGATTTCGAGAGATTTTGTTGTCTAAACAACCGATCGTTGGACTGCGGCCAATTATGATCAAGTTTGTGTCATTGAGAACCACTCTGTTTCCTTTATTCAATGGAATCAGTTCAACGATAGACATATCCAACAAATGAAATAGAGGTTTTTCGGTGAAAACCGTCTAGCATTTCAAAACCTGAATGCAATTACATAACTGATTCGTTGAGACGATGTTGAATCAAATTCAGCTTTTTCCAATCCAATTTGACAATCTTATTCAAACTGCATTAGAAAGAACCTCATTTTAGATGAAACTCTAGCAGCAATCCTGATTTTTTAAATTTTTTCTCAAGACTTGCTTCCTGGTAAGACCTGCCATCTACTGTATTTATTTATATAAACGTTGGATGTAATGTACATTAACTGAAATTTGCATTGTATTTTTCAATTATTTGAGATAAAAATAACAATGCAAATACTTACAAAACGATAACATGGTTTCAGTCGTCTATCAACACATTCAACGAAATAATCTCACAGATACGATATATGGCATGTCGAACAGAATATTTCTCGCGTTTGTTTTTCAATGACGAAAATATTCCCCGACAAAAAAAAAGGAGTCGTCCACTATCATATCACAATCACGGAGTAAATCTTTTCAAACAAGTTCCTTTCCGTATATCTCATGACAGAAAAACGTCTATAGAAACATACATGCTAATCAAAGTCATCAAGTATCTATATCAATCATGTGCATACATCCTATAAGAATGTCTGTTGAGTCTTCAATTAACATCATCTTAATGCATGTCTTCTATCGGTATTTTTCTTCCTCTTTCTTCGTACTTTATTATGTATAGTAAGTATACGCACGTCAATGTAAAGATAAGAGAAAAGTAGAAGAATATTAACCTTCGACAAATAGTTGATCACGCATCATCAATCACACATAGTTTAGGGTTATCGACTTTCTCAGTTCGTTAATATCTTTTTCGTTGTGGCCTCTTTTTAGGCGATACTTTTTTGTCTCGATTAAATCATAACTTTCTTTGCATTCAATTGTGAGTAGAATGAATAATAAATGAGAGAACCCATTAAAATGAATAAAAGCTATTTAGAGAGACAGGAAAAAAGAACCTCGAACATAGAGTTCGATTTTGTTTTGCGTCAAAGTGTAGGAGGGGAAAAAGAAATTAATAAACCTATGTTCGTTTCTGTATGTAGTCAGACATATGTTATTCTCATCAAATTGAAAAGTGTTCCATTTGTTTCTAGATGAATTTTGAAAGTTTGGCACATACTATAGATGACGATTTTGATTTGACCTCGGACTTAGATCACGGTGGTATTGTCATTCCTACGCAAACCTGTGAACATGTCCAATATGTCGAATTGCTCGATACGATCGTTCGTATAACTCCAACGCAATGTGTCGATTGTGAAAGTACGACAGAAAATTGGTTATGTCTATCCTGCGGAGAAATTCATTGTAGTCGATATGTAAACAATCATGGAGAAGGTCATTGGTTATTTACTCTACTTACTGATGAAAAGTACAATGTGGGACATTGTTTGACAATCGGTCTAGAAGATTTATCGGTTTGGTGTTATCCATGTAAATCGTATGTAAAAAACGTTCGACTCAATCCGTTGATAAAGTGTATTGAGTCAATTAAGTTTGGTTCCTCCAATGATTCGTTGGATCAATCATGTGACTGTGAAACACTCGATAATTTAATTCCAACAGTAGATAACCATAATCCATCGACAATCATTGCGATTCAAGAAGCCAGTTTGTTAAAAGAATTGACTAAAACTGATCTTTTATCCTTTTGCTACACGATGAAATTTCGTTCGGCGTCAATTGATGAATTAGTTCGCTTACATTCAAGTGATTATGTCAATATGATTGTTTCAGCTGAAAAGGTTCATTCGAAAATCTCAAGCAAACGTTTTCATATCTCATGGTTCGATACGGCATTGTCTACCGCACGTCTAAGTGCTGGAATGACCATCGATTTAATTCAAAATGTTGTAAACACAGATCATATCAATGGTTTTATACTTTCCACATCTCCAGGACATCGTGCTTTGAAAGATCATGGAAATGGTACATCTATCTACAATAACATCGCGTTAGGAGTTAATTCCGTTCTAATGGACAAATCAACGAATAATCCAAGAAAATCTTCATTAGCATTAATTGATTCGAATAATCATGTACACATGGAAGGTGCTACACCCATTGAAGATGCCATCTGTCATATGATAAACGTCTTGACTCCATCGTCTGTGTTCGAACTGAAACAACCGGCAGCTAAAATTCCCGTAGTTACTGATAATAATAATAATAAAATTCAAATAGAACGTGCTTTCATTGTTGATCTAACATGTGAACATGGAAGTGGAATTCAATCGGTCTATTATGAATCGAATCAAGTGTTTTATCTTTCGATACACAAAGAAGAACATCAACATCGATCGAGTTATCATGAATGTGGCAAAAATCAAGGTATTGGATATACCATGAACATTCCGTTGGCATGTTTCGATCGAGCTTATGACAAAGATTATGAAACGATAATGAAGGAGTTGATTCTTCCAATAGTAAAAGAATTTCAACCGGAGTTGATTGTTGTTTGTGTTGATTTCGAACTTCCACATATAACAGCGTCGTGTTATGCTTGGATTATTGAACAATTCCGTCGCATCGATCAAAGTAAACTCGTCGTTGCTCTCGATGGTGATTTGTCGAACGTATCATCGAAATCAGCCTATGTACAAAAGGTACTCTCAGTTTTAATCGGAAAATCATCGGAAATATCCGATGACGAATGGAAAAATAGTGGTGTCAATAAAGATGTTCTTCACAAAATCGATTTAATCAAACAAAAACATCAACACTATTGGTCTTGTTTTCAATAATATCATCTCTCTCTCTCTCGTTTTATTTTTTATTTTTTGTTATTATTTTACCAACTTGTTATTTCGAAATAGAATTTCAATGAATTTATTAGTATTGATTAATGACTCTGTCAGACGAATATATCAACTGAACACATACGTCTAGAAAGACTCGAGCCACGTGTATATCTAGCTATCATTTCTGTTAGTCCATCTGATTTCTATAGAGAGAAGTTCGTCAGAGAGAAACGTACGTTAAATATCGTACATATGCATCGTTTGTTTTCTTTTCTTTTTCGATATTCGTTGCGATCGTAAGAAGATTATTTATTAACAGTCGAAACGTATAGATTAGTTAGTTTACTAAATAGATAAGTTAGAATATGTTGTCAACATCAATCGATCCTCATAATAGTAGTCATGGACGACCATTAAGAATTGTTTCAACGAACCGACTCTTTACGAAAGTTAGAACTGAACAGCCAACAACGGAAACAGGTTTGACTTCTGTTTATTTCAATTGGATTGAATTGAAAATACCGTTGCTGTTTTTGTTTCAGTATTACCATCAATAATCGATACGACAAGTTTATTTTCCGACCATCATCTAGATGTTTTTACAAAAGATGAAGCTATCCTCGATGAAACAACGATGATCACAACATCACCATCATCACCGGCACCATCATTCGTTGATTTTCGTCATAATCTTTCATCATCTCGGTCAACGCCATCATCTCCGACATCATTCTCACCATTACAACATGACCATAGTTATGGTCTATCAACGAATTCATCATCATTTCTACCATCGCCATCATCACCTGATTTAATTATTCATACTTCCGCAACAGTTAACTCATCTCCGAATGTCTCTTGGCCACAAATCAATTGTCGAGCATTAAGACCTGATGATTACCATATGTTATTGGAATTACTTTCATCGAATACGAATACTGATTCACCACCAGTTTTCTTTGGTTCAGCATTGATCGATCCGTCCACACCGACGCCCTACTCCGATGCAACGCGTACACAGCCAAAGAAACGCATACGTCCCGGGCACGTCAAACGTCCAATGAACGCATTTATGGTTTTCTCACAAATTGAACGTCGAAAGATTGTCCAACTCGCACCGCATTTGCCTAATGCTGATATTAGCAAGTAAGGATCATCTAGAACGCGCTATCAACTTGACTGGACTGACTTTTTCGAAGATGTTGTGGAGCCAAATGGAAACGAATGTCATTACGTGATCGACAACCATATATGGAAGAATCCGAACGATTAAAACAACTTCATGCACGACAATATCCAACTTATAAAGTAATTCTATTTGAACTTTGTTCTGAATAAAACTGATCTGCCTGTTGATTAGTATCAACCACGAAAACGTAACAAGTCAACGTTATCATCGAGTACATCTGTTTCCTCATCAACAGCAACTGCTTCATCATCTTCGTCACCGCCGATTTTAACGACAAGTCCTGCACAATCATCAACTATTTCCAAGAACCAACCGGAAACTCCACCACCTTCACTTCCTCAACCGACAACAGGATCGAATTCAAATGATCCGATCTCACTTTTAGTCACCACACTATTCGATCAAAAACTATCAATGTTCGCTAGTAATCTTCAACATTTGAATCTCGATCAACTACAATATCATTTTACACCACCAAATGCTCAACTGTATTCCACAACATCCATGCCATTCGATCCGGTCACGTTCCTTGCTAAACAACAACAACATCGACTTGTTTAAAAAGAATTTATACATATCTATACATATATACATATATATATCTGCATATACATATTAGAGTAGACCTAGATGAAACAATTCAGGAAAACGAAAATTTTACTTTCATTTTTCACGTTTTATTTTATTTTTCTTGTGTTTGTATGATAGGTGATTTCTTCTTTTTTCTTTGCTTGTTTGTTTTTGCGCTATTTCACTTCCTACTTGCAACTTTGCCTCGCTATCCATATGAAAAAAAAGAGATTTTGCTGATCATTTCTTATTTTATAAATCTAATAAAATGAAAAAACCCTCGCCGTTTTCTTTGCCGAAGTCAAAACGAGGATCCAAGTGTTTCATGATTATCTCATTCGTCGTCAGTATTGATCCTATATACGAATAGGACTGAATCTAGCGAAAGAAAAAAGAAAGAAACTACGAGACGGAATCATCCTTGCTACTTGGACTATATGTAGTTTATTCGTTCTCTTTCAACTTATGCACTTTCATTTTCATCTTTTGACTACACACATTCACATCTCCCGTTTATCCGTTCTGAAAAAGAAATGTTTGTATCAACAAATCATTCCAGCTTTAATCCGACCAAAAAATTGAATATTAATGCAACATCGTCATCAAATTCCCAAATAGCAACATGTAAATTATTCGTAGGCAACCTTGCCACGCACACGACAGGCGCACATCTGCAATCTATCTTTCATTCTTACGGGCAAGTTATTGAATGTGTTAAAGTACGAGAACGTTACGGTTTCGTTCGATTTGCAACAGGTGAAGAAGCACAACGTGCTCTGAATGCCTGTAATGGCATCCAGTTGAATGGTTATCCAATGATTGTTGAATATGCTCAGAATGAAATTCTGATCAGTCCTCTATCGACACGTACGAACAATCCAACAGCACCTGCACCATTTCGTCCGCATTTGTATAACACCGGGCGAGCCACAACAGCACATCAAGTAAATGAACTCTTGTTAGAAACCAAATGAAGATGTTTTCTTTTGTTTTGATTGTAGACGGATGTCAAATTAACAACACCCATTACAATCAATACGACTTCATATCATCCAAAAAGCCACTCAACACGTGATGATATTCCATTGTTAACAACTGATACAACTAAATATGCAGCATCAACATTGAATCCCGATGCATCGACATTTACTGTATCATTTTCACCGGCTAATCGTTATCAACAAATACCAATTGACCAGAAAAACTCTAATACCGAACATGCCTGTTCAACTAGTGATTATCATTCTCAATCAGGTCTGCCATCAAGTGGCTCATCGTCAGTTCGATCAACTGATTCATTATCACCATCGATCCTTTCTGCTATTTCGCCCTCGATTCTTCTACCATGCGATTCACCGCATGAGGAACATGATAATCATCATCGTCGGATTCCCAAAGAAAAACGTCAATCAACAACTTCAACATTAAATCTGCATGTTGGCGATCGAATTCTCAATTTATACGGTTCATCGACGCAAGTTGAACCCAATAACAATGAAAATTGTGCTTCATCAGCATCATTCGACTGTCGTGACATTGATCCACGTGATCCAGTCTTCATTTGGAATTTTGCCTTCTATCCCGATATATCAATGAGTCCATTCGTTAAACGTGGAGATATTAAAACTTTACTCGAACGTCGAGTCTCACTCTATTCACGATAGAGTTTCTTTCCCTTTTCGATAGAAGTCACTGCTGGTCAGTAAAACATTTCTCTCTTCTTGTCTTTCGTCTATTTATTTAGGAAAAATGTTGTTCATTTCGTTACTTTTTTTCTTTTTCCTTTGTTCAATCTTTCTATGTGTGCTGGTCCAATGTGTCCTGCAATATTTCGATGTTGAGTTTGCTCAACAGATTCCGCCGCCGTTCTCTTTCTCTTCAATATTTTCCTTAAATTATTCATTTATACAATTTCTTTTTTCGCAATATCAACACATAATAATCTCAATGAATTCTTCGTTCTATCTGTCTTGTCTTTTCCTCTCGTATGCCTTCCTTGTCCTCTTTTTTATGTTGTCAATTGTCTGTGAAGATCTCTGAATAGAAAACTGTTCACTTCTTCTTTTTCTTCTTTTCTTCTTCGTAGATGGAATGATAAGACAATGTGTATTAAACTGATTCTATTAAGAATATAACCTACATGTTCTTTTCAAAGTTAAAACAAACAATTGTTGATCTCTAATAGTACTGGTTCAGAAATTCTCGTTGGTACGAACAAAACAAATCATCAAGTAAAATTAGTAAATGATGAACATCACTCGATTGCATTCTCTTTAACAGCATGTCATTCAACACGTTAAGTGTATCACTTCGATCAATCATTGAGAGAGAAAGTACTAATAGGAATCGATTAATTACAGAGAATATATCATCGAACGTAATAAATAATTCAGAGAATATCAGTAAGATAATGACAAGGTGATTTACTAGTCAAAATGAGAACGCAAGACATTTTCGAAATAAAGACTAAAGTATAAAAATGATTGATAGATTTATACGTATCGAAATGAAATCAAATAAACATATCAAAATGATCTGATTCATCTTTTACTTCAAATAATCATTTTCTTGTGAGAAATTTCGATATCAACTGAAGTCTGTAATGAGAAAAACTTTATAAAGATTAATTTTGATGCGTTCGTTTTGAGCGTGATAATATATGTATGATCGATGAGTCGATTTTTAACTTTTTCACCTGTCATATTATGCTGATGACAAGTAACAAATGGTTGTTTTATGTAATAGATGATATTTCACGTCATTATTTTCATTCGTATATCGACGTGTCATCGTCGCCTTCCGTATTTTGCTTTTCGTATCATTTAGTTATTAATTTCGTTGCTCATTTGACTTTACAAGCCAAATTTCGATTTTCTGAGAACGTTGCATCCATGTCATTACAATAACTTAACGCATAGATGCATCCGTTTCATCATGATTATCTACTCATCGATATCATCATGAATATGATCATCATAATCGTTGTGAATGTAGAAGAAATATGAAAGAACACTCGCTTTTTGGCTGATTTGATTGAATAGAGCTTGCGTTGACTTGACAAGTAAGCGAGCAAGACAAGACGCATACAGAGAAGAGGCAGAGAGAAGAAGAATGAGAAATCGCAGCGCGATCTGTCAACATCAATCAAACCTCGTTGTCATCTACTTGAGCTTGTATAGAGCAGACGGGCGAACAAAGCTCAAGTTAGCTAAAGCAGCCGATCATTTATAACCAAAGAGGAGGGAATGAGCTCTGTATAACTTGACATTTATCGTTCTGTTTCACGCACATATAGAACACAAATTCAACTTGTTGTGATCCATCTTAATCTCTCGTTTTTCTTCTCTCTTTTATACTTGCCATTATAGGCCCAATGGTGTCAACTGAGCAATAGAGCGATGGCACTTTAATGTTTGAAGGCATGTTGTGTCTGATTTATTGCCTCTGAATCGTAATGATGGCTCATAAATCAAAAAAATCTCTCTTCACATTCATCGTCCAGTTTGATTTGTGCTTTTCATTCTTTTTCTCGTTAGGAAAAGTCATCTCTCTTGTTGTTAACATGCGTTGGTGTTCGATTTGAAAATTTATGTCAACATCTTATTCGTCATTATTCATCATTTATATATTTTGCCTACGTGCACCAGTCACATCTAATTGCCCATTCATTCTGCTTATATTGACGGGAGCTACAGGACGCATCTTTATGTCCGATAGATGATAAAGTACTCATGTCATTCATACACAAATGATCTGTATGCGTGACGAAACAGAGAAGAAGAAAGACAGAAAGAAAAGTCACCAAAAGATGTAATGATACGCTTCGTAAAAGCTTCGTCTTTTCTTTCTTTCTTTCTCTCTCTCTTCTTTTTTTCGCTCTCCAATCAATCGTCAAATATCTATCTGTCTGTATGTATAATATTTGAAGACATAAAGCGAGAACGAACTAGTGACAATTGATCCAACAAGAGTATATACAGTGTCATCGAACGATCAATCTTCGAATGGTATATATCATATAAAGTCATATTTAACCGTATGATTATTGACGTTTATTTTCTACATTTCTCTTTCTTCTTCCTCTAATGACATTGATGATAGAACTCACATACATGCAGATATATATATATACATCTATCGATACATGGATACGATAATACTAATGAAAAATCGTCATATATGTATATCTGAGTATTTAGTTCTTTGGCAGCTAGAAAGATGGATGCTGATCGTCGTTGTCATCCAACACTGTAGCTGTTGTTGAAACGAGTGACGTGTGTGCACTGCGCGACAAATCGAGCTCGTTTATCTTCATCAACATTTCTAGCAGGACAGGCAACTAACCTGTCAGTATCTGCAGTCGTTGTCGGATCTCACTCAAACATCATTCTATTACTTTCACAAGCTAATGATGTGCTGGATGCCAGTCTGAATAGATGGAAGAAAGGAAAACTACTAACACACACGCACTACTCGTCATCGAATCAATCCATCAAACAGTCACCTCATTTTCCTCCTCCTCCTCTTCTCCATTTCCATCTTATTTCTTCTTTTTTCATTCGCTCTCAAGCTTGCCTTCTCCCATTCGTACGAGCGACAGTCAAAATGATGACAATAATAATAATCATATTCATGATATAGTTCATGAATGAATATCAGTAGTACCGGAGTCGATTCGCAACCGATTAACATCGACACGTTCGGATGTTGCTATTCGATTTAGCTTTCGATTTTTTCTCGAATTTGTCTAAAACAAATAGCAATTAGTTCGTTCTACACTGCCTAACACATCAACATCACTATTTCCGATGATGACACTTGATTGACATTTCAAGTTAATCAAAGTGACGTGCAAGCCGTCATCCATTGTTTCTTTCTTCTTTTTCTTTTCTTCGACATTTTTCATTTTTTTGTTTTACATTATTATCGTTCGAAATTCATATGTTCAATCATATCTATGCACACAAGAACATCTATCATTATATGACTTTTTAAGATTGATAGACACTTCAACTTTTTTTCTCTCCTGCTCCCTTTCACATCACATTATACATATCTAATATATAGATTTGTCTATTCCTATCAATCAAAAAAAAACCTATACACTCTACTCGGTAAGCATTCCTTTTGTTCTCTCTCTTTCTCGTTCGCTCTTCTTTTCCGACATCAACTCATCCATCACTCATTCACTCACACGAATGATTTCTAAACAGAGAGAATGAGAGAAGGTCCGTTTTTGTAATGTGTTTCTCAATTCTCGTTTTTTCTTCTTCTCGTCTCTCTTTCGCATTCACTCATTCATTTTGATAATTTTTTGTAGAATGACGGATCATAGCAGTGCACCGATCGATTTACGCATTAAACGTAAATGTGATGATATCGATGAAAACCGATCGACAAAGAAAAAGTCTCGCGCATATCTCGATCCCGAGATTCCATTAGACTTATCCACCAAGTCACAATCGCAACAATCGTTACCACAACATTCAGTATTCAATCCATTAAATACAACATCATCAACTGTACCTTTCTACGATCCATCAAATCTTCTCTTCAATTCCTCAACATTGCTCTATGACTTATTCTTAGCTAATCTGAATTCGTATTATCAACAACAACAGCAGCAGCAGCCGCAACATCCGCATCAGAGTCAACGCGCAAAGCTTGATCTTTCAACTTCGACATCGAAATCTATTAAGCAGCAGCCATTAAACTCCACTCGTATGATAAAAGATAATTTAGCAAGTAAACACGAGTCCTATGCTTGTTCATGTGGTGAAAAGTATTCCAATGTTGCTCATCTCGTGAGTCATTTGAAAAGCACCAACCACAGTGCACAGTTATCTTCTACACATGATGAAGTTGCTAAACTTGTTCGTGGACAAGACATTTGGCTTTCACGTGATACGAATCCAGCCAACCAAATATTAAAATGTCTACGCTGCTCATTATCTTTTGAAACTCTACCTGATCTAACAGCGCATATGATGAAAACAAATCATTTCACACAACTTTTACCTTCGTCATCATCGTCTGTCTCTTCTTCTCTATCAACAACAACCTCGGCTACATCGTCTTTTCACCATTCCAATGCGAAACAACAACAACAACATTCGCCAACAAAAACGTTGACATCTCCTTCTTTGACACGGTCGACATGTTTAGTATGCTCTCAGCAATTTATTCGAGAGGTTGATCTTATCGATCATATTCAACATCATCATCAGATACGTTTCAATTGTACAACATGTGGAATGTATTTCGAAAATGAAAATCTCTATAAAGAACATATTTTGAAAGAAATGCATCATCGAAACGGCAAAGCAAATCGAAATCGCGATTATTTTCTTAATCAATGTAAAACATTACAAAAACGAACTCTAAATTTCAAGTAATTTTCGTTCGAATCAATCAAGAATATACTCGGAATCCTCTTATTTTAGATCAGAACAAATCAAGGCTCATTCAGCTGTCGATAAAGATGTGGAATCAGTTCTAATGGATTTACTCGAACGTATTGTCAAAAATGAAGATGACTCTCAAGAAACAACGGCAGGAGTAAACCCGCTTTCACTTTTACAAAGTTTTGTTACAAAACAAACATCGTCGACGGATCGACATTCGGACTTAAATAATAATTATGAAGATGAGAATAGTGATCACTCATCTCATGAAAAGTCGTTTCCATCAACTGTTTATCATCATGAGCAAATTTCAAATAATTTATCGTCGAAATCCAATGAAAGTCCATTAGTTTCACTAGAAAAGATGCTGTCCTATCCAACAACAACGATTCAATCATTATCGTCGACTATAACTGATAATGGAACAGCGTTGAATCCATCGAATAATTCAATCATGACAATTAAAAAGAAAAAATTTGATAAATATCGATTATTTGCTGAAAAAATGCTTCGATCAACTTTGTCATAATAATTCGAGTTCTGTCTCTCCTTTCCTTTCTCTGTTTCATATAAATGTTTTCCTCCTCTTTTTTTCTGCCTTATGAAACAAAACCAATTTTTCTATCAAATCAATCATAGTTCTAATCGACGATGGACACGCGGAGACATCAGCGTCTTTTTGCGCATGAGGTAATTCCAATAAGTATTGCTATAGACATGAACGTTTTGTTCGGATCTGAATGACGACATTCTGTAAGGTTCGTAATCTATTAGCACATGTTGAGTATGATCAGTCCATGATGATGAATGTGCTCTGCATATGAATACTTGCCTTTTATCGAGTATCGTTTTAGTAGGCCGAGTGTTATGTTGATGGATTAATAGAGATTGATTTGCAACGTGTTGGCGGCTATGACGGACAGGTATTGTATAGATCTGTGGATTCAATAAAGTAGTTGACATGGCAGTTTCCACCGTTGTATTCATATTTACATCAAGATTTGTCGTCTTTTTTTGAACGTTTTTCCTGACGATTTTCTCGCGAATAGGATTATAAATTACACCTGTAGCAATTGAGTATGTCCAATTAGGGATGAGTATTTCGTCATGTTGAGATTGAATGCTGAGAATCTCTTTTGGCCTTTCTTTTGTCTTAATCGCTCTGCTATGTTCGAATGAAGAATTAGAGCCATTTATCATTGAATTTGGCTTTAATTGATTGGTGATAGGTGTTGAAGTTTGCTGTTGTACTTTACTGATAGGACAATTCAAACCTTGGCTAAAAAATCGTTGGATTTTGTGCGAAAAGAGTGATCAGAATCAATTACCGCAGATAGATGAATAATAGTTTTTCTCGAATAAATTTCTCTGCATTATTGAACAAATTCAAATAGATGGAGGATGAGTGCGTCTTAGAAGAATTGATTCGATTAGAAATAATTGGCACTGCATCTGCCGGGATATTGGTCTGCAAAAACAGATCATATTTAGAAGAAAAAACTCGTTTGTTTTTCTTTCTGAATACTTTAATAAGTGTTTCGGGTGTGGACATGTATCGATCATAGATATAGATCGCTTTTAACTTTGCTAAACGAAATTCCTTGTTTTGCCAAGTAAAACCAAACGATATAAAAGTATTGAATACTTCGTGGTAACTGTGATAGAAACGTATTCTTTTCGAATAATATCAATGGATACTAGAAATTCAATTCAAACCGATCGACATCGTCGAGAAATAAAATATCTTCTCGAACTCTATTTGTTTGATAATCATTCAATTCCGTAAACGTACAATGATTTATAACATGGATAAAACGCGCCCGAAATGTCGAGATTTTCATTAGTCGAAAGAATCGTACAATACGTTTCGCGACTTGAAACCAAATATCAAGCTGAACATACATAAAATTTCAGTTATAGTTCTTGACCACACAAATGTAATACGAACTTTCATAGTTGTATTACTGCTGGATTCATAGTTTGTTCTCAAAGATAATGAGTCTTTTTCTGAGGAGCCTAGCGTCGTTGACATGAGTTGCAATAAAATCGAATAAAATTAAGCGCAAAAATAGTTGAAAATCGGTATTTGTGCTGCGCCCCTATTCCGAGCAAATTCGATGATGTAGTTCTGACAAAAAAGATCGGAATAAATTCCAATTGATTACGAGCTAGACTGGTGCGATAGCTAACAACTGGCTTCCACAAATAACGAATTCATGTATTCGAGGCAAAATGATCTTATGGCAACTCTCGATGTGTGTTAACAATGAACTTCCGTGTAGCAATCCGTATGAGGATAAAAAGTGAAACAAATTGCACAATAACAGGATACATTTATTGATAAAAAAATTTACTTTTTTCTTCGATAATTTTCCCATGTCTTCGCCAACTTCTTCATCAACATTGTAATTCTAAAGAGTAAAAGTAAATGTTAATTTAGCGCTCAGAATAAGAAATTCTTCGAACAAGAACAGTTCGAGAGTGCGATCCATTAGGGTAACGGCAGCTTCGATGCGATTGAGTCTTATGGGAAAAACGAACTATTCGACGAGAGGTCGTGTCTGATGGACTACAAGTAAATGGGAAAACTTTGATCTCAGTCAGGGTATTATGTTGGAAAATGAAAATGGCTCTATCGAAGGTCGGAAGTGAAAGATGAAACGAAGTACGGATTAGTCCTACGAAGTAAATACGTATACTATCGAATAATTTCACCGTTGCCTAATAATATCTTCTACCTATCAGTAGTGCTATATCTAAGAACTGACTTTTTCACTTATTCCATTATTAAAAAAAACTAACCTCAGATTCGTGATCCTCGATCTCGAAAACCTTTCATCAATCATTTGCTAATGACCATGGTTAAGTTTTCATTCATTTATTGAATGCTGCAATCTAATTGGATTATGCAAACAGGCAAACTTTTTGCATTTCAACGACCAGATTTATGACGCTATAACCCTTTCTTTCAGAAAAGGGAAAAAACAACTGGATATGAAACTGATAAATTTGTGGTATTTTAGAACCGCCAAGACGATTAGTTGCCGTTCTCGGAGGTTCGGCATGCAACTGAAAAAATTTCAAGCAATGTGTGAATATTAAACAAAATGAGAAGACTTTGGTAACTTGATGTAATTATGACATGAAACAATCATTTTCGAGAGTATCTGAAACATGTAAGTCGTTTCTTTGCCCTCTTACGCCTTGCCCACTACACGTTTGTTTAGGGAAACCATTCCGTTATTTGTTAGAGAATGGACCGATTAAAGCCAGTTCCTAATTATTTCCCTTTCTTCGTTCATATCTACATGTAATCAGAGCGAATAAAATCAAACTCTGCAGTGTAACGCTTAATATATTGAAGAGATACTTTTATTAATATATGAGCAGTACATCATTAATTGTTTTCTCTCGTTCCATAGATCATATGAATTATTATGCATTTCATCACATTTACTTTCTTTATTTTTCTTTATCAAGGGCGCACTGTGAATACTCTGTTAATGAATGCAAAAAAAAAATTTACATTTTATAAAAATGGTTGGACGATAATAATTTCTTGTTGGTTTAACTGGAATAAAAGATAAAATAAATTTTATTGATACCGTTCAACTAACATTGCATGCCCCTAAGCAAAGAGATATTTATAGAAAACGAAATCTTTTTCTATGCCGACTTACTTGACCGCCAGCTGCACAAGCAGCAACTAAAGCCAAACGTTTATTTTCTTTGATTAGTCGATTGGCTGCTGTGGTTACAAGTCGAACACCGGTTGCACCAAATGGATGTCCAAGACTTAATGATCCTAAAATCGAAGTGCACCAATCAGATCCGCATGTGCGTTTGTGAACAAAATGTGAGCATACCTCCCCATACATTGAATTTGTCGAGTGGAATTTCTCCAACCTATCAAGATTTCAAGTTACGAAAGAAGGAAACAAGAAGGATTCAATACTTTTGAGGAACGATTAAGATATTTCTGTGCGAAATAGTCCGAATTGAGCGCTTTTAAGTTTGCCAAAATTTGACCAGCAAAAGCTTCATGAAATTCAAATACATCAATATCATTTAATGTTAAGCCAGCTTGTTCAAGTAGTTTAGCAGTTGCATACGTAGGTCTACAATTCAAATTGTCATTATTTTCTTCGGCGTTTCGTAGTCTTACCCAAGTAAAAGCTGATCTTTTGGATCTTGAGATGTGAATATATAACGTCTAAACATGAATGAATCAAACAATGATTTTGCCAATTATTTCTTGTCCTTTTTACCGAAGATAAGCTTTTGGTTTTAAACCAAGTTCTTTAGCTTTTTCAACGGATGTAACTAACGACGCTGAAGCACCATCAGTGATGAACGATGAACTAGCTGCCGTTACTGTTCCATGTGGTTTGATGAAAGCTGGTTTTAGTTTGCTCATTTGTTCTAGAGTTGACACACGAACACCGTTATCACGACTTACAACATCTTCTGCACCTGAAAAGATCAATTGATATCATGGAAATGATTTCGTTTAATGTGAAATATGTTACCTGGAATATGCATTGGTACAATATCGTCCAAGTGTCCTTTTTCTGCAGCCTCTTGGGCTAATTTATGTGAACGTTGAGCATATTCATCTTGTTCGCGACGTGTTACATTAAATGCTGCAGCTAAACGGTCTGCTGATTGGCCCATAATTTCACCTGTGGAGAATTCAGCGATCGCTGGTGCCTATTTGAAGAAAATATTTTCTCTTTCTACAGTTAAATGATCCATGAAGTGCTCTTACCTCTGGTGTAAAGTTTTTCACTGATAACATTTTCGTTATTAATCCAAGACGTTGTGGCGTTGACTTAGCTCGATTCAAACTCAGCATTAATTTTCGCATGGAACGTGGGTAACGAATTGGAACATCAGACATATATTCGACACCGCCAGCAATGACAGCTTCATTTTGACCAGTAGCAATATTATTAGCAGCTAAACATATACAGGTTACTTTTGGATGTTCGCCTTATTCTACACAGTACCTGAAGCTAAAGCGACGTTGGATGATATGCAAGCCATCGTCACTGTGTGTCCAGGAATACTTTCGGGAAATCCAGCACTAAGCAAAGCCTAAAGAAAGATCAACATAGTCTAAGCAAATCTTGTAGACGAAGTCGCATACTTCTCGAGCAACGTTTGATGTTTTGACTTCTTGAATAACTGTACCCATAACACAATACTCCGGTGTTGACTTATCGATTTTTGTTCGTTTAACTAGACCGCTGAAGAGAAGGTTTTATTCAAAAGAAATCCTCTTCAAGAAAACTAACTTACAGAAGAGCATGTCGAGCTAAATGGTAACCCATTAAATCTTTATAGGAAGTAAAACTTGTTAAAAACGGTGTTCGAACACCATCAATAAAGACAACATCTCGACCAAGACCTTTTAAAGATTCTAAAACGAAAACATTTGACTTATGTTTCATTTCTTTTGTTTCTCTATGACTCACTCGTTTTGTTCGATGAACTTGTTCCGCTGGTTGGGCTGCTGGTTCGTTGCTGTTGCTGTTGTTGACCGCTAGGTTGGCTTTGTTTTTGTGCTGAAGACGATGCTAAGGTCGTTGTTTTTGTTGTCGCAAGACGAATAGAGCTTGTATTGCTTTGACGTAAATGGATCAATCCTACAAATTCGATTCCGATTATCTCACTTCAAGCAGATGCTAATCAAATGTACCTTTTTGAAAAGAACAACGAAAAGCCATTGCTATATTTTAATACGCAAGGGAAAAGGTGCAATTGGAACTGTTAGTTAGATTAGACGTGATCTTTTTGTGTAAGTGGTTAAACTATGATATTGGATTGGAATTTGAACTACTCTTTCTATTGATATAAAGTCAATGACCAATAAATGTACATCGAAAGATGTCGTATACTTATGAAGACCGATCTATTTATTATATGTATATACAAGTTCTTTTCTATTCTTATAGTCGTAAAAACGACAAATACATTTTTTTGACATGAATCTTGGCATTGTTATCATTATTCTCAAATACAACTGCTATATTAACAATTGATTAGATCCTTCCGTTTCTTTTTTTTTTGAGTATAGAGAATAGAATAGAACTACTACATGGGGTATTCTCGTCGTTTTTCTTTGTCTATTACATCGACATTGCACATCATGAGTTCAATCTGTACAACATATATAGATTGCATGATTTATTATGTAATAGATCCATTTGCTCTTATTGCATTACAGAGGCTATGCGGGAAAACGGCTGTTTAGCTAAAAAAAATTTCTACATCTAAAAAAGTTATTAATCGTGTAGCAAATCGGAATTGTTCACTGAAGCATGTTTCGAAATAGATTTTCCTTTGAACAATTAAAGATCAATGGACGAATTTGAAATAAGCGAAACATAAATTAAATTCATATACCGTATCAAGTGAAATACCGTCTATTTTCATATGTATGTTTATTAAAATTTGCGGAAAGAAAACATGAAAAATCACGTCCATCTTTTGAACAAAGAGCACGTCTAGGAATTGCATGTCTAATGAGCTTAGCGGCTAAGAAAATAATTATTCGGAGAAAACTTATTTGTTTCTTTTATTGTCAACGTGTATTTTATATTCTCATCGTTAATAGATTAGAACTGCGGCGCGTATACCGAATAGAATAAAACGTCCTTGTATATACATCTGTTTACTGTATTTAGCTCGCTCGTACTGAATGGAACTTTATCGAGCGCTGAGTGTCGGTCAGGAGAAAGAATTTTGTAGTGCATTTGACCAATCGAGTAAGAGAAGAATATTGTTCATCAACGTTCTTCACGTCTTTTTCCTTTCTTCTCCCCTCCCCCGCTCTTCTCCTGACGTATGAGGAGAATGAGGGGGGAAAATCCTGTCGTCGCCCGTCGTTGCCGACGAGACGTGTATATATTTGTGCTAGCTGAACGAGAGTATATATATATTAAAAGAGAAGAGAAAAAGATGGATGGTAGCAGTTAGAGAAGAGAAGTAGAGAGACACAGCGAGAGTAAGGGAGATCGACCGACGCGTGCATAAAGAACATCAACCACATCTCTACAACTCCTTCACCGACAACAAATAATTCAACACAAGTTGCGGTTTGCGTTTAGATATTTAACAGTCTAAGTAATCGAACAGCAAAAACAACTACATTACTAAAACTAACATTCATTCGTTTGCATTTGTTATGTATACGATGAGCAAATCCATTGAATTAGACTATTAAAAGAAACAAACGATGCTTCCACTAGATCAATTCTAATATTCATATTATCCATCATAATCAATTCTTTGTTTGTTACTATTGAACAACACATTATCAAGTACTACGATGATTTGCAATTAAGTCATACGATTGATTTTCTTGTCGAAATTAACTGTACAAAATTCGCAAAAGCAAAATGAACGTAATTGAAAATGCTGAAAAAGAATGTGCCGTATTGGGCTCTTTATTTCAAGACATCATCAATGAAATGAAGGTTAGTATTAATAAATCACAAGTTCTAATTTATGCTCGATAGATAAGAGAAGAAATGAAAATCACGTCTGTGTAATAAGACACACAGAACTACGAAGATCTTCAAATGCCAAGGTCTTCATCAGCATATATGATTGAGCTACTGTATCTTTTTTCTTTTCTAAGCTCTAATGCAAACATATAAATTGATTGTATTTGAAAACTGTATATTAGATTGAAGGAGTCCGATCGTCTTACTCTAACAACAATCTGCCTTTTGTTTCCACAGATGATGACGATATAAAACAAATAAGACAAAATCGAGGAATGTTGTTTACTATTTTTAGAACAGTTCAACATTATGGGAAGATTTAACATGCAAAGCAAACAAAATGCATCTTCAATTGAAGTAAGTTTCTGTCTTCTAATTGTGTGTTATGAACCTTGAAGTAATGCACTGAACTATTAATAGTAGAAAAAAAGAGAAATATATGCATGCACGAAACACTCATCTTGTTCGCCTGATCAAAGTGACAAAAAAAAACATTCACCAGGAGTACTTTTATAATAATAGACAAAGCTCATTCTTGTCTTCAAACTTATAAGAGACGTTAGTTTGCCTTCATTGATAAAAGCAAGAGATAATTGAATGAACCATCGAAGAAAAGTCATGCTCGACGAACGACTTCGATCGGCAAGACGACAGAGAGAGAGAACAGATCGCTTCAGCTGTCATAATATTTCTCTTGAAATAATTAGCAATTGAACTATTACTATTACTGGTAGACATTCATTAAGTGAGACGTAACTTACATACGAAAAAGAGAGAAGAAAGTGTTGCGGTTACTTTATTCTCTATATACCCTTCAGCTTAGGTGACACATTAGATAGATGAACGTGAGGATGTAAAAATAGTGCTTTTGACATTTATGTATTAAGTCTTTCTTATCTTTTTCTATTTTCTCGATACAACCCATAACGTCGAATGTTCATTGTCTAATGTATATTTGATCGTTTTCGTCAAATGTCAGTTACTTTTCTTTTATTTACAAACTTTGTCATGACAAGAATGAGTTCATCGCTCATTATTCGCGTTTCTCACACATATGTGTTCATTCATCATCGAACTCTAATCATTATTATTATCTTTCGCTTTTGTTTAGAACAACTATCACCACATTCAGTTTATTTCTCGATGCATTTCAACGTATTGCAGATTTGGCAACGAACACAAAAGGTGCAACACGAGATATCGGTACTGCATTAACACGTTTAATTCTACGTCATAAGTCAATTGAACAGAAATTGAAGTCATTTACAAGTTCGCTAGTTGATACATTCATTCAGCCGTTAAATGAACGTATCGAGGAATGGAAGAAATCAACAAATACTTTAGATAAAGATCATGCGAAAGGTCTCAAAGGTATTTATTAATTAATTTTCCATCTGTCTCGTTCGCTCTCTCTCTCTCTCATCCTTTGCTTATTGTTTATATAATTCACTTTTTATGTAGATTACAAAAAATTACGTAATGAATTACGAAAGAAAGCACTCGAAACAACGAAATTACAGAAAAAATGTCAAAAATGTAATGTTAATTCGATAGTTTACGTCTAATCGTTCTTTTCGACTTCTTTGTAGTACCAAAACATGATATACTACATAACAAATTGAATTCAACTATTCAAGAGGTCTCCAATTATTATGGAATGTTAGAAGAACGTGAAAAACAAGCGCTGAGAACAGCTATGATTGAAGAACGAAGTCGATTTTGTACATTATTTACATTATTAAAACCTGTTATGGTAAATAAAATCAAACTTGATTGAAAACTATTCAATTAAGATTTCCGATTATCGGATGGAACAAGAAAAAGACAGATTTAGAAAGTCTCCTTCCGAATCCGAGCAATTTCCTTGAGGACGCAGAGGGTTTGTTATTTCCGGCAGGAAGAAAACATTCTTTTTCTTTACAAAAGATTAATTTTCAAGGTTGCTTATCGTTCTTTATCTAGGAATTAGAAATATCGCTTGCATCAGAAATGAGCCACATCGAAGACTTAGTTCAATATTTAGCCAAACATACAGTCGATCCATATTGCCTACCAAATGCAAGCGAACAGGTGATTAAAGACATCAAAGGCATTGATTACAGTACAATCGTTGCATTTAAGGTAGAAGAAGATATTTTTGATTGACGATATCATATAAAATGTTGATTTGTAGACACCACCGTCATCACCAGGATCGTTGAGTTCACGTAAATCCAGTGTATGTTCAATCAATAGTATTAGTAGTTCATCATCGAGTTCAACGAGTCATTCACGAAGTTCGAATCTAAAGCAAGTACAAATGCAACAACAACCACAGTCACAAATACCGATACCGATACAGCATCAATTTTGTCATTCAAACAATACGAATCGATCATTGTCCATGCCTGTAAGAGCTTTTTTAAGAAAAAGAACAAAAATAAGGTATTTTCTCCATTCTCTCTTTGTAGTCAAATGTTGCTGTTAGCCGTCTATCGAGTGTCTCATCTCAAGATTCAGGATTTACGTCTCAAGAACAGTTCTTTGCACGTCCACCCTCACCACTCGAAGAAGCAGAAGTAAACATTTTTCAAAAATACGTCGCTTTTCTCTACTACAATAAATATATATCTCGTTTAGCGTGAAGTTGATGGCAGTTCTAGTCCACTTCTAGTTGTTTGTTCAACATTGAATGCTTGGGCGAAACGCCCCGATCTTCCTCTCAATGGAAAACATTCGGCAACAGTTACCGGTGCACCTGAACCAGTAAAAGCCTGTCGGCCAGCAATCACAGCGCACACGTTCGATCCACCATCGCCAAGTCTATTCGAAAAACCCGCTTGGCAAATCTATGAAGAGCCAAGCTATCGATCCATGACAGTTTGTATTCTTCATTGTTAGTGATTACGAAAGCACGTAATGATAATCATTTGAAATAGATTTCGGAGGATGGACCGTATGGAACAATATCTCGTCAACACTCGATCCCGTCGCGCCGTTGCCGTATACGTGATCTGAGCTTGGAAAGACATTCACCTATGCGTGAACAACATTACCAATCGACTATGAGTAATAATCTTGTCAATGGACGCGTTAAACCTACTCAACCACCAGTAGCACCTGCAGATTATTATGGTACAATGACTAATCGATTAAGCACTGGTAGGTTTCTACTTTTACTACTATTGATTGAAATTTAATTCTATTCAAAGATGAGCCTAATCAACGTCTGCGAAGTTCTACACTACCTTCAGAAGTCATTGTAAGTACTAGGCTCACCTATTCACTGTATGAAATCAATGATGCTGTTTCTTGAAGGCATCCGATGCACGAAACATTGTATGGCGTGATCGGATACGTCAGAGCGGTAGTGTTTCTTCATCTCAGTATGGAAGCTATTATGGTAGACCGTCATATGAATCTGCAGATGAAACTTTAGATGAGAGTGAGTTGTTTATTACTTATAAAGAGATCGTTTCTCGTAACATTATTCTTTTTATTAACGTTTAGTGTATGAATATTTAACCAAAAGTATGTTCTACTTGTTCTGTCGCAAAGAAAATGATCTTCACATACGATTTATTACGAATTTTTAGGTAGTCATACGCCGATTCACCAACAAAAGAATGAAACACTTCGTCGAGGAATGTCTATCGCTCCGAATCCAAGTGAAAAGCCAGCACCACCCATACGTCGCACACCATCGATGAATACAAATTGCCAACAACAGGTTAATAATGGTTATATTGAGCTACAATCACGATTAAAAGCGCGATTGAAACGTGCTGAAGAGATAGCTGGTCAAGCTGACTTAGTAAATTCACAACAACAACAACAACAACATAAGATGATGACAGTTACCAAAGTAGTGACAAACAGAACAATTGATTCACGACCGAATCCTCCCGATGAAGAATTTCCTCCTCCACCTCCTGATTTTCTTGTCAACAACGATTCTAAACCACCGGCACCTCCTCCGCCTCCTTGTGCATCAACAATAACAAAACCGGCACCAATAGATGCTCATTCATGTCTGCTTGCCGAGATCCAACGCGGCTTAACACTACGTAAAACGATGACTGATAGAGATCGATCCGCTCCACGCATCAAATAATTTTTCTTCTCAGGCACAAATTTCTTTCGACACTTTGTTCTATACTCACACGTGCAGATAGTCTTGTCCGTTTCATAAATCCTCAGTTATCGGCAAACAATGAAAATAAGCCTCAATGAATTCTGTTGTAAATATTTATAGATTTTCATAAATTAATACTATTACTCATGTAAGAAAACTTTTCTGGATTTTTTTGTGCAGTTATTACTGTTGTTATCAATGTTTAATTGTTGTGGATGTCAATTTTGTTTTTCCTTTTCGTTTTTCTTTCTCTGAAGACAAACACGATATTCGTCACGAACTTGCTGTCGTTTCCAGACGTCGATTGCTCGAACCAAACAGACAAGTTTATATTTCCGGCGTCTGACTACGTAGTTGCGTTTTTTTTACGTGAAAAAAAAACAAGTAAATAGTCATTCCGGATATTATCAACGTTGACTGCACAAGGTCTCTCAATCAATATTCATATTTTACTCATAAGAAGGAACAAAAATTTATTATTGACACTTCTGTCAAGTAGGACGAGTGGAAGTGAAAAATGTAGCTTGAGACAAAAGAGAAAAACCGAAGATTAGTATTGATCTAACTATCGTTTTAAATGAAATGCTCGACTTCTTGTTTATTTATTGTCCACATGCACTACAAAACATCGACAAAATAGTAAGTTAGATACGTATAAAGAATAGATTTAAAAAAAACGAACGATTGGATTAAAAGAGAAATGAAACTGAGCATTTCATCTGACAACATAAATAAAACGAATTCAAGAAACTAGATTTCGCTAAAATCACTGTTTCGGTCAATATTAGACGACTGGATTCTGTGTCGGAACCGTAGCCGAGTCCATTTCCATCAACTCTTTGTTGGCGTCAACATCATAATTAATCTTTTCATCATGGGCATCATCACGCGCCCATGCTTCCGTTTCACCACGCGCTAAGATGGAAAATGCGATGGCAGAAATAAGAAACGAGGCCGCATAGAGCATAAATGCAAATTTCCATTCAGCTGCTGTTTTCTACAAAGGAAAGAAATGAGAAAATGCTAAAGATGAACCTTATAGAATACAAACATGTTTTGTAATAATACTGGTTATATAAGGGCCGCAGAAGCCGCTGATACTCGCTAAAGAAAACGATTGTTATGCTTTAAGATTTTTGAAAGAAATGAATTTCTTACAGACTGTATTGCAAATACCAAAGACAACACCTGAGTGAACACCACTGAAATCACTGACATTAACAACATATCCTCCTGACATCATAAAACCACTAAAATAGACAAAGAAATGCAAAGTGCGACACTGTATCACACATTCTTACTTCAAAGCGACGCCTATAACTAATAAGAAAACTGCTAAATATCGTCTTTCACAATCAAGGAATGAGATTAACAGAAGGCATATAGCTGGTGAGAGAGTTCCAATGCCATGGCATAATTTTCGTGTATTAACACGTGATAGAAACTTTCTCTGTATGATAAAGTCAGCTAGACCACCTGTTAATAGTACAACAATAAAACTAGCCACATGTGGTAATGCGGATAGAAAGCCATTTTCTTCTATGCTAAATAGTAAAACTTCGTTCATATATTCTGGCACAACTGCCCAAATAGCTAATTAAGAGGAAAGAAAGCATTTATTATTACGGTTGATGAAATCTATGAATGTACACATACCGTAAAGACCAAAGTCACAAGAAATCATTGCTATTAATATACACCAAAAGCCTTGGGACTTGAGCATGGGTCCCCATGGAGTTTTCTAGAGACAAGCAAATGCAAGATGTGAAATGAACAATTTCCATTGCTTTACTGTTCGTGAGTCTTGGATTTTTTCGGCAGCTTTACAAGCTCGAATATATTCTTTTTCGTTGTCAGATATGTGCTGATTATTCGAAGGTGTATCACTAGCAAAAATAAGCCATATGACAGACCAGATAATACCTAGGCCACCTGAATGATTCAACAAATCGGTTGTAAATATTTTATGAAATTTAATAATTCTTCTCGCTGCCTTACCAAGAATATAAAAGAAAAATGACCAACCATATCGGAATATAAATGGTATTGCATCATTGAGTGAAAACGTGCAAAAAAGACCACCAATTACCAATGAAACGATAGTACCCATTGCTGGTCCTAGGGAGACAAATTTCATTTCTTACAAAATACTAAGCGATTCACATAAACAGTCCATACCTGAAGATGCAAATGACAAGAGAGTTGTTCGTTCGGAAGCGGGGGCCCATGATACCCAGAAGCGGAATATTGTTGGCCACAGACCACCCTTTTTTTTACAAACAAGAGAACCAAGACTCATTTATACGGTATTGAAATATAAAAGTTTACAAGATCAAATCATTAATGTTTCAACTGTGATTACTCAAGAGAGCGTCTACTTGAAACAAAAATAGAATTGTGTAAGCGATCTCCTGAGAAAATAGATTCTATGCGCCGATTATAAAAGTAACTATACCTGTGCTGCACCAGCAACAACACGTAATAAGATGACAATCGATGGATGAAATTTTGAGAAAATTGGCAAAAGCATTGTAGCCATTGACGAAAAAAAGATGAGTAATGCAAGAAAACGCTTTGGTCCAAATATGTTCACAGCCACTGATGATGCCACTTGTGTCAATGCATAGCCCCAATAAAACGAACCGAGGATAACACCACGTGTTTGTTTTGGCCATAAAAGTACTTGACTTGTCTACAAGACATGTCAATCGCATGAAAATAGCGCAAAATATCATCCAGTCAGTTAACCTTACCGATCGAGTTTTCTGTACTGTGTGCTGATGACATGCCGCTGGAATATTTCGATGATTAGTGGAGATTTCACTGCTTTGTGCTAAAGTTACGTTATCGGCATCGGGATTAACCATACAAACGATGCCAACTCTGGAGAAAGATATGAGAGATAATTGATGGTTTTAAAGATCGAGTAAATTCATACGCAAGTCCGTTTCGTTGAGCATAACAAATGAAAAAGCCGAGAAATGCCAAACAAGCGAGAAGAAGACGTACTGAACATACCAATGGTGCTGTTATCGAAATAAAATTTCTTAGAATCCTTTTCAAACTCCATCAGAATGCTCCTACCTTTCTTCGGTTCGTCGCCTTCACCAACTACATAAACGTCTTTACTCTTTGCCATGATGAAACTCAATCTACGAAATAAAATAAAATTTTGTCTTCAACATATACTTCTAAATATAAAATGATATTTTTATTCAATAAAATGATGCAATACTACAGCAAATGTACAGGATTGTATTTATACGTCATGCTCCCATTTAATGTTCTTCAGGCGATTTACGCGTGAAACACACTGGTTTTTATATAAATTGAAAAAAGCCATAGACATAACACACCATAAAAAGAGAACTAACAGAAAAAGGAAGGTTTCACTTCAATGACAAACTCGACCATCGTTTTATGCTGCGTCACATTAGAGTTAAACGATGTAAAACTAAAACAAGGCCATTTTCTTTTAGAACGACTCATATATCTGTTGACATCGCGCTCTCGCATTCAAATGGTGAAAAACGAGAGTTTGCCTTTTTATGATTTCCGACAGAAAAATATGAGGAAAATTACTTATGCGTGACATGTAATGAAAAACAAGAGGCGTTTGATTATCATGATGATTATACAAAAGAAAGAAAAAGGCGATGTCCGTTTTCACTTATTGGATAGATTTCTTTTGTGTTTTTACTGATAAAATAGGACTGGTTTTCTTACCACTGATTATCTTTGTCGTTTGTGCGTTCAAAAGGAAAGAGCTCTTTTCCTATTCTTGAATGAATGATTAATAGGCAAGTCAGTCAAAGATTAAGAATAATGATAATGATAAGAAATGAACGAGGGAAAAGAATGATGAAACGAACGTTGCTCTTTTCTTCAACATCAATCGGACGAGACCATAAATATTTACACGCATATATTTACGAAATCAAATGCTTTGCAATGCAGTCATGCGAGCGTATCCATTAAGAAATTGCAAATAATCAGTTGATGACCTTCGTAAGATCTAAATTCTATTCTAATGTTAAACAGAAAATGAATTTTTTACTCTTGTACAAAAGAAAAACGAAGTACTGATATTTTTAATGATAAATTTCTTTCCCATGTCAGTGTTTTAGACAAGGATCTATTGACAAAACGAAAACAATACGAAAGGTGTCATCTTACTTGGCCAGGGATTATTCGCAAACAATCCCCATATGTATTATGATCAAAAGACTATGTGATACAATGAAACAGGTGCATAACACAATGACTGATTACCGATAATGACATGCTATTCAACGAAACGTATCATCTTGAACGAACGCAATTTATCTTACTCGAAAATATGATTACGCATTGGATATTAAAATTAGCTAGCAAACAGAAAACAATGCCCCATGTTCTTTTGGAAATCACGCAGTATCATAATATTTCGATTATTATTGGGGAGATATGACACTACAACGGACAGATCGTTTGGAACGGATGACCTCATATACAAAGAATAAATTAAGGGTTGATAACATTATCATGGAAGCAGATGAATTCGTCGTCTTCATATCTCCCGTAGCTTTCCTCTCTATCTATCTAGTTACTCCACACTTTCGAATTTTCCACCAATCATTAGCTAAGACGATAGAGGAGGATGAAAAGCAGAATTGTGAAACATACTGTATACGAGCCAGACATCATGTAAAAGATTCTGATAGTAACCAGAAGAATGAATATATGGAACGAGTGCTTTGGGGCACAAAATAACTTTCAACATGGGCCGTGTATACAGAGATATATATATATTCTTTATTTTGAGTCTTATGTACGTACAAATACCACGCACAATTTAAAAAATAAGAGCACATGAAGAAACACACATACATTATACGCAAAAATAAACTCGTAGAAATCAAATGAGAGAGAAAGAAGAGTCTCATTCCGATAAAGGTTCGATTTTATCGGTTGTTCTATCAATCAAGAATTCACAATCGTTTTCAGGTTTGATGGATAGAAATGGTATTTCTTCTGATATTGTTCCTGGATCCAGAAGTTCTTCTTTGACGTTCTTGCTGACAGATTCCAGATTTTCAATTGGTTTAAGATCTTCTTTTTTAACAAATATTGTCTCAACAAGATTCACAAATGACATTGATGATGTGTACGTTGGTTTTGTTGATTCCTCTGGCAATGACGAAGAGTCTCTGTCGAATGTATCTTCACTTTCAGATTTGATATTCACAATAGCCATGGCATTATCGACCAGTTGAGAATCCGACGATTGATTACTAGTTTCGTCGATTAACGATTCTGGTAATGTCAAAGAGTCCATAGTCGATGGTTTCTCATGAAGATCCTACCAAAAACAAAGCCACAGAGATCGAAATGAAAGCTCCTGACAAATCGTTGACTCACATGAGATTGTAAATCTTGATAGCAGATGGAATGATAAGTTTTATCATCGACTCTTATCGCATCTTTCAGACACCATTCTTCCAGATTATCATCAAAGTAATTGTCAAATGGATCATGGCATACGTAACACCGCTAGAAATCAATGTGATTTATTTTCGAATGAGAAAAACATGTGCTGAACCAACTTACATCATCGTCCATATCACCATTGGTTTTTGCTGTGCAAATGACCGCTTCGATCAATAGAGCCGATTTTTCGCCAAACTCTTTTTTATTTCGATTCTTCGATGACATCTGATGATTTTTTCGTATTTGTTCGTCCAGATTTTCCTCATGTACTGTCCATTCTTGTAAAGATGGATACCAATCTCTACAGATTTCTAATACTGCTTGAGAATCTGTTGCTTGCCGATTTTGAAAGAAGTGCCAATCGAGATGATGATTATAAAGATGTTTTTGTTTGGAAGAAAAACGAAGACCGCAAAGAGCACATTGATATTTGCCAATGTACAATTGCTGAATTACACCCAAGTATTTTCTACGATTGGAGAAAAGAGTCAAATGATTGAGATATTCTGGCTTTTTTCGACATACTTTTTCAATGTATTGATGTTTGCATCGATCAGTGATGGTACAGGTGCGATGTTTTCTTCATCGAAATTTCGTGATCGAGTGTTATGAGTAGAAGATCGATCGTAACGTGCTCGTTTTGAATCATCATTAAGATCATCACTCGACGGTTCGTCGTGTGGACGTTTTGTGGATGGGCTAAGTCGTTCGGATGTTGTCGACGAGGGAAATGTATTTGGAAGAAGAGGAAACGGAGGTGGAGCTGGTGGTAAGGGTGGAATATATGATAATATATTATAAGGTGCAGCTAATGATGACGACGCGCTAACTGCAGCTAGAATTTGCATTGCATGACGTTGAGTATCGTTCGCGAAGCCAGAGAATGGAAATGTTGACAATGCTGGCGTTGCTGTAGCTGTGGTGGCCGTCGAAGGAAATTGAAGAGATGTTTGTGGAAATATACTGTTAGATGCTACCGTTGTCGGCACTTGATTATTGTTATTAATCACAGATGGAGTTGTACTAGACGAAAGCTTTATTTGATTGAATGGTAAGAAGAAATACTTACGTCGATGGTGCAGTCAGTCGTTGAACTTCGCTTTGAAGGAAAGTTTGAAGCACTTTCAGTGTTGCTTGATATTCCTCGGAAGAGAGTTCTTTCGATTTGAATTTTTGTTCAGCCAACAGAAAGCACTCCGAATTCAATTCAAATAAACGATCAATATCAGCATTGCTCGTTGCTTTCTGTTGTGCCGTTAAATCCGTATCGCGATAATCGATATCCGAACCACCAAACAGCATTTCACTAAATATTCAAATGCTTGTCTCAACAAATACACTTCGAAGAAATCCTACTCATCAACTTGAGCATCCTTTGTATTGATATCATCCGCAGTAGATTTCGTTTTATCTGCTGTTGAACTTTCCTTACTATTGTTTGTTACACTATTTCCTTCTTTTTTCGTTTTTGATTGCTGTTCACCATTTGTATCTTTGGGCAAGATTGAATCGACCTCCTTTCGATCAATTGGTATCATATGATAGCTGTCGTCTCTGGATGTCGATTCTGAACTTTTACCAACTGTTTGATTTCCAGTACGTGCATGATCATCTGACCTTGCAGGTAATTTCGGTTGATTAGCAGCTGCTGTTGGACTCTGAAAGAAAATCGTTTGAATACAAAAGTTTGAACCGATTTTTTGTTCGAATCGATTTACTCGTTGAATAAAATCTGGATTGATATGAATGGTAGGTGTGGACGGAGTTGCGTCGGGTACTCGAGCTGTAATTGGCCATGCCGGATCGATGTAATGTGTTCTCGTATCGAGGTTATGCAAGACCGCATTTGAAAAGTATGGTGGCCATGTTTGACGAAGTTTAAACATCGACAACCGTACGCGTTCATCAACCTAAACAACGCGATAGAATATATTCCATCTTCGATTTGGGACTTCAAACCTTATTGAAAGCACTGGCGAATACAACAGGTAGTTTATGTTCAAATAATGCTATATACGCTTTTGAACGTAGGTTTTTTACTATTGAATCAAGTACGTAGAGTACGGGGAGAATACAATCACCTTTCGCCTAGAAGAACGTGAAAATCTGAGATTTGACGAGATGGATATTGTCGGTACATACTTCAAGTATACGATCCTCTATAGCGCGTACGATTTGAGGTGCATTTTGTATTTTTTCCTCGGCAAGTATGGTTAAAAAATTGATTATTGGCTTACTATTCATTTTCAAATCATCTAATGCATTTTTGAAATCTTGATAATCATCTTTGACAGCCATTAGATTGAATTTTCTGTATAATGTATTGATGAATGTAGGGGAATGACTAAAACAGAGAAATTAAATCATGGATGATCACAGTCAAATGAATTTACCTCAATCGATATGAAAATACGAGTCAAAATTAGGCCAATATACAACTATTCCCCTTTGAAAGACAGATAAATTGACAAGTCAAAATAGAAGAGAAAATCTTATCTTGAAGAAGAAACGAAAACGAAAATATACAATTAGTTCGCACACAAACGATTTCATTTCAATCAAAAATGTTTACGAATTAATGATTCAACCCGTTCATTTCATATTATCTGACTCAGAGAGAGAAATTGACAGTTTGCTGAATCTGTCTCGCCGGTACATATACAACAGCTCTTCACATTTAGATAGAAACATTTATTTGATTGAAAAATGTAAAATCTTTGTATAAAAACTTCAGAACAGTTAGTAGAACATTTCGTTGTTGTGAGAAGATAGAAAACCTATACTAAAATAAACCAAAAGGCACCAAATCCCATACTGAAGTTTCAAACCTAAAACGAAACGAACTTACTACAATTGCTTCACGAAATCTCCCATAACGAGTATCAATCTGAATGAAGAAAAGGAAAACAGAAATGTGACAAAAGCTTAACTTACCGAAGTACATTCTCCTTATGGATTTCTTGTCATTCAGTAGACAACTTTCTGAAATAAACAATCTTACCCTGAAGATTATTTTCTCGAGTTAGAATAGAAAGAGAGAAACGAGTGATACTCTCGATGCTTAGAATACAAGAACCATATGTGAAGCTTTACTCCTTTGTTTTTTCTTAAAAAAAAGAACAATACAATAAAAGAATATATATATAACATCATCAGAACAGAATGAAAACCGATTGGAGAAAAAAAAACAAAATAGCACATTTATCAATTTTTCTGATTTCACTGTACACAAAGATGCATTACCTTCCTTAATGGACAAGCCTTGCTCGCAATGTATCGATATCTTTTCTTAATTGTTCGTTTTCATCCAATAATTGCTCGTAATGATCGTGTTTCGCTTGTTTTTGTTTTAATTCACGAATATCCTTTTCAATTGCTAAAATTCGCTCCACAATTGTCAGATGCTCCTGATAAAGATTCATTGACTGTTCATTCGTTACACGCGGTTCACTTGGAAGATATCTTTCCGAAAGATTATACTCGTTTATCCATTGATTATGAAGTTCACTTATAGTTTCTTCTGAATATTCTTCTTTCTTTTTCGGTAGTGTATTCAGTATCAACCAAAGGATCTTCTTTATAAGTAATAATGTTGGACGTTCATTCGGATCCGAATGCCATGCGCGATACAACAGAGCGATGAACAATTCGGGACAATGATTTAGTTTCGGTGGGCGAAGTTTCTCTTGAACAATGGATATGAGAAACGCTATGTGGAAAAAGTTGCAAATATTTTTGGACGAAAGAATATGTGATTGATCGAAACATACCTTTGCCTTGGTTGCCATATGGTAATAATTGTTTGGATAACAATTGCCAGAAAACAATTGCCCACGAATAAGTATCACATTGCTCAGCATATTGATTATAAGCAAATACTTCAGGTGCCATCGTTACTAAATAGAGATTCCTGTTTATTATTTATCTTTCATTCGATTGGCATTCTCGACAATGTACTCGTGGCTTTCGTTATTTGACTTCCACTATAGCGGAGATAAGATACGAATCAAAAATCAGATGGGAACCTATGTACAATACCGATGGAAAGGGATTTCCAGAAAACAAATATTCCAAAGTAAAGTATGTGATGTAACTATTTGCTATCTCTTTCACTGTCGAATCAGAGTATCTCGAGAGTAGACATATACATACTTGGTGTTCCAACATTATCTGTCATCCAACTTTTTCCCAGTTGGGTAGCGGTACCATAGTCTGTAAGGACAAGTGTTTGATAGTTATCTTTCAAGAGAATATTTTGCATTTTAACATCGCGATGAACTAGAAAGTATTCAAATTTGGTTTATAAAATAATTTGCAGAGAACGATTCGACTTACTAATCTTTTTTGAATGCAAGAAGCTCAATGCATCTGCTAGTTGGTAGCCCCAATTCAGCGCATCAACTAACGTGTAATTAGAATGTTTTTCGCGAACAAAAACATCCAATGATCCATTGCTGCAATAATCAATCACAATGCCAAATGTTCGTAGATTAATGAAATTCAAATGTTGAATATTTCGATGATATTCCGCTATGTCCGTTAGTTTAATTCCTTCATCGAGAATACTATTTCGTTGTTCACGGGTTGTCTGTCGTGCTCGTTTATGTGCATATAATTTCTTCTGATACCGTATCAATTCGACGATGCCGAACACTCCATAACCTAACGAACGAAGTGATTCAACTTCAGTTGTTGCTGGTATGAATGGAATCTGCCGTTCGACTAATAATTTGCGCAATTTTTCTCGAAGAGCAACACCACTTTCTATTGAAAAACAAATGGCGAAATTTTCATATGATTAGTTGAATCAAGTGAGCATATCACGAACCTTTCTGCGCTTTTTGTAGTACCTCACTGATAATCTGTTCTTTGTTTGCGACTTCCATCAAATCGAATTCTCAAAAAAGTAAAGCGGGATATTTTTCAATGTTCTTCGTGATGGGAAAAAGACAAATAAAATAAGTAAGCAAACGCAAACATATGTTTTTCGACAGAATAACCAATAGAGGGATTCTTTACTGATGTGAGTCATTTATTTATTTTTAATCAGAATAGATGGCGCGCGCTATCAGAGGCGGAGTTCGATGATGAAAGTACATATGACTTTCATTCGAATGGGTTTGTTTCTCTAAAAAAAGGATAGAAGTTCTTTAGATAATCATCCAATATATATATATGATGTTACTAGATTGTTTTTTATTATAAGATTTAAATACTAAAGGATTGTTCATAGACTGGTTCACTGTTCTACAAAGATAAAACTAAAACAACAATATCAAATATCAGTATTTCCACATCAACTTTCACTTTGGGTTGTGAAAATTCTCGTTTTCGATTAATATTTGATCAGATTTTGTTGTTCTCTCTTTCTGATGTTGATTCGATTGTTGTTGCACATCAGAGAGATTCTGTTCTGTATCTGTCATATCATCTGTTTTCTGCGAACAACTTTGATTCACAACGTTTTCAGTATTCAAACTTGATTCAGTCGCTGAAGGTCTTTCCAGCTCCATCCAAATGTTTTCACATTGTTCGACATTTGTGGGAGTTATATTTTCTGCGTATGTTGCTTCAGCTTTCGATAAAATGGTGCTTGTGAGAAGAAGAACTCGTTTTACGAACGATAACGTTGGACGTTCATTGGGATCCGAATGCCAGCAACGATACATTAGTGCCTCGAGTAAAGTTGGACAATTGCGTAGTTTAGGTGGACGGAAATTTGTAGTGCTTATCTTTATCAATAAATCTTCAATAGATAGAAAATGTTTAGTTTGAACGTTACAGAAAAAGAATAAACATACTAAATGCAGGTAGTTTCAAATCTTCGTACGGGTTACATTGCTTCGATAGAAGTTGCGAAAAAACAATAGCCCATGAGTAGATATCACATTTTTCTGTATATTTCGTAACACTGAATACTTCTGGTGCCATCGTAACTAAATACAACAAGAATATTTTCGATGATTTCGTCATAATTGCTCGATTCAGAGCACATCATGACATACTTGGCGTTCCCACTTCATTTGTCAACAAACTTCTCCCTAGTTCGCTTGCTGATCCATAATCAGTGAGCACAATTGTTTTGTAGTTGTCTTTCAAAAGAATATTTTGCAATTTTACATCTCGATGCACTATACATCAAACAAATCGATACATTTCAATTGTTTGACAAACCCTGATCTTACTTATGTTTTTTGAGTGTATAAAAGTCAATGCATCTGCCAACTGATAACTCCACTTCAGTACATCGATAAATGTATAGCTAGTATCATCATCGATTACATAAATGTCAAGTGAACCACATTCACAATAATCCATGAGAAAACCGAATTTACTCAAATTGATGAAATATAATCGTTGAACATTGGGATGATGTTCTTTGATATCAGTTAGTCTGATTGCTTCTCCAAGAATGTTATCTTTGTGTTTGGGCGAATTGTAAACCGGAAGTTTATGAGCATACTGCTTTTTTTTATATGTAACGAGTTCAACTTTACCAAACGTACCTCTGCCAATAATTTCGCTTATTTTTAAGTGATCATTGGATATAAAATATGGAATTTGCCGTTCGATCAATAGTTTTGCCAATTTGTCTCGAGTATCATTGTATCTTCCTAAAAGAAAATGGTCATTTCAGGTTAGCATTGATGTGATTTATACGAACCGTCCTGAAGTATCGCATGGATAGCTGCCTCTCCCATAGAATTACTCATAATGTGTCGACCTTTCAAAATAGAAATAGGAACGGGAAAAACTCGAAAATTTCCCACCAATGGCACAAACTACGGTTGTGATAGATGTCGTACTGACTCCACCCTCGTCCCGTATTGTCAAAAGCACTTCGGATTTCCATTAATCTTGATCGATTGTGTCAAACAAATCAAAACGGAATCGATCTACGATGAACAGCTCAAATCAAAATGAAACCAAGCATAGTGTCACGTCTGTCATCAATATACTCAGTCATTTACAAACGAAAATCTGAAAGAAGGTTGCTCGTATAACAAATTCAATTCATATTCATAGTACATACAAAAGTTTTTCAATCATCCTCCGAAAAAAAGAGATCGTAAATAACAACAAGAAGGAGAAAAAAGTGAAAGACAAGTTATAATGATGATTTTTCACCGAACATTGAATCACTTTTACATTCTAAATTAAAAGGTGGGATTCGAACTTCGATAAACGTACCATCATCTCTTTCCATTTTGAAAGTTCTATCCAATGCGAAGAAAAACGAAATTTGACATGGTTTTTTTTGTTGATATTCAACTTCAACCTACCCCCACATATGGCCACTCCTCGCTGATAGAGAAACATGTGATGAATATTGAAATGCAGGATATTCTCTTGACAATCTCGGTTCTTCTCCAACGACACCTTTACCACGTACGGTTTCCAATGTTCCTGATAAACTGAATATTCGCCAATGACGTTCACGTAGTGTAACAACTTCATCTGGATTTAAATTTTCAATTCGAATGGAATATCGCCACCAATGCACTTTACTCCCTTGCACTGTACGAGCACCGCTGAAATTAATTTAAAAAAAAACAATATGGAGAGATGTATATATACAGTGGAAATGTTTAGAATGGACTGTACATGTAGAATGGAATGACAGTAACTCGAATTTGATGCGTGACGTCCTTGGATACATCAGATAGTTCTAACCAATGATGATGTCGTTCTTGCCATGACTTCAAATGTTCTCGAGGAAGAAAATTTGGAGCTAAATCAGATGCGTACTCATAATTGAATAAATATTCAGCTAATTCAATCAATCTTACTGGCTTCTGAGTCATAAATAAGAAACTTATGAAATAATTCGTGTTCAATTGGTGTTCGTTCTGTACTCTAAACAATAATGATCATCAAAGATCCTTCAAATCCGGATACAAAGCAGATTCTTTTACTGTATAAGGAATCAGATCCTCATGTGCCACATAATCGAGACCCTGGATAGCATAGAGATTTCGATCTTGCTCCTGATTACCTAAAAATGTCACAGCTTCTAAATGAAATTAATCATCAACTTCTCCGAATAGAATTTTCTGAGAAAATCCACCTGTTTGAGCTCGTATGAATGGCATATCACGCGAGTCGATTAAAACTTGATAATACATCGTTGGTTGAGTCCGTATTTCATGAACATCCAATTGTGATGATGGTACTTTGGATCGACCATCGTAACGATCGAAAACTCTGGCCAACCAAGAGAACAGAATTATTCCTCGGTACCCAAATACCCGATGCAGAAATAACTAGAGCATGAATAAGAAAACTAGAATCATTGTGACTAGATAAACACGCACGAGTTGATCTTTTCATTTGGCAATTTACGGTTGATTTATTTTGATAAAATCCTTCATTCATCTTGGCGATTGTTGACTGCTGTCGTTCAGTGAAAACAGTCAAAGGAGAAAGGGAAGATTTTCTGTTCATCATCATCATCATTATTACTAATAGAAAGCTATTTTGGACGGATCTCGCTTTATTTTGATGCAATTCATTTCTTTCGTATAAATAAATACATTTATTTATATACGCCGATGGGGAATTGCCGTTAATCGCCTTTAGAAAATTACAATCGAATTAGCGTCATACGTTTTGTTTTGCTTCTTTGCGTAGAGAATTTCGAAAGACGTCATGAGCATTCAGTGAACGAGCATAACGAGCAGTGAATAGGCTCAAATCGATAATTGCTTGGCGAATAAATGTATGCGTATGTGCGTTGAATACGATTGAAGACAAAAAGACGGAGAGAGAATTATTCGATTTGTCAGAATGTATGTAGCATAGAAAACCAGAACCGGTAGTAATGGCGGTGGAAAAAAAAAGAAGAAGGAAAACACCATCAGCAGGGCTTGTCAACAGGAAGTCTCCGTTTTTCATTCTTCATCCCTCGTTCGCTACTTATTCTCCGTTCGCTTGAGCGCGGAACACGACTTCATCTCTATTCTTCACATAGATTGTTCATCTGTTCAGCATTCAACTAACCTAAAGCAGCAGTTCTATGCCCTCCCTTTGTTTCTCCTGAACTCTTTCCTATCTAGACAGATAAAATTCAACCGTTCAACTGTGCGGCAACTACGTTACATATTAGTAGAAATGGAATTGTCAACTGACATCATCGATTACGCTTGAAAATCACACCGGAAGAGGTAAGATGTCATCTTCGGTAGTTTCTTAACAACTTCTATCTCGTTCATCTAACATAAAACCATATGATTACAAATTCGTTAGAGAATCAAAGAATCCCACGTTTTTCTTCTTCTCGTCAATGATGATATCGTCAGACGAGATGCTTATTTCCCTTGTATATTTATTTGCCTTAGTTCTTTCGCTTGCCAATAATGATCGTCATCATATTGACTTCACGCTTCATCTGTTGCTATTCACTGTTTAGTAATGCATTTCTCCATGGGATTTGCGTTGCCGAGCGCGGACTGATACAAAAATAACAATGAACGTTTTCTTTCGTTTCTCTTGTCGATCATTTCGTACTGAAAAGAGACATACACAGAAAAGCCCTCATATCATTTCAAGAGACAGTAAGAGAAAGAGAGAGAGATAGAAAAACGCAATCCACAGTTATTTGTCATTTCCATATAGAATAATGTGAATCTATCTCATTGACGTTCTTAACGCTTATTTCTTCTTCTTTTCTTTTTGTATATGAAAGAGAAATAGGCAAGAATTAATGACATGACATTTGACGTCGAAAAAAAAACACTAGAAAAGAATATTTTTGACAAACGATTGTCCGTATGTTTTTCATGATTGATGTATGTATACACATCCAGGATTGTTGTCAACAGGTAACATAGAACGAAAAGAAAAAAAAACACAGCATCTAATAGAAATCTGAAGAAACGAACGAACAAGCATAGCATTACCCATTGGCAACTCACGTGCTTTCTGTTCCCTCCTCTCTTCATAATGTATCGAAGTTTATTTTGTAGGTATATTAAATGACTCTTGATGTTAAAAATTTAGTTTTAGATTGCGCAGAAGAATAATAAATCAGATATGACCCGTCCAATATCATTAACAACGAAAGATCAACAAAATCTCAGTAGTAGCAATCAACAGTGCACATTTAAGGTAAGATTTCTGGTAGAAAAGACGATCAGATCGAACGAATCATCGTGTATATGTTGTTTTTTTTTCTCTTAGATAATGTTACTTGGCGATAGTGGCGTTGGTAAAACATGTTTATTAGTGCGTTTTAAAGATGACACATTTCTCTCGGGGAGCTTCATCGCTACGGTTGGCATCGATTTCCGAAATAAAAACATTGTGATTAATGATAAATATGTGAAACTTCAAATCTATGATACCGTATGTATTACGCATGTGAAAAAACAAACAAATAGAGAAGAAAAAGATTCTCGTTTGGTGATTATTTGTTCGATTTGTCTAGTTGAGCAAGTGAAAGGAAAATCTAATCAGATCTTTCCTATGAATATTTATTCATCTTGAGTTAAATTAAGAACGGAAATGGGAAAATGTGATTTCTTCTTCTCCTCCTCGACTGAGAACAAAGACGAGTGCGAAGAGGAGAGCAAATAGTCTCGGAAATGTTCGAGTGTATTAGAAACTCATCAATACATATAATGCCGTCTCTTGATAGGGGAAACAAATCAATATTTGATTGAACTGTCAAAGATAAAGGTGATTATTGAAAGAAGTTCAAAAAGTAATTGTTTCCTCGAATATAAATCTGTCTAATTAAGAATTAATTGGACGAAAGAAAAGTTAAGCTTCGAGTTTTGTCTCTAATCTGCCTTCTACGCACAAAGATCACGGAAGATTTTCCTTTCTAGAAAGAGCAAATCCTTTAGATTTAATTCTCTTCTAGGCTGGTCAAGAGCGTTTTCGTTCGGTAACTCATTCATATTATCGTGATGCAAATGCTCTTCTTCTTCTCTACGATGTCTCGTCAATTCTCAGTTTCAATCATGTGCGCGATTGGCTAGGTGAAATCAAAGAATATGCCCAGACAAATGTTATTATCATGTTAATCGCCAATAAAGTTGACAAGACAACGGAACGCGTTGTAACACGTGAAATGGGTGAGAAACTAGCAGCTGAATATGAAGTCTCATACATAGAAACATCGGCAAAAACCGGCCTGAACGTGGAATTCTCGTTCAAAGCAGTGGGCCAAGCGTTACTCGAACAGATGAACTCGACGACAACTAATGGGCAAACAGCCTCAAAGACGTTAAATGAACTTGTTCAACTAAATGATCGAACACCTAAACATGGTTTCTGTTGTTCATATTCATAGTATGATTGTTTTTCTGTGTAATAGTTCATTGAATTTTTAATGATAATTCGTATAGTATTGTTGGAATACTGTTCATCTCACGCAAGAAATGCAACTTCTTACAAGTGTATTCTAATTATAGAGATATAAACATATTCTTCTATCTAATACTGTATTCTTGACATTTATCCATCATCAGATAACATACCTGGCCTGTCTCATAATTTCCTTCTTGTTTGACAGTTGTGAAAAGGCCAACTTCACGTAGTCTATAACAAAAGAAACATACATAAGTTTGTAACGATTCAATGTCAGTCAACTTCTTTTTCTTCTCTCTCGTGAATGACAAGAAGAAGGAACGGCACATAGTCGATTCACGTGAAACGAACTGCTTAGTTACAAGTGAAAAAGTGAAGATCTTACTTAGCTGTTGTATTTGAGGATATACATCGGAGCGGAAGATTTTTAATCAAAGTTGGAAGAAAATGGTGCTTGTATTTCCTGAAAAATATCATCACATCTAGAATGAGATGAACGCGAAGTTATCGGATTTTATTGGATATGTATATAGCAGAGGAACAGATGGTTAAAACAAACAAACAAAAATATTCAAGAGATAATTAGCGAAAGCAAACGGGTTATGATAATCTTTGTACGATATTGATCGGATCGGTAATTAATCGAGAGATTTGTTCAGATTTGGCGAGATATGGTCGAAGTTCGTTGACTTTGGTTGTTTGATTATTAACAAAATAATTTAAAACGTTCGATTTGATCATCTGTTCAATCGTTTCATATTGCGGTTCAGGATCGAAACCATCCAATTTAAGAATTTCCTTGATGATTAATAACATTGTGTCTTCCGAGTCCCTAAAAGTGTATTCGATAACAACGAGTGATGTTTTGCTTTTCTGCTTACCAATAAGAAACATGACTTGTAAAAGCAAATATATAATCGTTGAGAGCTTCAATGGGTCGATGTTGAAGAACGTAATCGATACGTCGGCCTTGATTTAACTTTCCAATGGGACGATTATCCCATTCGTCGATATGAGTTTCTAAGAATATCCACAGTGATTAATTGGATTCAATCAGTTTCGATTTACCTTCGTCGTCATTCGCATGTTCAAGTTCTAATTCGGTTTCTGTGGTTGTTGTTGTCGTTCTTGTAGTCGCAGTCGTTGTCGCTGTTGGATCTAGAGCAGTTGCAGGCGAGGCAGTTGCTGACGCTGGACTTCTGAAAAATGACAACTTTTCTCAAATGAAATTCTGTCATTTCATAATGTACCGATAAGATTGAACAAAATCAGTAATCGATATCATCGTATTCTTAAATGAATCGAGCATCTTCTGCTTCAAATCCGTTGCTTTCGATAATCCATCAATCAGTTCCAAATGAAGTCGTTTTCTTCCTTTGTGATGTGGCAATAATACTGGTGAGACAATCCATTTTGGATCAATCAATGGTTCAAGTCTATATGCAACGGGATCGTACTGGCAAGTAGAAGAGAAGATTAAAACTATCGATAATATCGAGATTAATACATACGGGATGAAATATATTCAGTAAACCTTTACATGTTGGTAGAGCATAGTCCGATGCTAATGATGTCACACCTCGTACGGTTAAAAACATGGCAATTGGAGATCCTGAGAAATAAAATTGAATGATAAATGAATGTTTTGCGAGTTCAAAGTTACCCAATGCGAAAAAGTAAGCCACTGGAAATGTCAGTTTTTCGTATTGAATCGATATTTGACCAGTACCCGACACACAAACGTTCTTCGTTGCATTACTGAATGAGATCAAAACGTAAAAATGAATAGTTTGACAGAATATAGGGACTGATCTAACTTACGTATTTTCTACAAAAAAATCAATTTGATTGTAAAGAAAATCAAATAAAAAAAGTGAAGTGAATTTTATTCCAAATTACCCGCTTCGTTAAGAATCGCTTCTTCTTGTGTTGCAGGTGTTTGATTGACTAAAATATCGTACAATATAACTGTGCCTAGAATGATCAAAACCAGCGTGTTTATCATGGATGATTCAATTCCAAGAAATGTCTACCAAGACTATGTCCAATTACTGAGACTTGGCCATGAAACGATGGATTTCGTTGTAAAAATATCTCATACAACCGATTCATTTCACTAATGCATCGCGAAATGATTTTCTACAGATACAAAGTTTTGTTTAAACTCAACAATGCCAATTCTCGTACTTGACAATAAACAGGACTTGTGTAAAACAATATATCTGATAGAGTTGTATTAATAAATGTCCGAAGTTTAGCTACACTTGGCAATGTTAATGATAGTAAATGACCATCAACACCGGTAGCCTAAAACATACAAAACAAATGCTTTTGTCTATGCGAAACACACTTTGACCAGCACTTACGTCCATGTGTAAATCACCGTGCCAGTAAACTGGTAAGAATTCCTAGAAAAATCACAAGAAAACACTTCGAATCTGATTCACATGTAAGGATCTTTTCGGTTGAAAGAATGGAATACATACGACACGATGGATTTCTCCATTTTCGACATAAGTTTTAAAATGACTTTGTAAAATCGTTCGACTCGTTTCACGAAAATCTTCGACACATTCGATTAGCGGTCGAAATTTCGTATCACATGCCTCACCGATACCGTGTACAACAAAACAGACATGCTGAACAGGATCTTTATCACCAAATTTTATTTCGTCGAAGAACATCTCCGGTAAACCACGTTTCACTGTTCTTGTTTCGTACTAAATTCAAAGTTTCACTAAACAATTCTGTTTTTAATCTCAAGAACATACGGTAAAATTCGCCCATGGAGTGATTTCTCCTTCGATTGCTTGTATTGTCATGAGGAGAGGACTATGAAAGATAAGAATTTCTTTGCCACTGTTCATTTCATGTTTAGTATGCCATGATTGCTTTCGACACGTTTCTTCATAGAGATTCTAGACAATAGTTGACTGAAAATTTTGAATTTCTCAAGAATAATTTTGTTTACCTCGAGTGTTTCATTCATTTTCTCATCAAATGGAATAAATCGACTTTCTTGTTCTGGTAAGTAGAACCATTTCGAACGTCGAATTGCGTTCGGTTCATCTGTCCAATACACCGGTGTACGTATTCGCTCGACAAGATTCACATCATAACGATTCCCATTTGTCGCAATCACCTCTCGATCTAATTTCATTACTTTTATTTCAAATGACATTCTTCTAGACATCATCTTACTTTGCGCATATGCTTCATCAAGATGTTGTACGTCAATCAATGAAAAAGGTATCCATGTGACACGGTCTTGAACTTTCTTCGAGTAAAACCAGTATGGCTGTATGGGCGAATAATCATGCCGTTCAGATTCAGAACTCATCGGTACCTATATTCAGAAAAAGTGTGATCAACGTATGAAGAGACAGGTGATGATCTAACTGTTGTCGATGTATTATTCGTGACGCTAAAATCAGCTACTGTTAGTGCAACATCATTCTCAACGATCGGTATGACTACCATCGGATTCGCTTGACTAGAGCTGGACGGTTGAAGAGGAAGACGATGCTGAAAAGAAGCATCGAATGCGAAAATTGTCAATCGATCTAATTATGACTCACAAGAGCGTTCAAACTGGAAGATGATTCATTTATTGACGATTTAGTCTTTTCATTAGAATTCATTATCTAAAAAACATTTTCAAATGGTTCATTCGATTTCTAGACATCTTCCTTCTTACAGATCAGACTGATCTCTATTTTCTCTTTGTACATTAGGTTTCATTCTTTCGTGTGATATTCAAAATACCAAGAGTTTATAGAATAAGATATCATATTACCGATTATAATAAACCATTATGGAAAGATGTAAAAAAATCAAACAGATCAATGGAAAGAAATTCTTAAAAAATAAAAACAAACAACAAAATCATATACACCAAAGTTATTGATACGAGCTGCTTTTGTCTTTTTCGTTTTCAAAGACTAAGATTAAAAAAAAAAGAACGAAGAATGCTGTCTATTCTACTGGATTATCTTGAATTTCAGCTGACGCTTTTTGGTTTTTACTTAGAATTTGTTTGTATTGTTGTAGATTTTCATCCATCATTAAAGTCTAAACACAACCGACGATCAACAAACACAAAATGATCAAGAAGAGTTTTTCTTACAAATGCAGCATAATTTTGTAAGAAGTTACTCAAATCTTGGGTGAATTCACTATGATGATTCTAGAATACAACGGGAAAATAGAAGTAGTACACGCAGCAGATGTGATTCTCACCTTGTTTTCATTATGAGTAACCAATAGTTTGCTCAAAGTTGACATTAGTTTAGGAATTTCTATACAATTATCAAAATTGATAGGAAATTACTAAAATACTGGACTTTGTTATACCTTGAAATTGTTCCCCATCGAGTACACGAGCTAATGAATCTATTTCGGAGAGACTTTTTGTAACTTCACGTATGCGATCTTCGTCTAAACACGAAATTTCGAATGTCAATTCATGTAGTATGAAGAAATGATTACCAGCAAGAATTAATTCTAATTTCGTCGCTCGATCAGCCATTAGATGACGTTGAAATTCCGAACTAGTCAAATGATTGATTTCATTCGCTAGAATTGGGGAATCCACTGACTCTATCGTACACTGAAAATGAAAGATATGATTTACCTTTACTTAATACTGATTTCGCATTGTTGTTATTGTTTGCTTGTCGAAGTACCTGTTCGTTCAGATCGTGAATTGCTTCCGTAATCTATGATGACTTTGTCTTACAAAAGAAAAGGCGGATTTGTACAAGTATTTTACTCGTTTTTTGTCAAATTTATCCGATTTTCCAATGAAGTTCTCTAAACGTTTCAAACGCCATTCCAAATGGTTTACTCGTTCGATATCTAAATCAAACAAAAGACAAAAAACTTAACTAATAGCAAAAGCGGTTCTAACTACCTGATATCGTCGTCATTGTTATGTAATGTACTTTGAATGGAAAATAATTCGAGAATCGACAACTGAATATTCGAATGATCGTCGTTCTTTCAGCCAATCCCAGCCGATTTCTAAACCTAATGCATTAATCATTTAGATAGTTCTCATTGGTTAACAAGAACTGATCGACGTGGAGGTCGCCAAACGTGAGGGATCGTTTTCGATCGATTGTTTGTTTGTTTGTTTCTTTCGCTTAGAATATCTTCCAAAAGTCGCCTATCCAGACATTCCAAATCAGAATGGTGAACATTTTCTTGTTTTTCATTTCGTTTTCAACATTGTTTCCCTCGTTCTCTCTCTCGTAGGCTTTTGTTAAAGTTGTTAAAAACAAAGCGTACTTTAAAAGATACCAAGTGAAATCCAAACGTCGACGACGTAAGTACTTGTCGATAATAAAAGCCTTTGGAATATGTTTTGTTCGAATATTCTTAGAGGGAAAAACTGACTTTTATGCTCGTCATGCTCTAATTCACCAAGATAAAAATAAATATAACACACCGAAATATCGTCTTATCGTTCGAATAACCAATAAAGATATCATATGCCAAGTAAGATTAGACAAAATTTGCTTCTGCATAGGATGAGTTTTCATCTATTCTGTCATCTCTTCTGAATACGAAGACATGTCGATACTATTTATGCAAAATTCTGATGCAGATTTCTTCTTACAAATAGTTGCATTCTTTCCATCTGAAGTTAAACTATTTAGATTGCTTACGCAAGAATCGAAGGCGACTATATCGTCACATCAGCTTATGCACATGAATTACCACGTTATGGCGTTAAACTTGGTCTTACCAACTATGCAGCTGCCTATTGTACCGGTTTACTTTTAGCCCGACGAACACTGCAAAAGCACAAACTTGACAGTGTCTATAAAGGTACAACTGATATAACAGGTGGTGAATTCGAAAATGAGCCAGTTGAAGGAGAAAAACGTCCATTTCGTTGTTATCTCGATGTTGGATTAGCCAGAACAACGACTGGTGCCAAAGTTTTCGGTGCACTGAAAGGTGCCGTAGACGGCGGACTCGATATTCCACATAGGTAAGAATCGTTCATCTTATATCGAGAGAAGAAAATGCAAAACTTGATTTCGCCTTTTCTACGATGACGACTACTCTGTGTAAAAAATGATGAGATGTAAGTTCATCGGACTTCATTCCGTGAAGAGTTCCACTTTAATGGACATTTTCGCCCCTTGCTGATTTTACACAAACGATTTTCAATGCATATGATGAATAGTTATTCTTTTCTGTCATCTCTTCTGATATAGAACTTGACGATCATTTATTTCTGATGCAATTAATCACATATCATTCGAATCTTTCTAATTTAGTACTCGCCGTTTTCCCGGTTACAATCGCGACGGTAAAAAATTCGACGCCGATGTTCACCGTCAACATATATTTGGTCTACACGTTGCCAACTACATGACATCATTGAAAGAAGAGAATCCCGATGCTTATGCCAAACAATTTTCCCGTTTTGTCAAAGCCGGTATTCAACCGAGTTCGGTAAAAGATCTTCAACGATGATTATTTCTTTCGAAAACAAGATTTTTAGTTTGAGGCTTTGTACAAAGCGGCACATGCAGCTATTCGTGCTGATCCGTCTCCATCTCCACGAAAAGAAAAGAAAGCTGATGCACCAAAAGCCAAACGGTACTTTTAATATTTTATATTTGATTAAAAATTACTGAAATTTGTCTTTTAGATGGAATAAAGTACGACTTGCTCGATCATCGCGTAGAAATCGTGTTCAACAACGTAAAACAGCTTTTCTCAAGTCATTACAGAGCGGCAATGCCGAGTAGACGAAAACATCTATTGTTTAGCCAGATGAAAACGATCAGTTATTGTTGTGTTTTGTTAAGAGAATATATTTGTCAATCGTTTGTTCAAATATTCATTTTATTGTCATTAGTGACTGTTAATGAAAAAGAAGAAAATAAAAACGAGAAAAAACACACGAAGTGTGATTCGAAATTTCATCTCTCAATCGTCCTCGAGATATCTTTTTCAAAACTTTGTTATCAAGATACACATCATCATAAACAGCACCTGTCTGATATCTTCTATGTTGTACTTTAGTTTCACTAAGAAGCCGTTCCTTACGTACGGCACACCTGTTTCAATCATTGTTGACTTTCGTAATCTGCGACATACTTTTGTATATTTTCTTTTACGTTAAAAACCAATCGGACATTTCAGAGTGTTTCAATAGACGTTGTCAGCAATGAGTATGATTGATGTATTATTCATAATTTAGACATATCAATTGAAAATCATGTACACAGATCATGCAATGAATAAATGAAGGTCACAATTCAGCTCTTTTTCTTTCTTGAATCGAAAATCATCCATGGTCATAAACCTCAATGAAGGTTGTAGATCGTCTTGAAAATGTAAAATGTAATATATCTAATGGAACCGGCGAACTAATTCAGCCTTCACACGTCAATTTTCTTCCATCAGTGAAAAAGAAACTCTCGACGTTTTCTTTTTAACCATCAATATACTTTCGACGACTGTCTTTGCGATTGAGCTTTTCGGCACGCTCTTGCATCATGCTACTATCAATAGGCACTATAATCTATCTAAGTGATCATCGAATAATGTCTATCGTAATAATGAAAAGAGATTGAGCAGAGACGAATAATTCTATCATAGCAAATCAAACTTAATATCATTTCCGATTATTACTTTTCATCTGTATTTCAATCAAGAAAATGTTATTCGTCTGTGCAGATCTTCGGTCGCCCACGCAAAACACTTCGAACTTCCATTGTGCGTTGAATATTTACAATACAACATCATCTTTTTCTTTATTCTTATGACTGATTTCTTTTTCTCAATTGCGAATAGAAAGGCGGAAACACATAAGAAAAACAACAATGATCTGATATTGAAAAGGAATATTGAATGTCGAATGACTGGATTATTTATTTCCAAACCAAAACGATTCCACCATGCTTTTGATTTGTGCACCGTAGCTCTACAAAAAGACAAATTCAACAAGTGATTCTCTACGGAAGAATTTCAACAAACTTTTGTTTGTTCAGTTGGTTGCGCCACCTGTGGATGAGCATCAAGACATTTTTGATAACGTAACTAACGCGAACAAGGTAAAGATCGAATATCGAAGGAAATACTTCGTGCTTACTTTACACGCCGCTTCGATATCCTTACAAAGTTGAACACATGACGGTTGACAATAGAAAACATGACATTTAAACGAATTATCTGCACAATGAATAATAATTCCACAAAAACTAGTCCGAAAAAAAAAGATGTTTCATTATCGAAATGAAAGAATATCTTACTTTGTATCTTGACCAACACCAAGAAATGAAAGATATCGAATACGACAATCAAGTAATTGTTCTTTTGCATCCTTGAAAAAAAAACGCTTTTGTCAAGATTATACTTTTTAAAAGACTGACGAACATCATCCGATAGAGCAATGAGGGATGTCGGTGAAATATTCACTATAACCGAAATCCATTTATCTTCCGGAACTGTTTGTGAAACTTTTTCAATTGCTGGCCGTAAGATATGCATTCCACCAGGCTTTTCAACATAAATACAGCCTAAATATTTACAAGCTAGATATTTCTTTTGCTCTTCCATTGGCGTCGGAAATGACACTAAAACGAAATGATGTTTTTGGTTTATAATACAAACGAAATCAATGGATTACCATTTGTTAGATCATTGTCAATTGATTCCGGAAATGTTGTCGGCCTATATGGAGAAAACGTCCATGAGAAATGCAACAGGCGTTATTTATCTTTACCGTTTCTGTACGGAGATTTCGTCAGGCGAAGATTCTTTCATCGCATTTAGTAAACCACGTTCGATCATTAAGTTTTTACACACATCACGCAATGTATTAGCAATTATTCTTGCTGATGTATTATCACATCGAAAAACATGACATTTATAGATATTCTTCGTTCGATCTTTATCTTTGGCGACATAAGCAAAATCTCTAGATGATTTCAAATGAAATATTACATCATGAAAGAATTAGTAGAGAAATCTTGCTCGACAAACCTGGAATTTTCTCGTCCGACACCCCAGATTTTAATCGACGGAATCGATTGTTTATGTAAAATAGTCATTTCACTGGGATCAATTAAAAGTATATCGGTTTTACTGATATCCATATAAAGATCTTTGCCATCACCCCAACGATGAATACAATCATTAATACCACTTGTCAATTCGGATATACATCGATTTACAGCACGACTACTTCGATCCGAAGTTAAATCTTCTTCGTTAAGTATAGTCCAACCAAGCGAACGAACGTAGAAACGATGTTGTTCAGAATTGTTATCCAATGTCTTCATAAAATCGATAAATAGACGCCAATGATCGCAAGTTAACTTACTTGAATCGACATGTCAGATTCGCTTCTGTACAAAAGAGAATTGATTTCATAACACGTGTCAGTTGATGGTGATGGGGAAAGTGTTAATGATGGCGATGTTGTAAGTGGTTCAGGTCGATCGCGCGTTACCGTTCCGGTACGCTTATGCCAATAATAAACTCCTTGTTCATCTACACAGTCACAGATTTGATAACTTCAATTTCGCGAGGGGAACATCCTAGAAACAATTCTTACCTTCAAATCGTTCCCATCCAAGTGGAAGATTGATATCGTCCATCTATCAAAACAAATTTCATTTGACTTTTTTTTTCAGAGAAACGACAAGATACAAACAGTAGCTGTTCGCTCCATATAGATATTTATTCCACTATCCGTTGATTCCGTCGGCGATGAAAGATTGTCAGTAGGAGTACAATTTCTATTAAAAGACATGAATAATTTCATAAGTGGAAAACGACAATCACTTACGAATGAAAATGGCATTCGTTAGTTAAAGGAACTAGAAAAAAAAACAAAAAAATGCTATCAACATCAATGCCTTTCTATTCAGTTAAATCAAAATCCGAAATTTTTATTTTACCCGAAGCAACAAATAGAGGGTTTTCGAATGTTATCCAATAATTCGTCTTCCGAAGGTTTTTCCAGTAATTTAAATGATTTGAATACTTCAATCGATACACGTCTAATGATCTATCACAGTGATGATTCGATCGAATTTGAATATCACGAATCATAGCTCATATACTGTTACACCGATGGAGATTCCTTTGACTCGTTATTCCGATCAGGAAATAAATAAAAACTACTGTTATAATCACCGACTGTTCTTCTCTCCTCTCTCTTTTCCTGCTTATAAAAAAAAAGAAACGAAAGGAAAGCGGGACAAACAATCTCTTTTTTCTTCTCTCTCTCTCTCTCTCTCTCTTCCTTCTATGCATAGAAGAACAATTTACGATTATTGAGAAGTCAGTATCTCTCATCGTATAGATTCGCTAGGCTCAAGAGTTCAAATTAGCATATGAGTAATAGCAAGATCGAAGAGAAAAACTAAATATATATATTATAAATCAAGTTCTTCTTTTTTGTTCGTCTATTGAGCTTTGCAAATTTGCATACAGAAGTGAAAGCAACGAGGCGAGATTGGCTAGAAGTTGATTGAAAAACTCGAGGCGTCTTCCCAAGGATAGAGATAATCAACTCCAGGAGAAGAAGAAGAAAAACTTTATTTGATTAGAATCTCGAAAACAACAACATCGTCCATATAAGCTAAATAGCTAATCAAGTACTCTTCTTCTAAGATATTTCGAGTGTGATATAAAAAATTTTTCTTTCTTACAATATGCAGATTATCGAAAGAGCAGGAGAAATCTGATCAACTTTTCTTCATCTTCTACGATGCATGTTTGCGAATTCGCTGCATGACTCCTCGGAGATTTCCTCTTCTTTCACTGCTCATCATTATCAATCTTCAGTTATGAAACAGACATGCACTGTTGAAACGAAGAATCAAAATAGGAAATTATTCATCTTACTTTTCTTTGAACAACATTCTTTTTCATCGGACAAACTGAATGACAAATGATGGAACCAACAGTTCATCAGATTGAAACGGTGGAGCTACGTTCCATGCGAATAAATGAAATTGACCATAGCGCTCAGGAATAATTTGTATAAAGTTAAAGTTAAAGACGAGAATTAATTTCAAATATCCTCTTCTTCTCGTTAGTATTATCGACTAGATAAATGTCTCGTCGAATTCCTTCCATTTCTGATCTTAATGTTCAATCTGAACAGCCGATCAAGCGTTTTAAAACATCTCCAAGTTCTCTCGATTCATCACCATACCGAAATATTTTTGAGCAATTTGATGATGTCTTACCATCACCGACGGTGATAACCAATACTCAAATGAAGATTTCGAAACAATTTGTGCCGAAAGGCTCTTCGCAACATTCGTCAACAACGTCGTCCTCGACCGCTCGGTCAATCATGACGAAAACAAAAACGAAATCGAACGATGAACTGTGGTCGAGTCTGTTTCGACCGAAAACTCGACACGATCTTGTTGTACATCCGAAAAAGGTTAAAGAATTGCAAGAAATCCTAGAGCGGTCATGTGAAATCGTAAAGAATAATCATAAAGTAAGATCAAAATTCCATGCATTCATTGTCATCTAATCAAATTTCATCAGCGACCGGCGAAATTAATACTCATCTCTGGTCCATCCGGTTCAGGAAAATCAACATGCCTACGCATATTAGCATCTTCAATGAATATTAATATTATCGAATGGGAAACCAGAACAACATCAAATCTAACGACAACTGTATCCGATGAACAACGAGGTTCGTTAAATAATTGAATAGACGTGATCCGATATCTTATTAAGAGAGAAATGGTAGCAGTTGAGTTTTCCTCGCTGAAGTTATTTTGTGTTCGCTTGTACTACACATGTCCTGAGAGACAGTCTGGACTATGAAAAGTAAATGTAGTTAATCTCGATTAACACAACAATCGGGTCTCGATTTATATTAAATAAGCAGTAACATATGAAAAATATGTTACAAGAAAAAGCAGAGGAGAATTCCCAATGCATTTCAGTTTCGTAATCATACTTGCGAATGGACTGAATTCGATTTGTCCTTAATGATTAGCAAGTCTTATCGAATAAAGCTCATCAAGTGAAACGTGTGAACTCCAATGTGTCTTTTGTAAAAATCTGAATAGATGAATGATTTGCATAGATGATCGTCAATGGGCTGACTCTCAGAAACGTTTATTTCGCACGTTTGTATTTCAATCCACTCGTTATCTTTCATCGTCAACGGGTAATTCGAGCAATGGTCTAATCTTTGACGACGAAAATGAAGAATCCTTGAAATCTTCATCAACTTCAAATAAACAATTGGTTTTGATTGAGGTAAGTTCATATGTTTATTACTTGAATAGAAACGAAACAATTCAAACTACATATTTGTCGATATTAAGAAGAAAAAAAAGAAGAAAAAAATATGTTGTTTAAGTTCATCGAGTGTTGAATTGGCTTAGGCATTCGATGGCGCGGCATTTTTATTTGAACGGAAGTTGATTGTTGATGGAAGAGGATTCGACAACGATATTGCTTTAGGCATGGGTTTTCCTCGAATAACTCGAACAACTCCGGCGATAATGACACCCACAATAAGACCAATGAGTAAACCAACGATAATAGCTGTTGCTTCGGCACCCGATGAATATTCTTCAATGGTTCTCACTCGACCGGCTGAGTGCGTCGACATGTACTGTTTCGATCCTTTCAATGAACCAGATTGAGCTTTGAATTGAACTGTAGAGTTGTCCATAAGGGGAAAATCGAAGTAGAATTGGTCATTGTCAATAGCAGTTTTCAATTTGTTACGAGCTGTGTCTGCAGTGATTTCATCAACAAAGCCAGATGGTGAGCCTGGGCTTGGTGTTCGTCCAAGAAGAGTGAAAAAGACAGTCACATCGTTACCAACACGTTCATGGTCAACTTCGATTTCACTAATACGTGAAAAGGTAACTTCCGATGCATTGTGGATTGCAAAGTACAAGAAGAATTCTAATTCTCGTCGATCTAAATGATTACTATCGACAATGTTACCTCGGTTGAGTTTCATGACGAACATCAAATGTAGATATTCATAACCTAATGATCGATAGCATGTGCTGACATCGAAATCTTGAGGATGTCTTTCATGAGACATTTCGAAGAATTCGTATTCGATATCTTCGCTTCGAAGACCGACTGTAGATGGTTGACTTGGATTTTCAAATCGATAGAGACTAAGGTATAATGTAGCGGGATAATCAAATCGTGTTCGATTCATGAATCCTGGAGCAAATGGAGCACGTCGAGACCATGCGTATTCAATATTTGTTGCTATCCAGTTTTCACCTGTTGGTTTACCAGTATCGATGTCAACCATGGGTGGAAAGTTGTCTATAGATGCTGTTAGGATTGTACATTGAATTGTATTTCCTCGACAAGCTGAAAAAGAATGAAATTCGTATGTTTTTATTTGAATAGTTTTTATTTGTACCGCGAAATCCGTTGAATTCCCAAACTTTTTCAGGTGGATTGAAGATGAATCGACCTTCGTGTTTAATAAAAAATTCAATGGGATCACGTGTTGGACTAAAATCTGGCATATCAACCGTTCGATTGATACGACATGAACCAGCGCGACGATCGATCGTATAAGTTAATTGATTGGCATAATCATGAATAACAGAAACGAAATCTTCTGCGCCAGGTGGATTATAATCGTAACGTAAGCGTCTGGAGCTGCCATCTCGACCAGAATCATAACGTAAATGAAAGCGTTGCCATTCTGAACTGCGACTTGTTGAAGCTTCGACTCGAACACTGAAACGATTTGGCCAACCAACACCAACATCTCCAAGTGAAACTAATGCTTGACCTTGGCCACTGCCACAGAATACACCTTTTGGTGGGGCAAGTTGAGAGCTGGATTCCGCAATGCCTGCTCTGTATGAGATGACATTGTAAAGTTCGTCGACTTCTGCTGCTTGTGTACCGTTGGGAAAATCGAATGAACCACTGATTTCGGCTTGAACTGGGTGAGCGAATTCGCCAACAAGACCAGTTGGTGTGTTCACACCTTGTTGAGCAAAAGACCAGATGCGGCGAACTGTTCGATATTGTGATCGATCAACGTAACACGATAACCATTTATTAACGGGAATACCACGGATGGTATCGTTGCCAATATAAACTGGTGTTATTTTTTGATCCGGAGTGTCGCTGGAGAAGAGTAAGAATTCGTTTAGAGGACGAATATGCCATGTACCATCTGCTAGTTTGATAGCCGATGCACCATCTAAAAACCGAAAAGATGAATCGTATCTCGGCAAATTAGCTATCTAAGCTTACCCATGATGTTGTTGACTCCAATATCATTAACAGTACAGTATTTTCCTCCATAGTACGTCGATTTCTTGAGTATATTGTAATAGTAATATTCAGCATCGATAAATCCATTTTGATTTTTCACCAATATCATTGTATTTGCGTTGTAATCGAAGAGATATTCATAGAGCGATAGTTTGCTTGGAAGTGTTAAGTTCGATAATAGGCTGCTAACTTCTACGCGTTCAAGTGTGAATTCTGCTTTGAGAGGAAATTTAGGGAATTGTGGCGGGTTTTGCGTTGATGGAGTTGGTGGTGGATTAGTTGTGCATAATCTTGGATCACCAAACCAATTCGGGTTGATTGTTGTTGTTGGGTCCTGTGCGTAGTATCCCGAGATAAACAAGCATAGTAGGCACAGAAGTCCGTATTGTTCTTGCATTGTTGTTTTAACAAACGAATAAATGAAAATGATATAAAACTGTTAGTTGAGTAACTGTAAAATAGAAAACGAAAGTGATAAGATAAGAAAAACTTGGAGATTCATGTGAGAGAGAGAGTATGTGTATGAAAGTAACGGAGAGAAAAAACGAGCAGAAGTAGATTGTTTAATGTTGTTGTTTATAAAGATAAGATGAAAAAGACAAATATAACTTGTAAATATCAATATCTTCGTTTGCTTTATAGGATTTACCAAATGGTTTTTATTCTGATATAAGTGCATTTCATTCGACTTTGAGGTGAATTGATCAAAAGGAAGATACTTTCGAAAGAGAAAATCGCGAAATTTCACTCCTATTTTGTCTTTTTCTCTTTAAAATAGAGAATTAAAACGTATCGCATATCATCCAATTGTATTCACCATAACAGATAACAGTTCGTTAACAGCAGCAAATAATCCTCATCTATTGTTCTCATTATCGATCATCGACGAGCTGAAAATCGAACAAATTAGGTGAACAGATCTTCTTCTTTGAAAACACTTTTCTGAAACAAGCGTTTTCCATCTAGTTTCAATACGATTGCACCGACGTATATGAAAAAAGGTCTCGATTTGGTCATTCAACAAGCATCGTTGTTCGTATGTGTATCAACATCCGTATTGATTGACTATCGTTCCCTACATAGAAACTAAAACCACCACCGCGAGATTGTGTAAGTGGCATTATTCAAACAGCGAACGGCGATCTTCGATTAGCGATCAATACATTACAATTTTCAAGTAAAGTTTTTACAAATTGACGGAAAGTAGACAAGATTTTGTTTGATAGGTAGTGACAGTAAAGTGAAATCATCGGTAACAACGAGCAACTCCAAAGATACGTGTTTATCATTGTTTCAAGGTCTTGGTCGAATTTTGTATAAAAAAGGTCTTTTTTTTTCGAAGAAAATATTTCTCCGTTGTGTACGAATAAGTAACGTATTTAGATTATGAAGAGAATTCAACTGATGAAAGTAAAAACCAACAGCCTGAAGTAAGATTCAGCATGACTATTTTGAAATCAATTTTAACTTTCACTCTAATCCGGTAGAATCTTATCGAACAATGTCACATATCAGCATCAACATTCATTGGATTTCTATTCGAAAATTATCTGGATTTCTATTCCTTATTGGATGATATCGGTCAATTATGCGATCATCTCAGTATAACTGAATATATTCTCAATGATTGGGAGGTAAAATTTCTTTCTTGATGAGAGATTGATTGATGGTGTTTCTAGACACGTTCACAACTCGTCTCAATCTCATCGAGTATCGCTTGTCGAGCAGTACGATTATGCAATTCCACACTGGTCAGTCGAGGCTTCAGACCAATGCGCAAGCCACAAGAGAATGAGATCAAATCTCGAGTAGATATCCGATTTTGTTGAAAATATCAGCTCAGATCTTTATATTCAGGCACAAAAAAATCGAACAATCTTGACGACCAATAAGCTATGTGAGTTTGAAAATGTTTATGCTTCTTATCACTAAACTATTGAATAGATTACGGCTGTTCCGAAGAAGAATATTTCACCACTATCTTACCATATCAAGCATGTTTGTTAAAAGTTTCGAATTCTTCGATGATAAGTCAGATAGTTAATCAAGAAAATTCTTTCAATTACGATTTTTCTCTTCTAGACGCTACGAATCGTTCAATTGTAGACATTGGCTACATTAATCGATCTTCCAAGAAACGGTAAGTCAACAAGTACAAAACGCATCTCTCCTTGTTAAATTTCTCGAAACATCAAGTAACTAATTGAATTATCCTCAAATCAAAACTGTCTGTTATGATTACTTATTAATCGTAATCTCGTACGAGAAAATAACTCGAAATTCTCTTGTTTTGTTTTATCAGTATACATATCAACAGAGTAGCTCGAATTGCTAATACTTCAGTTAGCTGTATACTCCGTTGCCTCTATTTTTGTACTTGACAACTTGACATTTGCCAATTTTCCTTCGAATATCGAACAATTTTTTTTGTCTTTGACCAACTCTAAAGGAAAACAATGTATCAGATGGATTCTCGTTTATACCGTCTGGAAAATGATAGTTATTTCTATACGACGAGCTTGCCATCGTAGGTCTGTGACCTTGAATTTGCAAAAAACTGTCAATTGCGAACGAGAAACAACATCATTAGAAGAACTAATCTGATTTTTGACCGATATTCTGATAAATAATCCTGTCAGGGCGAAACCATCTTTTCCCCCCAAATATTAATGTCGGTCATCAATCAGAACTAATTGATTTTCTTTCATCATAACAAAGATTTCTAACAATCAGTATTCTCATCTTCGACATTTTGTCTTACTAAACATTTCTACGCGGATGTATTCTTATTATTAATAAGTTAGGTCATTGAGAAGACCTAATAGAAAGTAGATTACGCTATCAGTGTTACAGATAAGTCTATTTTTACATATTTCGCCTCTTTTTCTTTAGATTCGATATGAGTTCGATGGTTACAGAGAAGAACAGTTCGATCGCACTTTTAACTGATCAAAGCAAAGCAGAAACAGACGAAACTGCATTCAATTTCTCAATAAATCATGCAACAACGGTGAAACTGAACAAATTAGAATACGATGATTCGGTTGATATCGACCCTATTGATGATTAGTTTTGTAAAAAAAGAAAAGTACTCCTTGTATCTGTCTTTCATATGTATATATATATGTACACATAGCGATATTTTTTATCTAATGATTTGTTCATTCTTTCTTTTAAACAGAGAATTCACAAGAAAAGACTTGAATTTTTCTAAAATATATATGTGTGTATGTTCGTATAACTTATATGTGCGTAAAAAGAGCAGACAAAAGAAGAATTGAACAAAATGAAAATAGATAATGTGTGTGCGTGTGTGTGTCGGAATAGATTAAAAAGCAAAAATGATAAACAGAAATTCATCAAGGTATTATTGAGGTTATATTTAAAAGAAGCCAAATAAAGGAACGGTTGACGGAATTAGGTAAGAACAAAGGAACTCTTTACGTGTATATGTCGAAGTATATGTCTTTCGTTTGAAATAGTTTGGAAAATGTCTTTGTGTGTCGAACGGAATTCATAATTGATGGAAATGTTTTCTTTTTTTTTATTGCCATAAACGAGTCGGTTTAGAACTCGTTGGCTCGTAACACAACTCATTTCGTCCAGTGTTTGCTACTGCTGATGCACTCGTTGTATAGACAATTTGTTCTTGTTTGATTAGATTTCGATTAAGTGTTTGTTGTTGTTGCTGCTGATGATGTTGTTGTTGTTGTTGCCCGGTAAGAATAATTGAGTTTGGACTGTTTGTTAACATAATCGTTTGAGCTGAACCGATGTTTGTTGTTTGACAGTCGCGATTTATAATACTAAAATGCAAGAAGAGTCGATGAATACGAATGCCAAACGCTCGAAGTTTCTTCTTACTTAATCGGTAAATTGGATGATGATGTATTGCTATTCGTAACGACAGCAGCGTTGGTTAGTGAGGCTAAGAAATTCGATGTTAATTGCGATGCTAACGCGCTGATATCAATAGCTGAAACACTCATATCCGGGCCAACTAGAACGGAATTTGAAATGTGAAAAGACGTTTGTATTTGTTGATGTACAAACCTGTCATGATTCGGCCAATATTTGTTATCGGTTGTTGAGTCGTAAAACTGTTCATTGTTGGCTGCTGCTGTTGTTTAATCTGAAAAGAAAGATGGTCGACGAGTTATTTCGAAGAAAAGGCCTTCCTTACATGATTTAAATTCGAATGATTATTATTGGTAATGTTATTTCCATACTGATTACAATCAACAGATTTCGGAATTGGATAAACGGGAATGTTATTCGCTGTTGTTCCTAGTGAAGGCGGTGGTGTTAATTGTTGTTCACTTGATGGCGATGTTAAATATTGAAAATCCGGTAGAACAGTAGTAGTTGTATTGTTGAGGAATGTCATATCGTGTCCATTGCTTGACGAACAATTTAAATTGCTATTCACTAGAAACTGAAAATCAATAAAAGTAAAATACTAATTTCTTTCGATATCAAAATTCCAATCTTACATTGTTAACTGTATCAGCAAACATTTGTTCAATATCATTGGTGAATGTACTACTAATTCCACTGTCGGTTTGCTCACCACTATTATCATCATGTTGATCCATAAGTTGATGATCGTCATTGGTGTTTGAAATGTTCATTTGCGTTGGTTTGATTTTCTTGTTTAAAATCTGTAAGAAAGAAGAAAACATCAGACGAGCTCCTTGCATTTGTGGCTACACTTACATCGATTATATCGACATTTGTGCATGACTCATGTGGTTCATTGTAATCCGCATATTTCAGAAGAACTTTGTTGATATCCGATGAAGCATATTGAAATAATCGATCGTTGCTATTGAAGATCATCAAAGCGATTTCACAACCACATAAAACAGACAATTCGTAGGCTTTCTTCATTAAACCAAATTTCCGTTTAGTAAATGTCACTTGACGAGTACGTTCGTCGATAATACGAGTGATATTGATTTTCTTTCTACCCATGATTTTCTTTGTCACTGAACCACTGTTGGTATTGGTAGATTTGGTTATTGCTGATGTTTCGTTGTTGTGTAACATACTCGTATACGAGCGTGAAGAATTTTCAAAGACCGTTTCCGAGCCAGATGATAAACCGATTCAATCTTGGCGCATAGCCAACCCAAACGTTCACTTCTTAGAAAAAAGAACATCATTATGAAGATATCACGTCGATTGATCAGACTGATTAAAAAGCAAATTCTTCGATTAGACTTTCTTGACATTTGCATTCGAAGGATAATATCTTTGCTCCGGAGAATCGATCTTGTCGGAGAAGACTCTGCTAATTTCTTTTTTATTTACTATATATAGATGTGAAATATAATAACGACAAGTGTATCATGTATAGGTTTTCTGTTGTTGCTTAGTCAGTATAGGATTATTCTCTTTTATTTGCCTAAGATTTCTTTTTGTCTATCCAAAATATCCATAAGAAGAAAAATGGCTCGTTTTGGTTACTTACCAGAATAGAATCTTTTTAGCGCACAAACAAACGGTGATGCTACACAAATCTGTCTTGTTGCCTTTTGCGCTCGGCGAACCAGAATCATACAGGCGGATGGATTGTATATATGCATATATATCTTTTCTCTCTCGCTCTCTTTCTCCTCTTTTCTTTGTATTATCCGATTTTTTTCCGTACCCGTCGCCTTTTTCCTCTTCTCCGTATATCAGCCGAAAGGATAATATTCATTGCATTCTGACTGGCTTATACCTCTTGAGGATAATTCGACAAACGGAATCGTGGGCGTTATTACCATCCGTATACAATAGAAGATATCTTCTGCTTCGCTGCTGCTGCTGCTGTACGATACATATACATGGAAAGAAGGAGAAAGATGATGAAAAACAGACCTATGTAGGGAAGAAAGCAAACTGAAGAAGGAGGCGCGGTCGGAGAATTGATTGTCTATGTATACTGTTCATTTGCTTTTCTTTTCTCATCAACATCCATTTTCAAGTCAATTAGGAGTGAATGCATGTAAAGATGAACTACTGAGCCATTCATTCTATTATTTCTTCAGTCGACGTGATGAAACGTTTGTGCATACATACATACACACATATATATCAATCAGGCATTATGCCCATCATCAACAGTTGTTAGCCAATGACCTATATGAGAAGTTATTGATGAGAAAAATTCTTGCTGTTGATGTTGACCTATTTAGAACTCGAATAAGCAGCTAACTAATGTCTTCGAATATCTCATCTATTTTGACAAAACATTTTTTCTCGTCAAAGAAATATTCACATAAATATTTTCTTTATTTATCCATGAAAATATAAACACAATCCTAATGAAAAGATAATAGACATGCATTTTCCGCGAAGAAGAAGAAGAAGAAGTAAACTTCAATTGAATCTTACGTATGTATTTATTACTCGCGATGTTCAGAAGATGTACACGATATAAATACAGCTGTGAATGATTATGATAAACAACAAACGAGAGATTTTTTTCCATTAGGATTCTGTTTATTCGAAATGCATGAAAAGTAATTGAAAGTCTTGATTAGTTGAAGATCAAAAGAACGGAATCAATCTTATTGATTATATCTTTGAATATGTTTCATTTTCTATCATTATGCAGTCATAAATCATCTACAGAATATGAAAACTATGTCAAGCACGTCCAGATGATGTCAAACTCGAACAAACAGCGTCAGTTGTTGTTTTGTAATCGTCAGCTTATATAAACATCAAATCTTCTTTTGTTATTCATACAAAGCAAAGAGGAATTCGTTCCTGTCTTAGATGTATTTTTTGTACTGTATAATCCGAGAAAAGTCGCCTTACACGTCGTCTTCTTTTTTCATAGACTAGATCATTAATAATCATGATGGGATATAAAAACTAAACATGATGTTTTTACCGCTGACATACGATCGATCATCTTCAATATGAGGAGATTTATATCAGATTTCGTTTATATAATAAATGAGTATTCAATATTAAGCAATCATCGTTCATGTTCAAATACATTTCCAGATGTAATGTTCCTCACTCGAGATCAAACCGTTGCTTGATTACTAGAGAGACTAGCCGACGATTTGATGATGCATTATCAGACTCTTCTTGTTTACATTTGTCAAAATCAATCGAGAAAGAAAATGAACGATGCGCCGATGGTTATGTGAGATATGATGATGTTCATTGTGAGTCAACGGTTATGAGTATATCGATCAAAAGCTCTTTTGTATTATTTTAACGAAAAACAAGTTTCACATTATCTTTGTTCATTCAAAAAAAAACGAAGAGCCGGTCTAATTTCTTCTTTCTAACGACCATAGCCACTGCCCACTTCATAGATCTGGAAGGCTTCCCATGTTTGAATATCAGGACCTATATGAAAAAGAAAATTTCAGTGACTATGCAATAGAAATTATCTTACAGTAGCGTGATCCAGTTAACTTATTGATGCTTGGTTCACAGCGCTCTTCATATTTCTCAGCTGCTTCTCGTTTTTGTTCTTCACATCGAGTCTTTCCAGGATGAAAAAGCGTTCTCTTCAAGAAGTTCGATGCTGTCTCATGGTCTAAATTCAAACTTCACTCAATATTCATCTCCATCGTCCATTTCCTTACCAAGATCATCAATGCTATTTTCTGGTCTTGCCCAAATTTCTGTACCAAGAATACCAACGATAATGCAAATCAATAAAAATTCCTTCATAATTGTTCCCTTGGATTACAACTAACTTATGACCGAAGAACGCAGATAATGAGCAATTTATACTTTCTATCACGTCGATTATTTCTTATATTCTACCCCGAAGATCTCTTCATACTGCACATTGTACCATAAAATAAAAGGCCTAAGCTGATATTCGATGATATCAAGTGGATTCTACTATTCACAAAAGAAATCATCTACGCTCTCAGTAAACGAAAGGAAAAAACTTCTTTCAACCAATGATATACTTAGGGCAATGCAAAAAATAGTGAGCGAGATACGTTATTCCCCATTAGACGGAGGCCTAGAAAGTTGTATTTTTTTATTATTAGGTAGAGCGTGTTTCGCTCTCTCCTTCGATGTCGCTTGAAAAGTTCATAGTGCGTATGACGATCTATTTAACATCCAGAATTTCATTCATTTTTTATTCAAATAGATTTACCACTTATTGGTGAATGAGTCGAAATTCTATCGAATGATCGAAGTAAAATGATTTCTTCTGAACGGATAGATCGACACATGAAATCGAAATCAACGTGATAAAATGAATAAGCAAGTATTATATTAATAACATAGTCACTTATATCAGAATAATTGAAAAGAATTTTATGCCCGATAAAACACGTAAACAAAGTGTGTAAGATTTCGATTGGAAGAAGATTGAAAAAACATCTACGCGACATGTTACTTTTATGATCGAATACAAAAAATTGAAAATAAAAGCAATGTTTGTCACTCTACGACAAAAGTTATAGATATAAACTACCTTTGTTATCAAACACACGATAGAAACTATGAAATATTGTCATGAGATCGTTCACCTTTCTCGTTTAATCATGAATCTCATCTTGTTGTCAAGAATATATACAAGATTTATATTCGAAGTTAATTTATAGTTTTTCTTGTCGATACAGTGCATCGGAAAGTTGTAGGTGTGAAGAAAAGATTGATAAAAAGAGAATCTTTCAAATTATCTGTTTTATTATATCTCTCGTATTGAAAAACCATACTACATCTTCATTCTCTTTCTATTTCGAAAAAAAATGTTTCTCTTTACCATAGAAAAGTGTGAGAAATCGAAGCCAAATGAGAACTTTTGGTGAAGAGATATGTGTATAAACATCATGTGGATGAAATTTGGAATACATTTTACAAGGTCATTACATATTCATAATCATCTAAGTAATTTCACTGTGAACAAATTGCTTTTCATACAACTATCGTTTTCGTAGTCGTTTAATAATTGAATGAATAATTTACTTTTATTGAGTAAATAGCTGATAACATTGAAGTGCATGAAAGTCGTGGCTTAAAATTCAAAGGTTTTATGTATTAATATCTTCGGACTTCTTGAATCCAACAATCTGATAATATTTCTATACATGAATCATTCATTTTTCATATCAAGGGATTTGTTTGTGCACTAAATAGCATTTGATGTTTCTACAATTACTACATAAGATTTCATCTCTTAGCAATGAATAATCAAAACATACATTATTCGCATTTGTGTGCCTTTTAATCGTGCCAGTCGAACATAAATATTCTTTCTCTCTTAAAAGTAAATGATTACAGACGATAAAGAGAAAGCAAATCGTTAATCATACCTGATACTGGCATTACCTGGCAATGTTGATCTTTTTCAAGTGCGACTTCGGTTTTTTTTCGCTCGATGCACAATTAAAATACACGATATCGTATACATAAAGATCATGAGGGGGAAGAGAGACAGAGAGAAACACTTCTGGATATAAAAAGCGAAATCTTAAATATATACATTTTATATTCGATCTTTTCATATTTGAAGGAAAAATATTAAAGGTAAGTGTAATATTTTCGAAGTCTGAATGATGTCTTGTACAGAATCGCTTGTAGAATCGTGAAAATGAATGCCAAATCTCTTTCCATTCTTTTACTCGTCTTCGGTTTGTTATTCACATTGGCTCAATGTGGAAGATTGACAAAACGAAGTTATGGTGAAGACGCGGATGATGATAGCAATGGTAATGAAAATGAAAATGACAATGGTGCTGATGATAACAGTGTCGATGATGATGCGGATCTACGTGGTAAGAAAACAGATGCATGATCGGTATCTGGATTGACGAGATCGATTAATTTTAGCTGAAAAACGAGCCATTCGTGCTTTCCTGGAAAACGAAAACGATGCCAGTGAATTTCTTGATCGATCAAGTCGATTATTTTCTGACCAAAAGAGTCATATGAAAGAAGCCAAAAAGAAGTAAGGATGATGGAATAACGATGAGCTTCTCTCCGAACTTTTCTTTTTCAATTCAGATATGAAGAGAAATGCGAACGTCTTCTCCACCCACGATACTGTCCAGATCTTGCCACATGGCCAGCTTGGAATCAAGCCTTCAACTCAGCTACCGGCAAAAAATAGAACAGTTTAACTATTTTTTATTTTACCGCGTTCTTTTCTGCATAAATAAAGTGAAATCTAACATAGAACAAGCTCGAATTTGTTTTCTTGGGTAACTTCATCGTATTTACGAATCAAGTCATTAACCACATGAGAAGAAAAATAAATATTGCGTCCGTGATATTTATACGCCCTATTCGAAAAAGTTCTTTCGCATAGGTCGAATTGTAAAAATCAGATTTATTTGACTGAAACAAAATATTTAACAACATTTGACAGACATGTCAATGATTCGTCCGCATGACAGGAAATGGATAAGCGAATGGTGATGAACTTGAATTGGGAGTACTGCTCTTTACTAATGTTTGCTGTTGAATACGAATTGTTTGCGTTTCCTAAGAAGAGAAAGACTATAAACTATTCATATGAATGAAAATAAAAACGAACCTGTTGGAGTGATGGTGCTTCAATCACCTTTGTTTCTTGTACTTCGTTCTTTTCAGAAACATTTGATTCAACATTTTGTTCATCTTCATTCTTTGCGATGTCATTTGTCGGTATCTGAAAAACAAAATACGCAAAAATCTTCGGCAACCGCAGATGTTTGTAACTAACTTGATCTATTTTGGATCGATCTCCATTCTGATTGGTACCCGGTAGATTAATTCCCATCTCCTTCGCTTTGCGCAATCGTATTTGATTTAAACGTTCACTCATACTCGACTGTCGTTTTTCCTTTTCTTCCATGACTTTCATCTGCTCTGCTTTCGTATTCGCTCTCAATTCGTTCAAAGTGGCCATTTGTTCTGCACGTTGTTTATCATCGGTGGAAAACTTATAATAACCAATACCATGCTCGCGTTTTTCATCGAAGAGCACATCTTCGTAATGAACATCGGTTTTGTTTCTTAACGCGTCCATATCCGATTCCCATTTGCTGCGCATCTGTTCGCGATGCAAACGTTCAACACGACGAATTTCTTCTTCGGATGTGGGTTTCGATGGAATCTCTTCGCGAGGTTTTCTCCTCTCTGCTGCTTTTAACTGTTCATATTCTTCGGCAGTAACTAGACGCGTACGTCCGAAAGAATCTGTGTATTCGACTTCAGCTTTCGGTTGATTTGTTTCGTAGATTTTCCGTTCGAAATCAACGAGGAACGACTTGTCATCTTCATCATTCACGTCTTCTTCAGCTAACAGTTTCATTTCACTGTTTGACATAATTTCGTCGTAGAGTTTGGCCTTCGCCTCGAGAATAGCACGAGATTTAGCGAAGGCGATTTCATCTGCACGAGATAATGTTGTAGATGGGGATGATTGTGGTGCCGGAGTAGAAGATGATGTTTCTTCGTTTTTCTTTTTCCTTTTCGAAGGATTTGCTACTTCAACATCTAATTCCGCTTTCGTCTTCAGTTTCAATGAACTTGAGGTCGATTGTAGATTGTCAAGTATCGATGACGATGAAGCCGAGGATGATGAAGCACGTTGAACATCTTGTTTCTTACGTAACAGTTCAGCTTTCAATGACAAATATGAACTCGACGTATTGTCAACCGTTTTTCTCGGTTCCGAATCCATAGTTTCTCTATTTATCTGAAAAAAAAATAGAAAAAACAGAGTTGATCATTGAATAAAAATCGAATTGTTTAAGAAAGAGTCAATATCAAAATTCAACATGTTTATCACTTCGTTTGAGCGGAACTCCGAGTTTTTTCGTAATGAGCATAGCAACATTGCGAGCGCTGATCGCTTCGATTTCCATACACGACGCACTCCATTCCATTGCATTGACATAGAATGTGTTCGAATTGATCTCAATCGGCGGAACTTTCTGTGGATAATCATATTTCGGATAAGCTAACCAAGGTATATCTTCGAGTAACTGGAATTTGTCATCATCTTCGAATATGCGTTTGTAATCGGTAGTTGAAAGTTTTTCGGGCGAAAAGACTTTGTAAACGGTTTTCTGCAATTTTCCTTTAGCATCGTTGACAGTTTGTAGTTGAGAAACAGATCGATATGGTAACGATGGATTCGTATAGAAAATTGCATTTAATCGTTGACACTCACGCGTAGTTAAATTATATATTTGACAATTGAGCTTGCCGGAGAGGAAACTTGCGTGTGTCAATTGCATGCGATAATCATATTGATTGAATAGGTCAGTTGTTTGTATGACAAAATCGTTCCTGTTGTCGCGGTGAAGTGGAAAAGCAACAATGACATAATCATAGTCAACAGCGTGAACAAGTTCACTATTAGCTGGTTGATACGAAAGACGAACATTGCCACCTTGATCATCGGCGTCCTTACGATGAACTTCTGCAATACTTTTTACACGACCATTTACATACTGAACGTCAGATTGTTTCAAAAGACGATCAAGTAATTGTTTCGGAACAAGATAATTACCACCTTTGACATGCCATAACGTTGAGCCAGCAGCCATTAGAGAAACAAGACCTAGGAGAAGAGCAGACTTGGCATCGATCAGAATAGGAAAACGTGTTTACCTGGAAAAGCATTCATTGAGTCGACTGATTGATCGTAGTTAACAAGCGCCGCCATTTGAGCAAGTTCGTCGATGAATAGCTTTCCAAAGCCTTTTTCATTTAGATATTTTCGAAATGACGTTTGTGTCGACTTGGAAAAATCTTGATCAAGCATTTGTAAAAATTCATCAACAGTTTGAAATGTTCGTCCATTATCCTGATAGTCATATATACTGAAAGAAGGAGCACAAATACTCGACATCACTTTTAGTATTGCAGAAGTGAAAAGATTTTACCGAACAAAATTTGTGAGTTTATTTCCAAGCCAGAACTTCAAACGCACGGCGTCAAAACCGTAACGCCATAAGATAAGAAATATATCGGGAATGAAACGAGACAACGTGGAAAATAATGTGTGCGAGCCATCGTTCGTTGTTAAATACGACATCGAACTTGGAACATTCAATCGCTTTAAACCTAAACAAGAACTTGCTTCTGGAGATAAAAATAACAATTATTAACTTACCCAACTCATCAGTAAATCGTTTCATGTACAAATTTTTATCATGTATAATCGATCCACCAGCTTCATATTCATTTCCATCAATATTCACCGTTTTCAATCTACCTCCAGCCTACAAAGCAATGTACACGCAATTCTAACAATAAATATTTCACATACTTGACCGGATTCATAGATTGTAATTGCAACAGAATCATTCAGATAATGTTTCAACCAATAGCCTGCAGATGTACCTCCAATACCTGCTCCAATGATTGCTAAATCATAAAACACACACAAAATTCGATTGATCCGCTTCATATCACACTCACCAACATGTGTTTTAGGCTTCTCATCCTGTTCGCAACGAACACTGACACAAGCGATCAACAAAACCACATATCCGAACTGTACTATCATCTTAAATCTGCAAGATGCATTGATATTTAACATCACACATAGAGACAAAGAGAAATCTATTTCTTGAAAGTAATTTCGTTTTCTTTCTTTTCAAATATATATAGTGGTAAAATAACGGACGAATACAGACGAGAAAAAAGGTAGAGGACAAAGTCGAATATATCTACAGATAAAAATTTCAGATGAGAAAACAAATCAACAGAGAAACAATGTAAGGAATATGATCATTCGTCGTGAGAGTAAGAGCAAAAATAAGAAAAAGAAGAACGAAAACAAGAAAGTAGGTTTTTTTTTACAATAATTAATGCTGAACCACAAAAGAAGAATGGTTATTTTAGCCGTTGAGTAATGTTCGCAAGGGCAACAGCAAATGCTTGCAGTGGAGAAAAGGGCCATTCGAAATCGAGTGTATAACAATTATTTTCAATCCGACCGAATTGAATAACCTAGAAGGAAGAATACGATGGAAATGAATATCAATCGTTGAAAAACGGACCTGTTTTCCCTTAAATTCAATTTGAAAATTTTTCGCTGATTCGAGCGTTACACGTCCACCGAAATCTAACTGGTATACTTGGGATTGTTCATTCCATAAGCTAAGCAACAGAAGTCAAATAACAGATTTATTCGAAAAACGAAACACTCACGGTGGTCGATTCTGCATGACATAAAATGATGAATCGTTAGGCTGGTCTGAACGATTGATTAGTTGATCTAGTTCAGGAGATGGAGATAATCGCGTTAAGGAATCGTTCGTTCCACTCGTACATGTCATCATACGATGTCGAGGACTTGAATATCTCTGGAGAAAATAATCGTTCGAGATGCATTTAAACGAACGAAAGATAGAATTACCTTTCGAGAATCATTTCGACTAGATGTTCGCTTTTCTTTTGTTAGATTTTCTTCACAAGAATTTAAATGAACTATCTCTTCATCTGTGTGGACTTCTTCATTTTCATTGGAGATTTCTCTTTGTAAAGACGATGCAGATAAGTGTGAATTTGCTGCTGCCACCATTGCATCTGTTGTTTGCTGTGATTGTCGCGAAAGTTTCGTTGTTTGATTCAGTGTTGGATCACTTAGACTTAGCTTCTTTTGCTGATTACTATTAAATGGATATAGATTTCGATATGTTTCAGGTTCGAAACAGCTCTCTGGCACAGTCGAAATTATCGATGTGACAGGAGCGTTTGAAGCAAGTGGATTAGTGGCGCGATTCGTTTGATTTTCGCTACTATCATAACCGGATGAATCGTCGATTAACAGTGTTGTGGTAGCACTCGCGGTGGATGCATCGACATTGTTTGCAATCGAAGGAACAAGTATAGGTGGTGACTGATGGCGAGAATATGCGGAATGATTCGTCATATTGTTGGACGATGTTCGTGAAAATTTCGGTGATAGAGGTTCTTTCACTTGTATACATGGAGGAGATATAGGACGAATAAAGTTTGCTATGGAAGCAGCGGGAGATGTTGAACGGCTTAGATTAATGGGCGAAGTTGAAGACGAATTCGCCGCTGATGAATCGATGTTGATTGGTCGATTTCGATGGTTGATCATAGTCGTTGTGGTAATAGAAGTACGTTGTAGAAGATGATTGGAATTTGGAGATGCTTGCGTAGAGATTTTCGGTTGAGTGGAATATTTTGTTTCATGTAAAGACGATGAACGTGGATGTGGCGATGATGATGGTAAAGATGAACGAACATTTTGTAGTTGAGGAGACATAGGTGCAATGGGGATGTTGCCAGCAATGTTTAGTTTCGACGACGAAAGAGCTGAGAGAACGGAAAAGACGGATTTCATAAGAAAATTCACCTCGAATAGTTCACTTACCGATCATCGTTTCATCATCTTCTTCTTCATGGATCTTACTACGTATTTGCTGTTTGGTCTTTCGAATCATCGGCTTTAGAAGTTTGTCTTTTTTGCTCTTTTTATAGGAGAGCACTGGTTTGCGTAGATTGTAGTTATTTGCAACAGTCACCGTCATTTGTCGAGGTTGTAAATGTAAAAACGATGTTTTATACGTAACACTACCAAGAATTTCTGGTAGAAATGGTGAATTTCCATAGAATTTAAATCTCGTTCCCCATATATTCGCTGCTATTGTACACAACTTGTTATTCTAAAATAAATTTCCGTTACAGATCAGTGATTGTCCTAATTAAGCTAAAGCACTAAATCATGTGCTTAGTGTGATTAAGTAAAAAATTCTGAATAACGGAAATGATTGGTAGATTAATTATCTATACGTTTAACCTTGAAAATGTGTTTCCTTGAGTCCGAAAGATAATATCAATCCGAAATCGATCTTAACTACACATGTATCGTTGGATACATCAGACATTTTCTGTCTACTTTGACAACGATGATTGATACTAACAACATACTTTTATAACGAAGTGTTTTCTCGTCTCTTCCCATAAGAAAATCACCATTCAACTAATCCATTCACGAAACAGTCACTCACTACGTCATTCTGATTCAATTAGTCGACGGCCTTCTTTCTTTATCTATATCACAGAAAGTTACAAAATGACAAATCTGCTTCATTTACCATATGCTATAGATAATCCATCTGTCCTCTTAGACTCTCGAACATGAACCAAGTACCTTTCAGAGAAGGTTAATGCTGTCAAACGATGGTTACAAGTTTTCAACGATAGTCTTTTGTCCGAAACGTGCCTTGTTTGACTGACGTGTGATAAGCTCTTCTTAGGAATTCTCGTGTTACTTACGTGTTTATGTTTGACAACTTTGGATTTCTTTCTCGAGCGTTTTTCTTGAAGATTAGTTTGTTTGTCATCGTCGTCGTCGTCATCATCATCATCATCTTCTAAATCGGAATCATTTTCTGAACTGCATCCAGAACTTGATTTATTTGTTAACAAATCATCTCCCGTTTGATTGATGCCATTTTCCACAGCGTAAATCGAATTTCGATTCGGAATCAAACTCGAACGATTGGTATTCAGCAATTTCGTTGATTGTTGAACAGAATTCATCTTGTGGAACGTACTTGAACGTGATTTCAACGATGAAAAATGTTTCTTCTGTGAACGTATCTTTGATGAAGACGACAACGAGACTTGATTAGATTTCATTTGAGGATCGAATATGATGAAATCGGGACAAATCTTCGAGACACGTTTAGCAGTTAACAATGGAATAAGTCCACCAAGATATTCTAGATACAAAACATAAGTTGCTCCTGATAGATTAGGTGTTGTTGGCATTGACGATGAATTTTCCGTTTCATTATCGACACGTTTCATTGTGCATTGTAGGCGCAGATGTGATTTCAATGGATTACAAACGAACGAACGCAGAAATCTTTGGTCCGGTAAAAATCCTTTGATTATCGAACGAAAGGAATTCTGAAGGTTATGCTTCAGATTATTTGGCAGATATAGTTTATCGAGATTTTGTAAGCTATTATGTAATAAACATTCTTTGATTTTCATCTGACATAATGTTAACATGGACGGGAGAGATTTATGAGTTATCCAGATTGTATAAACATATGAACCACATGCAGCAAAGATAATATCTAAATTGAATTAATGGATCGATTTTATTCGATTGACAAGCTCGTCTTACCATTGCCATGCGCCCAGCATAGAGCTGATAATGGTTGCGTCTACGAAAAAGAATAAACAAATTTGAGCTACTTAGTTATGAACAAAAGTTCTTGTGACAACTGTATGACACACATCAGATCATGACTGGTGTCTTTGATAAGTTCGGAGAACAAGTCGAAGATTGTAGTTTTGTATTAACAATCAGAGTATTACTCCTACATAGACACCGACAAAAAAGAAATCAATCCAGAGTAATCGAAATTCATTCGATGAACAGATCTTTCTATAGGGAATAATAATGGGATAAAATATGCCAGAAGTGACATTCAATAATCGTAATTTCAACATCAATTTGATCGTTAACATGCATGAGAACAGGGAATTGTCCAATTATTCAGTTCGATCTATCTGTCATAATTAGGCGAAAACAAATTTCTATTCTTTTCTAAGTTTGGTTATTGTGACCTATTCGTCTTTACTGAGAGGTGGATGAATGAGATAAATTCTATTAGTGAATACAAACCAGTTGTGGAATATGGACACGATGCAGAAATTCTCCACGACGAGAATAAAAGATAATCTGATTGATATAAGTCGAATCATTGACGCGTTTATGGCCGCCAACCGCGAGAATTTCACCAGGTGATGACCAATCGATTTTGGTATCTAAATCCGAATGTAAACATATTCGTCCTTGCTTCATAAATCATCTACTTTGTAGTTCTGTATCAACAGATATTGGTGATGGATCTTGGTAATTATTCAGAAAAAGAACATGACCATTTGCGAGGCTACAAGCAAGTACATAATCATCATTTACAAATTTTCTTGCATCTAAAACGAAGTTCGTCGGAGTCATGTTTATTTTGTTGTTATTGAAAAGAAATATTTACTGCTATCAGGTGCTGCGGGATAGAACTTATTGCATGAGTAAACTAATTGTGTTATTGATTGTGTTGATAATGAAAATCCTTCAGTTGTATTTCCATGATGATCCATTAAGATTAAATTTCCTGCTGTTGTTCCAAGAATAACACTAGAAAAACAAATAAACACCATGGATAGAAAATCATCTTTTTTCCTTTTTTTTTGTCTGTTTATTGTCATACTGTGAAACATCAGGCATCCATGTAACAGCAGATATTTTCGCTTGTGGAGTATTGACAACTGTTGACCAATAACGTTGACCAGTTACTGAACCAACAAGAACGAAACCGTCTTCATAACAAATCACAGTCATACGTCCATCATGTGACCACGCCATGTCAATAACCGGATGACTACGGTCATTAATTAGTTCTAATGACCAACGATTATCATGTTTGACCCAAACAAATATTACACCTTTTTCATCGACTGTTGCCAGCTTTTGAAAAGGAACATTCCATGAAACTAGACATACTTCGGTACGATGTGCACGAAGATTAAAATTCGTTCGATCAGGTATAGTTAAATTGTCATCGGAACGTTTCGACGTATAAGTCACACTGACAATATTATTGGTATTGCCTGTTGCTAACCATCCATCACAGAGATTCATCGGTTGTTGAGACGATAGAGTTGATACTGAACGATTGGCATCGTCATCAACATTGTGAATATTATTTGTGGCAATCGTATTGGGATCCTCATTTTCATCATTGGTTACATTTGATGTCGAAGGTGGTGTGGACACATAGCTCATCCATGATAACGATTGAATAATCGAATCTGTTCGTGGTACGCTCGAGAGTTCAACATAGGCATACATCTTGCTCGCCTAGGACATTTTTCAAATGAGCAAAAACTAATAAATAGTACAATGAGAGATCGAATACGAAAGAGAAACAAAATCTAAAACAAAAAGAAAATAACAAATCACATAGGCAACCTTTTTTCTAGTTGTAGTTATCGTTAAAATATCCTATTGCTTCGTACGTTGACTAATCCAAATGTCAAGGATGTTATTGTAAAGGGTTTGCATACCAATCAAGCGACATATCTATTCAAGTCAAAAACGTCTCACACCTTTTCCTTTCGCTTTTTTCACTATTTGTCGTGTAAAGATTCGCAGAACGATTAGAAACACAAAGACTGAGTACGACAACATCAAAATGATAATACAGGAACAGCGTTAATGCCTCCGGCGACATTGGGCCTACTTGTTTATCCAAAGGATTTTGATGCATGCTTGCAACCTTGTTCTTTTTTTTCTGTCTATCGCGTCTGTAGCCTTCAGAAAACTATTGCAAGGAAAGAAATGGGAAAGAAAAATGACGAAAGAACGAGAGTAACGTACTTGTTAAGAGGAACAGGAAGGAAAAATTCCTCGACTCTCCTGAATACAGATTGTAGAGATTATATTCACTGATCGTTACAGTTCGATGTCCTAGTGTGTTAACTTAAACATTAATCGACTAGGACGTAAGAGATAGATATTTATCTTCATTGCTAAAAGTTGGTTTCGCCAGCGTTGATTTGATAAAACTTTTGCTTCTTGTTCACTTCAAGAAGGACAAAGTAAAGACATTAGAAAACGTTTACCTATATGTTTCGAAAAATGTACGTAGGGCGGGTAAACGAAAACGACACGAAAAGAAAAATTCAGTTCTACATAATCGTTGAAAGAAAATAAACATCATCAAAAAAAAGGACAAGAAGAGGAAAAAAATGTACGATGATGAAAAAAAAAGAAGAAACATCATTCATTTTATTCATAGATATTGGACAGAGAAGAACGAATCAATGTGATAGTGAACTCAAGCGTCATCTACCGAATGAAATGATGAGAAAAGGGTTAAACGCATGGAGAAGGATGTTCTCATGGTTGTTTGATTTTGGTTCGAAAGAAGCAGTTCACTTGATTTGTAATTCCGTCGGATCGTACTGATAATCATGCCTGTTATAATCGCAAGTAAAGGAACCAGTTTATGGGAGGATATATGTGCTGAGTATGCAGCCAAACGTGCTCAAGTCATAGCGAATGCACCACCAGGTTCATTTCTCTATGCGGAAAAGAAACATTCTGATACTAATGGATCGAAGAAATCTTCGTACGATAAGCAAATCTATGATCCAGCAAAACACACGCCTGTCTTTTGCAATCAGTCTTACGTTGCTGCTCCTATCGATGACATCACACAGATTCAAATCGATACACGTATATCTCATCCAGCTTGTATTACTTATGCTCTATCGCCAGTGGATGAATTTCAACGAGAATTAGCAGCGCAAACAGCGAGTCAACGTCCGAAAACGCCAATGAAAAAAAGTCCGAAAGAAATACCAACGATCGAATATTTAGAAAACTATGTTTATCCGATTTTATTGAAAGGTATTGAACAATTGTTAATCGAAGCCGAAAAACGCAAATGTTTAGAACGAAAACGCAGTGCTTTCAATGCATTGGATTACCTAACACGATATTTATATTACAACAATCCCGAACGAAGCGAAGTCACTGACGCGCAAACCCGTGAATTATCGTTTAAAGACAGATCTCTTGAAGATATTCCTTTTGTTCGTACACATTTTGAAAAACACCCACGAGCGCCCTTACCAAAATCGCTTCTATGGGGTGAAGAAGAAGCTGCATTGAAAATTCAATCCTTCTATCGTGGTTATCGTATTCGTAAACAGCCGGAAATACAAGAATTACGTCAATGGCAGCGGGATTGGCGCGAATCTAATCGAAATATTCATGACGTTGTCGAAGATTTCTGGCGACAACGAACATCACCAGCACCTGTTTAAATTCTTCTTTATTTTTCAATAAAAATGATCGTTATCTGCTCGATCACACGTGTTTCCTCTCTTGAGAATGGTAGAACTACTTTCAGAAATTAACACACCAGAAATTATATTTATATGTCATTTATTGAACTATCTAAAGCGAACATTTTCCCGAACGTTCAATTTCATTTTCGAATTATTTATATATATATATATAGATATTTCTAGCAAACTGTTCGTACAAAACCAAAAGACAGATCCAAGTACGACAATAGATAGAGAAAAAAACGAGATATGAAGAAAAAGAAAACTACTATGACAAACTGTTCTAGGAAATATAGAAAAGTTCAATCCGACATAGAAAGTTCGAATTCGAAATAGATACACACTGAAACAAACGAAAGAAAAGGAATAACAGAACACACTATCTGACATTAAACATTTAGTAATTTGCACGATGAAGATGACATGTCGCCATTCTCAGCAAATGGATCCGACCACATTGAGTTCAGATCGCCCTAAACGACAAGACCAACTTATTGAAATACTTTTCATTCACTTCAAATATTACTTTTAAATGGGCGATTAACAGCAATGGTATTAATGTAAATGGAACGAGAAACAAAAGTGCTGGTTGAGCACATTTAAATACTTCCGAAGAAATAGTCGCTGTCAATAAACCTTCAATCGATAAATTTCTTTGACTATTAAACGCAAAGTTTCCACAGGTTCTTACCTGCACAATAGCCGATTAACGAACACTGAAAATATGTTAAACGATTGATTAAAGACAACGGATCGTTATTGTACAAATTATTTGTTCGTTTTCGAGATTCGAATCGTAAAACGAAACAAAGAACAAGTCCAGGCATGATTATATCTCCAAGACCCAACAATGAAAATCGGCCTTGTTGTTGCATACTAAAAATCGCGAACATAATGAGTTGATTGTTTTTTTTTTATAAAAATCAAATATTCTTCTTCTTCTTTACCTGGGAAAAACAATTTTACCAGGCAGTGAAAGTCTTGGCGCTCGATATCGATTGAAATTGAATCGTCTTGCTATAGTTGCCAACTGAAAACAATCATCAAATTCTCTTCGAATTCTCTCACACGATATCAATTTCCTTACTGGATTTTCTGCTTCACGAGTTGCAACACGAACCATAACATTTGTTGTAAAGATATATTGAGAGAAATACACCCAAAAAACATCATAAATAACGAGACCAAGTAGTAATAACGCCGACACTTTCAAATTCGGCAAGCGAACCAAAGCGATAAACGATATGCATAACCCTGTTGCAATGACTGAAAAGAGATTCATGCAGATTATGTTCGTTGAACAGTCAATATTTACCATCCATGAATAACCAATGTCCGGTAACAATCCATACTAAGACAAGGGCAACGGATAGACTGAATGCAACAATTTCGGACAATGTATACCGGCCGAAAATGCTGAAAGAAATCCTATATGTATTTATTAAATGAGAAAAAAGTGATCGATAAGATTTCTTTTTACTTAGTATTATCAGAGAATGGCCGAAGGATCATTTGACAGCAGGGTGTAAGAAGATAAGCAAAGCCCATTGTTGCTAAAACTAATTGAGACATAATCCTTGATAGAACTGATCCTCGAAGGAAGACATACTCGCTGTACAAATAATGAAGACTGTTTGAAGTGAATCAAAGAAGAAAAACATGATAATTAAGGATATCGATGCACCAAGAGGAAGTGCAATAGCGTGCACTGTTTCGATAACATGCGAATGTGGAACTGGAAAAGAAAGAAGAGATATGATTGAGTATGAGCTTTATTCTATTTATCTAACCTTGTTCATTGCTTTGCGATTCCGAGAGAAACTTGCTTGGTAGTAAAGAATCTTTCGATTTATCGAGATCTAACGCTCTAAAAAGATTGAAATTGATTTTCAATCTATGTTAGAAACAAGAGAATATCTTACCGGTAACTTCCATAAATGATGAGAATAAGAGCAATTATAAATGTGGAAAGATGAGATGAATCAATGATGGCAAAAATACTATTTCTCCTAAAAACAAATTCGAAATACACTTTTCATAAATCACATCTGGAACAAAGTCATTACCAATGAACATTCTGTTCGTTGATTGGTTGAGTTTCCACTACATCCGAAATTGTTAGAAGAATATCAAACAGCATGATGTGTTGTTCGATGACGAAAGGCCTCGATTGACGTTCAACCGATGATATAAGAGAAAGAGCAGACGGTCAATTTTGAGACGGCGACAATACTGCGTCACGGGTCATCGCTATTTTTATATCAATATTCTCTCCCGTCGATAATGATAATCATAATATGATGTTTAATGTTTAAAACAACTAAAGAGAGAGAGAAAAAAAATAAACATAAATTATGTCGAAAAATATCCTGATGTAGCCTTGGATGAGATGAATCATAGAAATGTAAATCACACAACATATCTGTCCTAATTTCAGCATTTGTCTGCCTGAATATAACGAGATCTATGTATAAAAAGCACGTATGCGACAATTATGTAAGGACGAACATATGCAAAGAAAAAAGAGTCTTGGATAGAGTATGTCAACATTCAAACTTAACCGACAAAGACAGAAGAAAAAAAAAAGAAGAATTTGTCTACGATGTATTACACAAAGGCAATAGTTATATATACATATATACGTAAAAAAGAAAGAAAAAAAAAGCGAAGGAAAGAATAAAAGGCTTTTTACAAAGTAATCTCATCAGGTGAACTTGTGAAGAAATGAGAAAAGAGTTGACCGACTCATTTAGGTTATTTAATATTTGAAAATAGAAATGCAGCTGTACTTCTTCGGTTTTTACTGATTTGATATCTAATCTATTGAAATCGTGGAATGAAAGAACATCGAAAAAAAGAGCAATGCTTTCTTTATGTAATATGCGAATAAATAAGTTGGGTGTGTCGTAGGAAATGATCACCAACATCGGTCAACATGGAAAAAATCTCATTGGCTCAGAGATTACCAATAGATTATTAGAGTACCTCGAATTTTTCTTTTTCTTTCAATTTCTTCTTGTAAAATTCAAATAGAACATTATCGATTCAATTTCTTTGCTTGGAAGTTTGTTTTCTATATACACTTTTCCGTGTTTAATCAGCTATTCAACAAGACGATACAATGTGCCAATCAGTCAATCATGTTCACTGAGTACGATTACAACAGAGTTCACATTGGACGAAAAAAGAAGGAGTCAGTATGGAGATATCGCAATTCCGATGTGTTTTTCTCCTCTTCGAAGACGTTTGTTGCCTGGTGGAAAAGGAAACATCATGCTAGTAGTACTCAGCTGAGTGAAACGTTGCCAGTCAGTTGATTTTTCAATTTGGAGAGAAATTGCTGACTAAATGAGAATGTGATAGTGTTTGTAGAAAATAATTTTTAAAATTATAATTAGTATTTTGATTTGATTCGGAATTGTCGAGAGAATTTGAAAAATGATTTCATCATTCATCGATCTCAATTGTAATGTCTCGAGAAATTGTTCACCAATATGGTAGAAAATCAGACGAAGGAAAAAAGAAGCTCTTCTTCCAGATACTCGATTCTCTCTCTAAAAAAAGAGCGAAAGATACTGGAATTTTCTTACAGCGAGACGACACAATTTCAAATTGTTTTATTTTCTATAAGAATATCACACGGAGTACGGTAGATATTGGCAACATTTAATGTAAAGTAGCACTAGATCGTGCAAATGGATACCATTGACTGTGTCTAATTCAAATAAAAACCGATGGTAGTCTTACACTTGAACTTTGATCAATTATGGAAGACTATTTCTAGACTGTATGAAACGAGATCGGCAATACCAGTGGAAAGAGTGTTACATAAAGCGACGATAACGAGTTTTCATTAGATGACTGAATCGCCGACAATAAATGATGATATTGATTATGAGAAAGAGAAGAGTCTGATTGTTCAATGTTTTTGAAGTTTAAATAGAGTGAGAAAAGTACTCGTATCAATTATATCAAAGGACATACCGAAGTTCATGAGCGAACAAACTACTACAAGTTCGATCTTTAATTAACTATCACATTGTCGTTGAAATCAGCGCAATAGTATCTAAATTTATTTATACATAGTCAATGAGTGCAAAGAATTATAAAGATTCTTTAAGTAATTTAATGCAAATAATCGACCTTGGCCATTGATTTCAAAATGTTTCGTTAGCCTTGGAAATATTTACATAATTGAAAAACATTAGAAACATCAAAGTGAATGATCGAACAGTCAGTAAAACTTCTCCTGCAACCTTGTCTGAAAAATCTAAGCGAATAGCAATGATTAGAACAAGTCAAATACAACACAAAATAACATCTGAAATATTGATCTGAACTAGAGATTTATTTTTTTATCATTTTCGACAACATATGTAACAGAAGTATGACATAGACTTGAATGAGTTGTATAGTTGCATGATAGGGTGTCTGAATGCATAATATCTCGTTAAATATTTGCTCAATGTGAGAGTGGTCGTGATAGCGAATAGTTTTTTCTTTTCAGTCTTTACCTTGATTTTATTCTTTACTTCCTCGCTGACTTATTTCAAGCGACATAAATTCCTAGTGAGCTGCGAGAAAGATGGTTTTCAACGGTAAAAAAGGAGCCATGGACAGCATAGATGAAGAAATTCATTTCTCATCAATGTCGTCTGTGGGAGAGGTGACTCGTACGCGTAAAATCCTACTTTTACTGATAAGCTTTCAATTGGTAAGATTTTCTACTCAAGATTAAAATCTAAACCAATAGATGTAAGATGAATCAATTCATTTCTAGGTCTTAACTCTTGTTTGTAGTATTGCTACTCTTTATACTTATATTTTCGGTTTAAACCCCACGTTTCAATCGTTCATTCCCATCATTCTGTTTCTGCTATTTTTTACTTGCTTAATTTATATCGTGGGATTAGTCGCTGTTGATCGATATATCGTCAACAGCATCTTTGTAGTACGTTTTGATTTTTGTTTTGTTTATTGATCCATCATTACTTATTTTTCATCGTAGTTTACCAAGCTGATGATAATAGATCTTATTCTGATTTACTTAACCATAGGATTTTGTTTCATCTTACCCATATGTAAGGAAAAGTACACAACTGGCGGAATTATTCCAGCTACGATGATTGCTATGAGTTATTTGATGGTATTTTCCGGGATATCTTTTCTTCCGGTAAATCTTTCATATCGATTTTATTGTGTTTCTAACTTCATTTGGCTTCTAATTGTTTCCTCTCTTGATTTTTTAGGCATTTACAATTCGATACAGTCAAAAATTAGCTGAGCTGTTGACTGGTAGTGATTATATCGTAGGAAAATAGATCGATTCGTCGATGATTAACAATAAACATGTATTTTCAGCTTTTGTGTATCAACATTGATTTTATTGATAACATGATATTTTACTAATCAGTAGAAAGCCGATTTTTCACTCTCTTGATACCAAGTGAAGTTTGTTTTTACATAAAATGATTGAGATTGTATGAAATATTGAATGAGAATCGTGTGATGATACATTAAAGTATATCACTACTCAACATACATCATGCAGCAGCTCCTAACGTCATCTATTCGTAGCAATTTATTGTACATAAATAAAAAGTATCATTACAGTTAAAGTAATTGCATATCAACTTGCGAATTTCTGTCAAAGAAAACAGACGATATTAACAGAAATATGCAGTTTGTATCGTTTTCAATATACTTACTATGTAAGGAAATGATCAGATGCCCCACCGTAATAACTCTTTCGAGAAACTATACAACATCGATGGTTCCGATAGAAGACTTTATAAGAAACGAAGTACAGCTATCTTATTTAACATATCTTTTATTTATTTCTGCTGCACTTTCACGTCCTATCAGAATACAAACTTACCGACCGGTAGTTCTCATGCATGGAATCGTCGCATCAGCTTCGGACATGAACGAAATTGCTAGTTGGCTTCGGACCTCTTTCAATGGGATCTATGTTCTGTCGATTGAAATCGGCAATGGCGTAGATGACTCATTTCTATGGCCAATGAACAAACAGGTCGATTATTTCTGTGAGAAGATTCGAAGTAATGTTTATTTACAACAAGGATTCAATCTATTGGGATTTTCTCAAGGAAGTGTTATCGTCCGCGCTGCTGTCGAGCGATGTTCATTACCAGTTTATAATTTAATAACATTAAATGGTGTCCATCAAGGCATATTTGGTATACCTTATCTTCTCAAACTGCCCGTTTATTTCCGTGAATTAATCACGAAATATGCGTATGAGAAAGTCATTCAGACATATGTTGGTGTTGCTAACTATTGGCGAGATCCAATGCAGCTAGATCGATACATATCTGATTGTCATTTTCTTCCCGATATCAATAACGAACGGGAATTACGAAATGAAACCTATCGTACAAACATGTTAAAATTAAACGCATTTGTTATGACCTATTCTGATCTCGATGAAGTCGTTACTCCAAAAGAGTCCGGCTGGTTTCTAGGCTATGCGCCTGACACATTAAATATCGAAACGTGGAATAATTCAAGACAATTGACTGAAGATCTTATCGGTATGCGGACTCTTTGGGAACAAGGAAAAGTGTATAGATTTGTATCGCATACGCGTCATCAAGATGGATCACACGGAGCCAATCGAGAATTTTTCATGAAAAATATTCTAATATTTTTTAACAATACAATTCTCTGAAGACGTGCAGCCGTCATTAGAAATTCAACTTTTATTTTCCGAACTGAAACATAATTAGAGTTCACTGTACAAAAATGAAACAATTTATTTCAATTTTCCCATCGCTAAACGATAGTATCGACCACCAAGTGCGAGCAATTCTTGACTAGTACCACTTTCTACTATGACACCATTGTGTATAACACATATCATATCTGCATTCTGAATTGTTGATAAACGGTGAGCAATTGTGATAGATGTTCGGTTTTCTTGGGCAACTTCTAACGCGTCTTGAACTACTTTTTCACTTTCACTATCCAATGCACTGGTAGCTAAAATAATCGTACAGCGTTATGCCGGGAATGAATAATTAGTGTACTCGTACCTTCGTCAAGTAAGAGAATTTTTGGATCACGAATTAATGCTCTCGCAATGGCTAAAGAAACAATTTGAAGTAGAATTCTTTGGAAATTTATCTTCTCGTACCAATTCGCTGCTTTTGTCCACCCGATAGTTGCGTACCTTTAGCACCACAGTTTGTATCGTATCCCTTTAAAAAATCGTTTCGAATTTTTAAATAAAATTTTCATTCGATGACTTACATCAGGAAGTTGCTGAATAAATTCATGAATATTCGCACTTTTGGCTGCTGCAATAATTTCCTCCATTGGAATATCGCTACGGCGATTGTCACCGTAGGCGATGTTGTCTTTGATTGACATATCGAATAATGTAGGTTCTTGTGAAACAAGGCCAACTGAGAAAAACATTTATTAGTGTTGAAGCAACGAAAACATTATGTGATTTACTTTGTGAGCGGTACCATTGCAAATTAAGACTTCGTACATCTTTCGAGTCAGCCAACTGTAAACGAACATTTAGAAATGAAACTGAACACGAGATAAAACATTTTCTCTTACTAATCGACCAACATTTGGATCGTAGAAACGTTCGACAAGTTGAATTGTTGTTGATTTTCCACAACCAGATGTACCTAGACATTGAAACCACGTTCTGTGCAGAAGTATGTACGAGAGCTAATTTCGATTCACATACCGACAAGTGCAACTTTTTGACCTAAAATACAATACCAACGGAATTATAATGAGAGTCAGTGAATGAAGAGAACATACCAGCACGAATCTTAAGTTTGAAATTTCTGAGAATGATCGATTCCGGTCTATTAGGATAGATGAAATGCACACTTTCAAAATCAAGTTGTCCAGTGAAGTTTGGCTAGATAAAGAAAATATTTCGATTTTCAAGGAATTTTAATAAAATGTTTACTTACAATTTCTTCACCCGAAGATGAAGTATTGTCAATCAATGGTTTTCTATTCCACAAGTCCAAAATTCGTCCGCCCGCTTCAATGGCTTTGGTATAATCTGGAGACATCGCAGCCGTTTGACCCACACTTTGCGCACCAAATATAATACAATTGAAACATCTAAAAATACGACAATTGCTCATAATATTTTCAACGAAATTCACTTCGTGAACACTTACAAGAGCACATCTTCAAATGAAAGCGTACCCTGAGCGACTAGATGAGCACCTAGTCTGAACAACGCTGCTAAACTAAAGAATATTACGGAATTTGTTAATGAAAAGAATACACCGAAAATATGTGCCCGTTTTATCGACGCTCTAGAAGGGCAAAATGATCGAATAGTATTTGTTCATTGTAATGAAATTTCATTTACCGGTAGGGAACTTCGATATATGAACAATATTCCTGGTAAAAATGATCTTCTTTTGTCAATTGTATCACTGTTCGAATATTCTGTATCGATTCAGTTGCCACCTAAAGGTTATGTCACACACGAGAATGAATAACTTCTAAATCGAATAATGCTACACACTTTCCCTGCATTTTCGTGAACTTCTTTGTTTTTGCTTGAAAATCCAGTCATCAGATAGTTTTGTAGGAATCCTCCGGCAACCATCAGTGGAACAAATGCTAAGATGAGTAATGTTAACTGCCAAGCGAATATAAAACTTAAGATGACACCAGTGCCAAGCGCAGCTAAGTTTTGTAACATGGTTCCTATGCGAATGCCCGTTGCTCCTTGGACAGCAGACGCTTCAGTAGCTAAACGCGTACACAAAGCACCGGTATTGTTCTTGGGATCATCGAAATAGGCAATATCTTGACGCAAAATAGCCAGAAACGTTTGTGAACGTAATCTTTTAGTCAGTGCTTCACCGGAACAAGCAAATGAAAACGCCTAGATAGAGAATGTATTGTTGCAGTTTGATCTGTATAGATTATCGTACTTGAAGGAATGTAGAAACTAAGATTAGAATACCGAAGCCAATGAACAAGAGTATATAAAGTAAGACTCGATCTTTTTGCACGTTTTTATCACATTCTTGAAAGACCTTTTTAAACAGATGAGAAATCGCGTATATGATTAACATTGAACACTATTCAAGAGTAAAAAATGTATTACCGCTGTAAGTTTACTCAAAATTAGACCAAAGACAGGTTGAATGCCACCGGTACATGTGCATGCTAAACAACCTAGTACTATATATTTCCATTCAGGTTTATTTAACGAAAGCATTGTCCTAGCCACATCTGGTTTTTTCTCCTAAACAAACAAAAAATCGATTGAAGTTCATCGAATTTTGATAGCTTACTTTTTTCTCCTTCTCATCATTTTCCTCATCATCATCTTCTGCTGTCTTTTTCTTTCCATATAATGCCGCGATGACTGATGGTGTTAAACTAACTACTGTCGAAGCTCGTTTTCGAATACCCTCTGAATCAGTCTCGTCCAGATTATGAGCAGTAGCAATTCCCGCGCTTTCTTGACGTTCGAAAGCTAATTGTTCTTCTTCTTCAGCTCGCCGTAGATTTTGTTGCTCCACAAGACCGTAGTATACGCCTTCAGCTTTCATTAATAACGCATGATCACCTTCTTCAACTACTTCACCTTTGTGCATGACTACAATTTTATCAGCATTACGAATTGTGGAAAGACGATGTGCAATAACCAATGTTGTTCGTCCTAAATATAGTAAGCGTAATCTGGGTAACATAGTGTTTACTAAGTTCTGAGTATACCCTCAGCAGCTCGATCTAACGCATCCTGTACGATTTTTTCACTTTCGTTATCGAGTGCACTTGTAGCTAGAATTCAAGATGTACAAGATAGACTGAGGAGAACACGATTCACCTACCTTCGTCGAGAAGTAAGATTTTCGGATCTCGAATCAAGGCGCGAGCAATTGCTAAAAGACAATTGGAGCGATATAGAGGACAACAACGACGTGATTGATCATTTACCGATTCGTTGTTTTTGTCCACCTGATAACGTAGCACCACGTTCACCAACTCGTGTCTCATATTTCTATTCGAAGAACGCAGAAGCATCCAGGTATTTGTATGTAGTCTCCTACAAAACTTACATCAGGTAAGGTCATAATGAAGTCATGTGCATTAGCCATTTTTGCCGCTTCGTGGACTTCAACATCAGTAGCCGAGTCTCGTCCGAATAGAATATTTTCTCGAATTGTTGCTTGAAATAGGATAGGTTCTTGACTAACCACACCAATATGCTCTCTTAACCATTTTAAATTATATTCTTTCACTTCGTGTCCATCGATACGAACTGAACCCGCATCCGAATCGTAGAATCGTTGTAGTAATTGAACACATGTTGATTTGCCGGAACCTGACGACCCAACTAGAGCGATGGTTTGGCCTCGTCTCACATCGAATGATATTTCATTGAGAATTTGAACACCCGGGCGTGAGGGATATGCAAAGCTCACATTATCAAATTCGATATCGCCAACTAGATCATCTTTTTTCACACCAGTCTCTGAATCGCTGATAATCTTTGATGGCTAGAAGAATATTTTACAAAAGCAGAGCAATTATCGATGCGAATCAAAAATGATCATAGACCTACAGCATCAATAACCTCCCATACAATACGAGCTGCTGCTCGTGCTTGAGTTAACGCTTGAAAGTGAGGACTAGCTTGTCCCAAATTGAACACAGCGATGATAATAGAAAAGAAAACCTGGAATATGATACTTAGTTTCTAAAACACTCGTTCATCGTTTGCACTTACAATAATAACATTGCCGATATTATATCCTTCATCACGAATTAATTTTGCTCCATACCAAAATCCTGTTGAAATCAAATGTAGAGATTTCACATGGAATAGTCCACCTCAACGTGTAAAACAATTACCCAATGCATATGCACAATAAATCAAAAACCATACGAGACCCATTGAAGAACCATTGATTGCACCTTTTCTTATACCACTCTTCTTTGCCTCATCAAGATGGTATTCATATCTGAAAAGGTCTTGAAATAATATTACAAATTAGAAATCATTTAAATCAGACCTTTTCGTTTCTCGTTCTTGCCCATTGTAACAAAAAACTGTACGAATCGCGCTGAATACTTCTTCCGCTACTGCACCTGCCCTTCCATAAGCTTTCAGCTCCTTAGCTGTTAAACTAGATGCAAACTAGTAAAGTATCGTAGAGACATATGCAATTCTTCTACTTTATATCCAAAACATACTTTTGATAGAAGCAACGCAGAGGCAAACAACAGTGGAGACATGGACAAAACGACTAATGTTAATTTCCATCCTTTGGCAAAGCCTGAATGAACAGATGGATTTCAGACAGTGCTGCAAGATCACACATGTATGTGTTGAAACTCACCAATAATCAATCCAGTAATAAATGATGCTAAAAACTGTGCTGCTGATCCCAGTTTATCTCCAATACCATCGTGAATTTTATCAACATCATCTGTTAATCTCGTATTCAATTCTCCTGTTTTATGTGTATCGAAATAAACAATTTCTTTGCGAAGAATTGATCGAAAGAGATTTTGTCGTATAGCACGTGTCTGTCTTTCGGCTGGCATACTCCAAAAAGCGACCTGAACATATCCCAGTAAAATACTGACACAACCAAGTGCCACCATATAATTAATCTGTGTCATAACTAAAGCTTGAAAGTCAACAGAAGTCCCATTCGTCATCGTGAAATTACAGATTCTAGATTGAAATTGTCGTTTGAAAAAATTTCTCTCACTCTCTCTCTCTCTATAAATATGTTCTTACGATATCGATGAGAGTATATTGGATATAGATAACTGATAACCAGGAGGGCAGGATTCGATTGCAAGCGCTGTATAGTTCGTTGTGCAGAGACCAGCTGTTCGATCTGTGAACGTATTTAATAGACTACCGAATACAATGATCATCAATGGCATTAAAACCCCATGAGCTAGTCCACCGGCTGTACCAATTAACATCAAAATAATATCGAGAGTCGAAGCGTATCGAAACTGGTTAATGCATATGATGAAGGATGTTTATTAGTAGGAAATATAGTTTATCTTACCAAACTTGCGAGACTGACAACATCAGCAGTTTTTTTCTTTTCCCCTCGAAATTTTGCAAAGAAACCTTGATTTTTGGTATCGTTTTCCTCATCGGAATTCTCCGCACTATTTATAAGAAAATAGAACAGTTAAAAAGCAGATGATTGTTTCCAAATACTTTTTCTCGTCAGCGTTGTTTTGAATCGCATTACTTGATTTCACGAACTTTCCACCTTGTTTCTCAATGTCGATTTCTCTCATCCTCACTTTTTCATAACCTAATAACGTATTCGACTTGTCTTCGTGTCTCTATGTATTTAAATATGAGATGCTTTACACACTTGATTAGTTACGCGTCATTTGGTGAAAGGTGAAAATATTCTAACTTTCACGTTTTTTTTATGTTCCCGAAAAGAAACAAAGACACGAAAGACGCTAGTTCACGTCCGAACGTTCGAATAGTGCGCCTCAGGCTGTTAACCTATTAGCCTCGTATAGAAATGTATGTAGAATCCGAATATATTCGATAATTTACATGTGCGCGTAATTAATGTTACGCTTATGATTTTCGGGTAACTGGATACAATTAAAATGTATAAAAACAGTAGTAACTGGTGGTGAGTCATCGTTTTGATATATACATCTTAATTTCGTCGTATCATTACGGTGAAATGACGTAAATTATCGAGCGGTCAGGAAGTGTATTCCAATGAATAAATTGTTTGAAAACTCAAAATTTACTATAAACGAAAGAAAATGGTGAATAGGCGAGTAAAATTATGATGCTCTAATAAATAGTAAACAAAAATATCCAGTAACGCATGACAAGTTGCTAAAGGAGCATATGCAGGTCAAATCACTGTTAATAGCAAACTATATAAATGTTCTACCAGTGCATTTGTAGTTCTATCATACTTGTCAATTCCGTATTACTTTCAAATGGAATAAAGCTAATGATAAATTTTCAGTTGATTCACAAGAAATTCGCTCATGTATTGACACGCAGATTTTTCATCATTTGTGGCTGATAGAACGAATGTACTTGGATCAATGTGTCTCTCCTCCTGAGAATATTTATGAAATCATATCGAGCTGATAGCTCGTAACACAAGAATAGCTCACTTTCGAATTGCCATTAAATTAAATAAATCGTAAAGCATAGATGGAACTGGTACCGGCAACCGGCCGGTCCGATCTTCGTCTCATTGCGTATATTAAAGATTCAGAGACAGCTTTGGTAAGTTGGGCTGTAGTAAAGTGTTCAAAATATTTGTTCATCGTGAGTTTAACGAAGATTTTTTATCGGTAGGTCAGTAAGAAACTGGTAGACTGGCCGGTCCGGTCTAACTTTTTCAGGCCGATTCCATCTATGTCGTACAGTGGGGGAGGGGGAGAATTAACGTTAACTCCATAATAAATTTGAGTACGTAACGATCGCTAAACTACCTTAATGCGACAGTTTCTATAAATAAATAACTGGAAAGGAAGAAAAGTCTCTTTCACCGGCCTGAAATCCGTATGTTTCGTACCATCATAGTAAAACTTTCTAGAATCACACAAATACGAAGACGATATTTTAATAGCAGAACATCTAAAGCCTTCATAGTGGATTGCGAGAAGATTTCTTTACGCAAAATTTTGAGACGAACTCCATGAACTATCTTATAAGTGACAGATGCACTTATCATAGCATACTCCTTCTATCGCATCTCAAGGTCTTTTACTTTCAATAACACGTTTTTACAGATTTGACCTTGAGTTTTTTGTACTTATATTTTAGATGATGACTTTAATTTATCCGTTATAGTCTACAGAATTTTTTTCAACTAATTATCTGAACGACACGCAAGCAGTAGGATAGACATCGGAGATTTATAGCGATTATTCTAGACGACGAGTATAAACTACATAGGATTGGTTGTTAGTGACATTCCGTAAAATACCATATGAGTATGTATGAACGTGTTTTTGGTTGAAATTCCTCTTTCGGAGACCTTGTCTTTGCTTGTGCTCGTCGTTTTATGAGATGAACATAGTTCAAAACATATTTTTAAATATCACGACTACATTGTATACGATCTTATTTTTTGTAAGATAGTAATAAAAGTGATTTACTATCCACGTTTCATATTAGTTATATCTTTTCTAAATTACATCTGAAATCCGGGTAAAGTTTCTATTTTCTTCTGTAACTATCTCAGTAATAGTGAGTGTCGAGGTTTAAATAAGAAATATCAATGATAACTGATACCACTATATAATATGTACAATTCATTTAGTATTCTATTAAGATTTTGCATTGACATATACGTATTTTTTGTGAATGAACTTGTCTATCGATATGAAGAATTCGATCAAAGAAAGAAACGTCTTTGAACAGTGCTTTGTAAAGATTCTTTATGTGACAATTGATGTCCGTTCGATAGCAATCGCAAATGTAAGATCGTGGCATTTTCATTTGAATGCGAATATATACGACGCATCACACGTTTCACTATGATAAAAATGAGGTGATGTCGTATGCATCCATTGGTCGGAATGAGTCATCTTATAAATCTAACCCGAGTACTCTGAAAATGACGAATGATAATTGAATTGTGAATCACTGTAGAAATTGATTTCTTTGCATCGAACCACTTCTATTGTTAGTTTTAGTAATCGATAAAAAAACCTGACAATTCTATTTGCTCTTCTGAAGAATAAGTCGTTTTTTTCTTAATGTTTTGCGTCAACATCATAGTAGTGTATTTGTATTCATTTAGTTGCCACCGCTCGAAGATCACCTCATACATAGTACGCGTGGATCTCCTAAGCGCTGGTTTATCTACAGTTCGTCAGTACCGCCGAACACTTTTTGATAGGTGCATGCACTTACATCTTGACCCCATGCGCATGTAGATATACCTGGGATTGTTTTTTTTTGCATTCTTTTATTGTTCGACGTATCCATGTCGACAGAGCGTGATCAGCAGATATTTTCTATATCGAGTAACTGATAAGATAACGAAAATCTAGCGTGCGAACATCGACAAAAAAGAAGTAGAAGTCGTCGATGATAATCTAGACCCTGACTACGAGTGATAGACGCAAAATTTGTTTACTTTCGAACATCGAAGAATCGAGAAAGAAAGAGAATCACGCATCTTCTCGTCCTCGAAACTGCGTATCAACATTAGATTCATTAGTTTTCGTTATTTAATCACACCTTAGACAGCGAAGGACAGTGTTGATCAAAATATAGTGAAAAGAAACCGACCATATATAAAAAACAAGTATTTTCTCTTGGTTTCATATTTATTTTTTTTCTCTTTCAAGATCAAATCTTAACATCATGTCTGCAGCCGTTGGTAACACTAGTCAAACTAACGGTTATCATCTCTCCAATTCAAATTCGAATCTTGAGGGCGATGATTTCGTCATTACTGGTGTCAGTGGCCGATTTCCAGAAGCGAATTCGATAGATGAGTTTGCTTACAATCTTTTCAATGGTGTCGATATGGTTACAGCCGATGATCGTCGTTGGCCTGAAGGACAATATGGTCTACCAACACGTAATGGCAAACTGAAGGAAGTCGATCGATTCGACGCAGCCTTTTTCAATGTTCATCCAAAACAAGCACATAATATGGATCCACAATTACGTCTTTTACTGGAAGTGACATACGAGAGCATATGTGATGCTGGAATAAATCCAGCAAAATTGAAAGGAACAAAAACCGGTGTTTTTATTGGTGCAAGTGGCTCCGATGCTCAAAATGCATTCTCAGCTGATCCACAAACACTAGAAGGTTACAGTATGACCGGCTGTGCAACATCAATGTTTGCTAATCGACTTAGTTACTTCTTTGATTTCAAAGGACCATCCTATACTGTAGACACTGCCTGTTCATCAAGTCTTTTAGCACTTGACTGCGCTTTGAATGCACTGCGTAATGGTGGATGTGATGCCGCAATTGTCGGCGGAGTTAATTTATGTTTTCGTCCGCAAACATCGTTACAATTTTTGAAATTACAAATGCTTTCCAGTGATGGAGCATGTCGAGCATTCGATTCAAGTGGTACAGGTTATGTTCGATCAGAAACAGTAGCAACTGTATTTATACAAAAACGACATGATGCGAAACGTTTATACGCAACATTGTTACATTCGAAAACGAACACCGACGGATGGAAAAAAGATGGAATCACATTTCCAAGTGGTGAAATGCAAAAAACTTTACTTGAAAATATTTACAATGAAATTCATTTGGATCCAAATACTGTGGGTTATGTTGAAGCGCATGGAACAGGAACTCGTGCAGGTCAGTTTCGATGTTTTTCTTGCTGATCCTTCTTATATTTACCGTAAATGTTTTGTTAGGTGATCCTCAAGAAATCAATTCAATTACACAGGTTTTCTGTAGTAAACGTCAACAACCATTACTTATTGGTTCAACTAAATCAAACATGGGTCATCCGGAGCCAGCGTCTGGCGTTGCAGCTCTGGCTAAATTACTTGTTGCTATTCAAGATGGTCATATTCCAGGTTTGAACAATAAGTTGTGTTTGGCTAAAAACTATTCTTTCTATATTTAGCTAATTTGCATTACAAATCACCAAATACTGACATACCGGGTCTCACTGATGGTCGTCTCAAAGTTGTCACCGAGAAAACTAAGTAAGTCCATCGTTCGCATGATTTGTTGCTTATTGATTCAGTTTAGAATTCCAAATAAACTTATGTCAATAAATTCATTCGGTTTTGGCGGCGCCAATGTTCACGCAGTACTTGCAGCCAATGAAGATCGAAAAGAAAATGATAATCCTTCGCGAAACCAACCACGTCTCGCAGTTACCTGTGCACGTACTGCTGCCGGATGTGAAAATATTCTTAAACAACTAAAAGAATCGGAAAGTAACATCGAATTACAAGCATTGATCACTGAAAATGCATTTCATCCATCACACACACATCCCTACCGTGGTTTTACCTTACTGAACTCTCCAGAATCAACAGTCACTGTGCAAGTAAGTTAACCACGTCTTTTTCGCTTAGCAATTCGCCATGTTCTTATTGAAGAAATGCTCGAGTGAGCGACGACCCGTATGGTTCGTGTTTTCTGGTATGGGCACGCAGTGGTCTGGTATGGGCCGCGACTTAATGGAATTAAAATTTTTTCGTCAATCTATTGAACGAAGTGCCAATGTACTTAAAAAATATGACATTGATTTGTTTAAACTTATTTTATCATCGATACCTGAAGATCTTGATAAACCAGTGAACAGTTTTGTTAGCATTGCTGCTATACAAGTTGCATTAGTCGACTGTTTGAAAGCAGTTGGTGTTGAACCTGATGGTATTGTTGGACATAGTGTTGGTGAATTAGGTAAATGAACTTCGAACGAAATAGAAAACAAATATGGTTTATTTCGTCTCCCTATAGGTTGTGCTTACGCTGATGGCTGTTTCAATGCCGAAGAAACAGTTCTAGCTGCTTATTTTCGTGGAAAATGCATTCAAGAAGCAAATCTTCCAGCAGGTAAATCACTTTGACTTGTAATAAACAAAAGAATCTCATGATTTCTTCTACTTTTCTAAGGTGGTATGGCTGCTGTTGGTTTGACATGGGCAGAATGTAAAGAAATGTGCCCATCGGATATTTCACCTGCTTGTCATAATGCAGTGGATACTGTTACTGTCTCTGGACCGAAACAGAGTGTCGAAAAGTTTGTTGCTGAATTGAAAGAGAAGAAAATATTTGCTAAGGAAGTTGCTTGTAATCAAGTCGCCTTTCATTCACATTACATGATGGAAATTGCTCCATCACTCCGAAAATGTTTAGAAAATGTCGTTCGCAATCCACCGAAACCACGTTCAGCACGATGGATATCATCAAGTGTACCAGAAAGTCGTTGGAACACACCGTTAGCTTTGACATCCTCGCCCGATTATCATGTAAACAACTTATGTAGTCCAGTTCTATTTCAAGAAGCATTACAACATGTTCCATCAAACGCTTTGACTATCGAATTAGCACCACATTGTCTTTTATTGGCTATTCTTAAAAGATCATTAGGTACGGACTGCGTACATTTCAATCTGATGAAACGTGGTACACACGATCACGTCGCATATTTCTACAATAACTTAGGTAGGTTAACAAAAGCGTATCTTGTTCACTATCATTTACTTGGTGTGTTTAGGAAAACTCTACAACGAAGGTTTGAATCTTAATATCATGGCAAATTATTCGCCAGTTCAATATCCTGTTCCAGTCAATGTACCATTCGTATCTCCTTTGATTGCTTCCCAGTGGGATCATTCTCAAGAATGGAAAATACCAACATTTGAAATGTTTACCCAATCGTTAGGTTCAGCACAACAAGCTAAACATGAAATTGATCTTAATGATAGTAGTGAATATTCATTCATTGTTGGTCATCAAATCGACGGTCGTTGTTTATTTCCTGCAACGGGTTATCTCGTTCTAGTTTGGAAAACATTTGCTAAAATACATAACTACGAAGATTACCGGCAAATGCCGGTTCTTTTCGAACAAGTTCAAATACATCGAGCAACGATTTGTTCATTAACGAACAAAGTCGTATTTTACGTAAATATCTTGCCGACAAATGGTACATTCGAAATCATCGAGAATAATACGGTTATTGTCACTGGTCGAATATCTTCAAGCGAAAAACTAACGATGCAACAATTCTATAGAAAAGATCCATTAAATTCCCGAGAAAATCTTTTACAAACAAACGAAATCTATCGCGATTTTAATCTCCGCGGTTACGAATACTCCGGTTTCTTCCGTGGAATTAAACAAATCAACATCGATGGAACTAATGGTGAATTAACTTGGAATAATGACTGGATCTCTTATTTGGATACAATGTTACAAGTTCATCTGATCCCATCTCAAGGCTTACAATTACCAACACGTATTGATTCGTTGCGTATCGATCCCAAGTTACACATGGATTCGATCTCTTCATCCACATCGACATGTTCAGTTTATGTGGATTATTGGAATAGTCTCTGTTTTTCTGGTGGAATCGAACTAGTCGGTTTACATTGTACAGGAACATCGAAGAAAGCTAAACAACAGAATACAATTCTTGAATCTTATTTATTCACGCCGTTTAATGACGAAAATGTCGCTAATGAACTCGACACATGTCTATATTTAGCATTAGAGAATACATCAACTACAACATTAACTTTATGTCAAATTGGAAACGATAAATTAAGTAGTGAAGTTTTCAATTTCTTTTCTCAACAACCATCGATTAAATCACTTGAATATACACTTGTAACATCAGCATCAACAAATGAAATCAATCAAAAGATTCAGACGACGGATAGTGTTTCATCTGTGACAACACCCGTTGATTTTGTGTTTGTTAATCGAACTGAAACAAATACATACGATTGGGAACGCATAGTTTCGGCATGTAAAACGAATGGTTTTCTCCTTCTTTCATCGGATCTCGATCTACCAACAAATCAACTAGAAAAGGGCAATTTTGTTCAAGTTGCCAAAAGAAAATCTTATCAATTGTGGAAAAAAGTATCCAACGAAGAACTTCGCGATACAATCGTTAACTTAGACAGTCAACATTTTCAATGGATTGAACAAATCAAACCGTTACTGACAAATCCATCGGCACAACGTATTTGGCTGGTATCGCAACAAATCGACAACGGTATTCTCGGATTTTTCAACTGTTTACGACGTGAACCTGGCGGACAGTCACTTCGGTAAGATTGAGAGTACTTTATCAAAAAGAACTGTATTTATCATGTCGAATATTTCCTAGTTGTGTACAAATTCAAACTGGTGAAACTGTTCTTAATGAGAATGTTTGGGAAACACTGAAAACAACAGATTTAGCTGTAAATATTTATCAGAATGGTGTTTGGGGCTCTTATACTCATCGACAACTACGAACATCGAATGGTATGTTGAAATCATGAACCTTTCGATCGTACGTGCTTACTTTTTGTCTACTTAGAGTCCAATTGGCTTGATACAGATAATGCTCATGTTAATGTTCTCAATCGGGGAGATTTATCGTCATTAACATGGCTACAATCACCGGTAATAACAAATGAAAATGTGGATAAGAACAATTTTGATATGTGTACTGTACATTATGCATCATTGAACTTTCGAGATATTATGTTAGGTAAGAAGAATTTGGTTAGAAATGCTCTCTCTCACTTTTTTGTTGTTTAGCTACCGGAAAATTAAGTCCAGAAGCAATTCCCGGTAAGAATGTTGTTTATTGGTGATAATTCGTTCTATAGAAAAGTATTTCGTTTCTCATAGGCTATTTGAAGATGCAAGGATGTTTATTGGGCTTGGAATTTGCCGGATTAGATTCAGTCGGTCAACGAGTAATGGGTCTCCTCTCAGCTAAAGGTACTTATCATTTTTCTCATATCAAACTCAATGCAAGCTCTGTTACTGTCATCTAGGTTTAGCTACAAAGGTAGCCATTGATAAACGTTATTCTTGGCGCGTTCCTGATCACTGGACACTTGAACAAGCCTCAACAATTCCTGTTGTTTATGCAACAGCCTATTATGCATTGGTTGTTCGTGGTCAAATGAAACGCGGTGAAAAAGTTCTCATTCACGCCGGTACAGGCGGTGTTGGTACAGCAGCCATAGCCATTGCTTACAGTTACGATTGCGAAGTCTTTACAACAGTTAGTTCGAATGAAAAACGTGAATACTTAAAACGACGATTCCCTCTTTTGAATGATGAACATATTGCCAATTCACGTGACACAACGTTCGAACAACAAATCCGATTTGCCACCAAAGGCAAAGGTGTTGATATTGTATTGAATTCTCTCGCTGAAGACAAACTACAAGCATCGGTTCGTTTACTGGCTCAACATGGTCGATTTTTAGAAATCGGTAAATTCGATCTTTCACAAAATAATCCATTGGGCATGAGTGTCTTCTTGAAAAACACGACATTTCATGGTATTTTATTGGATTCATTATTCGAAAATGCCAGTGAAGATTGGTTACGTGTTCATCAACTTGTCGAACAAGGTATTCAACAAGGTGTTGTTCAGCCATTGCAATGCAATGTGTTCAATGCTAATGAAATCGAACAAGCGTTTCGTTTCATGTCACAAGGAAAACACATGGGAAAAGTTGTCATTAAAGTAAGTCGATTTTGATTGAGAAAAAAATCGGAAACGAATGCGTTTCTTTCGTATTATTAGGTTTATGATGAATCTCGACCGTCGGTTCGTGCTCTACGAAAGACATGGTTTTCACCGAATAAGACTTATATTATCACTGGTGGTCTCGGCGGTTTCGGTCTTGAATTAACAGAATGGCTTGTCGAACGTGGGGCAAGGAATTTAGTTCTTTGTTCTCGTAGTGGCATTCGAACAGGTTATCAACTGAAGAAGATTACTTATTTACAAACATTCTTTCAAGCTGAAATCTCAATCTCGAAGTTGAATATTACGAATGAACAAGAATGTGAAGAATTAATTGCAAAAAATCCTTTACCGATCGGTGGAATTTTTCACTTAGCTGCTGTTTTGCAAGATGGATTATTCGAGAATCTAACTGTCGATCTCTTCGATCAAGTAGTCGACATCAAGTACACCGGAACGAAATATCTCGATCAATTCACCCGCAAACATTCGCGAGAAACATTGGATTATTTCGTTGTTTTTTCATCAATCAGTTGCGGTCGTGGTAATGCTGGACAAACTAATTACGGTTATGCCAACTCAACTATGGAACGTATTTGTGAACAAAGACAAAAAGACGGTTTTCCAGGTATGACGAATATTTATTTTATAATCTAGATTATATCCTTCTTTGTATCTAGCATTGGCTATTCAATGGGGTGCGATCGGTGATGTAGGCATGGTGATTGAAAATCTGGGTTCAAATGATACCGTTGTTGGGGGCACATTGCCACAACGAATGGTCTCATGTTTGGAAACGATGGATTATTTTCTTCAACAGTCAAAAAAGATTCCGGTTGTTTCTTCTTACATTCTTGCGGAGAAACTACAAAAAACATCTGGATCGTCCGATGCGTCGGTTAGTTTACTCGAAACCATTGCACATATCTTGGGTATACCTGATGCAAGTACAATGTCATCGGAGAGCACATTAGCTGATCTCGGTTTGGATTCCTTGGGTAGTGTTGAAGTAAAACAATTATTGGAACAAAAATATTCGGTGACATTGGCAAATTCGAAAGAAATCCAACAGCTGACAGTGAAACGTTTAAGAGAAATCGATTCCGGTTCATCGCCAGCACAACCTGCAGAAACCAAACAAGTACCGCTCCCATCAGCAATCGATCTCAGTCAACTATTACCAACTGAACTGATGGTTTTATTGCACGAACAAGTTCAAACGAATAAATATCAACATCTATTTCTTATCCATCCAATCGAAGGTCATGTTCAGATGTTAAAAGAACTCGCCCAACTCTTACCGGTTACAGTGTTCGGTCTTCAATCCACCACCGATGCTCCCAATACATCAATCGAAGATATTGCAGCATACTACATCAAAGTAAACCAAACTATTCATCCTCTTTCTTTCATTTCGCAATTGTTTTTTACATAGAAAATCGTTGAAAAACAACCAACTGGTCCATATCTAATTGGTGGCTATTCATTTGGCGCTTGTATTGCCGTTGAAATTTCTTTACAACTGCCAACCATTGCCCAGTTATTGTTGCTCGATGGTAGTCATTCGTATGTTGCTACTCATACCAGACAATATCGAACGAAATTCAACGAACCAAAACATGCTGAAGCTGCTGTGGTATGTTTTTCTCATAAGAAGAACTTTGGAAAACATTTTCGATTTCGTCCTTTTAGTTATACGCTTTTCTTCAACAATATATTGCACATCTCGATCAGAAAAAGGTTCGATTGTTTTATAATATCATTCTGTGTTTTCATTAATATCATTATTGTGTTAGATATTGTCTGAATTAGCAGATCTTTCATCGTATGATGAACGTTTACAGTATGCAGCGGAATTACTCGATAGTAAAGTGAACATTGGCAAAGAAAAAATCATTCAAATTGCCAAACAGTTCCATAATAAACTACTCTTGGCAGAAAAATACGTTCCATCAAAGAAAATTCCATGTCCAACAACGCTATTTCGTGTACAGACCGGTAGTGAATACAGTGACACAATTGGAAATGATTACGGACTATCAACGGTACAAAAATGACATGTTCTATGTATAATCGGACTCATTTTCTGCATTGTTTCTAGATCTGCACGAATCCACCACAAGTAGCCGTTATTCCTGGTGACCATCGAACATTTCTACAGGGTGACAACGTTCAAGTTCTAGCAGATCAGATTCGCACTACCATCATGCTCAAGAATTCATAAGAACAGTGCAATGATTGATTGTTTCGTATGACGGACAAAACACATAGGCACCTGTGTTGTTCTCCTCGTTGTATTTTATTGTTTACGTATTTCTAGTTTTTACGTGTCGTTCTTACTCTATTTTCTCTTTGTGATATATTAACCTCTCTCTCATCAACTTCTGACTTCGTTTGAACGTTTTTATCAAACGAAAATAAATGAAGAAGAAAATCCTATAATCATATGTGCGTATATCGCGACATCTATCACGACAGATTTTGATTGTTCCGTAGGCGAAGTAAACAAATGTCATCCGAAGAAGAAAAATCCCCAATCAGACTCATCAATCATTTCTTCACACTCAAGTACGATGAGTATTAACTAGAATAACATTGCTAGGTAGCTTTCTTTTTGAGGGACGTGTGTTGTTTTTTTTGTAAATAATCATCATCTCATGGCGACAACTGCTCCGGATATGGATCTGTTTGTCGATAATCAACCGATGAACGACGAAGAATTAACGAAATTACATGAATCCACATTGCAAATGTTTCGGTCGAATAAAATTGGACCAAAAAATGCATTTGATATCGTTCTCATCGATTACTTACCTGCGATATTCGAAGCGACCAGTTTCGATGATGATCATATGAATAATTTCCAGTCTGTCGGCACTACACTTGAAACATCAGGTTCGGTTCAACTGAAACTCATAAAAGCGCATTTTCGATTTCTTTTTTTTAGCAAAAATCTATGCTGCACGTATTGATTCGCTTTACTCAGAAACTCGAAAAGCTCAGTCAATTCTTCGTTCAACCAATGAAAATCTCAATCGAATCATGGAAGAAGATGAAGAAGATCTTGATGAAACTGCTAACGAATCAGATTGTTTTCAACGGCGAATCTCAAATAACAAAAAAATTCGTTTATTAGTCAAACGAAAAAAATCCGTTGTTACCGATCGCAATAAACTATTACGCAAGAATCGCAACGATGAATTTCGACCGATTATGATCAATCAATTTTTCCTCTCGGCAATGAACAATGATAATATCATGCTGAGTGAACTTTATGATAGAATGAATATTTCATCGAATCCGAGTCGAACCAGTCAATTCGATTCAAATGAAATCTTGTCATTGAATACAAATACCAACGATTTCGTTTGCGATTCATTATATATCGATACCTCTAATACATCGATGTCAAGTAAGTTCGCATTATTTCGTTTCTCCTTTTTGCAATTCGAATTTATTCAGACGATCACAATCTTTCTCCGTTAACGGATGCAAGTACGACAATGAACTCCAGTCAATTCTTAACTCCGTCAAGTGTCACAACATTATCAGTCACTTCAACAACGACTCCAATTCGATCACGTACGAATAGTTTATCAAGTAATTCGAGTATTCTTACAAACGCGGCCAATCTTCTAACGGACACACCAAACGAATACTCGTATTTGGATTCGACGAAAGTCAATGCATTTATGAACGAAATTCATACACCTACAAAAGTCGATGATGTCATTCCATCGCCAACAAAAGCGACTCGTAAACGGCGATTAACAATTGAATATCCATTTCCATTTCTTGTTGAACAAGCGAAAAAGCAACGTGTCACACCTAAGAAACTACAAGAAGAGCTTTTCAAACAAACGCTTCTTCCCAGACCACTGTCACCTGAATATAAATTCTCGCCATTCGATGATCCGCTTGATGATTCAGTGATCAGCTCAGTTGAACTTCCTCCAATTGTCTCATTCAATGCTGGTTCTACTGAAGTCAATGTAACCAAACGGCAACGTGCAATTGATTTCCGCCATTTACAAACCAGCATGCATCATATGATTTCAAAGAGTTTTCAAGATGATCATGATTTAGTTTTTAGTGAAATTTATCCGATTATCCATTCAAATGATCAACGGTCTTCATCTGACGTGGGCATTTCTTTTGCAGCTTTACTTAATAATGCTGTACGATATCAACTTGTATTAGAATCCAATGATATACGAGATGATATTCGTATCTTACCTCCTAGAATTCAAAATCAACACTAATTGGAAATTCGTTTTCAGTAAATTTTTGTTCTGTAAAGATTGTTTGTACATAGAATCAAAATAAAAGCTATTTGTTTCTATAATAAGTCAGTGCATCATGTGAATAACGATAACGCTGTTTTGATTTATTTGCAATCGAAACGTTGTTTCTATGCCCGTCTAACTCAATCACTGTATACAATTTCATAGTTCAGCCATGAAACAATGTAGAATCATACTTGTGACATACAGTGATGGAGAAAGAACTGCTTTCAGTTTAAGAATGTCTGTCTATGTATAGTAGAATCGATGAACTTATCAGATACGTGCATAGTCAATGACGAACATCGTATTTCTTGTTGGATACTATGAGTTAGTGTTGAGTATTGTTTTCCGTGTTGCAGCTTCACATGAAGTTACCAAAAACATTGTATTCGCAAAAACGTTAGAGTTCTAGCAGGGTAAACTAAATGGGGTGTGGGTCCACACGGATCCCACAACATCTACGGAGGGTTAATATCAAAGAGAAAAGAATAGTTTGTTTTGATAATTCATTATATCGAAAGATGTTTTTCATATTTGTCATCGTTTGCAAACTGCGTTCATATTCAAATCCAACTCTTCTTTCCAGATGTCGTCATTCAACTGTTAGTTTCGATTTTTCGATGATAAATGATAAATATATCGATTGGTTCGATAAAACCTAACGTCAGTTCACTATGTTATCTCGAAATAAAAATGATTTGCCGATGATAAGAGATAACAAACGAAGTGAAATAAACAAATATATATTTTTTTTTCAGTTTTATTTGCACTAAAACTAACATGTCTAATGCTGAAGCTAAAGTAAACGAACGATCTCATCGTATACGAAAAACTCGACAATTTCATATATTTAGCCGGTACTTCATTCATATTATCGCAGCTCATGTTCATATCGAGTTCGAATCGGTAAATATATTCATTGGAACATATAACTGACTTGTTATCGTTTTCAATCATAGCATTAAATTTGAAGAATATTGATTATGCTACTCACGCAGTAAATCTTATCAAAAGTGAACAGGTCTGCTCTTTCCGGATTGTTTCTGTACAGACAATGGTTTTGGGAGCTCTTTGCTTCTGTTCTAGTTAAATGATGAGTACAAGAAGCTGAATCCAAAAGGTGAAGTTCCAGTATGTAAAAATATTCCGCTGTATAATAGAATTTTCTTGTTATTGAATTTAGGTTTTATTCATCGATGGGAAAGCACTTGCGCAATCGGTTTGCGAATTCTACTGAATTTCGAGATGTTTAATCTTGATGTGATTCTTCATAGCTTCCAATCATCGAATACATCGAGGAAACACGTCAATTCAAACCTCGACTTCTACCTGAAGATCCTTTTAAACGTTATCAGGTTGAGAGAAGAAGCTCCGTTTAGAAAAATGAATCTTTTATTAAACTCTCCTGTAGGCTCGTATGATAAGTGAAATTATCGCTTCTGGCATTCAGGTATCTTCGATTCGAATGATTTCTTCTAATTATCATCTTTCTCTCTGAAGCCATTACAAAACTTGAGTGTTCTCAAACGTGTTGGCGACGAGAAAAAAGCAGAATGGGCACATCATTTTATCAAAGTTGGGCTCGATGGTAAACCTATCGATGAAAATGTTTTTCGCGAAAACATTTTGTTCTTACAGCGGTCGAAAAAGTCCTCGAAGAATCAGCTGGTCGCTATTGTGTAGGTGATGAAGTTTCACTCGCTGACTGTTGTCTCGTACCTCAACTATACAATGCACGACGGTTCGAAACGACTTTATTTCTCATGTTCGAAAACAAACATAATTTTCTTGTGTAGATTTAACGTGGATTTGGCTAATTATCCTATTATGACTGCTATTGAAGAAAGATTAAGTGCTCTTCCTGCCTTTCAAAAGGCACATCCTGATTGTCAACCCGATTTTCCCGGAGAAAGTGTTACAAAAGCCTAAACGAACGAGTTTTGACCTTCAAGATTTTCTTGTGATTAGTTTTTAACATAAACATTGATAAAAACGTTTATTTTTACGTTTTTCAAAAACAACATGCTTAGCACCTTCATCTGAATTGGTTATTTTTCTCACAAGATGTCAGTAAATGTGTTGACCGAGTGCGAAATTTAGTCATATTACGTTATTGTTTTCGTTTCTAATCATTCGATTAAAGATATGTGTTGTTGTCAACAGGTGTGTCGACTAGAGTGAAGAAAACAAAGGATTGTGCGTTTTTAACGATTGATATTTGTACTTTGATAAACGAATCTTCCGACAGATGAGAATCGAGCAGAAAGAATTGAAAACAAAAACGCGAAAATATGTTATTGATAAAACAGATAGATCCGAAGCGTTTTTCTTGATCTCAAGAGATAGGGTGTTATCTGTCCAGATTAGTATTCCTGTCTGCTTTTATGTAAACGGAGTGACTGATCCGATTCACCGAATTCCAAAGAAAAACATATCTACTGAGAGAAATTTACCATGCCGTGAAAGAGAAGACGTTCGTCAGTCCTTGGCGATACCACATTTCGATGTATACATTTTTCATTCTATTTAGTATTCGATGATCGCATGCGTTGCCTGCATGTGTTCTCATACATTAGTCGCTGATAAGGTACATGTATAACAGAGAAAAATATAAAGAAAAAACGGAGAAGAAAGCAGAGCGAGTATAAGAATGCAAAAAATTTGTATAGAAGTATATCTGTCCTTCGTTCGAATCAGTGATCCATCGAACCTTGCTCTTTTATTGTTACAATGTTTCGTTGGCTTTCTTTTAGGTACAACATTTCATTAAGTTCTAAGATAAACGATGCCTGAAGTTGATGAATGCCAACGTTTAAATATTGATGATGAAACAGCGAAAGAACGACGATCGAGTAGTTCAGGTATTGAGCAGAGAAAAGTTGGTTGTGAGACGATCGATAAGCTTTTGTATTTTCAGCATCCGAAGGTCGAGCGACGATGGTTACCTACTGGAAACGTAATTCCAATCCTAATCTTGAAAGTATGATGCTCGATACGAATGCAGATAAAATCAATCGATATGAATATCCGGAAATTCTCGAATGTTTGCCTGATCTCGATGGAAAACGCGTTCTTGAATTAGGTGCTGGTATTGGGTTCGTATTAAAAATACAAATGAGATGTTTTTCTTTTGAAAATAATATTCTTTATGAATTTCTAGACGTTTTACCAAAAAGTTCGCTCAATTAGCGAAGTCAGTTGTCGCGGTGGATTTTATGGAGAGTTTCTTGGAGAAAAACAAAGAAGAAAATAGTCATTATGGCACCGTCGAATTCTTACATCAAGATGCAACGTTATTAAACTTTGAACCGAATAGGTATTTTCTATGATATACCAAGATTATGATATGATTTCATTTTGCTTTGTCGTTTAGTTTTGATATTGTTTTTAGCAATTGGCTTTTTATGTATTTATCTGATCAAGAAACTGAACAACTTTTACAGAAAAGTTTAACTTGGTTAAAATCAGATGGAACGTTATTTTTCCGTGAATCTTGTTTTCATTCTTCAGGTAAGCTTACCGAGACAAAAAAAGTCTTTATTCTCTCAATGTTACTTCATAGGAAACATCAAGCCCGATGAAAATCCTACACACTATCGTTCACCTCGGCAATATATCGATATGTGTCAATCTCGTATACTGAATACAACGCCGGAACAAGTCTTTGAACTCGTTTTCGCTAAGGCATTGGAATCTTATTATGAAATCAAACAAAACAATAATCAAGTAAGAGTAAATATGAAGAATAACAATGACCTTCTTATAAATTCTTTTCAGGTCTGCTTTTTATTCAACAAAACCAACCTACAAAATCATAATGGTTACAAAACATTGCAAGATTTTCTTGATCATTCGGAATATGCGGAAAAAAGTATTCAAAAATACGAATCAGTCCGGGGCCTAGGTTTCGTTACCATCGGTGGTTCGATATTAACACACGAATTAGTCAAACGACTTGATCTGACCAAATCGCAGCGTTTGTTAAACTTCGGCTGTGCAACTGGCGGAAGTTCATTTCAAATCGCTCAAGTTTGTTATCTTTTCATAGAAGATATCAAACAACTTTCGTGTATTTAGGAGTACGGCTGCGAAATCATCGGTGTAGACATCTCAGCAAATATGATCGGCATGGGTATTGAGTGAAAAAAGATAACAAATTTACTGTGAAAGCGAGATTTGTTATTGGATTTTAGCATGGGATCGAGCTTTGTCGTACAAAGGATATAAAATTCGTTTTGAGATCGGTGAGGGTACAAAAATGCGATTTTCTCCATCGAAATTCGATGCGATTTACAGGTAAGACAACAGATTGTATTTATTTCGTCGTCACTGATCTTTTTTCAAAGTCGTGATGTCATCTTCCATGTGTCGGATAAAACAACTCTCTTGAACAATTTCTATACATGGTTGAAAAGTGATGGTCGATTGCTGATCACAGATTTCTGCTGTGGTAATACACCGTTCTCTCAAGATCTAATTGATTATGCCCGTAGTGGTATCTATACGCTTACACCTATTCAAGAATACGCTGATGTAATTGCTAGAATAACCGATTTCTCGAACTCATTTGTCCTTTTGGCTTTAGCTTATTGAAAAATGTGGCTTTGTTCAAGTTCGTGCTGAGGATTGTTCTGATTTGTATCAACAATACTGTTTGAACGAAATTGAGATTGCTGAAAAGAATCGAGCAAATCCGGACTCGGTAGGATGGATAATTTCGAGTCAATCTGTTTATTTCTTTCTCTTTGTATTAGAAACTCTCTCGTCAAGAACTAGATGCATGTGTTCGTCAATGGAAATTGAAATACTCTTTAACCAACTCCGGCCAACGTCGCTGGTGTATTTTCGAAGCAAGAAAACGAACAAGTTCCTGTCGAGAAGATGATATAAACGAACAGTAGACGATTTCATAACTATTCAATGAGATTCGTTTATTTTATGAATAGAAGGAAAAAAAAAGAATACGAAATAAATTCATAACAAAAAGATTGTATTGATTATTTGATATTGCTAAGATGTTTCGCTTGAAGATACAACATTAGTTTGCCGATATATACATCGACATGCTGAGTATGCCGTTGAAATTCTCTGCTAAAATAGTTGGAAACACAAATGAAGGGGTAAATCTTTGTTCTTGACAGCTTACAGTGTGAAATCAGTATCGAATTTGGTCTTTTGTGCAATGTGTGAGATCATGAATAGTGATGTTTCACCATGTAGACCTTCATCTGAACTACAGTGTTCATTGAAATCTGTATTTCGATAGATATTATAATGAATATTCTACATTGCAAGTCAAAGGAGAATTATTTTCAATTGAAAAAGAAATTCTCACTTCAAGATCACGTGTATTGTTTGTATAATGATCATATTCAACAATTTCCAATGTGTAGAATATCATTTCAGCAAAGGTATGATAAATCTGATACAGAAATATCAAATTGTCATTTCGATATCTTTGATCTGAATGAGAGAAATATTCATCGAGATATTTCGCTGCTTGACATGCAGCTTTGGCAAAACTAATATCATTTTTTTGATGATATTTATTATAAATACGTATCAATGTATCTGAAACAGTACTAGTATAGATCGGTGTTGGCGATGGGAGTGCCGTCATGGACGAAACGTTCTTCGAACAGAGAATAATGTTATTTGGGAATATACTTTCAAAGATTTACTTTATATAGGGAAAGTGGCTTGATATTGGCTAATAAAATTCTTGATATTGGTAACATGATGATTGGTTTTAAGCGGTTGAAGTAACGAAAAGAATGTGGTAATGTACAAAATGCTTCCGATATCGTAGCACGTGTTATTTAAAAACCGCGAGTTCGCTGTGAAATCGTGTCCAAACATGCAACCTGATAGGCCATCGAATACTGTCGATGATATAGTTCAAAGTTCGTCTAATACACCTGCACGTCACATAAAATTCATTTCGATTTCATCTGGAATATATAAAACAAATGAGAATTCGATAGTTTTATTATTCAATGATAATCACCACAAAGTGTTAGTCAAATAATTCAGTCGATATTTACAAAAGTGCCTTTCACGGGAGTACTCTCATTATCATTCGAAAGTAACAATAAATCACTTTCATAAAACAAACGAGAGAATTACATACTAACTTAAAACGATCATTCTATCGTGAAAACAAAACGATAGATGAAAGAAGAAAAAAGAAACCGGGTACATTGGGATTACTTTCGAAATGTATATATGATATCACCGTACGAGGTAATGAAATAAGAACCTGGTTTTTCGGTTAGAGCGACGAATGTGATCGATCACCATCGTTTTCCGTTAATTGACGATCGTGAGGGTCAGATCGGTTGATGGTAATGGGAATTTGGATAGGCTCAAGTAAAACTGATGAAATGTCTAATCGATGACGAAGCGTTGGATACTGATGAAATAACTCTTGAATTGTAGTTTGATAGCGTTCAACTAAATGATCTGTCTTAATCGAAAGATGATGTTGATGTTGATCAGTGGGTTGTTCCAATAAACGTTCAAGAAATGCTTCGAGAGAAGCCGAACGTACACTCGCTAAAAAGACGATAGTATACATTAGAGAAGTTCGATTAGATCAAACAACATACGTTGTAATTGATCAAGAAGTGAATACCAAACTTCTTGAATTTCGGATACGAAAGTTTGATCATCGTCTGAGCTAATTTTCAATTCGGATAAGCACGAAAGAATGTGGTGTGTTTCATCATTTAGATTATAGTTCGAGTAAGCTCGGAAATTGCTCAGGATAATTTCATTCCATTTCTAGAGACTGAAATTTTCGGGCAAATCTAAGAAAAATGAAACGTTACTTGGAAACAAAGTTGTCTCGTCTTAAACAAGATCGACTGATCGATTGATTTCATAGGCGAAGCACCGTGCCGTGAAAGATTTAGATGATATTCACAAGCAAGACAGAAGTACGCAATAGCATCTTTATACCTTGATCAAAAATCTTATAGAATCTTCGTACGGATCATAATCGACTTACTTATTTTCAGCCATCAAGCGACAACCGGCAACAAATGCAGCAGTAGTACCTCGAAAGTTTTTGTAATCAGCTATTAAGTCCTTGAAGACGTCAATGAATAGTTTCTCAATGAGAACAATAGAATATCAATCGTACTTGATATTCTTCAATTTCGTCATCAGACATTTGCAGTTCGCGACAAGTAAGTTGTGCTTGCGATTGAAATATTGTTAATCTAAAAGAAATTCAACCATTCGTTTGGATGATTTTCCTTTGGTTAAAGTCATTACCGAACATTACTACGCTCGATTGGTAAACGACGGATAATATCGAACATTACGCGGCGTTGGTAGATCTCATTAACATCGTTTGCGATGAAATACGATAAGATATGCTCTAACCGATGGTCTCTTTTCGGTAAATCCATCATGATCTCCGATTTTGATGAGACATATGCATTGATCTCAGCGTCGACAATCTAATCGAATAGATGGATCAATTGAAGAGTGCATCGAAAGATAAACTTTACTTCACGCAGTAGAAGATCGACTTTTTCCAAGGAGAGTTTTGATTCGTTAATTTTCAGTAGATGCATCACTTGCCTAATCACTGGATCGACTATTTCTCTATCTGAATGAGACAGTATTCATGAAAAGTAGCTGTGCAATAAGATAAATACGAGTTACCGAAAAACATATTCGGATCTGTGAATATCGGCAGTGTTGATATTCGATCTACGATATGATGATTTCTTATTTGTGTGGTGACATCTTCCAAATTTTTATCAAGTTTCTCGAACTGAAATTTATCAGTTTGTTCCTTTAATGATTGTAGATCATTGTCTAAAGTACGATGGAGTTCAGGAGTTAACAGACAAGATGCATCTAAAGAAAGACTTTGATTTATTAACAACGATGAAATATGAAGTTGAATACTCAACCGTTAAATAGTGACTTGTCTGGATCGATGTAAACAAGTAGATAAGCACTAGGAACATGTTGTTCATCTTGATCATCTTGTTGCTGACCTATACCGGCTTCGATCACATCATCCCATTTGCTTTCGGTAACTAAAATATATGACATACTGTAGAGAATAACAGAAGAAAGAAACATTTTCACGAATGTCTCTTCATTGTTAAACCGATTACCTTCTTTGTCATTATATTGATACCATTTCTGTTTATCGGCATGATATACATAAGTCCAGAAATGACCAACTGCAGCGCTTCCTTGATGAACGCAGACAGCATGTAATGCATATTTAGTCTAGAGCAAAATGTGATTTGATGTAAAAATCTTTTTGAACTTGCAAACCTTAGTTAATTCTGGTATGTCGTACAATTGTTTTAATTGCTGTTTTAACCGATGAATCTCTTCGCGAAGAACTGGAGTAAACAGAGTGATTCGAATCCGAAAACAATACTCGCTTTCAATCGTAATTTACCTGCGCATCGATTCTCAATTTCAGTTAGCCAACTGGGCAAAAGAGTTTGAATGTATCGAAGATCTTCGGATGTTGTCGGTGACGGCCGAATCGAACATGATTGAGAAACAGTTGGTGTGTCCGAAACTGTTCTAAACGATGGAAATCTTCATCAATGCAAAGCATCCTTTCTAAAAACAAATACTCTACCTGTCCACTAAAACGGGATCAAGTCGATTACCAGTAGCATATTCATAAACAACTCGTATAGCATCGCTTAGTAAAATGGATCCATTGTTACACGGATATTTCAAATAGCTGGAAGAATAAATCATAGGTCTCAATTTTTTGTTGGAATTATTACCTATCTAATTGACTTTCTAAATCGTGCAACCGAGTAAGAAGCGTTCGAGCGGTTTCGCGTTTGTTTAGAATCAGATTTTCATTTGCTAACATGTACCGATCAAGATACAGTTCACGATAAAACTCAAAGGGTATAACTAGTTTCGATGCTTGTTTTGTAGCTTGAGAAAACCGATAACGATTTAAACAAATGAATAATACAGGAGGCAGATGTTTTAACCACCGTTGTTCAACGATATCCTAACAAAAGAAAATTACATTATCGTATTTTATCTGAACAAGTTGTTTGAAAGTATTATAATCTTCAGTATCCAATATACCTGATGATCCGAAGGTTCTTCATTTATTCGTCGAAGCCAAAAAGCTTCCAGAGCATCGTATAAATTTGTGGAATCAAGTATGGAAATATTGATTTGTCTAAAAGCTTCATGTGCTAAATATTCAAAGGTATTTTCTCCGTAAAACTCCGTATAAAATCGAAATCTACTTGGTTCGTGCCCATGTCTTTTAACTTCAACTTCTCCCGTGACAAATGAATGAACAGGATTGTCCGAATTCGATGACTGCAATGCATTTTCTAGACTATAATGATCAAAGCTCAGTATCTTTTTCAATAATAATCTCAAATCTCAAACTTTTTCCTTCGGATTTCGAATCCTAATTCAATAAGATCGATAAGATGTATTGCAAACTCTGAGCAATCCTGAAAATTGCTAAATGAAAGTCAGACGTTTGGATCCTTTTTCGGAAGATTACCTCTTGTGAGAAGTTGACACCGGATAGTTTTCCTGTTTCATTAAAACTTCGGATTGCTGGCTCAGGATCGATTGATCGTCGTGGTGATTTTAACATCAAAACAAATAATTGACGTAGGTTTTTCGTAAAATCAATTGCCTTCTTCTCCTAAATGGATTCGAAGATAACCCATTAAAGAAATTGTCAGATATTGACTTACGTGACTATCTGACGGAGAATTTTCTTCGGAAAATTTAAAGTTCAAGATCAAATGACGAAAATAGGGTAATGTATAAAGTGTTTGAATAACTGAATTAAACCAACACGTATTTCCAATATTTCTCAAGCCAACTGGTTCGTCAACAGGATTTCTTTCGGCTATATCAGATTCGTCAATTGATTGTTTCACCGATTCAAATGATGATAAGATTGCTCTAAAACCAATATGACTTTCCCACCGAAATTCAATTTAGTGAAGCTTCTTCTCACCGTTCTAGATCTGCATCTACTGATTGCATCGGATTTGTATCCGATGGAAATTGTACATCAACACCTGCAGTTATCCTTCGAGCGATTCGATGATTCGATGTCTGCGATAAATCCATCGCTGTTTTCGGTAGAGAGGCACTACTATTGTCGTGCGCTTCTCGACCAAATGCCTGGCCAGTAGTTCGAGTCTGAAAGAAAACAACCTTTTGAAAAACTGCATTGATTTTCTAAATGATACTAACGTTATCATCGAGTAATAAACTAATGACTTGGTCCATTGAATAATGACCGGCATCATCCATACATGCTTCAATTGTTTGATTGATACTCTGATTGTCTACGTTGGTAATTTCACTGATCTGTCGGATAACATCAGATCGATCACGTTGCACCTATTCATTTCAAATTCGGTGTTTCAATGTTAAAAAAAAGGTTCTTTTTTACGAACGATCGAAACAGCCGAGTTCCTTAAGTCACTCATGGTAGTCGGTTGAATGTCTCAATCTAGTAAAAAAACTCCATTGATAAGGAATATCCACGTCGGAAATAGAAAGAAAAAGTAAATCATATTGATTGGTTCATTCATCTCCACCTGAAGTTTCGTCATCCTCCAATTATTTCGAACAGAAAAACAAAATACCTATTTCGTAGTTTTAAATACAAGACACACACACACACATACACGCGTCTAACTAAGAGTATTCAAAATGTCTATGCAATGTAGTTGTTTAGCGCCAGGCTCCAAGTATTGCACCCGCTAATGATGCGCCCACCATCGGGTAACCGATATTGATAGCCGCAAGTTTCCATGAAAAGTCATTTTTCGAAAAAATATGGTTTGGTAGCATACTTGTCAAGGCGAAGCCAAGCCAACAGCAAAAGCCAATTTTCATTCCATCAAGCCATGAGCTCGATCCGAGTATTTGTTGAATAAAATGTGCCAGAACGATGACCATGATAAAATGACACACTGTACTGATCATATAACCTTTTTGGGCGTTCTTTTGAACGGTTGGGTCGTTTTTCATTTTGTTCAAATCGAGACCCATAAGTTTAGCCCATGGCTTGGCGAAAAGTAATGAAGAATACCATAAACCTCCTAAAATTATATTGATTAATGTACATGTTGCCACAGCCCAATAGTTAACAGTCGTCATATCGTGTGAAATCACGAATATCTAAATGTAGAACAAAAGAAAACAAACATAATGAATCGATACATATGTCGCAGCGGATAATGAAAGAATGAATTGAACACGTGTTTTTCTTTCTCGCCTAGAACAGATAAAAAGAATAGAGTCGGAATTTCACATATAAACGATATGAATGTATTTCAGTTCATAAATCAGTAAACAGTTCGTGTAGGATGATTTTATCTAGTTCCTTTCAGTTTGTTCTCTATCGATTTGTTTGAAAGTAAATGATATTCCTTGTAGCGCATGATTTTCGTGCATAAACAACGTTTCGCTATTTCAGAAGATAAAAGTGTAATTGAATACAATTAAGTTGAGATCAGCGAGTAAATAGTTGACGGGTATTAAACGTGTCCGATGCAAATCGATGAGAACGACAGATTTTCATAATGATACAACTCCTCATAAATATTTTTTAGGAATTAATTGATTAAATCATCCCTTCTATTGATAACCTCTTTAGGTAAACAATTATTTCTAGACTACTAAAGTCAGCTACGAATATTTTCGTTATTAACAGAAATAAGAAATTCCTTTTTCTAAGTTCTATGCATTGAGATGAGTGGTGCCATCTCATCGGAAATAAATTTTGATTCGTTCATGTGTTGTCTTATCCACAATAGGCTATGTATTTATTTTATTCATTCACAACCATCATTATCGAGCATATTATATATTCTGTGAGTGTGTAGAATTAAGTTCCGTTGCTTGTATTCTCTGCATCATAAGCAAATGTTTCCGGTCGAAAATACTCAAGACCAATTGATCATTTGCATTGCTTCCTTGGATAAATAGGTCAATCGACAATCTTTTGTTCTTTAGAATTATTTCTTCGAACTGATCCATTCAATGGACACGACCAGCAACAATTCAGGTTTTGTTGGTATTAAATTTTGTCAAGAATGGTTCGTATAAGTTGACATTAGTATTTTCAACTTTCACATATTCTTTCTCTCAATTAGCAATAACATGTTATACCCAAAGGAAGACAAAGAGAATCGAATTTTACTCTATGCAGTGAGTGATACGTTTCTTGTTGTCATTTTCTGAACATATTCGTGTAGTGTCGTCGATGCCAACATCAACAAGCAGCAGATAATCCTTGCATCTATGTCAATAAGATTACACATGAAATTGAGTACGTATTCACTTGTAAATCACTGTCCATATTAGAAACTGCCAGGGATTTCTAATATGTCTCATCATTTTTTTGAAAACTTTAGTTACCGAAGGTTTTTCACGGATTGTTATGTAAATTATAAACTTTTTCGAGTTAATACTACATCCCGATCTCGAAGTCGATTGTTTTCTCAGACTTCGCTGTAAAAAAAGTATTAAAAATCCTCAGAAATCCTTATAAAAAGTTTTGAATAAATAGGAGGAAGGTCCTATTCGCATATATGTTGTTCATCTCCGAAAGGGCTTCTATTACAAGGCAGAATGTATAAGAAGTCCGTTTGAGTCTTGATTAATCGAATAGTTATATGAGTTCAAACAGAAATTGTGAGCAAGAAAACGCTTCATTGATTACTCGGGTACATCGAATTGGTGATGATTTTCGTCGTTGAAACAGTCGATATATACTTTTGTTATTTTAGTGAATTGACGCAAATTGTCACAGATGTTATTTCGGATCCAACATTACCACGCACTTCTGATCATCCTTGTGAGTCAAATCGAACGAATAGTTTCGTGGAATTCATAATATGTTTTCGCAGGCCCAAAATGTCGAACAGCAGACGCGGTTTTCTTTCAAGCCCAATCAGCTCGTAGTGAGGTATGTATTTCTTTCAGAGATGTCTTTTCATTTTTCGACAATTGCTTTCTTCTTTCAGGATCGTATGACACTTTATTACGTATGTCGAAATCAACATTGTCTTTATCGATGGACAGAATAAAGATCTTTTTTTAAATGTTATTATGTGAATAAACTAGGAAAACTGTTCTTCGATTTCAGATATGTAATTGGTTTTGAAACCTAATTTCATCATGTCATCTCAAGACGAAAACGCGAATATCGTTTCCAATGAAGAAAAACCTATTCCATCTGCTAATCAGAAACGCCGTGTGCGTTTTCCCAGTGATGAATCTCAATTACGTATGATATCGATTGCACCGGAACCGTTAGCCAATCAACCGCTGCTATCACTTGGTGTGATTTTACAACGCTATCGTGGCGCATGTCAGCGTTTACAAATACGTCCACTGAATTGTTTGTTAGAACAATTGAATAACATGAATGATGGAAGGAAAACGTTCTATGATCGTCTTGAATGTTTGAAAGTCGTTAACGAACGCTTGGATTTAAAACATATGGATGCGATCGAAGAAATTCTCTCACGTTGTCGCTTTTATGTATTGGATTTTGAATCGTCGTTTCCGGATGATACGACACTTGTACAATTTTTCGACATTATCGAATATTATGACTCATGTACGCATTTGAATTTGTCAAACAATCGCTCGATCAATTTCCATGGTTATCAAGCACTGACGCGGTATATGAGAAAAACCAGAGTTCTGGAAAGATTAGACATGAATTCTATACGCTTTGATGATGCAAGTATGTTAGGATTCGGTCGATCATTACGAATGTCATCGACATTGTATGAACTGCATGTGGAATCATGTCAGTTGAATGGCAAAATGTTACAAAAACTTATCCAAAACATTCGAGCGTGCCCATGTTTACGTGAACTTTATCTATGTGATAATCGTATGTATTCGCGTTTGAATTTCATCCTCTTTTCGAGTTTGTTTCAATTCAGGGCAGATCCTTCTAGTCGACTTTTCATATAAAATAACACTGATCGTTTAGTTTGTATGGACACAGTTTGCAATTTCATATCTTTCTTTTTGCCACAAATGACGTGAAGAGTATTCTATTTCTATATATTTTTTCATCAATTGAAGTGCTTTTTTTTGTTCTGTCTCCAAAGAATCCTTTGTTCTATCTGAAGAATAGCATGCTTTTCTCTAATTAGGTCTGCAAGTACAAGATTCGATACTGATAAATGAATTGATTCGTTCATGTGGACAATTTCTTCATGTGCTCGACCTTCGTTCGAATTCACTGCAAGATAATGGTATGTCTCATATTGCGTCGCAGTTAAGTCAATACGATGAGCATCACACACATCAAAACACGATCTACAAGATAAGTTTTCAATCGAATCAATTGACTCATCAGGGTGTGGCCTTCTTGGCCAAAGCGCTGTTGCACAATCGAACGATACGTTCGTTAAATTTAAGCTACAATCAGATTACAAATGAAGGTTTATATGTTTTACGCGATGCATTGTTAACAAATCGGACAATTAATGAATTGATCCTCAGAAATTGCCGTTTGACAGATCAAGCGGCGATCGCTTTAGCCGAATTTATAGCTGAATCTTCAGTTATTCAATATCTCGATTTAAGAGAGAATAACATCCAAGCAAGTGGCATATGCGGAATGGCGATAGCAATGAAGAATAACAGATCTTTGTTGAAAGTAGATTTCGATTCTATCGATTCGTCGACGAACCCGTCGTTCAATCAAAGTATCGATCGAACAGCGAGCTCTTCAAATGGTTTATTATCTTTATCGAATCTCCGACGAATGACTGTTGGCCTAGGCAGTTTTAGTACTACTAACAATTCAGCGAGTAGTTCCAATCAAGCATTGAACCATAATGCTAAAGAATTGAATGAACAGAAAGCGAAATGGATGAATGATATTGAATGTATATGTCAGAGGAATTTACTTCTCTACGAAGATCAACTTCGGCGACAAGAAGAAGAGCAATTGACGAATAATCATGGTTGGATATTTTGGATTCTTTCTGTGAGATTTTATATTTGAGCTTGTTTAGAAATAACTGATACGAATGGAATCGACCATCATGAAGCATCGACAACGACACCGAATGGCGTTATTTTAGAAGAAAAGGATGAAAATAACGGAAACTCATTAGGTACAAACGAACATAACAGTGAAGAAACACCAGTTACTACAGATGACAATCTACAGTAAACAATTTCGATTGTTCTTTTGATCGAAGAAATCACGATTTTTTTATTTAGAACAAACGAAACTTCTGCTGATGCTAATGAACAATCAGAACCTACAGAAGATCAGCCAAAATCCGACAACGTCACAGAACAACTAACAAATGAACATAATAGTAATGATGTATGCATAACAACTGATACTACAAAGTAAGTCAGCTCACTAGAAAACGATTCAAATCAGGACTTCCTTCATATGTAGCCCTTTACCAATTGACGATAATCATGAAATAGTGCAAACAACTCCGACCGAACCAATGCTAAACAATTCTCAACCTCTTCCAGATTCTCTCGAAGATAATTTAACAGATGACGAAGATGATGGAAAACAACAAATTCGTCATTCTGATAGTCTCTATTTATTACGTAAAAAGAACGTAAACCATGCTGATGGTAGTGATACTAGTGATGATGAATCTCAACTATCGACCATTATCGAACCAACTCAAGAAATTGTCGATGGTATATAAAAATGTTAGTCTCATTCAAGAAAAAAAGTCTTTTCCTCTCGTGGTGCACGGTGCAATAAAAGATCTTGAACAAAAACACGACTTTGTGGAAGTTTCATGTTGGTGCTAATGGCTTTGGATACATTCCACAAAAGATTTTCTTTCTGCCGGTGGAAAAATTTAACTGAATATGGACGAATACAACAGTAGTATTGAACGGTTCATTCTCAACTGATTGTTTTCTCTCTACAACACTTCTGTCCATATAATTTCTTTCCAAATATTTTCTGCTTTCGAGTGAGAGTATCCCCAAGGTGCTTCTCACAATTTTTTCTTTTGAATCTTGTAATGATGACATTTTCTTATTCGCTCGCTCGCTTCGTCTGCATGCATACTCATATTTAACTACTATCTATCTTATGGATATAAAAATCCTTTTTTTCTTTTTATTTAAACTTCGCTCTCGTTGGTTTCCCAAAATGTCTCTGGCCAATCTACGCGCGTGTACGTGTCTCGTTCAAGCAAATCTCTTTTTTTCTCGGATTTCTCAATGATAACTTCAACGTTTCTTTCTCTTTTTCCTCTCTTTTTGTTGTTTAGACGACATTATCAATAAATGATAAATACGATCGACTTATTTAACTTGAAATAAACTTATTAGACTTGCATGCTGTTCGTTGTTTTAACAAAAACGTATTTGCATAAGAATGCCTGACAACTATCAACACTAGCAGATGTCGACATAATCGAATAGACTTGATTGTGAATGCGAAAAATATTTTCTCTTGTTTTTTCTTTCCTCAGATGTTCAGCAAAGCATTCCCCAACAATATTTAATCTTTGAATCTATTTAGGATGCGAAAACAATGATTATCAAATCTCGTTTGTTTTCGGCATTTGTTTTATTTATTTATTTTTTTCTTCTTCTCTCATCCCAAGGACATGAAAATGTGTCTATCGTTGTTGTCAGAATAACAAAATAATAGAAACTTTCTCTCCTCCGATTTGACACGAAAAACAAAAGTACATAACAGGTTAAGGTTCACAAAGACAAATGTATGTTTATCTCGTCGTCAGACTATGCAAACACAAAAACAAGTTCTTCGTTTATTCAATAAGTTTTGTCATCGTCGCATTACATTGAATGATTTGTTCGCGTTCGAAAGATACATTGAAGAAGTTCTTTACGAGATAAAACATGTTCACACAAACTGTTCTACACAACACACAGAGATACATACAAATAGATACAAAGCGAGTTCTTGCCGTGTTTGTTTTTCTTCGCAAACAAATATAATTGACGACTGTTTGCTGGTTTTTTTTAGCGATACTTTCAAAGCATCGAACAATCCGAAATTAAAGTCAGAAAACCGTCTGACGGTTCATTGCGCCGGACTCGAGAATAAGAGATGAAAAGGAAATATACAAGAATTTGAAATGAAAACAACAAAAACAAGATTTCGGAAAGAAAAAAAAATTTTTTTAAACATTCATCGATATGGTTGAGTCTAAAAATCTTTGTATATGGGCGTGAATCGGTGTACTTTGATGCATTGAACCCGCACAAAATAAACGTTCAAAGACATCTTCTTTCACTTGATAGATATTGCATAAAAAGAAAACTATTTTCGAATATTTGACGCGTGTTAAACACCATGTGGTCAATTTTGCTTGCGTTTGACATTCCGCTTTTTCAAATAGATTTCCAGATGAATTATTAAATAATGTTTTACCTTCTTTGTAAATGATCATTTCGCGGATGAGATTGAAACCATTCTCATCGATTTCAAGTGTTTTACCGCGAGTTATTAACGATTCGATTTGTTTAACATCATTTTCGGTCGGATAGGTAATCGTTGTCGACGATGTCGATAATGACGTACATGACATATCATTAGTTATTTGCAAATCTTTGGTGACATAGATTTCAAAGCTGTGTTCAATCATGCTGGTTAAGAGTAAGCGATGCCAGATGCGAGAAAGTAATAAGTATTTATCTTTCGCATTGGTGAGTGTTTCTTGAACGACGGAAAGTGATAGAGCAAAGTTAACATTACGTTCGAGCCAATCGTTGATGCGAGCACCGATGACGGGCATGAGTTTTTTCGGAATACACACATAATCGTTATTGGGTTCTTTTGGAGGACTTGAACATGGTGGAGAATTCGAGGGTGAGGCAGATGATGATGAAGATGAGTAACGAAAGTTGGATGAAAGAGGGCCTAAATGGAAACGAAAGGATTAACATTAACCGAGCAGATCGAAAACGTACTACTATCATTTGTTCGATTGCTTCCACTATGTTTTCGCAGATCGATTGGTACTGGTTTAAGTAATTTTTGTTGTTGTTGTCCTAATATTCGACTACTTTCAAGTAGAGTTTGATAGGTTTCTCGTCGGTATGGTTGATCATTTAATGATGAGTTTGACTGAATATGATTGTTATTGTTATCACTTTCTGGCGCTTGTTTCCGACGTTCGCGAAACTTCTCTGTTGGTGATGATTTACCTCCATTCGTGCTGGCATTTGCAGATGCGGCAGCCGCGACGGCAGCAGCAGCCATCATTGACGGTGGAATTGGTAGATATCCGGAAGCTGCCGCAGCATGCAATAATGCTGCGGGATAATTGACACGAAACTGTTGAGTGAGTGTGTGCATAAGAGCATATTGAGCATAACCAAAAGCCAATGCTTCTTGTTGACTAAATGGAATGTTCGAATTTGTTGTCGATGTTGGCATGGTAAAACCCGATGAAACAGTAGCTTCACTTGAAAATTTCTTGTCTTTATTGAGTTCGTCATAGAAATGAGCGAGAGATTTCCGTTTTCGACTACCAGTTGGCATTTGGGGTTGATGGTTAGGTTCGGTCTGATTTGTACGGAACACCTACACGAAAAATGTATTATTGTTATAATAGCTGTTAGTAATAAGAATATTTGTTCAAGATATTTTTGGTTTCCCTTAGCACTTACATGTACAATATTGTTATCTGACAACGGACTGGAGGATGAAACACCAGAATCCGATGCACATGATTTGACTGAAGCGGAACGAACGATCTTCGGTGCCATTTCATCAGGCGATGGAGACGTTGATGGAATTATCATATTATTTGTTGTTGTTGCGAATGAAGGACAAGACGAAGCTGTTGCTAATAGATAAGATGTTGGAGATGGAAATGATTGAGTGACTGGTGCTGGTTCAGAAGGTGACACAGTAGATGTAGGAGAAGCGGCTCGTTTTGTCAGGGCAGCCATAGGGTAGGATCGGCAACGAGGCGGCGAAGAATTGCCTGAATTTGAAACGTCATTATGTGATGAATCCGGCCGAGTATTATTGAAAACATGAGTGGCAGGTGAAACAGGCAGTGATGTCGACGATTTCATATCCACAAGCGTATCAGTTGTGTTTGTACTCGTTGGGGAGTTCATTGAAATGGCATTTGTGGTTACACTGGTCGGGGAAATAGTGCGCGGTGATTGTAATGTACCATTGAGTAGAGCCGGTAAAATATTTGTCAAAGTACTGCTGGCTGTCCGATGCGATGACGATGATGGGGATGCATAATTACCTTTTCGTAAAAGGGATGCAATGCTCAATGACGATGGTGACGACGAGGGTGTAACCGAGGAATTCGACGATTGAAGCATTTGTGTGAGAAAGGCATTCTCGACAGATGAATTCATATCATCCTTTTCTATTTATAAGAATAAATAGAATGAATGTGACGGTACAAATATGAACGAGAGAGAGAGCAAAAGAAAAAGAACTTACCATCTGTTTGATGATTTAGTTGAAGTTGTTTGCGCTTTTCACGGACACTTTTGCAAAAAGCAATACGGTCCAATGTATTGATTGAATGCGGTGAGACGACGGTAGCGGGAATCATCGGTGATCAGTGGACTTATTCAATGGTCCACGTAGAAAAAAATCTGACCTTATCGGTCTAGAATGACAAAAGAAAAAGAAGAATAGAGATTAGATTGTATAATCGATTATGAACGGTAAAATTATTGTTGTCTCTTGTCCCTCCTCGTTCATCCGATCTGTATACATAAAACGGTGACGAGCGTACGTATTGTTCAATTTTCTTTTTATTTCTTCTTTGTTTTTTATTTGTGATGCTTTAATTCCTGTCTAGCCATTGTCGGTACGCACTAACGAACGAAAGCGTCGAAATCGTGACGAGCAAGAAAAAACCCGGGGAGACTGAACGAAAAAAGAACGCGCTGGATCAGAAGTAGTTGGTGTGACTCAAGACGATTGTTGAAGAAATGTTTACGAAACATCTACGTCTATCGTCTTTTCGAACTTTCCGAGTGAATGATGATATACTGTCCAGAGAACCAGATCATATCATCAACGAATGCCGACATGCTTCATTATGTTAATAAATACCGAAGACAGAAAGAAGAGAAATAGAACTCGAGTATTTTTTTCCTGAAATGGACGGACACGAACTCAGAAGCTGAAGAAGAAGAATAACAACAACAGTTATCATCATCATTAAACGGGACCTTTCTCTACCCGATCTTGTTTTTCTACTTATTTTGAATCAGTCTCTTCTCACTCTCCCTTTCTCTCTTTATTTTTCCCTTCCTTTTTTTCTCGTATTTTCAAGGACGCATGCAAGCCTACGTTGTTGTCTAAAGAAAGAGAACAGGAGACGACCTTGAACTACATGTCAAAAGGCTACCCGCATGCTTGCGATAGCGCGCCAAACGCTAGTTTTGACAATGTTGTTGTTGTTGTTGTTATTTTTATTGTTTTTATGTGTCATCGCGCACATAGACGAGCGATGGCGTCAAGTCATCGACGTCGAAAGAATAAGAGTCAGCAAGCCTTCTCATTTATTTCTCTATTCTTCACATCTTACTCCGGCTTTTATTAAAGCAGAAAAAACTAATAAAAACGACAAAAAAAATATGCCGTTTGCCATTTATTCACCGATAGCCGAAAGAAAAGAAGAGAATAAAAGGCTTGTTTTTGAAAAAGGTAACACTCAGCTGCTTCTAGTTTGATTCTTTATCCTTGCATAATTAGTGGTACGACAGCAGTGTTTTGATGTTTTCGTCTTATTCTAATCGAGAATCGCACTAGTGGAAATTCTTTCTTTCCTGTTTTTCTTCTTCTTCTTCTTCTCGGTTGATCTTGTTTGAAGCATATAAAGAAAAACAACACAAAGGAAAAAAGAATTTATTCTTCTTTGTAGTAGATTCACAACAGACATTGGTCGTAAATCAGCAATCTAACAACAAATTATTTTCAAATCTCAATCTGATCTTACCTGAATAAGGAAAGATCTGCGTTTCTATCTTGGGAACTAATAGTTTTAAAAAGTAAAAACCAAGAACGAGATTCATACGCACCCGAGGTCAAGGTTCGGCAATGAGTGATGTACACCCTCAAATGTAGATATGTTCGTTTGTTTAAATTATTAAATTTTACCACTTCACTCTATGCACTTTACTCTACTCGTGCTTTAATCAATCCAATATCATCGATTACGACAGTCGCAAGGCGAGGGACACGACACGCATCATAGTGAGAGAGTGAAGAGAAAAAATTTGCTCATCTTCGCCTTACTCTCAATCATTCAATGTCATTTTATGTGCATTATCTGACTGAGTGCTTGTTTCGGACCAGTTTCTTACCTAATGCATATACATCTATGTATATTTATATATGTATATGTACATATATACGCATACGTAAATGTACACGGTCAGTATATTCGCTCAAGGAAGACTCGTGTAGAAGAAGGTAGAATGTAAGAGAAGAAACGAGGGAATAGTATATTGCACAACTCTTCATCACGGCATGACAATGACGGCGGCGCATATATGATGTAAGCTACCACTATCATCACTACCAACAATGTACAAAAAGAGTACACTCGAGACTGACCTGTCGTCGGCGCCGACCTACAATAATCGAAGCACCTGTACATATATGTGCTCCACTTACAAAAAGAAGAGAAATAATGGATGGAAAGCAAATATAGTTCATAGATATATATGTATGCATGTATGCGCAATGTATACATATGATAGAAAGAGAAAAAAAGGGCCAAGGTGAATGAATGATTGAAGTAGAACTGACCCAGACAACAGCGCCAGACATGCGCACTCAACAGCAATCGATGTATTCAATAGAACAGTAATTATGACTTGTACTGTACTGTTCAATTGGTCGATTCGACTAGCTAGCCAGTCGCTTGTTCACTCTTCTTCTTTCCTCTCAGCTCGTTTTGCTGGAGGACAACTAGACTATTACAGCATGCGTACATATACAGAATGTCTAGTCTTTCTATATATGGTCGAGTAGACAAACGGAAAGTCAGACGTGCAGACATACTAACAGATAGCAAATGTCTTTGCTTTCTGAACATATACATTTTGACATCAGTACAATGTCTGTTCATCTTCACTGCGTCTTTCGTACTGAAAAATGTAAACAATGTGTGTGTAGCCTTCGTTCTCTCAGTGCGCTATTTACTCAATGAAAATAGTACCACTGTCACAAATATTGGACAACCCTCATGAATACGCATGTTTTTCATGAGAACATGTTGAAGATGTTTTGCATATAGAAAATGAATCAAAAACTTACCGAAGATAAATAGATATTTCGTTGGCGAGAGTAGACTTCGTTGACAAGATGTGTTATGAGGAATTTACGATGCAAATTAGCTGTTGTTATTTACAACGAATAACTTTGGAAAAACTCGCGTTAGATCAAAAGTTCGATCGAAAGTATGATTGCGTAGTCTTTGTCGTCTATTGATTGACCATCAAATAACAAAAACTGACCATTTTCTCTCTCTTTTTCTCCTTCTTTCTTTCTTTTCTTTTCTCTAGATACTCTTCTCTCGCATTTTTTGCTTTTGTGCTTGTCGTTGAACATAAAACTATACATAGGATAAGGAGAAGAAGAAAAATGAGAATGCAGTCGTCATCGTTCAAGGCTAACTAATGGACTCTGTCCGCATATATATATATGTATGAATGTATACTTCGAATAGTAAAGAGAATGATGACGTACGAGAAAAGAAAAAAAATTTTGCTGCGTTCTTATTCTCTTTTACGCTTTCAGCGAGTGTTAAATGAGAAGGAGAGACGTAATCTAGCTGAGGCATATAATACGAGACCACTTGACCAACCAAACTGCTCTCGTTTCTTTACTTGCTCGCCTTTCATTTTTAGGTCAGACAGCCAGACAGCCAGACACATAATCGCTAATTCAATTTACTGTCGACGCGGTCAGAGAGACGCGTCGTCATCGTCTCTCGTTCTCTTTCTCACTGAAATATTTGCTCATGGCCCATGGACATTGACCAGCTGCCACAGCACGTAATTCATCTTCTCCGAACAATATGTAAGAGAAGAAATTTTCTCGTTTATTATTCGAATGTCTGACCGGACCTTGCTCTTTGTCTACGCATGTTTGTCTGTCGAAATCAAATGTAAATGTAACCGGTCACCATTCAATATCATGTCCTTTTCACTGTATATATTTTCATAACTAAATCCCGTCATTTGTTCGCACAACAACGCTGACGTGTCCGTCTATGTAACCTATTCCTTATGTTTGAGAACATGTCTATACGATTATCACCGACGATTTATGACAGATCCTGTTTGACCTACGCTTGTAGTTATTGTCATCGAGTGATGACACAATCATCCGTAGACACGGTTAAGAAATGTACAGACAACATATAAATTCATCAGCTGGATTACATGGGCCGAAAAAGACTAAGATATTGAAATTAGCTTGATTATTGTACATATGCAAGGGATCTCATTAGGACCTGTCTATACGTATAGTGAATCATCAGATGATAAGAATTTGTTTAAACAAACGAACAATACAAGGAAAATATTGAGACGATTGCATCCATGCATAGATTATTTTGAAAAGAGCTTTTTATCTAATTAGTCTAGCACCATTTTTTATTCAGACAGAGAACAATGATAGTGGATTCTTTCTTTTCTATTGATTATTATGATCATTATGGTTATCTGTTCAATCATATTCGTTGAAGTTACACAGTGGATCGTTTAACATCCGAACAAAGCAAAGAAATGTTTTGCATCGATCTTGGAGCAATCAAACAGCATGACCTTGAAAGCTAATAGCAATTCCAAGCTTTTCTGTTCATTTCGATGATTTGAAAATCAAATCCGCCCACTGGAATATGACTAATCAGCATTTCTAAATGTTAGTTGTAAAGTAATATGTATGTTACGTCTATGATTTCGTTAATTTCATATTCCTACATAATTCTGCATTGTATTCACGTCTGATGACCTATATACATATCTCGTACAAACAATAGTAAAAGAACAGATGTGTCACATATGCCATTGAACAGACAGACGTATCTCTCTTCTTTCTCGATTGACCGAGCAATCATCGACTATCAACATATATTATTGATACAATCTCACTCTTTTACTTTCTCGACTAAGTGATGGTAGACAGATAGACAAACAAAAAGAAAGTGTTAGAATTTTATATCAACAGTGACACTGACGATAGAATCTAACCTTTCAAAATCGTATTTATCATAATGTGATTGCTCTCGAATGCTGAGAAATCATTTTGGTTTGACCAACACTTCCAAGTGCGATCGGTTTGGTTTGAAATAGTTTGATAAATTGTTGATAACGATAATGGAAATTTGTGCTTATGATATGTTTTTATGTTGATTTCGAATCAATTTCATTTTCGCCGACATGATTATGTATATTTACATGTAAAGACTACCTACACCTTTTAGCCAATGTCATGATTTTATTTCGTTCTCCTTGCTATTTTCCTTTATTCAATATCACGAATCATTACTGAAATAAAGGGAATATAAGTAGTCTATCGAGTAATAATTAATATCTATCGTTTTGAAATGGACCGATTACGTTCTAGTGGCAAACGAACGACACTTCGAGATATTGCAGAAAATCCTTCGATACAAAAACCAACACTTGGTATGACTGAGATTCGCGATCATTAAATGTCTTTTATTGTTTTTGTTTTGTAGTTCAAATCGGCACGAGATCAATCGTTGTTGGAGAAAAGATTCATGGACAATATATTGTCGCGTCTCCATGTAGAGTAGCTAACAATCAATTCGATAAGTCCGAACAAGAAATTATTCTCTCGAGTAAACAATCAGGTATTTGGAAAATAGTTACTGATGACAACAATCATACTCAGCGATTGACAACAGCTGACATTGAGAATATTCATACACATGATGTAGGAAAAAAACGAGTCACACCGCGGTCATACATATGTACAAAACAAATCGAAGCATTTGAACTTCACGTGCGTAAAAACGGTAAACAATTGTTGATCTTTTGTTTCTTATGAACTGTATTCGATTTGTTAAGATGATACAGTTTTCAATAGATATCGAATTGATCGTAAACGGATCTGTATCGATGAGAATACTGAATTTCAAATAGCAGATATTGGTGAAGTTGAATATACACCATCCGAAGGCGAACGAACATCTCAAGATTACATCGTTGTTTCCAAGTCAAAATCAAGTTCTTTCATTCAGTTACTTCTACCACATGTTCAAGGAACTAAAAACCTTATTCGAAATCGGGCATTACGTTCCTTGCATTGCACAATTATCAATGACCCACAAAAACGTTCGTTTTTACTTGAAGTCAATGATCAACGATATGATATATACCCAGTGGCGTCGGAAGGCTCAACAGATTTACGATATTTACACTCCACACACAATCTCTTCAATTATTTGTCGAAATATGGCAATGATCAATCACTTTGTGTGAAGTTGATAAAAGGTAAAACAAGAAAATTGTTATTTTTGCATTATCAAACTTGTCGTTCGATATTTCAGGTGATCGACCGGTTAAATCCATAGCATTCGATGGTTACATGATGTTCAAAAGAGTCCTCAGTGGTGACAAAATTCCACTCTGCCGTGTAGATAATCTCGAAGTCACTCTCGTCAATCTCGATTTGACGATCCCAGTCAAAGTACAAAGTCATGATCCATCACCAAATATCCACGCCGCGGAGCATCGATGTATGCAATTAACCATCTCTCTACTCAGTCGTCATGAATCAGAAATCTACGTGTCGATCGATATGGATCAAAATCCGGCGAATTTTCTTTTCAAAGAGCAAGCATCGAAATTTCGCTCCCAAGATGATTTACGTCTAGAACAGCGAAGAAAAACATCACATCATCGTGGATCTCAGACACCGACATTATCTCGAGTAAATCGACATGATGACAAACACTTATCGAAATTCAATCGAGAACATATCAAACAAGAATTTCAGTCAATTTCAACTGCACAGAAGATTGTTCCATAAAAGTAAATGTTTTTTCGACCAATTGAAAAACAAGTGCAAAAACGGCATAAACAACGAATTCAAACGAACATCAACGTTAGCAAAAGACAACTCCTTTTTCTTTTCGAATTCATTTTTCTTTCATAAAATGCGCTATTGTTACCCACTTTATATGTGCAAACAAATATTTTCATGAGTTTGAATAAAAAGAAAAAAGGCGTTTCTGTATAATCAGCAGACTATATAAGTGTTGAAAAGAAATCTTTCATCATCAAACAACAAAATCACATCAGAAAGTAAAATATTACAAGCATTGCGTGACGTATTTGTACTATTTTTCTCATAGATAATCGGACTCAAACACTTTCAGACTTCTGACATGTTAGCTGATATTATGGCAAATCCATGGCGGTAAGAATCATTTCATATATATCTATTCAAGCAAAATCGATTTATTTTTCAGAGTGGAAGACTCGGATGGCGAGGAAGAGATTGATCACCGATTGTATCGACGTATTTCATTTACAACACAGAATTCACTACCAAATGTAAGTGAATGAGCTCTTGTCGATAAAAATATATCTTTAATTTTGTAGATGTTAACAAGACAACGTATACCGAAAATAGTCGATTGGGATCCGATTATAACTGAGGATAGACATAAAAGTATAATCGGACTCGGTTTTAGCGAAGACAAATTTTCATTGTGAATATTTAGGAAAATTTGGACGCAATCGAACAGCACCATCATTTGAAAAAGCACCTTCCGATCGCAAGCCAATCTTCTCTGGTACACGAGCCGTCAAACTATCTCATTCCTTCCTAGAACCACGTGGATATGCTAAACCTATGATCGTCAATGCTCCTGATACACCTCCAGTTCGTAGAAAGATAGTTTGATTTATTTCATCAGCTATTCGTTTGTTGATTAGGCTTCACCACCAAACGATAATTCAACTTTCGATCCACTTTTACTTATTCAAGAACATCTAATTGATTTCATTTATTCACCCATCCCAAAACGTCATTCATCATTCATCCATTGTTGTCTTCGTCGTGATAAAACTGGTATTCAAAAAGGATTTTATCCAACATTTTATCTCCATTTCGAACGGCCATCCGATGGCAAAAAGGTATAAATCTATCCGCCAAAGTAAATAGATGCCTTATCTTTTCTCTTTTAGATATTCTTAATGACAGCACGAAAAGTCGCTCGACTAGATCGACAAAGCGAATATGTCATCTCAACAAATATCGAAACGTTGTCCAAAAAAGCCGGTGGCGATGGCTGTATTGGAAAACTACGAGAAAATAATGTCACTGGGACTGAATATACATTGTATGATAACGGGCAAAGTCCGAGCAAATACAAACCTAAAAACTCAATTGATAAAAATGGCTTACGACGTGAACTAGCTGGAATTGTCTATGTATGTGGGAAGACTTCCTGTCTCTGTAAAACTTCATTTCTTTCAATTTATAGAATAGCAATATGTTTGGTTTGAAAGGCCCAAGACAAATGAAAGTTTTGCTACCTGAATTTGGCCATGAGATTCGACCTACAGAAGTAAATTTGAATCTTATTTACAAATTCCTCAAATAGTTATCAATGAATTCTAGGCTGAAGATACAATTCTCGATCAATGGCGAGATCGCAATTTTAATTCTTTAGTGCAATTAAATAATCGAGTACCCACATACAGTACAGGTAAGACCGAATCATTTCTCATGTGAATGTAACCCTTTACTTCTCTTTAGAAACCAAAATGCATATGCTTCAGTATTTCAGTAATCGCGCTGTTCGACCATCCAAGAAAAACTTTCAAATCATCGTTGAAAATCAAAATCGTATGTAATTTCAATTCACATTGATTTATTTCATGTGCCATTGTTTAGATGAAGCAGAAATTGCCATGCAGTTCGGTCGTGTAGACGATGATACATTCATTTGTGATTATCGATATCCACTTTCTGCAATACAAGCATTTGGCATTGCACTCAGCTCGTTCGATAAGCGTATTGCGCGTGATTAAAAAATTGTACAGTTTTTGTGTTTATATATTTGCATTTAATACAAACTGAAAGCTCATGCCTTTTTCTTGCATAGCGAATATGAGATTCAGTTTTCAATTGTCTTCACCTTTCCATTGATAACCCACTGAAATGAAGAGTGAAATGACGAAAAACCGAATTATTGGAATAGAGATATACTAGAAAATGGTGAATCATCAGATGAATGATAGGAAGCACTTTGTGGCACGGATGATCGAGAAGTATCCGGTGGAGTTATAGGTTGTGATAGAACAGGTATTGATTCGGAAACAGATGGTGAGGGTGACGGGTCGAGAGTTAATTGATGAGTTTTCGACTTGAAATAAAAGTGACTTAGATTATTAATAGAACACTTGTCTTACTGGTAGGGATCGTTTTGTGCGTACAGTTGACTTGACTTTGACCTAATATTGCTAACTCTACATTGGTCAATGCTAAAAAAAGACAATACTTACCACTGATTGCACTGGTGTTGACAGTGGTAGATTTTGATTAATGCTTATTTGTGATCGACGCGAAGGAGAAACGCATCGTGGCGGAGTATTCGTAATCGAATCATATGCAATATTGGCTAATTGATCAATAAAATGAACATTATCTACATTTGAGTTGGTCAAATACATTTCCTCGATGAGATTGGGGCTAAAACTCATTATACTCAATATGACATTTCCCTATTCGAGCATGTACGTACACTTGCTCGAAAGCTCGAATGAGTTGTTCACCAGAAACGCCTCGTCGAACAAGTCTTGTTAATATCTGACAACGAACATCATTGAAATAATTTCTCAAACACCGAAAATTTGTATCCGATGTCAAAATTGATCGATCTTGTTCGCAAAACATTTGCATAGTAAAAGAAGAAAAGCTTCTGATCAAAGGCGCGATTATGTAACTTTTATTGGAAATTAGCGTCCTCTTTCGTCTTTTGTTTTTCTCTCCTAAAAAACATATTACTTTCTCCAATGAAAGCAAGAAAAAAACACGAAAATATATCAGAATGAATGAATATTCATGTTTGACGTCTTATTTATTTTTTGTTTATCGTACGATTCGAATTTGTATTGCCGGTCGCTATTGACGTTCAAAAACATGTTTCATATCCTACATACATAAATAATTCAAGACCTTCTTTTTACATATCACAAATAGACATTCTTTTCTTCTCTTTGACTTTGCTCAACACCATTTACACGCGTGCGTATAGATTGATTAGTTCAACATGATCTCATTCTTCACCTTTCACAGACAATTAGCGAACAGAATTGATAAATGTCAGAATAGGAACATTCTATTGATAATGATATCAATAGAAGAAATGTGCAGCACTCGCATTTGTTGCTTTCATTGTAGATGGCTGCGGTAAATGTATATCATACAAGTGTGACAACAGACAATCTTAGTAGAAATGATATTCTACAATGGATTAATTCGGCTCTTGATGCCAATTTCGTCAAAATTGAAGATCTTTGTTCCGGTACAGATGAAAGTTCACATGCGTACTGGTAAAACTTGCCATCGTTTGCATTTGTTTAGGTGCTGCATATTGTCAATTCATGGAAATGTTGTTTCCAGGTATGTTTAACTTATCTATTCATGTATCGATCATTTTTTCGAAAAAAAAACTTCTCTTCTAGGCTCGATAGGTGCTCGATCAAAACGTGTGAAATGGAATACAAAACTTGAACATGAATACATTAATAACTTTAAAGTGCTGCAAGAATATTTCAAAGCACTGTCTGTAGAAAAGGTAACTTTTAGTTTCATTCGATCGACACGTTTACATTTGCATATTACATGTCGCAGACAGAAAAATCGGATGAAGCACTCAGAGATTGAGCCTATGATGAATTCTATGTTTATTTACTCAGCGCGGAAGTCATGACTGCAGTGTAAAGTGTGATCTTTTTCTTTTCAGATTGTTCCCGTGGAGAAACTGGTCAAGGGAAAATTTCAGGACAACTTTGAATTTGTTCAATGGTTCAAAAAATTCTTTGATGCTAATTATACCGATTCACAGGACTACGACCCGGTTGCTGCTCGTGATGGACAGTAAGTTAAATCTGGATTTGATCTCCTCTATAAAACGATCAATTATTCTTTGTTTTCAAAGGCCATTAGGTAGTGGTGGTAAAGCAGCCGGACCTGGCAGTAACTCTGGTATTCGAGCACCACCTGTGTCTCGAGCACCAGCATCGAAACCTGCTCCTCCACCGTCAAAACCAGTAACGACGAGTAAGTCGAAACGTATGAAGTTATCGAGTAAGTTTCATTTCTTTGTCTTCGCAGCAAAACCCGTCCAACAACACACGCCGAAAACGGCTCCTGCTATTCATCGACCAACTGCTCCCTCCAATCATACTACAACAATTAATGACCATCATTCTCATCCTGGAGCGCACAGTAATGAAACAGCACGATTACAACAAGAAGTACGATAATTCAATTTGATCTTTTGTTTTCTATATGCGCATTTTGTTTCCTATAGATTGATAATTTACAAGAAATGATTCAACAACATGCGACTCATATTGCTGGCTTAGAGAAAGAACGTGATTTCTATTATAATAAATTACGCGATGTGGAAACCATTTGTCAAGAACCTGATTTTGAAAGTTTACCACATACACAAAAGATTCTGGATATTCTCTATGCAACCGAGGTACGTAAATAATGATTTCGTCTCTTGGAACATTCATTATACAATATTAGCTTATATCGTACTAACAAGATCGATATTTTTAAGGAAGGCTTTGAGATTCCTGATGAAAACGATCAATATCATCATCATACCGAACAAGATTTTTGATAAGGAGTCGGTGTGTTGTCTATTCCTGTTTGTTTCTTTGTTTGTTTGTTGACTGTGGTTATCTGTTGCTTTCAGTTGATTCTGTGCATGTCGAATAGACAGATCTTTTCCTTTCTATATATTTATTGAATTCTTTTTCTATTTCTAGGAAGGCTTTGTGCAACCTGAACAAGAGAACGAGCATGATGATTTCGATAATGAAAATATCAACAATGGTGCTGGTTCCGGTCTAACGGCTGCTGATGACGAAACATACTGAAAGCGACATCAAGATAATTATTTCCATATTCCTCGGTTTTCTGCTTCTATTTCTTTTTTGCATTCACATCCGATTTGTTTTTCTTCCTCTTCTTCTTTAGTATAATTACACTGAAGTCTTTTAAGAAATTGTTTTGCGTGTGCGTGTGTATTTCCTTCTCGTTCTCTATGAAATAGATGTGCACATTTGCCTTCTACTCGACTATTTATATCTTGATATATACATGTGTGTGTGTTTGTGTGTAAATGATTACTAATACAATAATAAAAGAATGTGTTTATTCATTTCTTTTTGACAATTTTAAACGAGAAAGACTTGACTTTTTGTCTCTTGATGAAAATGATTATTTAATCGATTTGATCAAGTGGGGAAGTTTCTCCTGAAGACATTGATTTGAAGTGTTTGAATTGTTCTATGTGAAGAATTGCATTCTTTTTTTCAAATATTATACAAACAAAGAGAAAGAGTGAGAGAGAAAATGGATTCAATCGACATTTACAGTTCATCATTGGGGAGACTTTGATGTGCTGCGGAAAATGTATATCGCGATGGTCGATGAGTATATTTCCGTCGTTTGTCATTGCTGGTCGACATGGTCGAACGATTTTGTGATCCCGAACGGCGTGAATGCGCTTTCCATACTAAACTAAATCGACTGCTCAAACTCGTTCGGTCACTCCAACACGCACTACTCTTTCGACTATGCGCTATCGAAAGGTTATCATCGATGAATGGGATAGGTTCATTGTCAGTATCGAAGCGCTGTTTTATTGCACTTTCGATGGTACTATGGAAATACGACGGACGACTGTTGAAATAATGAGAACATGGCGCGGCCGTTGGCTGCTTTGTTGGAAGGAGGTTGGCTGTTGGTGCGGAAGTCGATGCCTGAGACGTATCTGATTCATTATAACATGTCGAAGAGATTTGTTCGTCTTCTTCAGTGGCTAATCGTAATGGAGATGAAATAATCAGACTGAAAGAAAGGCTCTCTTCGGAATGAGGAAACATGAAGTTATATTCGACTTTACCGATCCTTTTCCGGTTTTCGTTTTTGTACAGCTCCATTCATTCGTTCATTATGATGATTTGTTGAATAGAACCTAAACAATAGAAAGTTTCAATAGACCAAGATTTTCCTTTTCATATAGATCACCAACGTTTTCTTCGCTAAGATAAGAATCAGTATCAGCAAGACAAGAATTAAGACGAACAGAATCAGCAAACAAACAGCGTACAACCAAATTGGATCTACTGATGTATGTTGCAAAACATTCGATGGAAGGTGAATCTAAGAAACGAAAATGAATGACAAAAGTATCATTTCGTTCAATTATACTTGATGTTTGATATCCTGATAGATATCTTGTTGATAACGTTTAAGTGCAAGTAAAAATTGATCGTTTGTTAGTGCTACTGTTTGACGATACGGATCTTTGATGAATATTGCAACAAATAAACGATGATCAGCTGATTCTTCTTCATAATTTTGCACGATAACATGATCAGCTCTAAACATTTCCGATCGGAATTTAATAGAACAATGAAAAAAACTCCTTTTCTCAATCATACCGAATAAATTCTGTATCTTTGCTCAGACAAGTTGATTGGAATTTCAAGCAAAACTTACGCACGGCTTTCGCAATACTCTGGCGTAGATTCCGATAGATACGATTCTCAAATGTTTCCATTGTTGCATTTTCAATAATCAACGTCACACTACCGCGTAGTGCATACGGCCAAAATTGATTTCTTCGCGTGTTATTCATCGATGACGAAGATATCTGATCAAATATGTTCGCCTAGAAGTATTTATGAGGAAAGATTCATCAGATCATATAACTGTTAAATACTCACACATGAATCAGTGCACGTTTGAGAAGTGTTCTTGTCGCACAAGTTTATGTTTGGTATAAAACAGTGCAGCAACGTGTTCTGTAAATTGTGAAGATTTTTATTTGTTTTATGAGAAGTGTTCGTCGGAATCGATGCTAATTGACCTTTGTATCGTAATTGTATCGGCGTTTTAGTTAGTGAGTGTAATTCAATTTGAATATGCAGACTCTTGATCGAGAAGCGCAAACCAATCAACGAGGAGATTTGTTTGAACTTAATCGAAGATAAATTTAATAGAAAATAGTCATTATTTTCAGTGTCTAAAAAATGAAACAAAGCAAATGAGATTATATATCGATGTTACATGCTTGTTAAATGACCCATAAATTGACTACATTAGACATCTATTCACTCCTCATACACTCATGACTGTCTCGACATATCTAGACAAAAAAAAGAGTATAATTAACGTTCTTTCGATATCTTATACAATTGATGAGAAGAGAAGTGAGAATACTGACACGTTCTTTCTCGATAAAGAGTAGTGACAAGAGAGAGAAAGACGAGAGAAGTCGCTTATCCTAATACCTTTTCATAAGAATACACGAAATATCGCCATTAGCTCAAACGTATTCAAACAAAGCGAACGAAAGAAGAAGAAGAAGAAAAGAAAAAAAACCGAAAAGTGCCGCTGATGGGGAAACGCCTTCTTTCTTTTCACTAAGCACAAAAGAGATCAATTCAAACCCTTCTATAAATATAAACAATCTAAGCTTTTTTATTGTCCTTTATTGAGAAACGAAGAAGCACCGCAGTTTCTAACCTAATCACCGGCGAGAATCAATTTTCGTAACTCATTCGAAATCGAATTCTACCAAATGAACATAACACAATCCACTTTCTCTCATGACAATATCGCCGGAGGACAAGTACATCGTTCTAGATCATAATCAAATAAAGAAGCAATTTCATTTAATGTCAAAAAGATCGAGTGCTTCTCACTAGAAACTATCATCTCTCAATATAGACAAACAAAATTCATTGGCGAAGTCGAATATGACCTTTGTATTACATGGAATATCCTTCTTCATTGACATGGATAAGGTTTCGAGTTTGGACATCTGATTATCAATCATGATCATTCGGATGCGATAGGTCGGGATGGATTTTATCCAATGAGACTTACTTAGATCAAATAGACGAATCGATGTACCATTATCGCCTTGAATGATGATAAAATCGATTGAATTGAAACTGGTTGATGGAAGATGAATATCGTAAAGAGCGAAATCATTTGTTGCAATTAAACTTGAAGTTTTATTCGTGGAGATATTCTCATGTTTCTCCTGTTCGTAGAGAATGACGAGAAAATCCGAGTTTTGCACATTGTTTTGTTGCGCAAGTCGGATGTTAAAATGGTAACTAAGGATAGGAATTATGGTAGTGGTCGATGAAAGATTCGTATTCGCTGTTGTTTCAAGTATTAGATTTGGATTCGATGAGAACATTACTGCTGAAAATGTCGAATTCTCGTATTGACCACGGATTGTCCAGAGTGAAGTCTTTGAATAGGAGAAACAATGTTTATTTTGAAAAGCGATGTCACCCTTATTTACCGATTGATTGCTTTGGTAAGAAATATAATAAAAATCTCGAAAATTGAAATAGCCTTTGGAAATCTTGTAAAGACTCAGGCGAAATAATCGTTTCTGCTTTTGCTGTGGCAACGACCACGAAGTATAAACAATTCGAAAAGATTTCAAGTGAGACGTCAATGCATGAGCAAAACGTCTTGCTGATATCGTGTCTAACGAATAGCTTTTCGTACTATTGTCATCTAAAGGTTCAGATCAGTTTCAATCAACTATTCGAAAGAAGTTTTACTTTCGGGAAGAATCAATTCAGCTGGTGTTTTTCCATCGAAGTTTTCAATATCGAAAATAATTCCCGACGAGTCATTCAATGATATGATCCATTCAATAGAAATATACGACTCCGATGCCAAGGATGGTGTTAATACCAGACTATCGTCGTTGAAAGTCAAGTAATGACTTAACAACACTAGTTCAATGTTTCAATATGAAAATCATCGAAAGAAATGAAAGTCTTTCACTTACTTTTCTTGTATTTATCGATTTGAATGTTGTATTCTACTAACATCCAGATAAACTCCGGTTCGATTGATAATATGCATGATCCAGTATGGTGAGAGGCAAATGGCAATTGTTCGTTGTTACACACATATCGTGTTTGAGATGAATCTTTGATCTGAAAGCAGAATCGTCGATTGTCAATGGTTCGTAAAGATTCAAAACGAATTTGAACGCATTCGTCATCCAATGCTTCGATATGCCAAATATAAGCCTATAGCAACAAAAATCAATGAGGGATTTCGGATGAACTGTTCGAATACTTGAGTTAGATTATGATAAATGCTATTTGTTGGCAGACTAATCAGACGATAAGGAAATAATCGATGATCGTCAAGAACTTGAACATAAGGTTTTGCCGTGACCGTTGACCCTGAAAGGAAAAAATCGCATACCTTTCTATTGAAAGTACAATTTCATGCGTTTTACATCGAATCGTTTCGGTATAGAATAACCGAAACGAAGAGACATCTAAAGAGAATTGACTGGAATAGAATCGAATCCATATTTGACTGTCATTTGCAATAAACCAAGTGCCGGGCAATGTATCTAAGAAGACTAATCATAGGCAACGACATAGATTTGTGTGGGGAAATGCTAACCTGATAGATGAAATAATCGATATTCATTTGGATTATGAAACAGACCAATTTCTATATAGTTTTCTTGATTATCCCAATTCAAATAGTCAAATCGTAAGAGAATATTTTGTCCATCATCGACTTCGATCAATATCAAACAATCGAATGACGTTAAAGTTTGATGTTGAAATTCAATTGTACCATTGGCTGATGAATACTTCTTTCCACACGGCAAATCTTTCCATTCATCTACTTTCCCAGCAGTCGTATTCCATTCTAAATCGAGATTGGCATCGAAATCGAGCATTAGCTATCAACATACTTCGATACGTCAGATTAAACCCACGATAGCGATAATCATCGTCGGCATGTTTAGTCCGAAGGATAATTTTCGTTTCATTCGCTGCTGAAAATCTATATGATCTCGGCGTGTCCAACGTATAGGTAACTCCACCTAGAATATTAATTGAGTTCAGTATAAAAGTGAAGGATAAAGAATACTGTTGATTTATTTATCAAATTACTGTCGTTATAGTTCGCATATAACTAGACCTTATCGAATCTCTAATTGGTATGTTCGACCTTGGATGGAATCAGTGTGTAAGATGCATATTGCGATAGAAAATATCAATCAAAGAGAACAGAAGGTTTCATTAGATGCTTAGTGTATAATGACGACAGGTTACCTACTCTAATTCGAAAGCAAAGAGCCTTTCATTACCCGTATTGACTTGCAGATAATCATGTTCATAGTCCAGATAAATATCGTTCAGTTCAATTTGAATTTCACTGAAAGAATTCATGTGAATGATCCACGTATGCTCAACATTAGTTCGGAGAAAGTTCGGATAGTTATTCGATTGTATAACTCCGTAATTATCATTGATTTCTATTGTAATGTTTTCTAATTAATCAAAAGAAATATCGTTGCTTCAAAAGATCAAGGCAAGTGTCTTACCTTTCACAATAATTTCATATTGGAGAGAGAATCCCGATGCGTTATTTGTCTTATCAGTTTGGAAAACGATGAGGATATTATCATTTGGAATGAACAAGTGTTTGTTGTCCATCTCATCACCTGACCATTCGTATAAAATCATCGCGCGATTATTTAAATTTTGACCAAGATAAATCGTGAATGTATCGTAATGATATTCCGTTTGGAATGCTGCAATGTTCAATCGAATGAATGCATGACGATGAAAGAAATTCCAGCGACATATCTAGAAAAAAAAGACACTCGAGGAATTTTTTTTTTATTGAAAAGTCTTGTCTTACCATATTATTTGAGTAGTTTTGAGGATAATTTGGACTTGAAAGATTTCCATAGGGAAATGAGTAGGACGATTTCGAATTTTGACGAATATCGGCATTGATTAATAGCTTCGCAGATTTTCCGACTGAAGGCGAAGCTACAAAAGATTAAAATCGCGCGTGAGTAGATTTATCAAATATTCTCTCGGAAAGTCTTTTTTTCTGGAGATTTTCACTCATTTGTTAATTACTTTCGAAATAATAACATGTGAAGAAAAAACATCGTTAAGTCTTGAAAGATTTCTTTCTTTATACAAACAAAAATGAATGAATCTTACATTGATTGACTAGAAATGCATAATCAAGAGTAAAACCTGAGCCAGTCGTTGTATGGTCACTGACAAATTGCATCCAGATCGGACGAAGTTGAATATCACCACGCAGCAAGATCAAACACGGATCAGGCAATTTCGAACCGGAGAAACGAAACAATTTCGAATTGTATCTCGAGACATCGAATATTGTTTCGCCGATAAACAATTCATCATGGCCGAACTCCGTATCGAAATAATGAAAAGTGATCAACAGATACCGGAAACCACTCGAATTCACTGATCCGGAGAGGTTAAATACCCACAGACACTCAATATTGTTCTCATACGATGGAAATATAACTGTTCCAGTTGTGTTTGTTAATTGATAATCACACGAATAAGCAACCGATGAAAAAAATAGGATGAGGTAAAGCACGATATTAATGCACATCTCGACAAGCCGTCATGATTTCTTTTCTAATAGACACATTTATCCTTCAAACGAGATTAGATCTGCAAATGACGTATGTTTTTAATGCAAGGTACATCATAGGTAAGAATGGAACTAATGAAGTGAGGAAAAAGATTTCTCTCGTTTGATAAGATTCAACATGGTAACTTGTGCCACATACTAAGACTAATAACAGCTAATTTTTGCGCAAAACAAGATCAGTATTCTCGAAAGACAGTAGGAGCACTTTATATGCATAAACGATAATATTTAGCATAAGTGATGGAAATAGAAAAAGAAAAACATGAAGGTTATGTATATAAAGCCGTGAGGGATGAGCCGACTCTATATTATTGCGATAGATTCGACACAACAAAAGAAGAGAGGAGGGTATTTTCGCCACATCCGTCATAACAGAAGGAATTGGAAAGATCAAGACTAATACAATGACGATGAAGGTTATGAGAACGTAGTAAAAAACAAAAAAAAATGACTGTCATAAGTAAGTTTTCTTTCTCCCTCTCTCTCTGTCTCTCTCGTCTTCTTTCGTGTATATATATAAATATACATGTACGCATTCTTCTCGTAGAAAAAGGAAAAGAATCGATTCAGTTCGTCAATAAACAATTTCTTTAAATTTCAAGGTTTCATTCAATCAATAAAACATCGTAATTTACGCATTCATTCATCGATGAAGAACAACAATTATACCTGTTTGTTGACAAGAATTCACCGATAGTCATTTGTAATGCGACTTGAATGAATAAAACCACCATTTATGCCATTCTTCGGCGTCGTTTTATTTGCTTGACAAATGAGATTAGACGAGCAGAAATACAGTTTATTGAACTGAAAGAAAAACTTCATACGCGAGAAATCGATTGGGAATAATTATGTGAAATTTATTTCGAAAATCAACATATCAATCGATTTGAATGATGCGTGAGTATCACGTTAAAGTCGCTATTGCTTTTCTCTCACTAAATCTCACATTTTGAATATCAATTGTAATCAGATGCTTTGATGAAATCTGAATCGACTGTCCTTGACATACGGTTTTACTTCGGCGAGTCCCTTAATCAATACTAATAATAAAAACTGTGTGATTCTTACACTTAAACCACCAACAGTAACAAAGGCACACGTACAAATGTGCCATTTCACTTGACAAAGTAATTGATAAACACCTAGATAGATAACGGATGAAATTCGATACGTATACTCAATTTTTCGAGCTTAGGCAGGGGAACCGTTGATGATAAAATTACATGCAAATATTGAATATACATTTTCGATCAAACTACTTCCACTTGCACATCGAGTTACGTATCAACATCATTCAAATCAAGCCATTGTAGTGTCTTTCAAAGCATCCTGACAAAAGCGGAGAAAAAGGACGTTGTTAAGTGTAATATGTATTCTGAATAGAACATCTATTCCAATTAAAAGGCAGCTGTTGTTCCGAGAAAATCCCACAGCATATTTGATTGTTTACATTTTCTATTCAAACTCGACGCCGACATGGATCGATTTTTATCAAGAAAAATATGCTGTCATGTATTCATCGAATGATCTGATAACGATTAGATATTTATGAAAAAAAAAGTAACTCAAGGACATTGATGATACGCGATTAATTAGGGAAGAAAAAGAAGACACGTACATCACGAATCGCATCGTGGGTGTGTTGATCAGATTTGAATAGTTAGATGAGTAAATAAGGATAAATTATTCATTTGAATTCATTGAGCTTCTAAAGTTTCTCGTCTTGTTCACAATCCGATCTCAAGAGATTCCACATATGCAGTCATTCTTCATTGCTCGAAGTACTTGCATTCTCGTGTCTATCATTTCTTCTTTAATTAACTCCGACATTCACGTTCCATAGCGACTATTTGATCACATAGCCGGCGCACTTTCGCCTATTTTCTCGACATAACATCAGCCGTTAAAATACTTCTGATCATTTATTTATTCTCTCTCACTAAGAATGTGTCAACAACACCCGAACATTAACATATTTCTTGTGCGAGAAAATCTCGACTTGTATTATCGTTGCTAAGAAAGATAAATGTCAGACGTGATTAGAATTCAGCCAGTTAACCGAACGAATTCACTTTTTTCGATTCGAAACACATGGCAAAGCAAAACAAAGAGAAAAGATTCATAATTAAAATGCAAACAATCTTTTGGAATATATATGTGTATTATTATTTTGCCGAGAAAAAAAGAAGAAAAAGAAAAACATTACCATAACATCAAACTTTCTGTATGATTTGTATTTTGACGTGGAGGTAAGTGCAGAGGAATTAACTGACAAGTGAAGTAAAGCAAAGGAGAGAAAGAGTGAACGAGAGCCTCAAGCATTCATTAGTAACTTGAAAAGAAAAACGTGCAATCTTTCAGATTGTATCGTTTGAAATCAGCAAAAGAAACAAAGTGGTTGTGTGAAACATCGGTCGACTCCTATTCGATATCTTTTTGGCTGAATAAACTGAATTGACTTCGAGGAAATGCCGAGTTATCAACCGATTAAATGCGCCCAATGTGGAATGACGTTTCCCAACGATGATGCTTTGATGAAACACAAAAGTAAATTTTGCGTTGGAGTCAAAGATTCGGGCATCAACAGGAAATACAATCCGTCGGATGATGAACGTACTGATCGTTATCCAAGAGAGAATTATGTCTTCAATCGACCGTCATCGAAACGAGGTACGAAACATCAATCGTCAGTCGCTAAGGTAAAACGAAATTTGCGTGTGATGTCGAATGATATGAGTCAATTTAGAAACGAAATGAAGTGTATGATTGGAAGAACAAACGATCGATGCTTCAGAATTTGAAAGATATGGAAGATCAGGCGTATTATAACTCGCAAAAAGCACGAAAGCCTGTAGCACGTCGAAAGACGACGAATAATCATGACCATATATTGAACGAAGTAAAATAATTCGATTGAGTGTAATTCATCTAATCGATTGTTCTTAGTATGAACGATTAGAAGCACAAGAACGCGACATTTTGAGACAGATATCGAATTTAGAAGATCCAGCGGATTCCTATGTAAGTTCTGATTGCTTATCCAATTGAATTTTCATTGGGTTTTTTTTTGTCCTTACCAGACAAACGGTTTAACAGGTCATGAGCGAAATCAACTAGAAGCGTTAAAACGAGAAAATGCTCGTCTCGAACAGGAGCGTCGGCGTAATTTTCAATCTACTTTCGATCCTCTCTCCAAGTAAATCAGTTTTGCTTTTAGTTATTCAAGTCAAACTTAAAAAACTAATCATAAAAAATGATCAACTAACCACTGTGCCAGATTACGAACCACATAGAATTTTACGCGAACTCCAAGATCAACGAGATCAGAGTATGAGAAATTTATACACGCTTACTGATCCACTTAACAAGTATTCGACTTGCAATGAAAATATCTTATTTTCAATGTTTTTCCTCTAGTCGACGAGCATATTCGACTGAAATACCATCGTTACCATATCTTCCACCGCAACGGCGAACGTCGGGAGACGATATTAGGTACGAATCGTGGCAAAATTTGTTTTCATTTCAATTGAACTGCCATTATAGAACTATGCGTAATTCGTATCTACAGTCTGGTGGCCACAATGCAGCTGTACTTGTTGGCTATTCAGATATAGAGCGTAAATTGAGTCGATATGATCATTATCCAATCATGAGAGATAATCCTGAACCTTTAATTCGTCAGAAATGTATGAAATGAAAAAGTCGATGTCTGAGTTATCTTCAAGTGTTGTTATCTTTAGTTCAACCGGTTCCGCCATTTCCCGGAGTTGATTTGACATCCAGTAAAGTAACGAATGTTAAGAATGAAAATCAACGACTTCGAAATGAGCTCGATGACATACGTCGTCGTTTTCAAGGATTAGATTCGCGTAATTCATTTTTCCTGAAAACTCTCACCAAATCTCAATGTTTTATTCTTTCTCGATTCTAGGAACGAAAAGATTAGAATTAGGCGTAGGGTCAAATCGTCTGTCTGATCCTATCGTCACAAATGATGATCACAATTACACCAAGCCGAGAGTAAATGGCAATCCACCAATGAACTCCTTAATCCATTCATCCACTCGGCAGAACGATCATTATCAACGTGCAAATCGTTTATCATCGCCAACATACAACCGCTACTCTCCAACTCAAAGTTTTGCACCGTATGACCCTACGGATGGTTTCGTTATCTTCTTTGACTACATTTCTAATTTATCCACGGCTATTGATCGTGTTCGATTGATTACTTGTCTTCACCATGAACAGACAGGTCTCGGTGAACCTTCACAATTAGATCCATGTAGATGTGAATTATTAGCTGATGAATTAAGTAACGATACAATGCGAACAGCTTATGTAGCCACGAAACAACCTGTACCAAGGTCTATTCATTCAACTAATTCGAATATTTCCAATAGAAAACTTGTACATGTTTTAGATGTCCACCGCAACAAGCTTTGAAAATTGTGGTGGAAGTCCAAGCCACCTCAAAACAAGCACCGCACGATCCATTCCTAACTGCTGCTTGGGCCAAAATGCCTATATTTGATTACAAAAACTCTTTGCTAACTGGCCGATGGAGAATATCATTAAAATCCTTACCCATCCAACACGACGAAAGAGTCTCAGTCATCAGTTCACTTCCAAACGTGAGTTAAGTACTATCACCGAAAGAAACACTGATTTTCTCCTACAGTTTGGACATGCCGAGTTGCATTATCGACTAGTCAATCTTCGAGATGCTGTCAATCAATCCAATACCACTTTAGTGCCTCAATCACGAGATCTTTATAAACTTCCTCCATACGTAAGTGAATTCCGTCACAATCATCAATTTCAGTTTTCATTTTTTTAGGATTAATTTTTGACTTCATGACAATGTCATTCGCCATTTTCCTTGTCTTACTTTTCTCATGACGTTGTTTATACATATGCATAAAGAAAAGAAGTTCGATTTGTGTTGTTCATAAACTATTATTATAATTAGGTATGTGTATTTTGTCATGAATGATAATAATGCAAATGAACATACATAGCAAAGCAAAGACGTAGAGAAAAGAAGAGGAGAACAATGAGTGTGAGAAAAAGAGAGAGGCAGCAAATGAGAAATAGCATGAACGATTGAAGAAATACAACGACAGGCAGAAGAAAGAATCATGACATAAAAGAAAAACGAGAAATCAATTAATATAGGAAGAAAATGAGAAAAGAAAAGAATTGATCTCGTTTTTTTCTTTTGGTAAGAAGATAAGAAAATGACTTTAATTTTGATATACGATCAAACGTGTTTCACACGTATTTCTGTCGTCATGTAGAAGATTTCTCCAATCAATTATGCTCCTATATTATAAATAGCATACAGAGAAATAAAAACTGAATTTATAATCAAACACACAAATAAAACCGCAAATCGGTTGATGACAAAGCGAAAGAAAACGAAATGAATATTGTCAGTACATGATACAAGACTACCCCTTCAATGATGATGTTCACCTGAAATAAACAAAAACAAAGACATGAATATACCGATCGAGATTTTTCGTTTTGGATTAGTAGTATCTAGTGGTAAAACACAGCAAGCAAGCGTAAAAATCATGCATTAGTGAGAAGTTGAAACGCGTAGAGAGACGATGACGAGGAAGAGAGACAGAGAGAGAAGAACGGTTGAAAGTGAGAGATGTTTACCACATAAGAAAATTTAATGCTGTTGACTAGTTGATGGATCTGCACAATAGCAATCGTCGGAATGATGAGAAGAAGACGATGAATGCGAAGACATAGATGTGAGAGGCGAAGAAGTGACTCCTTCTTTAGGTAATGTTGATCGAGGAGATTGATGATGACCTCCTAACGAACCGGGATGCGAGTGAGTTTTTTTCTTCGGTTGGCTAGTCGACAATTCTGTTTGACTAACGGATGGAGACGATGAAACTGATGCGGATGATTGATGTCGAGAACGGACCGGATTGGCATTGACAAACGGAGGTAGAAATGGTAAATCCGTTGCCGATTGCGTCTGCGGTTGTTGTCGAAAACTAGCGAGGTCAGTTTCAGCTTGTAAGATCCGCTGTTGAGGATAGGATGAAATCGAATGTTGTTGAGAATATATCACAGAACGAGACGTTGAAGAAAACGAGGAAGAAGAAGATGAACTGGATGAAGGAGTTTTAATACGTCTTGTTGCTTGATCATGTGTAGGTGCGGATAAACGGCGTTTATCTTGACTAGATGAGGTTGTTTGATGCTGACGAATATCTTCATCAGATGAAAATAGATTCCGTTCTTGGCTTTGTAGGTCTTCATGTGTGATTTCAACGAAGTCATCATCAATCGAATGACGTTGTGATTTTTCGATAACAGTTGTTGCATCGGATTGCGACGAAATAGAATTAGTTAAATCACCTGCCATGTCGAGAATGTCATTGAGAACATTTTGTACATCGTTATCAACAGATGAAAAATGCTTTTCGATAAACGATTCGACTTTGTTGTTGTTGTTCGCGTTTTCATTTGTTTCATGTTGTTGAATGAACGAATCAACCGATGAACGTATTTCGCGTGCTGCATCGATAACATTTGTTGATGAAGTATTCTTTAACAATTCCATTTCAATACGTTCGAATTCCATTAATGAATCATCGGTGTTTGGTGTATTTGATGAATTATGTTCAGTTGAATACGGACGAAGAATATCACTTGTTGTTAAACTTAATGTACTAAGAGCAGGTTTGATCTCGTCTTGTCGTAGCTCAGGACTTTCATAAACGGTTTCCAGTGTTGTACCCGAGCGTAGATCGAACCCGGTATCAAGTGGGGGATATTCGCATTGATGTTGAAGAATATCAATTAAGTCTGGACTTTCGTGTTTATCAGATGAACTTGATGAAGAATTGGATGGTGTATCGGTTTTAATTTCCTTCGAGTTTGTCGATGGTGAACTATTCTTCACTAAAACGAATTCATCAGATACATCTCCGATGTCTCGTTCGCCAAAATCTAATGCAGAATCGTCTAACGAACGTGGTGTGTAACGATTTATCGGTGAGATATTTTCAATCAAATCTGTTTTAGTTGTTAACATCTCGATTGGACTACTCGATGGTTGAGGCTGTTCTTGTTTTGTATAGAAGCTAAACGCTGACGTTGGCTTTTCGATAACTGTTGGTTTCTGTTCAAGTTGTTCAGCTTTCAATTGATCGAAAAATAACGTTGAAGATGGTGTATATTGCTCAGGTACACGAATAATGATACAACTGTCTGAACTGAAACGTTGCAATGTACCATAGTCAAGCTCATCCGGACAAGCTTGCAGCTGTTGTTCACTATGTGCGTGAATGAGCTTTGTTGTTGTAGTGGTGGTTGTTGCGGCTGCTGGTTCACTTGTTGGCAGCGATTGATTCAGACTTTGATCAGTGAATGGCGAGATTATGTCGGATTTATTGGTGTCATCGTCGCCAGCGAGAGTTTTTTCGATTAGGCGATCTAATGAACGTTCGAATTTGAGCTTGATTTGATCAATTAATGTTTCTTTTTCTTGATAAATATCATCTAATTGTATATGAATAGTCGATTTAATGGAATCAAGTAACGAGGAATCGCGGTCGCTTTCACTCCCAGCATCATAATCCGAATGAGACAAAGTTTTTGTTGCTGTTTGTATCGTTGGTGATCCTAGCGGTGGAGTTGATGCTAGTGGATAAGTTTGGTTTTCACCTAATTCTAAATCTGTTTTCAATGTTGCAAGATTAGTACGAAGAATTTCCTCTTGAATGCTTTTGATTAACTGTTTTTCATTCGAATCACCATTTAGTGAATCTACACTTTCTTCTCGTTGAAAGTTTCCGCCGGTAAATCCACTGCTACCTGGTGGTAATCGCGGTGAACGTGGTGAAATATCATTGCTATCTAATTTGAATGAGACGCTTTTCGACGAAATATTTTCGGAGGGATTTCCAGTTGCATCATTCAAAAGTGAAAATCGTTGTTCATTCGAACGTTTTCGTCGTTGTGTGGTTTCTTGATTTCCACCGCTACTCTCTTCACCCTCACCCGAATATTTCTCTTCTCGAAGTTTTTCATTGGTTGCTGTACTCGAGAATTGTGATTGAATTTCATTCGATTGTTTTTCATCGGAACTCGAATCATCATAGCCAGGATTGATTGTTCCGCTTTCATCAGCATAATCATTATCATCAGACGTTAAGAAGTTTGGTGTTTCATCATCGGCGGTTAAATATTGACTAGAATTCGATTGGGTCGGTGGTTGAAGACGTACTTTGTCATCATCAACTGTCGAATTGGTGCTGCGAACATCGACATATTCGCCACCGCTGGATGGTGATATTGCACTAAAGTATGTTCCCGTATCAGATTGAGAACCATGACGAACAATGACTGGTGGTGGTGGTGGTGATAGGGGTGATGATGCTTTTGGAGATCGCTCAAGATTAAGAATGTCAGCATCTGTATATGAGTGATGGAGATTCTTTGTTGGCGTTGTTGTGGTCGATGATCGGGCTGAATGATCTTCATCAGCAGATTGATCACGAGTATTCGAAGATTCATCAGCACTGTAGTGATCGTTAAAACCAAACGAACTTGTGTCGGTTGGTATTTGATTTTGTTTATGTTCGTCTTCACCCTCTTCACGAAGTCCGTCTTCTTCCTCTCCATCATCATCATCAGATGAAGTACCGTCGCCTAGTTGCTGATCACTTTTGTTGCTGTGAGACGAATCATCATGTTCACCAGTCATTTGAGCTACAACATCGGTTAATACTTGATTAACGTAATCAGACGTCAGAATATCGAATTCTTCTTCCGTCATTGTTTCATCAGCTTTTTCTTGCAATTGTTGTCCAGGTGCACTCAGTGCTAGCGGTCTTTGACAACTACTTGTTGGTTCAAATGTATCTAAAAATGCTGATGTTGGTATACTGCACGATTCAGAATGTTCAGGACTCGATTCTTTTTCCACAGCATCATCATATGGCGTTGAATGCCGTTGGTGTTGTTGATGTATGAATTCTAGTGAGTTGTCTTTCGAGATCGCCGGTAAAAATCCTTCCGAGACTTCATTGTTGGCCGCTATTAAACTATCACGTTTCGAACCGCCCGTTGTCAATACTGTTTCGGATTGTGTACGATTTTGTGCATGTAAATGCGGTAAGGTTGTTTGATCGAGATTGTTGATATTATCTATTTCGTATAGTTCGGGACTACGAACGAGTTTGTTTTGTTCGTCATCGTGTAATTCATAGGCTGAATGAAAATGTTGTTGTGGTGATGATGTCAACGGTTCGTTTTCATCGTCCACAAGTTGTTTTTCAGTAAAATCAGAATTACTGTTCAATGAAGATGTTGAACGTTGCTTGCGACGATTCTCCATAACTTCCTGAACCATTTCTACTGGTTTAGCAACAAATGCTTTGACACGATCAAAAAATCCAACTGCACTTGTTGATGGAGATGAACCTGGATTAAACTCGTTATTATCGTCATCGACATCTTTTCGAGTGGTTTCACGGTAGATCTGTTGATTCTTCTGTGATTCATCGTATAAAATCTGTTGTTGGTCATCCATGTATTCATTCGACGGTGTTAATTCATCTTGACCGGTCAAACACGATGCGGACAAGGAGTGACCATCGTACATGTGTAACGGTGTTGACGATGTACTGAAAAGACTGTTTTCACTTGCTGTACGACGCGCGTGAATAACTGGTAATTGACCGATGTCGATCTCATTGGATATTAATGGATATCGATCGGCTGATGGCTGGCGATCATTTGACTCATCGTCATCATAATATTTTTTCATCATTTGACTCGGCGTTGGTTCACTTTGGTGCTGTTTCACGATGAAGTCATATGTTTCGTTTGGCGGTTGGACAGGAGTTTTTGGTGAAATAAGTTTTAATTCTTGTTCCGAATCGAGAGAATCAGATGACTGTTGTTTAAGAGAATCTTGGCTAATGATCATTTCTTCATTGATAGAGTCCGTGCTCATTTCCATTTCTTGTTGACTTTGTTGTTGTTGTTGTGAAGATTGATAAGTTTGCTTTTGATTTGATTCATTTGAAGTCGAAGGTTGCTGTTGTTGGGATTCGGATGAAGTTGTTTCTTGAGTAGTAGACGAAACTAATGGTTTATCACCTTTGTGATCGTGATCGTCGTCGTCGTCGTCATCGGAATCATGATGTTCTGATAATGATTTGTCATGGTCATCAGTGACTGATTGCCGTTTCGACTTCTTTTTACTTTCATTATCTTCGTCTTCATCCGATAGAAGTTGCTCTTCACGAACACTCTTTAAATAATGGTTCGAAGCTAATTCTGCTTCTTCATCACCAACTGTCGTATGAGAAACATTGTCTCTCCCATCTGCTTGATCAGCTTCTGTTTCATCTCGTTGATGCTGTTCATCCATTAAATGTTCATAGCGTGACATCCGTCGAAGATAATCAAGTTGAGCAGCTAATTCACTCGATCGATCACCAGTGCTATCTTCATGAGAATGATCTAAGTCATCTGATATACTTGTTCCTGATGATTGAATGTGAGGTGCACGCCGTTGATCAGTAGAGAGTGCGGTAATCGATTTTTTTCTTATTTGTGGTATATCCAAATGCTAAAGAGATCAATAGTGAAAAATGGAATTTCTCTGCTATTTTGCTCTTTTACTTACCTCGCCTTGAACGTTCACTCGCGCCTGTTGGATAACATCGATTATCATTTTCTGTAAACCTGGATGATCGTCTTGTTCATGCTGTAATTGTTTTTGCGCTTCATCAACATCGCTCATTGATGAGCATGTGACATGAACAAATTCATTTTTCAATAATGGCGATCCTGGTGGACTCAAAGGACGTCGCTCTGTTTGATGAGATTCACCTGATTGCGAATCGTGACGATATTTAAGAATATCACGCGACAATGAATCGACACTGGCTGATTGCAAGACCTCTTCGTCATGTTGTTCAGGAGCATCTGTTATTTTATCAGGCTGATCGACAATTTTGGTCGTTGATTCAGGCGAATGCAAATTGTCTTCGGTAGGTTGTAATTCGATTACCGGTGGAATGGTTACATCGTAATGATGAATTTCATCATTGTCGGACATTGATGATGATGCTGATGGTGACGACGAACGAATAATATCAACATTGTCGTTGATTTCGTGCTCAAATTTATGTAACTCTTGCATAAGGTCAGCAAGTTCATGTGTTGATTTGGCAGTTGCTGCATCTGTTATGGATAAATATGGTTCACCGGTAATATTTTCAATCGATTTGTCTTTTTCTTCGTCATCTGATGTTAAATGTTCTTCTTCTTTCTCGACGTCAACCCGATCACTACCACTACTTGTCAGTTGACTTGGTTTTTCTTCTGTGATAGCACCGGGTACGTTCTTAACCAAAGTTGACCAATCAGTTAAGTCACTAATCGATACATCAGCACTGGTTGTCTCATCACGTTGCGACGAAGGTATTTCATCATCATATTTTGTGTAGACATTATCGAGTACATCGTTAACAATGCCTGTTGCTGTCTGATAGAGAGAATAATTTCTGTCTTGTTCGATAGTTTCGTTGACAGCTTCATCAAGAATTCGACTGACGAATTGCTGTGATGTTTGTTCAAGAACTTTCTCATATTGATCATCTCGATCCGATTTGGAAAGAATATATTCTGTGTCAGGGGTAGATGTTTTAAACAGATTCTTATCTTGTTCGTCAGGAAGTGAAATATCAAGGTGTGTCGGTCGAAAATCATTTTCGTCTTCGTGTTCCAACTCTTCCTCGCCTTGATATGATGGAATTGTACGAGATATGACACTTGAATGTTGAACGTGGGAGATCAATGATGATTCAGGATTTTCATCGACTGGTGAGTCAAGTGCATATTTCGCTGGTCGATATCTGTCACCATAGATTTCTTCACGTTGGAAAGCTGATTGTGTCCATGGCTCTGGTCGTTTCAGTTGTTCATTTTCGACTTCATCTTCATCGGAACGGACGAACGATTGCACGTTGGCAAAATGCTCATCGCTTATTTCTCGTTCGAAACTCTTGGCCGACTCCATGTGGAAAGGTTCATCTTGACTTGGAAACGATTCATATGGATATTGTTGTTTCGGTGATGTTTCAGTGGTATGACGATCTTCTAAGTCGTGCTCGTCAGGAGATTCAATAGAGGATTTCTTTTCGACGCTCGGACTACGTTCGACTTGATCTTCATTGAGTAGTCGTGGAAAGGAAAGAGCAACTTGTCCCGCACTTAACAATCTCGTGAAATCATTTGTTTCATCTTGATGAGTTTCCGTAATGCTATGATCAAATGTCTTATGGTCTTCGAGTTCTTGAGAACTGGCGAGAATGTCTTGATCTGATTGTTCTTTGCTTTCTTCATCACGACGCTCTTCTTCAGATTCACTATCTGCGCGTGATTTATTACTCACTTTGTCAATGCTTAAGCGTCGTGCAAATTCTTGTTCAGTTGCTTCTTCCTCGGTCTTGACACTCGATGCTTTTGATGATAACGCTTGCGCTGGTTCAGCACTGAATTGGTCAGTTGAACTTCGTCTTTGTTCAGCTGAAGAGAGAAGTTCTTCGCCATCTTGCGATGTAGTTGGTGCAAAGTGTTTTGATTCAATTATCGGAGATGCTTCTTCAACTACTAGATGGTCAGTGCTGTGTTTATGTTTGGACTGATACTGGTCTCCTTCTTCTACATTCGAGATCTGGGATGCATGAATAACTTCTTTTCGAAGTTCGCCGTCATCTTCGTGTGATGATTGAGTGAAGGATTCATGTGCTATCGATTTTTCTTTCTCCAATTTGTGCACATCTTCCGTTTCAGATTTGACTTCTTCAGAGATGAATTCATCTGGATATTGATCTTCGTCATGTTCAGTTGCTGGTGGGGATCGAGTATCGATTCTTTCCGAACTTGGGTAGCTGATAGGTTTATAATCGTGTTCAATTCCGCTTTCATACTTTTCAGTTTTATTAGGAGAAGTAGCGAAAGTTTGTGGAATAGTTTCAATAGTTGGCGAAGATTTCGTGATGATTTCTTCGGTACTCTCTTTGCGTCCAAACGAAGGCTGTTCAGCTTCATGAGATGACATTGCAACGATGTCATGCACTCTCACCTTTTGATCAGATTTATCTTGATTATCTGACGATTCACCGGTGGATTTACGTCGAGGTACATGCGATTGATCATCATGTCTTTGTTCAAAACTATCTGCGCGATTTTCGGCAGTTGTATGAGAAGGTTCGACATTAAAGTCTTGTGACTCTCGGTCTTCTTCGAATGATGATGAAGGTGCAGATGCAACAATAAATTTCACATCGCTCATTTTGTCATCTTTGTGATCAATTGCACCAACAGTAGATGCATGTCCTTCAACTATTGGATGACTGTCAGCAGGCACTTGCTCAACGCTCGATTGCTTTTCGTATCGAGTTTGATCTTCTTTAGTTTCCATTTCGGTATCAGATAATGGTAATGATTCAGTGTTGATGCGATGTTCACTTAATTGTCGTTGTGTTTCGTGTTCTTCGTCTTCTGTAGATTTGTGCGAATCTCTTTTGATAGGCTGGACAGTTTGGAGAATCTCTTCTTTTTCATCTTCATGGGATGTTTTCATGATAACGTCATTATCGTCGTCGTCGTCATCGGCAACGAAATGTTCTTCTCCAATTATCTGTGAACTTTGCAGCGACGATTGATCTGCGACTTCAGATTTTTCCTCTCCTGCACTTTGTGTGCTTGGATAACGTTCATAGAAATCTTTATGTTGTTCTACCTTTGGCAATGATTCCATGGTAATTTGGTCTGAGCTGACTTTTCTTTCAGGTTGATATTTTTCTTCCTCATGTTCAACTGATCGATGAGTATCAACAGCTGTATGTTCTGGTTTCAAGACTTGAATGTCATGTTTATCTTCGGATGATGTTGGAGATTCAGCATGTGTTTGTTCAGTAATCGAATGTTGTTGATATTCACATTGATGTTCATGGTCGTCTTCACTTGATCGACGTGATTCTCTGTGAACAGTTTCTAAACTTGTTGGCCGTTCTGATACATACTCTTCTTCAATAAGTGATTGTTTCGAACTGACTGATTTTTCGAATTGATCTTCTTCATCTTCATGCTCACTGAACTGCGGAGATTTCACATCTGTTCTTGTCAGTGTTGCACTTACTGGACTAATCACAGTTTCTTTATCGATCGAGAATTGTTCATGTTGAAATTCTTTCTCTTCGATCATCGGAGAAGAGTCAGCGTTAATTCTTTCTACGTGATGTTGTTGCTCTGTTTGAAGTTCGTCCACTCCGGATTCTTGATGACTGATTTCAGACTTCTGTTCAGATTCGTGATCTTCTTCATATACAATACTTCTTTCCGATATGACTGGAGACTGTTCGAAAGCAGTTTCTTGCTCTTGTTGGTGTTCCTTGTCAATAGTCGATTGAAAAGGTTGAACAACAGTTTTATCGGTACTAGGTTGTCGTTCGAAATGAGGTTCTTCAATTTGTTCTTCGTGTTCACTGGATTGAAGAGATGAAGAGAGAACTTTTTCTACACTTGGTGTTCGTACTAGCTGTTCTTCTTTCGTATGTTCGACGTGAAACATTGGTTGAACATCTGTTTCGTCAACGTATCTTTTTTGTTCGTCATAATTTTCTTCTTCTTCTTCGTGTTCACTATAACGTGGAGATTCGGAGCGAGGTCCTTCAATACTTGGTGCATGCAATAACTGCTCTTCTGTTTGTTCATCTTCTGCATGAGTAACGTGAGATGACTGTGTAGACACGGTTCGATCCAAACTGCGTTGTCGTTCCAGGCGGTTTTCTTTGTTTTTGTCTTCTTCCGATTCACTTTCCACACTGCGGTGTTCTTCTTCATGTTCACTGAATTGATGAGATTCAGAGAGAGACTTCTCACTACTTGGTGTTTGCGCTAACTGTTTTTTCTGTTCGTCTTCTACGTGTGTGGTATGAGATGACGGTTCGGTAACGATTTCATCGATGCTGGGTTGACGCTCAAGCTGGTGTTCTTCTTCTACTCGTTCTTCGTATTCACTGGACTGGCGAGATGCGGAACGCGGTTCTTCTACACTTGGCGTTCGTAGAAGTTCTTCTTTGTGTTTCTCGTCCACATGTATAAAATCGGCTGATGATGGAATAACAGTTTTATCGATGCTTGATTGTCGTTCGAAGCGATGTTCTTCTTTTTCATCGTGCTCTTCACGCTCCTCGTCTTCGTCGGCTTCGAAAGATTGTAAGTGAGGTTGTTCTACACTTGGTGTTCGTAGTAATTCCTGTTTATAGTCGTCTTCTACATGTGTGAAACCAGTTACAACACTTTTCTCGTCACGGAGTTGTTGCTCAAAGTGGTGTTCTCCTTGGTATTCTTTGTGTTCACTGCGTTGAGGAGATTCAGAACGATGTTGTTCTACGATTGATGTTTTTGATAGCTCTTGTTTGTGTTCATCTGCCACTTGGGCGAAATCAGCTGACGGAGAAACTACACTTTTATCGATGCTGGCTTGTCGCTCAAGGCGAAGCTCTTCGTCATGTTCACTGGATTGAATAGATGCCAAGCGCGGTTTTTCAACACTTGGTGTTCGCACTAGTTGTTGTTCCTGTTCGTCTTCCACATGCGTGATGTCGGATTGTGGTTGACACTCGAGCTGATGTTCTACTTCTACTTCGTCATGTTCACTAGATTGACGAGATACAGATCGCGGTTGTTCTACGCTTGGTGTCCGTGGTAATTCTTGCCTACGTTCCTCTTCTACATGTGTAGATTCAGCTGATGGAGATAGAACAGCGTTATCGACACTTGTTTGTCGTTCGATATGATGTTCATTTTCGTGCTGCTCATGCTCGCTAGAATGAATAGATGCAGAACGAGACTTGTCGATACTTGGTGTCCGTATTAACTGTTGTTCGTGTGTCTCTTCTATATGTTCAGCTTGCGATGATAGTTGGATATTAGTTTCATCGGCAACTTCTCGTTGTTTGACGTGAGACTCTTTCTCGTGTTCACTGGATTGAGAGGATTCAGAATGAAGCTGCTCCACGCTTGGTGTTCGTACTAATTGATGTTCATATGCCTCGTCTGTGTGTGTGATCTGAGACACTGTTTCAATAACAGATTTCTCAATACTAGGTTGACGTTCAAAACGATGTTGTTGTTGTTGTTCTTCTTCTTCTGGTTCTTCATGTTCACTAACGTGAGACGGTTGAGAGCGAGTCTTCTCCGTACTGGGCGTACGAACCAGTTCCATCTTATGTTCATCTTGTTGATGGGTAAATTGGAATGTTGGCTGGCCAGCCATTTCATTGACACTTGATTGTTGATGGTCTTCTTCGTCATGTGGCAAATCTAATGACGGTGAAACACGACTTTCGTGGACGTTGCGTTGTTGTTGTCGATCGAGATGATCTCCTTGTTCCTCATGCTCATCGAATGGTGGAGAAGGAGACCGAAGTTTCTCACTACTTGGTGTTCTTGCTAGTTCATGCTCATGTTCGATTTCTGTGTGCGGAAAGTCAGACACTGGTGAAATAGAAGTTTGGAAGTTAGATCGTTGTTCAAAATGTTCTTTTTCTTCTGATTCACTGATATAAGGAGATTCTTGATGAAGTTTTTCGACACTTGGTGTTCGCGCTAATCGTTGTTCATGTTCATCTTGTCGATAGGTGAAGTCAGATGATGGATGAACAACTGTATTATCGACGTTAGATTGCTGTTCAAGGTGTTTTTCCTCTTCTTCTTCGTGTTCACTGAATCGGTGTGAGCTAGAGCGAGATTTTTCAGAGCTTGGTGTTCGTGTCAATTGTTGTTCGTATGTCGCTTCTGCATGTGTATCATGAGAGAGTGATTGAATCACATTTTCGTGTAGAAGTTTTTCTTGTTCGTAATAATGCTCTTCATGTTGATCTTCTACTTTTGATTCAGTTTGCATAGTTGACTGTTCGTGGTCGCTGAGTCGCTGTGATTGAAAACGAGGTTCTTCAACACTTGGAGTTCGCACTAGTTCATGTTTATCTCCTTCATGTTCGACTACATTCAAAGGCGTAACTGATATTTGTTCAATCATTTGCTTTTGTTCTGGAAAATGCTGATCTGTTTGCTCGCCATCGTCGTGCTCACTTTCTCGTGAAGATTCAATAGCATGTTCGTCGTAGTGGAATGATTCACTTTCGTGTTGAGCTGCGACTGGACTTTCCTCGGTGCTAAGCCGCCTTTCTTTTTCATACATATGACTTTGGATGTCTTGAGATGATTCAAGTACATCCTCTTCATGTTCGCTGGGTCGTGATGATGTTGTACTAACTTTTCTTGAAATTGATTTCTCATCAATTTCAACATTTTTGTCAACCGGAACTTCTTCAGATTTCATTTTATCTTCAACTTGATGATCATCTTCTTCGTGTTCACTGGGTTGAGGAGATTCGGTGTGAGCTCTTTCCGAGCTTCGTCTTTGTTCAAGCTTATGATCATCTTCGATATCACGTCTTTCTTGTTCAAGTGTTTCACCAGGTATAATCACAGTTCCTTTATCACTGGAAAATTGTTCAGCTTGATGACCCTTATCGTCAATTAGTGAAGATCTTAGGAAAGCTTGGTCAACGTTAATCTGTTGTTGTGATGAATAATTTGGTTCTTCATGTTTCTCATCTTCATCTTCGCTATGTTGAGTTGATCCAGTGATAATTTGTTGTACACTTGGCTTGCGCTCAGATCTCACTTCATCTACTGCGACCTTTTCAGAGCTTAGTTCTGACTGCAACTTGTGTTGATCTTGTACATCGGGCCCCGCTTCATGTTGATCAGCTGAAGTTTCTTCCTGTTCAACATCTTGCGGTGTTCCAATATAAAATTTGCCTGATTGTTGATCTTGTTCTTTGTCGACAGTGATGTCATCCGAAATTAATTTTTCATGTGTTTGGTCGGGAGTACGAATCGATGATTCATGTTCAGCTTCGATTGTTGACGAAGGTTCGAAGATTTTATCTGTACTCCAAGTTCGTTCAATGTGCGATTGTTCATTTTCATCTCGGTGCTCGTAATCATGTGACACATCTTCTATTGTTTCATCTTCAATATCTTCAGTCGATTGTTTTAACTCCATTTCACTGGTAGTAGACTGTTGTTGAAGTGTTGTGGTCGGTGGAAATTCTTCACTAAATCTTCGTTCGGGTCGATACTGTTCGCCATAGACTTCTTTTCTTTGGTTCGATGATTGTATCCAATCTTGAGCGTGCGATCGAATTTCATGTGTAATTTTTTCCAATTCACCTGTGGGCTCTTCGATCAATTGTGATTCTTCTTGTGGCCAACGTTCAGTCTCTTGTCGAGTTAAGATCGTTCGATGTATAACAATAGGTATTTCGGCACTGAATGGAGAGATGGTATCGCGTTCTTCGATTTGAATGGCTGATGATGATGATAACGGAAAATTTTCGATTTCATGCACGATTTCGTATGAAGTTGCAGGCGGATGACGTTGTTCAGTTGTAATAAACGATTCCGCTAAAACTTCTTCATCTTCTCTCACTGATTGTTCTTCGATTTTCGTCGGTTTTTTTGTCCACGAAGCAGCAAGCATAAGATCACTCATAATGTCTCGAAGATTATCAATTGATGATGGTGGTGATGGTGATCTTAACTGTCGTTCAGCATGTATCGATGGTGTACGTTCGACAAATAGTGAGCGACGTGAGTCGCCTTCATAGAAAACATCACCCGATACCAGCGGACTTTCCGGTATGAGCGGTTTTTCATGTTCACTCGTATCATTGTCTTTGTTCGCTTTGTGATAGAATGAACGATGGATATCACCTTCATAGAAACTATCTGCACTAATTCGCGCTTCTTCCGGTATGAGATGAGTGGTATGTGTTAATGAAGTTTTCTTTTCTCGAGGAGGTTTATCTCCTTCGAAAAAGACGTCGCGTGTAATGACAGGATCTTCAGGAATGAGATGAGATTGCGATTGCCGAGGTGACAATAATCGGCCATCAGGTCCACGATGAAAATATTCAGCCATTTGTTCAGGTGTCCAATCGTTTTCTGCTGATACTTTCGATTCCTGTTCAACAATATCAGTTCTAGTCGGTTGCAAATCCTCGATTTTACTTGATTTGATATCATTGATAATTCGACGTAACTCGTTGACATTTTGTTCGAATAATTCAATTAAACTATAATCTTCTTGATGAACGTTATTCTGTAAATTTTCGTTGATAGTTTGAAATAAATTTTCTAATTCATCTAATTCGTATTCAATGCGTAATTCATCAGTTTTGTTCAACTGAATATCCGACATGAGTGCTTTCAAATCATGAATTTTCGTAAGAGTATCTTGGAAGTTAGCTGCGGTAAACTGATTGTTCTTTAAATAGTCAATAATCGAATAAAGTTCATCGATCTTATCGTCGAATTGTTCGATTTGATCTTCAATTTGTAGAAGTGATGAAGAACGAATAGTTTTCATTTCAGAAATCTGCTCTTTTACATCAGGAAATGAACGTTGATCTTCCGGTGAGATTTCAGTCTTCAGATTCTCTTCAATCAACTCTGACGTTGGTTCTATCGGTAATGTACAGAGATTGCCCGCGGAAGTAACCAATGAATCTTGATGAGTAGACTTCCCTCTTGTCGGGCTACTTGTTTCTTCGACTACTGACGGTGGAATAACTTCCATTGACCAGCTATTTTCACTTTGTTTCAACTTCCGAAGATGTTTATCAGCTAAACGTTGAACATTTTCTATCGTTAACGGTTTTTCGTCGACTGATGGTGATGGTGGTTGTCGTTTGTTTGGTTCTTCTGTTGCCACAAGTTCTTCTTCAGTTTCGCTGTCAGTTAAGAATGTCTGATCGAATGCTGGTGGTAATTTGACAGTTGCACGTTTCATGACCGGCGATGAAAACTTCTGTAAATGCGTTTCAGCTTCGGATATAGGTATTGGCTGTGCGATCCAAAATAAATTCTTCGCTTTAACAAGTAAATACGGACTTTTTGGAGCTTGAGCATCATAATGGATCTCGACCGATTCGGGAATTTCAGGAAATGATTCAATCATGGGCGATGTTTGAACGGCTAACGATTGATTGAATAAACTATGCTTATAGATGTCAAGTGGTGAAGTTGCGATATCAACTTTGTGATGTGGTTCAAACTGTTCTTTGAGTGATTCGAGAATAGTACCTGTTACAGCTGTTACACCTTCGTTGACAGCTAAACGTGAACGTAAAACAGATAGTTCGTGTTCAGCTGTTAACAATTCCGATTGTAATAATGGAGATTCTTTTTCGAGAAGATTTGTAATGCTCTGTTCGAATGTTAATGTATTTGGTAATGGTAATCGCCGTTGATGAACTGGTGATTGCGGTATCGTATCTATTCGAGATAGTCTCGTTGATGTACTCGTGCCTTCATATTGTGACATCGATGACGAAAGATTCGATTCTGCGTTAGCGGTCATATGAGGAGAAGAAGAAGTAGGAGAAAAAAGAGAAGGAACAGCAGTAGAAGGAGAAGTAGAAGAGATTAATAATGATGCAGCTTTCGATGATGACGGTGGTATTTCTTCTCCTTTGTCGGTAAGAATGGCTGTAAACAATAGAAAACAAGGAAAATCGAGAGATGTGGTCGCTTAATAATAGAGACTGTATCCTTTTTTGATTCTGCTGCTTATTCTTCGTGGTGAATTTGATCGGAAAGAGAACGAGAGAAAAAAAGCTGGAATGAAGAAGAAAAAATCTGTCGAACATACACGAAATTGAATCTATTTTTAGAAATTCAAATCGAATATTACATTAAATCAAACTCGACGAGTATGGACACGAGACATGTGATACAGTCTGTCTCGTTATGAAAAGAAGAATGAAGAAGACTTTCCCTATCATATCATTGTTTGAAAACGTTAATGGAAAGAGAATGTACACTGTCGAAAAACGGAAGCGAGAGCTATACATCATGCGAAGAACATCGAACTATGCTCTCGTATCGTTTCACTCGATAGATTGACTGAAATGTAGAGCAAGATAAATGTGTAACGATGTTAGTGGGAAGAATCAAATCCATGCGTTAAGTTTCGTTCCAAAATTATTTTTATAGCTACATGCGAATGTTTTGTTATGCTATTTCATAATCATAACCCACCCCATTCTCAAAAATCATGCGTTTTTTTTTTCAAATCTGATTGCTTACGTTATGAAGTTCTCGATTCATCTTGAACTAGAATAATCATGTCAATTAGATAATGAAGTTTTTTTGAATTTCACATGCAATTTTTCGTTACTAACACTAGTTTACTTAGTAGTAATAGTAGCAGCAGCAGCAGGATCAATAGAATTTAAAACTATCTAATGAACTAATATCTTACCTTCTTTATTCGAAGTAGTTGCTGATTGCTCAGTAGCACTGGTACTGCTCTCCAGATGGTCTAAATGAAGGGAAAAAAAAGACATTATTAAATGAAAATCTAGTTTTACTCAACGAATGAGTTTCAGATAGAATAGTCTTCATGCGCAGTCAATTTCACCTTCAAACATGCGTGTACGCAAACATCATTGCCAACGAAGATTACATTTGTAATCATCAAAAATGGGCTGTGAAGATGAAACATTATATCTATTAACTAAATGGATCTTACATTCATTTTTCTCGAAGACAGACCTCAGGTTCACGTTACATTGATAGAAAAAAAAATGTGCTTTTCTGATTACTAGTATATATCTAGATATAGATATTTAGAGAGAGATAGAGAACGGGAGCGTTTTCATGTACATGCGCCGGACATTAGACAAACGGGTTATGGTTGAAGCATGCCGGGACAAAGATCAATCAATCGTTTCGTGCTGGTATAGTTGCATGAAATGCAATCTATCTAATGCGCTTCTACCTTCGGGCGATCGAAATGGATCGGTTGATGTTAATACTGGCGTTTCGACATCATATGATTCAACAAGATCTTCATCGCTTATATCTGAATTTATATGCGCTGCAGACAGTGTTGAATTACTCGAAGTAACGTTCGTATTAGCGCCTTGAGCGGTCACGTAGGTGGCTGTTGACGATGATGCTTGTGAAGTATCTGCGGTTTCGTATATTGTTGATACAGACGATGCACTTGTTGGTGCAACTGATGTAGCTGTTTCCGAAGCGACTAACGATGACGGAAGTACCGGAGGAAATGGATGTTGTGTATCATCATTGAGACTTCCATATGAACCATGTAAATTATCATAATCAGATAGTAGTGAACGTGCGGGTGTTGCACTACCTGTATTCAACTGTTGCGCGATGGGTGTATCGAACGGACTAATGTCATTTGAGTCAACGCTACTCTCCTTACTACTGGTTAGTAAAGTTTTTGAACGATCGGATGTTACACTGTTAGGCATTAGTGTTGAAGTACTCGTGGAAAGTTCTTCTTCGTCCGATTGCAGATTTGTTGTCGATGATGTTAGTTCCGGCTGTGGTGGACTAATAACAGTCACGGAGGTTGTTATTTTCGGAGTTGATTTCGTCGTCACAATATCGAGTAAGGGTGAAGTGGTTTTCGTGGTATTCGAACCTGAGTCGACTGAAACGAGCGTTAGCGGACGCGTTATCGGCGAAGTAGAGGACTCATCTGGTGTCGATATAGTCTCAGATAATGTTGGTGGATCGTCACGAGATGTTTTACTTGTTGAGGATGTTTGTACTGAAACTTTTATTGGTAATGTTTGTTGCTTGTTATTTGTACTTGAATTGAGATTATTTGTAGCTTGATCATATTTTTCAAATGCTTTTTCGGCTTGTTGCAAAATATTCTCAGACATGTGTTTCGCGAATTCTGTAATTTCATTTGGTGCTGAAGGTAGTTCAGATGACTGTTCGGTTACATCATTTGATGCCGTTGACGTGATACTCAATGGTTCACTGATCGATTTTGTTATCACTGGTGAATCTGTGATTAGAGTGACTCTTGCTGGATCGACAGTGAATGATTCTACAGTTTCGTTAAGAGCGAGTTTTTCATCGGCCAATTCGTTACTGTTTGACGGCTGTTGAATATAAATCGGCGGAGCAGATGCTTGTCGAAGAATATTCATGTCCGTATCATTTTCAGATATAATACCAAATGTATCGACAAGATTCAGAACTTTCTTGACGACATTATCAGTTTGTTGAATGAGTGTAGGGTCGGTACTGTTATTATTATTATTATTATTATTACTACTACTACTAGCACCATACAAAGAGAAATGTCTTGGCGGTTTTGCAGGTGGTGAACTAATCTCAGTAGATGAGGATGAACCTGATTCATCGCCATGGCGAGGTGGTTTAGCTGGCGGTGGTGTTAGCGGAAGAGAAGTAGTTGATTCATTTGAATCAACAGGGACTTCGGTTAGTAATGGTTCGGAAGTCTCATTTACATTTGCTGATCGAATCGATATTGCCGGTGCTGCTTGTAGTTCGTTGTTACTTATATCAACGGATTTCTTTTTTGTCATCATCGATTTTTTCAATGGTTTCACAACAGCATGTTTCAATGCATGTGCTAATGCACGTGCTTGATCGGGTATTATTTTCGATTTTATCAAGCGTTCACCTACGGCAGGTGCTGCTTGAGCGGACACAGCACGTGTAGGTGCTGGAAAGAAATTAGTAGTTAGGAAAAGCAAGTTCGAGAAGAAGAAGAAAAAACTTGGAATAAAACTTACGAATATCATCAAGTAATTGAGCTGTTTGTTCAGCTAACTGCTCGGTTGCTGTTACTGTCGGTTGTGCATGTAACACATCTTCATCTAATTTGTTGAGATCCAATTTAGCTGGAGAAACATAAGTTTGCTGAACAATAGTATCCATAACAGGCGGAGCAGGTTTTGATAATGGTTCATTTTCTGCTAAGATTGGCGTTGGTTCCTTGGCAATATGAACGACACTAAAGTCATCGTTTCGTTGAACTGGTGGTCTGGCCTTTGTGTAAACTTGAATGGAAAAGAACGAGTAGTTAGAAATGCTTACTAAGGATGCTCCGAGGAAGAGAAAGAAAATGTCGGCTGCTTGTCCTCGATAGATTCAATGGACTTGCTCAACCAAAAGAATTAGAAATTTTCTTCCTTTGCCTGACAAACGTCTTTTATTTTTCTGTTTAATACTACACAGGATATGTAGAGTTTTCTCATCTCGAAAAGCAAATTCACAAATCATCTAGCATCAGTCAGTGTATCAACGAAGTATTATGTCAATTATGATTACTAATCGAACAACATCTCTTTAATTACAAAAATATAACATTGACATCGTTGTGCATTATTTTGATTCGATGTGGAATATTGATCAAGTCGAACAACGCTATGCTCATTCTTGTTCTCTTTATTCCTATAATTGGATGTTTAGAAATGAAAAGAAAACCTCTTCTTTTTTTCTTTCTTCTGAGACAAACTCTTCGTAAATGATTCTAACAAGCCTATGAATAGAACGAAGAAAATAATCTTACGCGGTGATAATGGTGTGATGCGTCCTTCGCCAATATCTGTGCTTCGTCGTTTTCCTGTCGAATCATCATGATCAGCTGAAAATAGAAATGCAATGATTATACATGAATTATATAGAGATCAAAACGACAAATATAAAAAGAAAAGTCACAGCAAACTCGATCAAGACTGCATGCAGAATAGAGAACACATCAAGCTGAAAAGAACCTTTATCACGTGTCAGACGGTTCAATTTGTCTCTGAGACTTTCAAGATGTGTCAGTTCGAATGGATGAGCATAACAACTCAATGGTGTCATCGATCCTGATTTGCTAAATGGTTGATAGATGGAATAATAGCCACCATAACGTGATGCGGGCGTTGGTGCTTTACTTGAATCAACAAAATGTAAGGGAGCATCACGTTCACCTTGGAAAATACATAGAAACAACATTGACGAGTAGTAACAACAATGGCAACAACAAAAAGCTAGAAATGTGCTTATCTATTTTCGTCAATCTACGAGACAACATTTAGACAATATTTATCGATATGAACCTAATTTTCTATCGGAAATCTTTGCATTTATGATCGTATCTGCACTTGATGTTGATGATGACGAAGGAATATGTTCTCTCGATATATCTCTTTTAACCATCTTAAGCGGTTCTAATTGTTTAAATTGTAAAGTTGGATTCTGTTGAGAAGAGAGTTTCTCAGTTGTTTGTTCTCCTACATCTTCTTCAGTCGATTCTTCGTATGTGATCGTTTTTATTATTGTTCGTGAACGATTTCCATGATCAATGGTAGAATCTTGAGAGTTTTCAAAAGAGAACACACATTTATCGAAATATTCTCATGAAAAAAAAGTCTTCTATTCTCATTCTGCTCTTCTTTCGTTAACTTACTAGATCTTACATAACGACGACGTTCATATTCTTCATCACTTTCAAAACCTTCATCGAACTAAATAAAGAGAAAGAACACAACGATTATATACAAGTCGAGCATAGAAAGAAACATACGCGACGTCCACCATATCCTGATCCTTCAATACTGCCACCGCGACTTGTTAAACGAGCTTTAGCAACTTCTTTCTCGGCGGCATCAGTTACCCACTCGATGTTAAAGACACAATTGTGCACAATATTTTCTTTACCAATTTTACGTAAAGCTTGTTGAAGGCAGTTACCTAACGAAAGGTATTGAATGAGAAAGACTTTCAGTCAGAAATGTTCGTACCCGTTGCATCAGTGCCGCGTGATTTAAGCCAGTAACGTAACATATGCAAAGCAGCATTTTGTCCATATTCATCCATCAATTTTGTCACTTCTTCTTCAGTGAGTTCGAGTTCAGCAGCGAGTGTTGGCCATTCTGAGCCAAGGGATTTCGCGATGTCAGTTAGACGAATTTCACCTTTTCGATACATATCATCCGATCGCCAACCTACACAAAATCTTTCGTCAATCCATTCGCGTATATCAATTCTGAGCACTCACTTTCTGAACGTGGTTCACGATCAACAGAATGAAGATTTCGAAGACGTTCCTCGTGCTAAATCAAAGTTCAATCAAATCAAAGCAACTTACTACGAAAACTAAACTTACTCCCAGTGCATCCTAGAAAGACGAAATCAAATAACGTTAGAACAACGAATCATCAACTGATGTCCTACCTTATCGTAAGATGGTAGGATGATATTCAAATTGCAGATCGGCTGTAGTGTTTGCGGATCAACAGAAGTGTTTGCTGGTGCATGACCATTCGTCATTGTGACTGATGATGTTCTCGGAATAGGTGTTAACTTTCCATTATCTTTAGAGAAAACAACACGTCCCGATGGTTCTTGTTGTTGATCACGTATTCGAATAACACACGGCAAACGATTTTCTCGAAATGCTCGAAATGTAAATGTTAATTGTTCATTTGTTTTTGTAATAGTTTGTAAATTAGTCGATTGTAAATCCAAATAGATCGTATTTCCGTTAACAACCTCCACTTCCCTGGATTTGGCGATTTCAATGAAATGCTCTTGCATTTCTAATGTTTTGTTTTCTTTATCGTCAGTGATACAGAAAAGACGTGCTAATGCTTCATTGGGATCGTTTCGTTTTGCGAAAACAACAAAACGAGACATATACGGGACGGCAGATGCTTCGCGATAGATTTCATGAGCTAATTTTAGAACATCAGGTACACCTTGCGCATCGATTAGCCAAAATCTATTAACGAAAGAACTTGATGTGAGTCAATGTTGATAAAAAATACAACTGTAGCATTCTGGTAGGAATCTTAACAAGCTTTTATCTCCTATATTCAGAAAATATTGTTCACGCCTACACACATTTCAATGCTCACAATCGGAAAAGATTCGTCTGAAAAACACCAAAGTAGTAAAAATAGATTTCTACTGAAAGAATGCTCAATCAATTGATGCGCTCATTGTATTCTTCTCGGGCAATTCAATCAACAGTAAAGCATCATCGAAAGATTCTCATATTCTTCATTAATAATCTATATGGTTACTAGACATGCTCATAATTTCTTCGAACATCTTTACCTGGCTGAAACTGTTGTTGTAAACGTCGCACAATCGTTGGAGAATGTCAATGGAGTATGTCCTGTGATATCATCGAATTGTGCGGCATGTGTACCACCCGTAATGCTACATAATAATCGTAAGGTTTGAGAATCACTGGTGTATGCATTGCCATGCTGTGCATCTTTCGAAGTACCTTGCTTGTTTGCTTTCGTTGGCAATGGAATTGTTACGGTAATTGGTTTGTGAAATTTTCTTCGACGTGGCTCGACTGTGACGACAGGACTAACATTAACACGTGATCCGTAGACACGTTGAATCGTTTGAGAAGAAATCGGTAAAACGTGAAGTGATACGCGAATACGTTTTTGTAAAGCTTTTTCAGGTACATGAGCTTGACATGATGGAATTATTGTTGATGTTAAGAGACCACCATGCTCATCGACAAAATGCGATTCCTGATGTAGTCGTGTTATCAATGCGAAATAACGTGGAAAATCATTAGTGATAATACGAGTTATTCGACGTGAATTGAGTTGTTCAGTAGATTCGAGTCCTGATATGAAGAGAGGAAATGTAGAAAAGAAACATCAGAAAACGATGTTTACCTTCGGATTCGAAAGCATCACCAAGTGTTTCGCGCACAGCGTCATCTGTGATTGGACCCGTATGTTCTGTCCATTTTTCACCGTTATCACTTCGTAGAACAATAATTTCGCGTTCATGATTTCGTAATGAAGCAAAGTGAGGAATTTCAAGAATGACAGGCCTAGAAAAACAAAGCCAAAAATCGTCATCCTCATTATCATCATTAAATTAAAATATTCTCTGAAGTCTGCAATGAATTTCATCAAATGGCGACATCGAAAACAAAAGTTAATATCCCAGATGATGCTTACATGTGACAACTATCATGAGAATATATCTCAAACAACAATTTTTTCTTATTACTGCATAAAAATGAATGATTTCTGGAGATTTGATTTTCATTAAGCTAAACTTACCCGAGAAATTTGCAATTCACAGGTCCAACTTCCAAAACTCTTGCTGCTAATGCTTCACCTTCGTTAATCGGTGGAGGTACAACTAGTTTATCACGCTTGATGAATCGACATGTAATTCTTGTCGGCATACTGGCACGTTTGGGTGGAATAATAACCCGTACACCCGAATGTCGACATCCACGCATAGCACCACCACGAGCATCGACCAAAAAGCTCACCAAAAATCTACATAGACATCAACCAATCAATAAGCTATATCATTAGCATAAGCCGCACAAGAAAAAAAAACAGGCAAATAACTGTCAATGAGTTTAAGGAGATTAGTAGTTTAGTTTGAAAAAAAAAACAAACTAAGCATGTGTGAGAACTTACGATCGGCAATAAAAACGATCCCTAGAAAGACATAACAGATACACATCACGCTCATGCTGATCGATAGGTTTCATGCGAGTCACATCGAATCGAAAACGAAGGTCAGAAGTTGGAAAAAGTTTACTCACCCTCCATGTCGTGGTCTACTAATCATCTCATTATCGGCAGGCATTGTTTGAGAAATTTTTATTGGCGTTTGTGAATGATCGAGAAGATTATCTCGACTTTCATTCCAATTATCTTTTGTTGCTAATGCTGGATATTCGGAATCTTCCTGCAAATAAAACATCGAGATTAAAAAAAAAGGAAATTCGATACGAGCCGATTGATTTACTTTAACAAATGATGTTGGATGAAGTTTATTCTCTTCGGTTTCATTCATGAGAACACCTTCGCGTAAGTATTGCATATGCACATTTGAACTAGCATCACCAAGCATGTCTACAGATGAAGAGAAAAAAAAAGAACGTCGGTTACAAAAGACGGTCTGCAATTGATATAGTGGATAATTAGCAGCATTCATGCGCGCGTATCTGCTGGGGATAGAGAAAAAAAAGGAAGCAGAGGATGTTCAGTTTTGATCATTCATTCGTTTGACAAGCAGAAACAAAAATGTTCAAACTGCAGACATACGACTACCTTGAGTCGTTTTTTGTTGAGACTTTAAATTGTTTATGGCTCTCGCCATATCAAAATATCCAAGTTCAGGATAGACAATATCATCTTCATCTGTTTTTCTATCTTCTAGATAAGTAGATGATATGTAGACCATGTCGTTTTTCCTCGTTATTGGTTTGTCTCGAATCAAAGTGATATTTACCTGCTTCATCATCAGAATCTGTGACTGGATGTTCTTCATGAGAGACTTCCGGTGCTTGAATCTAAAATTCAGCACTCAGAAAATATCAAAAAGAAATGATCGATTAGTTACCTTATAACGCTCTTCGCTTGATGTTTCTTGTTTATTCACAAGTGTTGCTTCAGTAACACCTTTGAGTTCTTCGACAACGGATATGTAACCAAGACGTTGTGCAATGGATAACGCAGTCATTCCATGCTAGAAAGATCGAGATGATGTAATCTAATCGGAAAGAAAACATGACATGGGATTACTTTGTTTGTTTTATTTGGCGAAGCACCATGTTCAAGTAATAATTTAACAATCATAACATGTCCTTGTTGAGCAGCTGAATGAAGTGGTGTGAACATGAGCTGAAAGGAAAATAGTGATGATCATTTCGAAAAACTGCTTTTTTTCTGAATTATCCTACATTTGTTTCTGCATTAACGTTGGCACCGAGTTTAAGTAAATACCGAACCATATTGATATGACCAAAATGACAAGCAACATGTAAACTTGTATAACCAGTCTAAAAATAATAAACATTTTCTTGTATCTGTTACAATGCTTTCTCAAATATCCTCGATAATCATGCTGACAAAAAACATATTGACCGCTCATATCCAGGGTCTACAGTTTGGTAATTGATTTCGATTATCCAAGGACTATCTGATGAGAGAATAGAATAGGATCTAATGAGAATTTAGTTCAAATGTAGACATTGTCATGGAATAGAGATGATTACTCTTTTGTCTTCTTCTGTTCGAAGTAGTCATATGATCAATTATTTGCTTACAACTGTTTGAGCATTAATATCTGCATTTTTACGGATTAATGCTTCGGCACATTGAACACGATCTTCTTGCGCACATAAGTGTAATGGTGTCAGTTGACTTTTCGATCCAGTGTTCGGATTTGCTTGGTTTTCCAGAAGAAGTGTTGTCACATTCAGGTGACCATCTTGACAACTCAAATGTAATGGTGTAAAACCACCTGTTGATTGAGCATTGGTATTCGCATTGTATTCTAGCAATGTTTCAGAAATAGCCTTCGCATTTTTCTTCGCTGCGATATGTAATGGTGTGTAACCATTGCGCGCTGTTACATGTGGACTTGCAGCATGTTGCAATAAAAGTAGAGCTATATTTTCATGATTATAATGAACAGCACAATGTAATGGTGTTAGATCATTCTAGAAAGAACGAGTTGAGAATGGGAGATATGTTGGATTTGTAAGGATTCATTCTTACTTTGCCTTGTATGTCTGCAGTTGCTCCTTTTTGGAGAANAGAAATCAATTGATATAGAAAGAAAATGAAAAAAAAAGAAAAGAATTGATCTCGTTTTTTTCTCTTGGTAAGAAGATAAGAAAATGACTTTAATTTTGATATACGATCAAACGTGTTTCACACGTATTTCTGTCGTCATGTAGAAGATTTTTCCAATCAATTATGCTCCTATGTTATAAATAGCATACAGAGAAATAAAAACTGAATTTATAATCAAACACACAAATACAACCGCAAATCGGTTGATGACAAAGCAAAAGAAAAAGAAATGAATATTGTCAGTACATGATACAAGACTACCCCTTCAATGTTGATGTTCACCTGAAATAAACAAAAACAAAGACATGAATATACTGATTGAGACATTCCGTTTTGGATTAGTAGCATTTAGTGGTAAAACACAGCAAGCAAGCGTAAAAGTCATGCATTCGTGAGAAGTTGAAACGCGTAGAGAGACGATGACGAGGAAAAGAGAGAAAGAGAGATGGACGATTGAAAGTGAGAGATGTTTACCACATAAGAAAATTTAATGCTGTTGACTAGTTGATGGATCTGCACAATAGCAATCGTCGGAATGATGAGAAGAAGACGATGAATGCGAAGACATAGATGTGAGAGGCGAAGAAGTGACTCCTTCTTTAGGTAATGTTGATCGAGGAGATTGATGATGACCTCCTAACGAACCGGGATGCGAGTGAGTTTTTTTCTTCGGTTGGCTAGTCGACAATTCTGTTTGACTAACGGATGGAGACGATGAAACTGATGCGGAGGATTGATGTCGAGAACGAACCGGATTGGCATTGACAAACGGAGGTAGAAATGGTAAATCCGTTGCCGATTGCGTCTGCGGTTGTTGTCGAAAACTGGCGAGGTCAGTTTCAGCTTGTAAGATCCGCTGTTGAGGATAGGATGAAATTGAATGTTGTTGAGAATATATCACAGAACGAGACGTTGAAGAAAATGAGGAAGAAGAAGATGAACTGGATGAAGGAGTTTTAATACGTCTTGTTGGTTGATCATGTGTAGGTGCGGATAAACGGCGTTTATCATGACTAGACGAGGCTGTTTGATGCTGACGAATATCTTCATCAGATGAAAATAGATTCTGTTCTTGGCTTTGTAGGTCTTCATGTGTGATTTCAACGAAGTCATCATCAATCGAATGACGTTGTGATTTTTCGATAACAGTTGTTGCATCGGATTGCGACGAAATAGAATTAGTTAAATCACCTGCCATGTCGAGAATGTCATTGAGAACATTTTGTACATCGTTATCAACAGATGAAAAATGCTTTTCGATAAACGATTCGACTTTGTTGTTGTTGTTCGTGTTTTCATTTGTTTCATGTTGTTGAATTAACAAATCAACTGACGAACGTATTTCGCGTGCGGCATCGGTGACGTTTGTTGATGAAGGATTCTTTAACAATTCCATTTCAATACGTTCGAATTCCATTAATGAATCATCGGTGTTTGGTGTATTTGACGAATTATGTTCAGTTGAATACGGACGAAGAATATCGCTTGTTGTTAAACTTAATGTACTAAGAGCAGGTTTGATCTCGTCTTGTCGTAGTTCAGGACTTTCATAAACAGTTTCCAGTGTTGTACCCGAGCGTAGATCGAACCCAGTATCAAGTGGGGGATATTCACATTGATGTTGAAGAATATCAATTAAGTCTGGACTTTCGTGTTTATCAGATGAACTTGATGAAGAATTGGATGGTGTATCGGTTTTAATTTCTTTCGGGTTTGTCGATGGTGAACTATTCTTTACTAAAACGAACTCATCAGACACATCTCCGATGTCTCGTTCGCCGAAATCTAAAGCTGAATCGTCTAACGAACGTGGTGTGTAGCGATTTATCGGTGAGATATTTTCAATCAATTCTGTTTTAACTGTTAACATTTCAATTGGACTACTCGATGGCTGAGGTAGTTCTTGTTTTGTATAGAAGCTAAACGCTGACGTTGGCTTTTCGATAATCGTTGGTTTCTGTTCAAGTTGTTCAGCTTTCAATTGATCGAAAAATAACGTTGACGATGGTGTATATTGTTCAGGTACGCGAATAATGATACAACTGTCCGAACTGAAACGTTGCAATGTACCATAGTCAAGTTCGTCCGGACAAGCTTGCAGCTGTTGTTCACTATGTGCGTGAATGAGATTTGTTGCTGTAGTGGTGGTTATTGCCGCTGCTGGTTCACTTGTTGGCAGTGATTGATTCAGACTTTGATCAGTGAATGGCGAGATGATGTCGGATTTATTGGTGTCATCGTCGCCAGCGAGAGTTTTTTCGATCAGACGATCTAATGAACGTTCGAATTTGAGCTTGATCTGGTCAATTAATGTTTCTTTTTCTTGATAAATATCATCTAATTGTATATGAATAGTCGATTTAATGGAATCAAGTAACGAGGAATCGCGGTCGCTTTCACTGCCAGCATCATAATCCGAATGAGATACAGTTTTTGTTGTTGTTTGCATCTTTGGTGATTCTAGCGGTGGAGTTGATGCTAGTGGATAAGTTTGGCTTTCACCTAATTCTAAATCTGTTTTCAATGTTGCAAGATTAGTACGAAGAATTTCTTCTTGAATGCTTTTGATTAATTGTTTTTCATTGGAATCGCCATTCAGTGAATCTACACTTTCCTCTCGATGAAAGTTTCCGCTGGTAAACCCACTGCTACCGGGTGGTAATCGTGGTGAACGCGGTGAAATATCATTGGTATCTAATTTGAATGAGACGCTTTTCGACGAAATGTTTTCGGAGAGATTTCCAGTTGCATCATTCAAAAGCGAGAATCGTTGTTCATTCGAACGTTTTCGTCGTTGTGTGGCTTCTTGATTTCCACCACTACTCTCTTCGCCCTCGCCCGAATATTTCTCTTCTCGAAGTTTTTCATTGGTTGTCGTGCTCGAGAATAGTGATTGAGTTTCATTCGATTGTTTCTCATCGGAACTCGAATCATCATAACCAGGATTGATTGTTCCGCTTTCATCAGCATAATCATTATCATCAGATGTTAAGAAGTTTGGTGTTTCATCGTCGGCGGTTAAATACTGACTAGAATTCGATTGAGTCGGCGGTTGAAGACGTACTTTGTCATCATCAACAGTCGAATTGGTGCTGCGAACATCGACATATTCGCCACCGCTGGATGGTGATATTGCACTAAAGTATGTTCCCGTATCGGATTGAGAACCATGACGAACGATGACTGGTGGCGGTGGTAAGGGTGATAATGCTTTTGGAGATTGCTCTAGATTGAGAATTTCAGCATCTGTATATGAGTGACGGAGATTCTTTGTTGGCGTTGTTGTTGTCGATGATCGAGCTGAATGGTCTTCATCAGCAGATTGATCACGAGTATTCGACGATTCATCAGCACTGTAGTGATCGTTGAAACCAAATGAACTTGTGTCGGTTGGTATTTGACTTTGTTTATGTTCGTCTTCACCCTCTTCACGAAGTTCGTCCTCATCATCATCATCATCGTCATCAGATGAAGTACCGTCGCCTAGTTGGTGGTCACTTTTGTTGCTGTGAGACGAATCATCATGTTCACCAGTCATTTGAGCTACAACATCGGTTAATACTTGATTAACGTAATCAGACGTCAGAATATCGAATTCTTCTTCCGTCATTGTTTCATCGGCTTTTTCTTGCAATTGTTGTCCGGGTGCATTCAGTGCTAGTGGTCTTTGACAACTACTTGTTGGTTCGAATGTATCTAAAAATGCTGATGTTGGTAAACTGCACGATTCAGAATGTTCAGGGCTTGATTCTTTTTCTACAGCATCATCGTATGGTGTTGAATGCCGTTGGTGTTGTTGATGTATGAATTCTAGTGAGTTGTCTTTCGAGATCGTCGGTAAAAATCCTTCCGAGACTTCATTGTTGGCTGCCACTAAACTATCACGTTTCGAACCGTTCGTGGGCAATACTACTTCGGATTGTGTACGATTTTGCGCATGTAAATGTGGTAAGGTTGTTTGATCGAGATTATTGATATTATCTATTTCGTATAATTCCGGACTACGAACGAGTTTGTTTTGTTCGTCGTCATGTAATTCATAGGCTGAGTGAAAATGTTGTTGTGGCGATGACGTCAATGATTCGTTTTCATTGTCCACAAGTTGTTTTTCAGTAAAATCAGAGTTACTGTTCAATGAAGATGTTGAGCGTTGCTTACGACGATTCTCCATAACTTCTTGAACTATTTCTACTGGTTTAGCAACAAATGCTTTGACACGATCGAAAAATCCAACTGCACTTGTTGATGGAGAGGAACTTGGATTAAATTCGAGATTATCGTCATCAACATCTTTTCGAGTTGTTTCACGATAGATCTGCTGATTCTTCTGTGATTCATCGTATAAAATCTGCTGTTGATCATCCATGTATTCATTCGATGGTGTCAATTCATCTTTATCGGTCAAACACGATGCGGACAAGGAGTGACCATCGTACATGTGTAACGGTGTTGACGATGTACTGAAAAGACTGTTTTCACTTGCTGTACGACGCGCGTGAATAACTGGTAATTGGCCGATGTCGATCTCATTGGATATTAATGGATATCGATTGGCTGATGGCTTGAGATCATTTGACTCATCGTCATCATAATATTTTTTCATCATTTGACTCGGCGTTGGTTCACTTTGGTGTTGTTTCACAATGAAATCATAGGTTTCGTTTGGCGGTTCGACAGGAGTTTTCGGCGAAATAATTTTTAATTCTTGTTCCGAATCGAGAGAATCAGATGACTGTTGTTTAAGAGAATCTTGGCTAATGATCATTTCTTCATTGATAGAGTCCGTGCTCATTTCCATTTCTTGTTGACTCTGTTGTTGTTGTTGTTGTTGGTGTGAAGATTGATAAGTTTGTTTTTGATTTGATTCATTTGAAGTCGATGGTTGCTGTTGTTGTGATTCAGATGAAGTTGTTTCTTGTGTAATGGACGAAACTAATGGCTTATCACCTTTGTGATCGTGATCATCGTCATCATCATCGGAATCATGATGTTCTGATAATGATTTATCATGGTCATCAGTAATTGATTGCCGTTTCGACTTCTTTTTCATTTCATCATCCTCGTCTTCATCCGATGGAAGTTGCTCTTCACGAACACTCTTTAAATAATGGTTCGAAGCGAACTCTGCTTCTTCATCACCAACTGTCGTCTGAGAAACATTGTCTTTACCATCTGTTGGATCAGCTTCTGTTCCATCTCGTTGCTGCTGCTCGTCCATTAGATGTTCATAGCGCGACATGCGTCGAAGATAATCCAGTTGAGCAGCTAATTCACTCGATCGATCACCAGTGCTATCTTCATGAGAGTAATCTAAGTCATCTGATATACTTGTTCCTGATGATTGAATGTGAGGTGCACGCCGTTGATCAGTAGAGAGTGTGGGAATCGACTTCTTTCTTATTTGTGGTATATCCAAATGCTGAAGAGATCAATAGTGAAAAATGAAACTTCTCTACTTCTTTGCTTTTTTACTTACCTCGCCTTGAACGTTCACTCGCGCCTGTTGGATAACGTCGATTATCATTTTTTGTAAACCTGGATGATCGTCTTGTTCATGCTGTAGTTGTTTTTGCGCTTCGTCAACATCGCTCATTGACGAGCATGTGACGTGAACAAATTCGTTTTTCAATAATGGCGATCCCGGTGGACTCGAGGGACGACGTTCTGTTTGATGAGATTCACCTGATTGTGAATCGTGACGATATTGAAGAATATCACGTGACAATGAATCGACACTGGCTGATTGCAAGGCCTTTTCGTCGTGTTGTTCAGGAGCGTCTGTCGCTTTATCAGGCTGATCGACAATTCTGGTCGTTGATTCAGGTAAGTGTAAATTGTCTTCGGTAGGTTGTAATTCGATTACGGGTGGGATAGTTACATCGTAATGACGAATTTCATCATTGTCGGACATTGATGATGATGCTGATGGTGACGACGAACGAATAATATCAATATTGTCGTTGATTTCTTGCTCAAATTTATGTAACTCTTGCATAAGGTCAGCAAGTTCATGTGTTGATTTGGCAGTTGCTGCATCTGTTATGGATAAATATGGTTCACCGGTGATATTTTCAATCGATTTGTCTTTTTCTTCGTCATCTGATGTTAAATGTTCTTCTTCTTTCTCGACGTCAACCCGATCACTACCACTACTTGTCAGTTGAGTTGGCTTTTCTTCTGTGATAGCATCGGGTACGTTCTTAACCAAACTTGACCAATCAGTTAAGTCACTAATCGATACATCAGCACTGGTTGTTTCATCACGTTGCGACGAAGGTATTTCATCATCATATTTTGTGTAGACATTATCGAGTACATCGTTAACAATGCCTGTTGCTGTTTGATAGAGAGAGTAGTTTCTGTCTTGTTCGACAGTTTCGTTAACAGCTTCATCGAGGATTCGACTGACGAATTTCTGTGATGTTTGTTCAAGAACTTTTTCATATTGATCATCTCGGTCAGATTTGGAAAGAATATATTCTGTGTCAGGGGTAGATGTTTTGAACAGATTCTTATCTTGTTCGACAGGAAGTGAAATATCAAGGTGTGTCGGTCGAAAATCATCTTCGTCTTCGTGTTCCAACTCTTCGTCGCCTTGATAAGATGGAATTGTACGAGATATGATACTTGAATGTTGAACGTGGGAGATTAACGACGATTCAGGATTTTCAGCAACTGGTGAGTCAAGTGCATATTTCGCTGGTCGATATTTGTCACCATAGATTTCTTCACGTTGGAAAGCTGATTGCGTCCATGGCTCTGGTCGTTTCAGTTGTTCACTTTCGACTTCATCTTCATCCGAACGGACGGATGATTGCACGTTGGCAAAATTTTCATCGCTAATTTCCCGTTCGAAACTCTTGGCCGACTCCATGTGGAAAGGTTCATCTTGACTTGGAAACGATTCATATGGATATTGTTGTTTTGGTGATGTTTCAGTGATATGATGATCTTCTGGAGCGTGCTCGTCAGGAGATTCAATAGAGGATTTCTTTTCGACGCTCGGACTACGTTCGACTTGACCTTCATTAAGTATTTGTGGAAAGGAAAGAGCAACTTGTTCCGCACTTAACAATCTCGTGAAATCATTTGTTTCTTCTTGGTGAGTTTCCGTAATGCTGTGATCAAATGTCTTATGTTCTTCAAGTTCTTGAGAACTGGCGAGAATGTCTTGATCTGGTTGTGCTTTGCTTTCTTCATCACGACGCTCTTCCTCAGATTCACTATCTACGCGTGATTTATTACTCACTTTGTCAACACTTAAGCGTCGTGCAAATTCTTGCTCGGTTGCTTCTTCCTCGGTCTTTGCACTCGATGTTTTTGATGATAACGCTGGCGTTGGTTCGGCACTGAGTTGATCAATTGAACTTCGTCTTTGTTCAGATGGAGAGGGAAGTTCTTCCTCATCTTGCGATGTAGATGGTGCAAAGTGTTTTGATTCAATTATTGGAGATACTTCTTCAGCTACCAGATGGTCAGTGCTGTGTTCATGTTCGGACTGATACTGTTCTTCTTCTTCTGCATCCGAGATATGAGATGCATGAATAACTTCTTTTGGAAGTTCGCCGTCATCTTCGTGTGATGATTGAGTGAAGGATTCATCTGGTGTTGGTTTTTCTTCCTCCAATTTGTGCATGTCTTCCGTTTCAGATTTGACTTCTTCAGTGATGAACTCATCTGGATATTGATCTTCGTCATGTTCAGTTGCTGGCGGAGATCGAGTGTCGATTCTTTCCGAACTTGGGTAGCTGACAGGTTTATAATCGTGTTCAATTCTAGTTTCATACTTTTCAGTTTCATCAGGAGAAGTAGCGAAAGTCTGTGGAATAGTTTCAATAGTTGGCGAAGATTTCGTGATGATTTCTTCGGTACTCTCTTCCCGTCCGAACGGATGCTGTTCAGCTTCATGAGATGATACAGCAACAGTGTCATGTACTGTCACCTTTTGATCAGATTTATCTTGATCGTCATGTCTTTGTTCAAAAGCATCGGCGCGATCTTCGGCAGTTGTATGAGAAGGTTCGAGATTAAAGTCTTGTGATTCTCGATCTTCTTCGAATGATGATGAAGGTGCAGATGCAACAATAAATTTCACATCGCTCATTTTGTCATCTTTGTGCTCAATTGTGCCAATAGCAGATTCATGTCCTTCAGCTGTTGGATGACTGTCAGCAGGCACTTGCTCAGCACTCGATTGCTTTTCGTATCGAGTTCGATCTTCTTTAGTTTCCATTTCAGTATCAGATGATGGTAATGATTCAGCGCTGGTACGATGTTCACTTAATCGTCGTTGTGTTTCGTGTTCCTCATCTTCTGTAGATTTGTGTGAATCTCTTTTGCTAGGCTGAACAGTGGAGGAAATCTCTTCTTTTTCGTCTTCATGAGATGTTTTCATGATAACGTCATTGTCGTCATCGTCGTCGTCATCGGCAACGAAATGTTCTTCTGCAATGTGTTGTGAACTTTGCAGTGATGATTGATCTGTGACTTCGGATTTTTCCTCTCCCGCACTTTGTGTGCTTGGGTAACGTTCATAGAAATCTTTGTGTTGTTCTACTTTTGGCGATGGTTCCATGTTAATTTGGTCTGAGCTGACTTTTCTTTCGGATTGATATTTTTCTTCTTCAGGTTCAACTGATTGATGAGTATCAACAGCTATATGTTCTGGTTTCAAAACTTGAATGTCATGTTTATCTTCGGATGATGCTGGAGATTCAGCATGTGTTTGTTCAGTAATCGAATGCTGTTGATATTCATATTGATGTCCATGGTCGTCTTCACTTGATCGACGTGATTCTCTGTGAACAGTTTCTAGACTTGTTGGTCGTTCTGATACATATTCTTCTTCAATAAGTGATTGTTTCGAACTGACTGATTTCTCGAATTGATCTTCTTCATCTTCATGCTCGCTGAACTGCGGAGATTTCATATCTGTTCTTGTTAGTGTTGCGCTTACTGGACTAATCGCAGTTTCTTTATCGATCGAGAATTGTTCATGTTGAAATTCTTTCTCTTCGATCATCGGAGAAGATTCAATGTTAATTCTTTCTACAGGATGTTGTTGTTCTGTATGCAAGTCGACCACTTTTTCGACAATATCTTCTTCCGCTTCGGGTTCCTGTTGACTGAATTCAGATTTCCGTTCAGATTGGTGATCTTCTTCATATACAATACTTCTTTCCGATATGACTGGAGATTGTTCGAAAGCAGTTTCATGTTCTTGTTGGTGTTCCTTGCCAATTGTCGATTGAGACGGTTGAACAGAAGTTTTGTCGGTACTAGGTTCTCGTTTGAGATGAGGCTCTTCAATTTCTTCTTCGTGTTCACTGGATTGAAGAGATGCAGAGAGAACTTTTTCCACACTTGGTGTTCGTACTAACTGTTCTTGTTTCGTATGTTTGACGTCAAACATTGGTTGAACATGTGCTTCGTCAACGTATCTTTCTTGTTCGTCATGATTTTCTTCTTCTTCGTGTTCACTATATCGAGGAGATTTGGAGCGAGGTTCTTCAATGCTTGGCGTACGCAATAACTGCTCCTCTGTATGTTCATCTTCTGCATGAGTAACATGAGGTGGTTGTGTAGACACGATTCGATCCAAACTGCGTTGTCGTTCCAGACGGTTTTCTTCATCTTTGCCGTCTTCAGATTCGCTGTCGACACTGCGATGTTCTTCTTCATGTTCACTGAATTGAAGAGATGCAGAGAGAGATTTCTCATTAGTTGGTGATTGCGCTAATTGTTGTTTCTGTTCGTCTTCTACATGTATGGTATGAGGTGGTTGTTCAGTGGCGATGTCGTCGATGTTGGGTTGACGCTCATGCTGATGTTCTTCTTTTACTTGTTCTTCGTGTTCACTGGACTGGCGAGATGTAGAACGCAGTTCTTCAATGTTTGGTGTTCGTAGAAGTTCTTCTTTGTGTTTCTCGTCCACGTGTATGAAATCGGCTGATGATGGAATAACAGTTTTATCGATGCTAGATTGTCGTTCGAGACGATGTTCTTCTTTTTCATCATGTTCTTCATGTTCCTCGTCTTCGCCAAGTTCGAAAGATTGCGAGTGAGGTTGCTGTTCTACACTTGGTGTTCGTAGCAGTTCCTGTTTATATTCGTCTTCTACATGTGTGGTATGAGGTGGTTGTTCAGTGACGATGTCGTGGATGCTAGATTGACGCTCATGTTGGTGTTCTTCTTCTACTTGTTCTTCGTGTTCACTGGACTGGCGCGATGTAGAACGCGGTTCTTCAATGCTTGGTGTTCGTAGAAGTTCTTCTTTGTGTTTCTCGTCCACGTGTATAAAATCAGCTGATGATGGAATAACAGTTTTATCGATGCTAGATTGTCGTTCGAGGCGATGTTCTTCTACACTTGGTGTTCGTAGTAGTTCCTGTTTATATTCAGCTTCGACATGTCCGAAACCAGTTGCAAGAATTTTCTCGCCACTAAGTTGTTGCTCAAAGTGGTGTTCTTCTTGATATTCTTCGTGTTCACTACATTGAGGAGATTCAGAACGATGTTGTTCTACGACTGATGTTTTTGATAGTTCTTCTTTGTGCTCATCTGCCACTTGGGCGAAATCAGCTGACGGAGGAATAACAGTTTTATCAATGCTGGCTTGTCGCTCAAGACGAGGCTCTTCGTCATGTTCACTGGATTGAATAGATGCAGAACGCGGTTTTTCAATACTTGGTGTTTGCATTAGTTGTTGTTTCTGTTCATCTTCCACATGTATGATGTCAGATGGTGCTTGCCGCTCGAGCTGATGTTCTACTTCTATCTCTTCATGTTCACTAGATTGACGAGATAAAGATTGCGGTTCTTCTACGCTTGGTGTCCATGGTAATTCTTGTCTACGCTCCTTTTCTGTATGCGTAAATTCAGCTGATGGAGATAGAACAGCGTTATAGACGTTTGTTTGTCTTTCGAGATGATGTTCATTTTCGTGCTGCTCATATTCTTCATGTTCGCTAGAATGAATAGATGTAGAACGAGACTTGTCGATACTTGGTGTTCGTATTAATTGTTGTTCATGTGTCTCTTCTATATGTTTGGCTTGGGATGATAGTTGGGTATTAGTTTCATCGGCAGCTTCTGGTTGTTCGAGGTAAGACTCTTTCTCGTGTTTACTGGATTGAGAGGATTCAGAACGAAGCTGTTCAACGCTTGGTGTTCGTACTAATTGCTGTTCATACGTCTCGTCTGTGTGTGTAACATGGGATACTGTTTCAGTAGCAGATTTCTCAATACTAGGTTGACGTTCAAAGCGATGTTGTTGTTGTTGTTCTTCTTCTTCTGGTTCTTCATGTTCACTTATGTGAGACGGTTGAGAGCGAATCTCCTCCGTACTTGGCGTAAGAACCAACTCCATTCCATGTTCATCTTGATGGTATGTAAATTCGGATGTTGGCTGGACAACCATTTCATCGACACTTGATTGTTGATGGTCTTCTTCTTCATGTGGCAAATCTGATGACGGTGAAGCACGACTTTCATGGGCATTGCGCTGTTGTTGTTGTTCGAGATGATCTCCTTGCTCCCCATGCTCACTGATTTGCGGAGAGTGAGAACGAAGTTTCTCACTACTTGATGTTCTTGCTAGCTCATGCTCAAGTTCGATCTCTGTGTGTGGAAAGTTAGACACTGACGAAACAGAAGTTTGATGGATGTTAGATCGTTGTTCCAAATATTCTTTTTCTTCTTCTTCTGGTTCACTGATGTAAGGAGATTCTTGATGAAGTTTTTCGACACTTGGCGTTCGCGTCAATCGTTGTTCATGTTCATCTTGTCGATAGGTGAAGTCAGATGATGGATGAACAACTGTATGATCGATGTTAGATTGCTGTTCAAGCTGTTGTTCCTCTTGTTCTTCGTGTTCACTGAATCGGTGTGAGTTAGAGAGAGATTTTTCAGAGCTTGGTGTTCGTGCCAATTGTTGTTCGTATGTCTCGTCTACATGGGTATCATGAGAGAGTGATTGAATCACATTTTCGTGTCGAAGTCTTTCTTGTTCGTAATGATGCTCTTCATGCTGATCTTCTTCTTGTAATTCTGTTTGCATAGTTGGCTGTTCGTGCTCACTGGGTCGCGGTGATTGAGAATGAGGTTCTTCAACACTTGGAGTTCGCACTAGTTCATGTTTATCTTCTTCATGTTCGACTACGTTCAAAGGCGTAACTGATATTTGTTCAATCCTTCGCTTTTCTTCTGGAAAATCTTGATCCGTTTGTTCGTCGTCATTGTGCTCACTTTCTCGTGAAGATTCAATAGTATGTTCGTTGAAGTGGAATGATTCACTTTCGTGTTGAGCTGCGACTGGACTTTCCTCAGCGCTAAGCCGTTTTTCTTTTTCATACATGTGACTTTGGATGTCTTGAGATGATTCAAGCACATCCTCTTCATGTTTGCTGGATCGTGATGATGTTGTACTAACTTTTCTCGAGATTGATTTCTCATCAGTTTCAACGTTTTTGTCAACCGGAACTTCAAATTTCATTTTATCTTCAACTTGATGATCATCTTCTTCGTGTTCACTGGGTTGAGGAGATTCGGTGTGAGCTCTTTCAGAGCTTCGTCTTGGTTCAAGCTTATGATCATCTTCAATATCACGTCTTTCTTGTTCAAATGTTTCACCAGGTATAATCACAGTTCCTTTATCACTGGAAAATTGATCATCTTGATGACCCTTGTCGTCAATTAATGAAGATCTTAGGAAAGCTTGGTCAACGCTAATATGTTGCTGTGATGAATAATTTGGTTCTTCATGTTTCTCATCTTCATCTTCAATATGTTCAGTTGATCCAGTGATAATTTGTTGCACACTTGGCTTGCGCTCAAATCTCACTTCATCTATTGCGACCTTTTCAGAGCTTAGTTCTGACTGCAACTCGTGTCGATCTTGTACATCTGACTCCACTTCATGTTGATCAGCTGAAGTTTCTTCCTGCTTGATATCTTGTAATGTTCCAATATAAAATTTGCCTGATTGTTGATCTTGTTCTTGTTCGACAGTGGTGTCATCCGAAATTAACTTTTCGTGTGTTTGGTCGGGAGTACGAATCGATGATTCATGTTCAGTTTCCATTGTTGACGAAGGTTCGAAGATTTTATCTGTACTCCAAGTTCGTTCAATGTGCGATTGATCATTTTCATCTCGGTGTTCGTAATCATGTGACACATCTTCTATAGTTTCATCTTCAATCTCTTCAGTCGGCTGTTTTAACTCCATCTCACTAGTAGTAGACTGTTGTTGAAGTGTTGTGATCGGTGGAAATTCTTCACTAAATCTTCGCTCGGGTCGATACTGTTCGCCATAGACTTCTTTTCTTTGGTTCGATGATTGTATCCAATCTTGAGCGTGCGATCGAACTTCATGTGTAATTTTTTCTAATTCACCTGTAGTCTCTTCGATCATTTGTGATTCTTCTTGTGGCCAATTTTCTGTCTCTTGTCGAGTTAAGATTGTTCGATGTATAACAATAGGTATTTCGGCACTGAATGGCGAGATGGTATCGGGTTCTTCGATTTGAATGGCCGATGATGATAATGGAAAATTTTCGATTTCGTGCACGATTTCATATGAAGTTGCAGGCGGATGACGTTGCTCAGTTGTAATAAATGATTCTGCTAAAATCTCTTCATCTTCTTTTCCCGATTGTTCTTCGATTTTCGTCGGTTTTTTTGTCCACGAAGCAGCAAGCATAAGATCACTCATAATTTCTCGAAGATTATCAATCGATGGTGGTGGTGATGGTGATCTTAATTGTCGTTCAGCATGTATCGATGGTGCGCGTTCGATAAATAGTGAACGGTGTGGGTCGCCTTCATAGAAAACATCACCCGATACCAGCGGACTTTCCGGTATGAGCGGTTTTTCGTGTTCGCTCGTATCTTTGTCTTTGGTCTCCTTGTGATAGAACGAACGATGGATATCACCTTCGTAGAAGCTGTCTGCACTAATTCGCGCTTCTTCCGGTATGAGATGAGTGGTATGTGTTAATGAAGTTTTCTTTTCTCGAGGAGGTTTATCTCCTTCGAAAAAGACGTCGCGTGTGATGACAGGATCTTCAGGAATGAGATGAGACTGCGATTGCCGGGGTGACAATAGTCGACCATCGGGCCCACGATGGAAATATTCAGCCATTTGTTCAGGTGTCCAATCGTTTTCTGCTGATACTTTCGATTCCTGCTCAACAATATCGGTTCTAGTTGATTGCAAATCCTCGATTTTACTTGATTTGATATCATTGATAATTCGACGTAACTCGTTGACATTTTGTTCGAATAATTCAATTAAACTATAATCTTCTTGATGAGCATTATTCTGTAAATTTTCGTTGATAGTTTGAAATAAATTTTCTAATTCATCTAATTCATATTCAATACGTAATTCATCAGTTTTGCTCAATTGAATATCCGACATAAGTGCTTTCAAATCATGAATTTTCGTAAGAGTATCTTGGAAGTTTGCTGCAGTAAACTGATTGTTCTTTAAATAGTCAATAATCGAATAAAGTTCATCGATCTTATCGTCGAATTGTTCGATTTGGTCTTCAATTTGCAAAAGCGATGAAGAACGAATAGTTTTCATTTCAGATATCTGCTCTTTTACATCAGGAAATGAACGTTGATCTTCCGGTGAGATTTCAGTCTTCAGATCCTCTTCAATCAACTCTGACGTTGGTTTTATCGGTAATGTAGAGAGATTGCCTGCGGAAGTAACCACTGAATCTTGATGTGTCGACTTCCCTCTCGTCGGGCTATTTGTTTCTTCGACTACTGACGGCGGAATAACTTCCATTGACCAGCTATTTTCACTTTGTTTTAACTTCTGAAGATGTTTATCAGCTAAACGTTGAACATTTTCTATCGTTAACGGTTTTTCTTCGACGGGTGGTGGTTGTCGTTTGTTGGGTTCCTCTGCTGCCACGAGTTCCTCTTCAGTTTCGCTGTCAGTTAAGAATGTTTGATCGAATGCTGGTGGTAATTTAACAGTTGCACGTTTCATGACCGGCGATGAAAACTTCTGTAAATGCGTTTCAGCTTCGGATACAGGTATTGGTTGTGCGATCCAAAATAAATTCTTCGCTTTAACAAGTAAATACGGGCTTTTCGGAGCTTGAGCATCATAATGGATCTCGACCGATTCGGGAATTTCGGGAAATGATTCAATCATTGGCGATGTTTGAACGGCTAACGATTGATTGAATAAACTATGCTTATAGATGTCAAGTGGTGAAGTTGCGATATCAACTTTGTGATGTGGTTCAAATTGTTCTTTGAGTGATTCGAGAATGGTACCTGTTACAGCTGTCACACCTTCGTTGACAGCTAAACGTGAACGTAAAACAGATAGTTCGTGTTCAGCTGTTAACAATTCCGATTGTAATAATGGAGATTCTTTTTCGAGAAGATTTGTAATGCTCTGTTCGAATGTTAATGTATTTGGTAATGGTAATCGCCGTTGATGAACTGGTGATTGCGGTATCATATCTATTCGAGATGGTCTCGTTGATGCATTTGTGCCTTCATATTGTGACATCGATGACGAAAGATTCGATTCTGCGTTAGCGGTCATATGAGGTGAAGAAGAAGTAGGAGAAGAAAGAGAAGGAGGAACAGCAGTAGAAGAAGGAGAAGTAGAAGAGATTAATAATGATGCAGCTTTTGATGATGACGATGGCGTTTCTTCTCCTTTGTCGGTAAGAATAGCTGTAAACAATAGAAAACAAGGAAAATCGAGAGATGTGGTAGCTTAATAGAGACTGTATCCTTTTTTGATTCTGCTGCTTATTCTTTGTGATGAATTTGATCGGACAGAGAACGAGAACAAAAACTGGAATGAAGAAGACAAAATCTGTCGAACATACACGAAATTGAATCTATTTTTAGAAATTCAAATCAGATATTACATTAAATCAAATTCGAAGAGAATGGACGCGAGACATGTGATACAGTCTGTCCCGTTATGAAAAGAAGAAGAAGAAGGACGAAGACTCCCTATCATATCATTGTTTGAAAACATTGATGGAAAGAAAATGTACACTGTCGAAAAACGGAAGCGAGAGCTGTACATCATACCAAGAACATCGTATTACGTTCTCGTATCGTTTCACTCGATAGATTGACTGAAATGTAGAGCAAGATAAATGTGTCACGATGTTAGTGGGAAGAATCAAATCCATGCGTTAAGTTTCGTTCCAAAATTATTTTTTATAACTACATGCGAATATTTTGTTATGCTATTCCATAATCATAACCCACCCCATTCTCAAAAATCATGCATTTTTTTTTCAAATCTGATTGCTTACGTTATGAAGTTCTCGATTCATCTTGAACTAGAATAATCATGTCAATTAGATAATGAAGTTTTTTTGAATTTCACATGCAATTTTTCGTTACTAACGCTAGTTTACTTAGTGGTAATAGCAGTAGCAGCAGGATCAATAGAACTTAAAAGTATCTAATGAACTAATATCTTACCTTCTTTATTCGAAGTAGTTGTTGATTGCTCAGTAGCACTGGTACTGCTCTCCAGATGGTCTAAATGAAGGAAAAAAAGAAATTATTAAATGAAAATCTTGTTTAACTCAGCGAATGAGTTTCAGATAGAATAGTCTTCATGCGCACTCAATTTCACCTTCAAACATGCGTGTACGCAAACATCATTGCCAATGGAGATTACATTTGTAATCATCAAAAATGGGCTGTGAAGATGAAACATCATATTTATTAACTAAATGGATCTTACATTCATTTGTCTCGAAGAAAGACCTCAAGTTCACCTTACATTGATAGAAAAAAATGTGCTTTTCTGATTACTAGTGTATATTTAGATATAGATATTTAGAGAGAGAAAGAGAACGCGAGCGTTTTCATGTGCATGCGCTGAACATTAGACAAAAGGGTTATGGTTGAAGCATGCCAGGACAAAGATCAATCAATCGTTTCGTGCTGGTATAGTTGCATGAAATGCAATCTATCTAATGCGCTTCTACCTTCGGGCGATCGAAATGGTTCGGTCGATGTTAATACCGGCATTTCGACATCATATGATTCAACAAGATCTTCATCGCTTATATCTGAATTCATACGCGCTGCAGACAATGTTGAATTACTCGAAGTAACGTTCGTATTAGCACCTTGAGCGGTCACGTAGGTAGCTGTTGATGACGATGCTTGTGACGTATCTGCGGTTTCGTATATTGTCGATATAGACGATGCACTTGTTGGTGCAACCGATGTAGCTGTTTCCGAAGTGGTTAACGATGGCGGAAGTACCGGAGGAAATGGATGTTGTGTATCGTCATTGAGACTTCCATATGAACCATGTAAATTATCATAATCAGATAGTAGTGAACGTGCGGGTGTTGCACTACCTGTATTCAACTGTTGCGCGATGGGTGTATCGAACGGACTAATGTCATTTGAGTCAACGCTACTCTCCTTACTACTGGTCAGTAAAGTTTTTGAACGATCGGACGTTACACTGTTAGGCATTAGCGTTGAAGTACTTGTGGAAAGTTCTTCTTCGTCCGATTGCAGATTTGTTGTCGATGATGTTAGTTCAGGCTGTGGTGGACTGATAACAGTCACAGAGGTTGTTATTTTTGGAGTTGATTTCGTTGTCACAATATCGAGTAAGGGTGAAGCGGTTTTCGTGGTATTCGAACCTGAGTCAACTGAAACGAGTGTTAGCGGACGTGTTATCGGTGAAGCAGAGGACTCATCCGATGCCGACGTAGTCTCAGGTAATGTCGGTGGATCGTCACGCGGTAGTTTACTTGTTGAGGATGTTTGTACTGAAACTTTTATTGGTAATGCTTGTTGTTTGTTATTTGCACTTGAATTGAGATTATTTGTAGTTTGATCATGTTTTTCAAATGCTTTTTCGGCTTGCTGCAAAATATTCTCAGTCATGTGTTTTGCAAATTCTGTAATTTCGTTTGGTGCTGAAGGTAGTTCAGATGACTGTTCGGTTACATCATTTGATGTCGTAGATGTGATACTCAATGGTTCACTGATCGATTTTGTTATCACTGGTGAATCCGTGATTAGAGTGACTCTTGCTGGATCAACAGTGAATGGTTCTACAGTTTCGTTAAGAACGAGTTTTTCATCGTTCAGTTCGTTACTGTTTGACGGCTGTTGAATGTAAATCGGCGGAGCAGATGCTTGTCGAAGAATATTCATGTCCGTGTCATTTTCAGATATAATACCAAATGTATCGACAAGATTTAGAACTTTCTTTACGACATTATCAGTTTGTTGAATGAGTGTAGGATCGGTACTGTTATTATTATTATTATTATTATTATTATTATTACTACTACTAGCACCATACAAAGAGAAATGTCTTGGCGGTTTTGCAGGTGGTGAACTAATCTCAGTAGATGAGGATGAACCTGATTCATCGCCATGGCGAGGTGGTTTAGCTGGCGGTGGTGTTAATGGAAGAGAAGTAGTTGATTCAGTTGAATCAACAGGGGCTTCGGCTAGTAATGGTTCGGAAGTCTCATTTACATTCGCTGATCGAATCGATATTGCCTGTGCTGCTTGTAGTTCGTTGTTACTTATATCAACGGATTTCTTTTTTGTCATCATCGACTTTTTCAATGGTTTCACAACAGCATGTTTCAATGCATGTGCTAATGCACGTGCTTGATCGGGTATTATTTTCGATTTTATCAAGCGTTCACCCACGGCAGGTGCTGCTTGAGCGGACACAGCACGTGTAGGTGCTGGAAAGAAATTAGCAGTTAGGAAAAACAAGTTCGACAAGAAGAAGAAAAAACTTGGGATGAAACTTACGAATATCATCAAGTAATTGAGCTGTTTGTTCAGCTAACTGCTCGGTTGCTGTTACTGTCGTTTGTGCTTGTAACACATCTTCATCTAATTTGTTGAGATCCAATTTAGCTGGAGAAACATAAGTTTGTTGAACGATAGTATCCATAACAGGCGGAACAGGTTTTGATAATGGTTCATTTTCTGTTAAGATTGGCGTTGGTTCCTTAGCTATATGAACGACACTAATGTCATCGTGTCGTTGAACTGGTGGTCTGGCCTTTGCGTAAGCTTGAATGGAAAAAAGTGAGTAGTTAGAAATGCTTACTAAGAATGCTTCGAGGAAGAGGGAGAAAATGTTGGTTGCTAGCTCTCGATAGATTCAATAGATTTGTTCAACCAAAAGAATCAGAAGTTTTCTTGCTTTGCCTGGCAAACGTCTTTTATTTTTCTGTTTAATACTACACAGGATATGTGGAGTTTTCTCATCTTGAAAAGAAAATTCGCAAATCATCTAGCAGCAGTCAGCTTATCAACGAATTATTACGTCAATTATGATCACTAATCGAAAAACATCCCTTTAATTACAAAAATATAACATTGATGTCGTTGTGCATTATTTTGATTCGATGTGGAATATTCATTAAGTCGAACAACGCTATGCTCATTCTTGTTCTCTTTATTCCTATAATTGGATGTTTAGAAATGAAAAGAAAACTTCTTCTTCTTCTTCTTTTCTTTCTCCTGAGACAAACTCTTAGTAGATGATTCTAACAAGCTCATGAATAGAACGAAGAAACTAATCATACGTGGTGATAATGGTGTGATGCGTCCTTCGCCAATATCTGCGCTTCGTCGTTTTCCTGTCGAATCATCATGATCAGCTGAAAATAGAAATGCAATTATGAGACATGAGTTATGTGGAGATCAAAACAACAAATATAAAAAGAAAAATCAGAGCAAACTCGATCAAGGCTGCATGCAAAATAGAGAACACATCAAGCTGAAAAGAACCTTTATCACGTGTCAGACGATTCAATTTGTCTCTGAGACTTTCAAGATGTGTCAGTTCGAACGGATGAGCGTAACAACTCAATGGTGTCATCGATCCTGATTTGCTAAATGGTTGATAGATGGAATAATAGCCACCATAACGTGATGCTGGTGTTGGTGCTTTACTTGAATCAACAAAATGTAAGGGAGCATCACGTTCACCTGGGAAAATACATAGAAACAACATTGACGACAGTAACAACAACGACAACAACAAAAGCTAAAGATGCGCCTGTCTATTTTCATCAATCTACGAGACAACATTTAGACAATATTTATCGGTATGAACCTAATTTTCTATCGGAAATCTTTGCATTTATAATCGTATCTGCACTTGATGTTGATGATGATGAAGGAATATGTTCTCTCGATATATCTCTTTTAACCATCTTAAGTGGTTCTAATTGTTTAAATTGTAAAGTTGGATTCTGTTGAGAAGAGAGTTTCTCAGTTGTTTGTTCTCCTACATCTTCTTCAGTCGATTCTTCGTATGTGATCGTTTTTATTATTGTCCGTGAACGATTTCCATGATCAATGGTAACATCTTGAGAGTTTTCGAAAGAAAACACACATTTATCGAAATATTCTCATGAAAACAAAAATTTTTCTATTCTCATTCTGTTCTATTTTCGTTAACTTACTAGATCTTCCATAACGACGGCGTTCATATTCTTCATCACTTTCAAAGCCTTCATCAAACTAAATAAAGAAAAAGAACACAACGATTATATGCAAGTTGAGCATAGAAAAAAACATACGCGACGTCCACCATATCCTGATCCTTCAATACTGCCACCGCGACTTGTTAAACGAGCTTTAGCAACTTCTTTCTCGGCGGCATCAGTTACCCATTCGATGTTAAAGACACAATTGTGCACAATATTTTCTTTACCAATTTTACGTAAAGCTTGTTGAAGGCAGTTACCTAACGAAAGATACTGAATGAGACAGACTTTCAGCCAGAGATTTTCGTACCTGTTGCATCAGTGCCGCGTGATTTAAGCCAGTAACGTAACATATGCAAAGCAGCATTTTGTCCATATTCATCCATCAATTTTGTCACTTCTTCTTCAGTAAGTTCGAGTTCAGCAGCAAGTGTTGGCCATTCTGAGCCAAGTGATTTCGCGATGTCAGTTAGACGAATTTCACCTTTTCGATACATGTCATCAGATCGCCAACCTACACAAAATCTTTCGTAGATCCATTCACGTACTTCAATTCCGAGCACTCACTTTCTGAACGTGGTTCACGATCAACAGAATGAAGATTTCGAAGGCGTTCCTCGTGCTAAATCAAACTCCAATCAAATCAAAGCAACTTACTACGACAACTAAACTTACTCCAAGTGCATCCTAGAAAAACGAAATAAAAATAATGTTAGAACAACGAATCATCAACTGATGTCATACCTTATCATAAGATGGTAGGATGATATTCAAATTGCAGATCGGTTGTAGTGTTTGTGGATCAACAGCAGTGTTCGATGGTGCATGACCATTTGTCATTGTGACTGATGATGTTCTTGGGATAGGTGTTAACTTTCCATTATCTTTAGAGAAAACAACACGTCCCGATGGTTCTTGTTGCTGATCACGTATTCGAATAACACACGGCAAACGATTTTCTCGAAATGCTCGAAATGTAAATGTTAATTGTTCATTCGTTTTTGTAATTGTTTGTAAATTAGTCGATTGCAAATCCAAATAGATCGTATTTCCGTTAACAACTTCCACTTCCCTGGATTTGGCGATTTCAATGAAATGTTCTTGCATTTCTAATGTTTTGTTTTCTTTATCGTCGGTGATACAGAAAAGACGTGCTAATGCTTCATTGGGATCATTTCGTTTTGCAAAAACAACAAAACGAGACATATACGGGACGGCAGACGCTTCGCGATAGATTTCATGAGCTAGTTTTAGAACGTCAGGTACACCTTGCGCATCGATTAGCCAAAATCTATTAACGAAAGAACTTGATGTGAGTCAATGCTGATAAAAATATAACTGTAGTACTCTGGTAGGAATCTCAACAAGCTTTTATGTCCTATATTCAGAAAATATTATTCACGCCTACACGCATTTCAATGCTCACAATCGGAAATGATTCGTCGGAAGGACACCAAAGTAGTAAAAATAGATTTCTACTAAAAGAATGCTCTATCGATTGATGCGCTCATTGTATTCTTCTCGGGCAATTCAATCAACAGTAAAGCGCCATCGAAAGATCCTCATATTCTTCATTAATAATCTATATGGTAACTAGACATGCTCATATTTTCTTCGAACGTCGTTACCTGGCTGAAACTGTTGTTGTAAACGTCGCACAGTCGTTGGAGAATGTCAATGGGGTGTGTCCTGTGATATCGTCGAACTGTGCGGCATGTGTACCACCCGTAATGCTGCATAATAATCGTAATGTTTGAGAATCACTGGTGTATGCATTGCCATGCTGTGCATCTTTCGAAGTACCTTGCTTGTTTGCTTTCGTTGGCAATGGAATTGTTACGGTAATTGGTTTGTGAAATTTTCTTCGACGTGGCTCGACTGTGACGACAGGGCTAACGTTGACACGTGATCCGTAGACATGTTGAATCGTTTGCGAGGAAATCGGTAAAACGTGAAGTGAGACACGAATGCGTTTTTGTAAAGCTTTTTCAGGTACATGAGCTTGACATGATGGAATTATTGTTGATGTTAAGAGACCACCACGCTCATCGACAAAATGCGATTCCTGATGTAGTCGTGATATCAATGCAAAATAACGCGGAAAATCGTTAGTGATAATACGAGTTATTCGACGTGAATTGAGTTGCTCAGTAGATTCGAGTCCTGACATGAAGAGAGGAAATGTAGACAAGAAATATCAGATAAGGATGCTCACCTTCGGATTCGAAAGCATCACCAAGTGTTTCACGCACAGCTTCATCTGTGATTGGACCCGTATGTTCTGTCCATTTTTCACCGTTATCACTTCGTAGGACGATAATTTCGCGTTCATGATTTCGTAATGAAGCAAAGTGAGGAATTTCAAGAATGACAGGCCTAGGAAAGCAAAGGCAAAAATCATCATTATCATCATCGTCATTAGTTTAAAATATTCTCTGAAGTCTTCAATGGATTTCATCAAATGGTGACATTGAAAACAAAAGCTAATATCCCAGATGACACTTGCATATGACAACTATCATGAGAATATACCTCGAACAAAATATTTTTCTTATTACTGGATAAAACTGAATAATTCTTGGAGATTTGATTTCATTAAGCTAGACTTACCCAAGAAATTTGCAATTCACAGGTCCAACTTCCAAAACTCTTGCTGCTAATGCTTCCCCTTCGTTAATCGGTGGAGGTACGACTAGTTTATCACGTTTGACGAATCGACATGTAATTCTTGTCGGCATACTGGCACGTTTGGGTGGAATAATAACCCGTACACCCGAATGTCGACATCCACGCATAGCACCACCACGAGCATCGACCAAAAAGCTCACCAAAAATCTACATAGACATCAACCAGTCTATAAACTATATCATTAGCATAGGCCGCACAAGAAAAAAACAGAGGCAAATAGCTGTCAATGAGTTTAAGGAGATTAGTAGTTTAGTTTGAAAAAAAAACAAACTAAGCATGTGTGAGAACTTACGATCGATAATAAAAACGATCCCTAGAAAGACATAACAGATACACATCACACTCATGCTGATCGATAGGTTTCGTGCGAGGCGCATTGAATCGAAGATGAAGGCGAGAAGTTGGAAAAAGTTTACTCACCCTCCATGTCGTGGTCGACTAATCATCTCATTATCGGCAGGCATTGTTTGAGAAACTTTTATTGGCGTTTGTGAATGATCGAGAAGATTATCTCGACTTTCATTCCAATTATCTTTTGTTGCTAATGCTGGATATTCGGAATCTTCCTGCAAATAAAACATCGAGATTAAAAAAGGAAATTCGATACGAGTCGATTGATTTACTTTAACAAATGATGTTGGATGAAGTTTATTCTCTTCGGTTTCATTCATGAGAACACCTTCGCGTAAGTATTGCATATGCACATTTGAACTAGCATCACCAAGCATGTCTACAGATGAAGAGAAAAAAAAGAACGTCGGTTACAAAAGACGGTCTGCAATTGATATAGTGGATAATTAGCAGCATTCATGCGCGCGTATCTGCTGGGGATAGAGGAGAAAAAAGGAAGCAGAGGATGTTCATTTCTGATCATTCATTCGTTTGACAAGCAGAAACAAAAATGTTCAAACTGCAGACATACGACTACCTTGAGTCGTTTTTTGTTGAGACTTTAAATTGTTTACGGCTCTCGGCATATCAAAATATCCGAGTTCAGGATAGACAATATCATCTTCATCTGTTTTCCTATCTTCTAGACAAGTAGATGATATGTAGATCATGACGTGTTTCCTCGTTATTAGTTCGTCTCGAATCAAAATTATATTTACCTGCTTCATCATCAGAATCTGTGACTGGATGTTCTTCATGAGAGACTTCCGGCGCTTGAATCTAAAATTTCGCATTAAGATAATATGAAAAAGAAATGATCGATTACTTACCTTATAACGCTCTTCGCTTGATGCGTCTTGTTTACTCACAAGAGTTGCTTCAGTAACACCTTTGAGTTCTTCGACAACGGATATGTAACCAAGACGTTGTGCAATGGATAGCGCAGTCATTCCATGCTAGAAAGATCGAGATGATGTAATCTAATCGGAAAGAAAACATGACATCGGATTACTTTGTTTGTTTTATTTGGCAAAGCACCATGTTCAAGTAATAATTTAACAATCATAACATGTCCTTGTTGAGCAGCTGAATGAAGTGGTGTGAACATGAGCTGAAAGGAAAATAGTGTTGATCATTTCGAAAAACTGCTCCTTTTTTTCTGAATTATCCTACATTTGTTTCTGCATTAACGTTGGCACCGAGTTTAAGTAAATATCGAACCATATTGATATGACCAAAATGGCAAGCAACATGTAAACTTGTATAACCAGTCTAAAAATAATAAACATTTTCTTGTATCTGTTACAATGCTTTCTCAAATATCCTCGATAATCATGCTGACAAAAAACATATTGACCGCTCATATCTAGGGTCTACAATTTCGTAATTGATTTCGATTATCCAAGGACTATCTGATGAGAGAATAGACTAGAATCTAATGAGAATTCGATTCGAATGTTGATGTTGTCATGGAATAGAGATGATTACTCTTTTGTCTTCTGTTCGAAGTAGTCATATGAGTAATTATTTGCTTACAAGTGTTTGAGCATTAATGTCGGCATTTTTACGGATTAATGCTTCAGCACATTGAACTCGATCTTCTTGCGCACATAAGTGTAATGGTGTCAGTTGACTTTTCGATCCAACGTTCGGATTTGCTTGATTTTCCAGAAGAAGCGTTGTCACAGGCAGGTGACCATCTTGACAACTCAAATGTAATGGTGTAAAACCACCTGTTGACTGAGCATTGGTATTCGCATTGTATTCTAGCAATGTTTCAGAAATAGCCTTCGCATTTTTCTTCGCCGCGATATGTAATGGTGTGTAACCATTGCGCGCTGTTACATGTGGACTTGCAGCATGTTGCAATAAAAGTAGAGCTATATTTTCATGATTATAATGAACAGCACAATGTAATGGTGTTAGATCATTCTAGAAAGAACGAGTTGAGAATGGGAGATATGTTGGATTTGTAAGGATTCATTCTTACTTTGCCTTGTATGTCTGCAGTTGCTCCTTTTTGGAGAAGAAGATTGGCAACTTTGAGATTGCCATATTTGGCACAAATGTGTAAAGCAGAAAAGTTACGCTAAGAAGAGAAAGATGAATTCTTTTTATTTTCGAATAAAGTGGATGTATTATACCTTTGTAAACAGATTCAAGTTCGCTCCATGATCAATCAACAGTTGAGCAATTTCATCATGTCCTTCTTTCGCTGCGATGTGTAAACTCGAATACCCATCTTTAGTCGTACTGTCCACTTGTGTGTTTGCACGTAATAATAATTTGACAATTTCAACATTTCCTAAACGTGTTGCTAAATGTAAACATGTTTGTGCTTCTTTAGCTTTTGTATCGACTAATGCACCATAGCGAAGTAGTGTTTCAACGACTTCTATTTGATTATTTCGTGTTGCTAAATGTAATGGTGTTTCGCCTCGGATTGTTGTTGCATTGATATTTGCACCATGTTGCAACAGATAAACAACAATATCATGGCTGCCGACGAATGCAGCAACGTGAAGACTTGTTAAACCAGATTCTGTTTTCGCTTCGATGTCAACGCCATTTGCAATCAATAATTCGACTAATTTCAAACGATTTTTCTTGCATGCAATATGTAAACATGAAAAACCGTTTAGTGCTTTGGCATTCACATCTGCACGTCGTTCGCAGAGAAGCTTAGCAACATTGTAATTGCCACAATGAGAAGCAACATGTAGTGGTGAAAGATAATCCTGCAAAGAGAATGTTTCAATTGTCGAGAAAACCTCGAGTAACTCACCGAACTAACGTCATCGACAAGAGTAGATTTGTAATAGAGTAAAATACGTGCTGCATCAACATGATCGCCTTGGGCAGCTGAAATCGGTAAACAAAGTTTCGATCGACGGAAGTCAAGGTCGTGAATGAATTATTTACCCATATGAAGAGCCGAGAGACCGTTTTTTGTTTTTGCACCAAATGGAGCACCATTTTCAAGTAATATATCAACAACTTGATCATGACCGGATCGCGCAGCACAATGCAAAGGTGCTAGAATGAACGAATCACAATGTTGTCAGCTTTTCTAAGTACTCTCATTCACTTACTCAGTCCATCCTTTGTTTTAACATCAATTTGTGCACCTTTTTCAAGTAGTAATCGAACTAATTTATCTTTTCCCCATTTCGATGCGACATGTAATGGTGTAATGTTTTGCTAAAAGAAAACAAAACAAAAGATATAATTAATTTTCATCTTGAATCTATCTAGACGATATTCAATCATCTCTCGAGAATTGTCTCGTTGATTTCCTACATCCCATAGATGAAGATCAGTTCTATCCTACTGGCACTATGTTGATTAATGTCATTTCGCCCGCGGCATTTCAAGTGTTTTTTCGATCTAATAACTAATTTCCATTTTCTCTCGGTTTGATGCAATCAAATTGAAATCTGACGATGAAACATGTTTTCGTACGCACTTCACATCTCAAGAACAGTCTTATTTTCATTTGAAGTTTATATCTATACACATGCTTACACTAGCAGCATAATTGACGTCTGCGCCACGAGTAATCAACAATTGCGCTACTTCGAAATTTCCATAATGTGCCGCGATATGCAATGGAGTAAAGCCAGACTAAAAAGAAAACAATATGTATATATATATACTCATGTCAGATCCAATCATATCGAAATCGTTCGCTTTTTTTTTGTATGAACATGCTACCCTAATCTACACTGATATGTTAACCGATAACATGTTATCGATTTGTCTATATATGTAGTCGAGAAATTAGTCGAAAAATTAGTCTAGATCAAAACTCTAGTGCTTACTCTTCCCAGCTAAAACAAAAAAGAAAAAATACACATGATAAATCATAGATAGACAACATGGAAACATGAAACAAGAATTCTTCCACCACCGGATAGACAATAAAGTATACAGACATTCATCTAGACATTAAGAAAACAAACCTTTGTTGTACAATTAACAAAGCCTCCTCCCTATTGATTATGAAGTGTTTATATGAAAATAATCTTCATGTTTTTGCAAGTACAAACCTTATAATTAAGATCGGGTTGATTATCGCCTTGTAATAATAAAGCGGCAGCTTTTGTATCATTCTTCTTCGCTGCAATATGCAATGCTGGTAGACGAACTTTCGAACCTTTCGAGTCATTTTCCAGAAGTATAGCAACCACTTTATCATGTCCTTGCTGAAGACTAACAGCTAAGGGCGTAAATCCATCCTAAACGAAATCAACGCCAACATTTCCAATCAGTAAATCTTCCGGGAAGATAAATTACCTCAGTTGCTAGACTTTGATTAGCGCCATTAGCGAGCAGAAATTTAACTACTTCAATATGATTCTCTTCTATAAATAACCGAATGAAAATATTATTGTAAGCCGACCAATTCGTTTTCGTTTGTTTCACTTACGTGCAGCCATGTACAAAGGAGAGAATCCATTTTGTGATTGACAATTGATATTCGCATTGTGTTTAATTAAAGTTTTAACAACTTCTTCTTGGCCCGCCAATGATGCAATATGAAGAGCTGTGTTTCCTTTCTAAAACGCACGCGAGAGAGAGAAAAAAAACATGATTAATGATTAAGCCTTGTCAGAAAGACATCTTCGAGACCTTCGTTGCTGCATTAACATTGGCACCACGTGAAAGAAGCTCCTGGACAATATTTACATGACCCTCCCTAAATACAAATATCATTTAATCATTAANTTAAGCTTGAATAATAGAATTAGAAGAAAAAAAAAATCAAAATTCAATGAGAAATGCGCTCCGTTCGAAAAGAAAAACGAGCTCTCTTCTCGCTTGTAATTTAGATATTCAAAGATACATTACATATGATTTGACAATTGTCAATATGTGGACAGAGAAACTGAATTGTTTCGAATCGCATTTGAATTCATAGACATATCTCTATTTTCAAGTACCATTGAAAATCTCAACCAACTGGTCGTTCTCCTCGGTCGTACAAATATTGGAAATGTAAGAGACTAAATGCAAATACAATGCGTGCGCTTACATCGCCGTACGAACACTGTCATGGGAAATATCTTTCGAAGTCGTATGCCAATAGAAAACAAATGATAGTGATGAGATGACTGGCGCATTCTTCTCTTCCTTTGTCTTCTTATCATGTCACCCTTAGAAAATAGAATTAATGAAAATAAGAATAATGAACAAAACAAGCAACGAATTCGAAAGTTGAACGACAGTATTGTCTTTTCGCACAAGTCAACGCGAAGAAATCTAAGGTTTCGGCCTCTCGCCGACTTATTTTTATATTTCATAAGTGAACAATAGTTGAACAAGAAAGAAGTCATCGAAATGTGTTATTGTATGTACGAGTATACTCAAATGTATTACATAACCTAAATGAAAACTATTCCTCGTAAAGTGTTACTGATACATGTGTATGTAGATGTCATAATTGTCCAAGATTACGATGAGTTCAAACTATGTGTACGGATGAAATGTACATATTTATGTTCGCTTTCTCACTTGTGGTTGATGACGATGATGGAAATCGATGGTTGGAGGCAATGAAGATAGGTTGATAGACGTTGGACGAGGTCTGGATGCTTGAATATTGTCTGATGCTGTCTGATCGGACATCATTGCTGATCAAAAGATCTTTATTGATAGGGAATACGCATAGGAAACAATAGGCTTTGTATTATCGTTCGGATAGTATCAAGAGAGACGATCTACTATCGAAAACTACTTGATGAAAAACAAGTATTTCTTCTCTATCATTCCAGTCTTATAGGCATTGACTAGAAAGCTGCTTAGCGTCAAAAGAAATATTGTTAATAATCAGCCGTCATCATCTGTTGGTAAAAGATGCGTAGAGGCTAGTCGGAAAGACCGATTCTTCGTCGTCGTCGTCTTCTTTTTCCCCTCCACTTTCTCTCTCTTTTTTTCTTCTATTTCTTATGACTTCGAATTTCCTTTTCGGATTACCGAATTGTTCATTCCTAACTGAACGAACTCTGTTCCGGCGACAACGAACAGAATCTTGGTACGAGTAAAGAAGAAAAAGCAACAACAGCGTAGACAGAATTGTGTCACTATATTGTATGATGATGCGGAGAGAAAGAATTTGCTCTAACAAGCAATAACCCAGATAATTTTATTAAAACTTCTCTTTTTCTTTTTCCTTCCATTTCATTAGTCAGGGAAAGCTCGTCTATTGATCGAACGATCATTACTTCTCTCGTAAATCAGACCAAACAACAAGTAAAACAAGAATATTCTCTTGTCGTCCTCAAGACAGGATCAATTACAGTCCTAATACGTTTTTAAATAATACACAAAAAAAAAGGAATCGAGGAATAAATACAAAATCAGAAGCGAAAAACACACATACTTTCAGAAACATCTGTGCATGGATGTAAATGCATCTCTGCGTGTATTAAATTAGCTCTTATTACTTACTGTTGATGAGTTTGGTGTTGAATGGGTCATTTCGGCAAGCAAGTAGGACAAACGTCAATGATAAGATTCAAATACAGCAAAAATAATCGACTATGTTGAGTACGCACATTTCATTAATACGGACAATTTAGTTCTTTTCTATATACTAAATGGAGGTAAAAGCGAAAAGAGAGAAGAAGAGAGAAAGAGAGAAATCGACTGGCATATGTATTGAGCTGCAATCGTTCTTTCTCTCCTTTCTCTCTGTCAATATTATTTACCACGATGAGTCTCGTTTGCCAATATTCTCTCTTTCTCTTCTGTTCTTCCCTGTAGCAAAACGAAGCGAGTGTAGGTCTTTTTTTCTTGATAATAATCCTTCTCAATATAGTACAGATGATGTAGCGAACAACAGAATATGATACACAAGGCAATACATACGAGTCTACTCACATGCCGAGTGGATCATGTCACAGAACAATATATCGACATCAGCAAAAAAAACGCGAAGAAAGAAAGAATGAAAGCTGAAGGAGAAGAAAACTGATTGATCTAAGAAAAAAAAAGGGTAATTGTGGTTTTTTCTCTCCCTCCCTACGACAACATATACTAAGAAACAAATACTTAATTGGACAAGCCCACATCTATATACAATTATCTCACACGAAGGACTATCATCAATCAATCAAATAAGATCTCGTCTATGTACAACATTACAAAAAAGAGATATGTCTATGAATTCAAATGCGATTCGAAACAATTCAGTTTCTCTGTCCACATATTGACAATTGTCAAATCATATGTAATGTATCTTTGAATATCTAAATTACAAGCGAGAAGAGAGCTCGTTTTTCTTTTCGAACGGAGCGCATTTCTCATTGAATTTTGATTTTTTTTTTCTTCTAATTCTATTATTCAAGCTTAATTTAATTGCATGAAAAGGAAGAAAAATGTCAGAAATGACATCGTCAGAATTGATCACCGACGTTTGATGGAATGCAGGTCTAGTTTTCATTCAATCAAAACAAGATTTTCTTCTCAATGATCAACTTACATCTGAATTATTCATACTAAAATGAAAATTCTATTAGTAGGATTAAATATACATAACATCTGTTAAATCAAACTTAAACTAATCGATCGAAACTTTGATTTCTTCTTATGATTACAAAAGAAAAATCATCGATAACCTCAGGCAAATATATCAATCGTATTCTTTTATGTTCGTCAATTCATTGTATTAGACGTATCGATCATAACTTGTAATTATTCAGGTTTATGTTAAAAAGCTTTCTCCCACTCTCTCCTCTTTTTCCTGCTTTCAAACATAGTCGAAGTCACCCAAACCTATGTCTACAATGAGTACGATTAGCGACGAAAAGAGAAAAATCATTCGTCGGGATGATTGCAAGTTATTATTGTAGCCAAAACATGCTCTTCTATGTACAATCATCTGTTTGAATAAGTTTGTCGCAAATATCGATTTTCAATTGAAAACTTTGCTGAAATCTTAAGTTAAATATTATGATTTGCGGTGATATAAATACGAAAACAGACTACTTCGATCAATTTCAAGGTGAATCACTTAGTTATTCACGTTTCATTTTCAATAACGAGGATTCAACTAGTCTAATCATATCAATACCATTCGGATTGATCAGATCGGCTTTTTTTCTACGATGTAATTACATTAATTCGATAAATAATAAAACAATGACATCTATGATAAGAAAAAATTCTTAATCATAATATTTTTTTACCAGTAGATTGTTGGTTGTGGTTGTAGGAGCAGTGGTTGCCTGCTGTTCTATGTTCATGACCATGCCACGATATTGTATGCTGCTGAAACAAGCAAAAGAAGTAGATGAAATGACGTGCCGCTCTCTTTTTCCTCTCTGCGATGTCGCCGTTTTGTTTCCACTTTTCTACTGTTGTGGCGGAAAAAAAAACTTCTCTTTCTTCTATCCATCGACCATTTTCTTCCTCGGTTTTTTTTCCTGTGTTCTCGCCATCTATAGTGTGCAGGGAACATTCCCTCTTGCGTTCAATCCATAATTCATCTGAGACATAAAAAGAACGGAATGGAATGCGCGCGCAAATAAAAAAGAACTAAGAAAAAAAAAATGGAATGAAAAACGTCTTTTTAGCTTGTTTGCTACTACTGTCTAGCATGCTTTCTGATCATTATTATGTGTGTGTATATGTTTCTCGCTTTCCTTCTTATCGTTCGTCTTGTATAAACAGGAAAACGCGCTGGAGAAAGATCGTTCGCTCAAGTGCGATGTCAATATGTACTTAGATGAACTTACTGAATGATAAGCGATTGAATAGGCTCGAAGAGTTCAGGACCGAACACATCTACAATTAGATAATTGAGAAGTTTTTTTTTCCCTAGAATGGATAATAACAACATCAAGTAAATCAGTGTATTTAATCAATAAAATTAGCCGAAAAAGAACCGTAGTGCTTTGATGTTCTCTTGCCGCGGACTTGTTTTCTGCTGCCCTTGTCAGATTCAATCAAGTGAATCAAATGTTATTCGATGGGTTAATGTATGTTCTGGCGAAATCAAGCTGCTTTGTCAGTTGATTTTTTTCTCTGAAAATGAAAAGTCAACTATCAATGTGAAATTCAATCAAGAAATGCAAGTTAACGGGTTTGGGAAGTCATACTTGACAATTTATGTCTGTGCAACCATAGAAATTTGAAATACATGAGGATTAATCTCCAGAGAGTCGAAGTCGAAGATCGCAAAAGATTAGTTTTTTTTTTACATATTGTCTCATAATGAAAAAGTTCATTTCCAGTCAATTAAATCGCTTTGATTGAATGCAAAAAAAACCAGCTGATTTGCTTCTTCTTGTTATGAATCTATTGAGAAAATACTCAGGAAATGTGTCACCGTTTCTTGAAGACGGAAGAAGAAAAAAGAAAAAGAAATCATTCGTCCGAACGGAAATAAATTTTCCTAGTCTAATGAACACATTCAACTGACTTTGTTTTTCTTCGCTGCTGTTGAAAAATCATCGACATAATCTCAGGCAAATGCTCGTTGACAAGACAATTAATCTGCAATAAGTCCATCTCAATTGAGATTACTACGCATTCTTTCCTCAAGACAAGTACAGCAAATCTACATCGATAACTTATGATAGTCTTCCAAGTACTACTATAAGTCGAGTTTAGCGAAAGACTAACATGAGGATGGTCGATGACACATCGAGTGTATTTTGTGCAAATTAAATATGATGATTGAGAAATGAAATCGCATGTGATGAAAGATGATTTTCTTTTGCGAAGGAAAATAATGAAATGTGATCTTTTCAACGGAGACATTGAATAAAACATTTTGAGAAAATCTTCCGCGGCAAGTATTCTCCTAAGATTACAAGAAGAAATCCTTCCATTTCCGACATTTTCAATCGTAAATCACGATTAGAAAACAACTAATATCGCCTTAGTTTTTCTCTCTCCGTTCACATTGTAACAATCTAATCTTCACACACACGAGAGAGAACAAGTTTGCTTAGTTTTACTTCCTAACCGACATCTAATTATTTTCCAATCCGATCGAGACATGCATCTGAGAAATGTTCCTCGTGTTTCTGATTTTCATTAATGATTATTTGATTATATAATCAAAAGAAAATGTTCCACGTGCAAGACTAAACCGAAGAGAAAGATTCTTTTCTTCTACTTTGATTCAATTTATTATTGAAGCCAATATTTACTTTGACAAATAAAGACTTCTCTATTAATACTCAAATAGTGACTCAATATTTTCAAGGACGACTCGTTTCATTACTTACTGATATTAGTTCATGCTGAAATAACCATCCACATCAATTATAATTTCCTTTACCGCAAACGCAACTCGATACATCGATTCCGTCTAGCAAAAAAAGCAACGTATCGACACAAGTTCTTCCTATTACCTCAATTTAATCAAAGAAATGATTTTCAAAGATTATATCGGATATTTATAGAACTCGAGAATGCTCGGTTGAATTCTTGTGGCTGATTAGACGATGTAGTATATATTGCTTAGTGGATTGAGATATATTATGCAGAATTTATTTCTATCACCACTTCAACTTATTGCATTTTGTGTCGAACAATATCGAGTGGTCGATTAGCATATTTTTTACATTAGGAAAATGATGAACATATGTTTGACAAGTCAATCGGATTTAATTGATCGTTGAAATCTTTTAAATGTGCTTCGGATTGCATAATCGAACTTTCGTAAGATGTCAACAAGGAAAGATACGGCTAATTACCGAGTTTGCAGTTCTAATCGGTGGCATATGCATTGTATTGAACACTAGCGCCATCTATACGAGGGAAGCCCATGCATGGATTTTTGTTTAGTTTTAAAATTTTCTATATTTAGTTTACGGAATAAAGAAGGAGGATACCGATTTGTGAAAGAATAATTGGTTTAAATAGAATCGCGTCATTTTGAAGACATCGTTTCGCATTAGATGGCCGAGTGAACAAAAGTATTGAAAAATGATTGGCTGAAAGTTTTGTTTCTATAATTTCGAAGACATCTACTCATGTCAGTGAGGACGAGCCATTCTCTATTGTAGATTGGACATCATTATATATTTTTATTGTCTTTTCTTTTGTTATTTCCACAATGCCGACGAAACTTTATATTGGAAATGTTTCTCCATCCGTTAGTTCAACTGAATTGAAAGAACTATTTGAAAAGTATGGGAAAGTTCTCGAATGCGACATTGTCAAAGACTATGCATTTGTTGTAAGTTCTTTCTTGATGAGTTGAATGTGTCAGAAATGGAATTTGAATTCTTATTTTTCTAGCATATGGAAGACGCCAGTAAAGCGAAAGCATCTATAGCAGCTTTAAACGATTTTAATTTGAAAGGCAGTCGTATTAGAGTCGAGGTATGTTATGATTCAATGAACAGTTTTCTGTATAGTTTAATTAAAATTTTCAAACTAGATATCAACGACACAACTTCGAAATGCTGGTCGTTCATCGTAAGATCTAACGAAGAGTTTGCTAGAGATGTCAGAGTGTTAACGTTCGTTTTCCTTTTCTTCGAATAAATTTTAGCCGTCGAGCAGAATCTCCGCGATATGAATCGGGATCAATGCGATCATCACGGTTAGTTTTATTTTGTTAAGACAGAACTCAATAAAGCATTCCATATTGGATTTTTTAGCAACCGTGATTATCCGTCGATGTCATCTAGTCGAAATGGTGGTTATTCAAGTGGCGGTGGTCCCGACCGATCGTACCCGAGTATGCGTAACAGTTACATGGATGCCCGATCTCGTCCGTATGATTCACCTTATGATCGTCAACGTATGCCTCCACCGCCTATAAACTATCCTGATTTGTACAGTCGCTCTGGTGATCCGTACAGTATGCGTAGTAGTGGTGGAGATCCGTATGGTCGCGAAGGTTACTATCATCAACGAGCTCCGCCAATACCTATGCCTGATCATTATGGACGTGGACCTCCAATGCGGTATGTCGCTATCCGTGCATATTGAAAGAAAAACACAGAAAAAGTTCTATGTCGAAAATTCGTCGGCCTTTTGTTTACATCTTCCTCTCCCTCTCCTCCTATCTTTGTGAAATATCTGTCCGTTCGTTCAAACATACCCATTGGTCGTAATCCGTTTCAGGTCTGCTTATGATGCCTACGCTGGATATCCACCTGGACCGAGTTCAATGGGGCCGCCACGAAGGTGAGTAACAAAACTAGAAAGAAAAGCTAAATCAATCGGTTCATTCATGACTATTTGGAAAACTTCGTCGTCCTACTGAATCTTTCACGAGAGTTGCATTTATTAATACACATATAACCGAGAGGGAGAGAGTATTATATATGCACATGAAACCTGAATTCTTTCGTCCTTCGTATATCTAATACTCTTGCATTAGTCGCTATGCTGCTTCGCCACCACCATCGTCATCGTCGCGTAATGGATCTGGTCGTTATGGATCACCGTCACGATCTTCATCGTCTCGTCGTCCTTCAAAAAGATCGCCGCCGCCGTCGTCAAGTTCATCCCGATCGCGTCGATAATCAATTCGCATCTGATAAAAGACAAGTTTTATTTTGATTTCTCTCCTCTGACAATGATGTATTCTTTTCAAAGTCAGACGGAGCAAATACTACGAACATATGTCATCTAATTAGTCATACTGAAATGATATTGTACAAAAATCATTGACTTTTCTTGGAATTGTATGCATGACCAATAAAAAACTTATACCTTTTTGTGTTCTTTGTTGACTTTTTTTTGTATATGTGTGTGCATATGTATGTTTGTCTATGTATGAGTGATAAACGAAACGCAGTTTGTATGACATTCAATGAACAGAAGTCATCAAAAATGAAATATAATTAAATGAAATATATCAGTCAAAGATGAATGAACAAAATCGATTATTTTGCTAAACGTTCACACAAACGAAACAATCTTTCTATTGTAAGATGACTACTGCCATTTCAACAATTTCATTCGAGCTCAGCTAAGTCATTTGGACATTCTCTTCCTATTCAATTGTAATTTCGAGCATCTTTACATCTACATTCGTTGTCCATTACATTGGAAAGAAGTCATGTCTATGGCATTATCATTGTTTTGCATCTATTCGGTGCGCCGAGGTCTTTTACTTTTAAATATTAACGACATAAAAATCAATAATTCCATTAGTCGTATATATTTTTTATTCATATACTTCTCTTATTTCATTTTCTGTGCAGAATCTTTTCTTCTTTCATGTCTAGTCGAGCTTCTTTCATTACTTCATATCATCTATCCTCATTCGTCGTTGTTTCCTTCTCCTAATAGATTTTTCATCGTTGCTTTTCTCATTTTCTACCATGAACACATTCATTCTTGGGACAGAATCGACAAAAAAAAACTAATGCTTCTTTCCGCTCGTCTATATCGAAAGCACTTGAATAACTCGTAGAAACAAAGAGCAAAATATGACGAGAAAAAAGAAAGAAGAAAAGAGAAAAGATTCCTATTTTTCTCTTCTAGACTAACTTTCTTGTTTTTTCATCTCAGTCGTTACACCGTTGGGAAAAACATCACACATAATAAGAAAACAAAAATGATCATGTGGTATGGTATCTCAACATTAACAACGGCTGTATTAATTCTTATGATGAGTTCAAGTAGTGAAGGAACAGATTGGATTGACTATGGAGAACCAGCGCCGAATGTTGCCATGGCATTTGATGATGATTCGGATCAATATTTAAGCGCATTGACACGTGATGAAGAACAAGAAATACATAGCCCATTAATAACAGGGTACAAATATGTGTCAGGTAAATTTTACATTGAAGTGACAGACCGAAGTTTATTTTATACGTTTTATTTGAAATCAGGTGGAGCAGGTGAGGGTCGACAACATCTAAGTCCTAGTGGGCAAATACCAAATCGTCCAGAAGTGAAAACTGACGAAGAATTACCAGCCTACTGTCATCCACCAAATCCATGCCCGTTAGGATTCGAAGGTAAATTGAGTTTCGATATCATTATTGTGTTGATAGATACAATTCCTTGCAGCTGATGATTGTGACGCTTCACCAATGACGAAGTTCACTGCTGAATACAGTCGATCATATCAAACTGAACAAAATTGCCAATGTGACAATGATCACGATGAGTGTTTTCTGAATAATATCATGGTAAATGAAAAAATCGATTCACCTATCGAAATATCTCATACTTTCCTTACTATAGTATACAGTTCCGCCTAACAGTGCATCAGGAGGTGTTTTGAAACGCGCTCGACGTGTTCGCCGAGTATGATGACAAACTTTTCTTCTCACAAAGCCCATTCAAAAATTTCTTTTCCAGGCTACAAACAATAAACAAGATGGAGAAAATGCTACTAAGTCTCATCCACAATGGAACTCGTACCACCGAGGGCAAACTCTACGATTTCATGTTGCTAAAAAATCCCCGACTACTCTGACGTCTTAAACGGTACACTAACAAAACATTGAACTAAGTGAACACAAGAAAATGAATTGATTTGCAGAAATTTAAAAAAAAAAGAGAAGATAAATATAAAATATTAATTCATTTTGTAAAAAAAAAAGCAAAATATATCTTCTTCGTAGAAATAAAATTCCAATGTACTACTCTGATTTTCTGTAATGCTCATCAAGCACACTACTGAAGCCAGACAATTCACTTGAAAAAATATTTTTGCTTTTCAATGTCACTTGATGAAAAGACACTGCGTGTTAAAGTTAAAAAAAGGAGTCGACAGCCGTAGAAATCTACTCAACATCATCTATGATAAAGACGGAATAATATTCTTTTCTTAGCTACTCGGTAATTCGATTATTAAATATACGTCAAACGATGCGTGTATGTCACAGTTGACATAAGACTAATTCAATTCAGTTCAAAATGTACGAACGTGTTTTTGAGTATGTAATATCATTCAGTTATGAACTCAAATAGTTCATAATATCCAGCTGCGACGTCATTTCTACAGAAAAGAGAACACAGGTACGTGACAAGTACCTCGAAGTCTATAAATAACTGTGGAGTACATTCATTTTACATATATAGAGTAAAATGAAGAAATTTGAAAACTTGAAAATACTCATTATAGCAATTAACAATGATAAGAATCCTTGTGTCAAGAATCTAGCACCCAAAGATGAACTTCATATTCTCTATATTTGTTCATAGCTGCAGTAGGTTTTAACACAATGAGAGAAAAAAAATCTTGATATTCACCTTCACTTTAAATAAATATATGCTTGTTTGGTTTTATTAAAGAATAAAGAAGAAATATATCATAGTTTCATATGTACAAAAGTGCAAGAAAGAACGAAATAAAGAAACCGTAAATACATTTAACAAAGAGAAAAAAAGCGACAAACACATTCGACGGGGGTTGCAGATGGTCAATTAGAGACTGTTGAAACAAGTCTACGATTCCCCGATCGATTATCTCACTGTTCTCTAGATTTTTAGTCTTTGCAAAGAAATCTAGACAGAATTAGTCTTTAGACATGCACAAAACCGGGTGTACAAAGAAATATATATATAGTTCTGCTCTTTTCCCAAATAAAATATATAACGGATGGTAATGGACCTGAGGTATAAATGTTATATGGGCAAATATAAAAAAACAACAGCACTTTTTAATCAGTCGGATCGCCTGTATCAGGAAATGGAATCATGCTTTCCATTGAATTATTAGTTGGTAACGTACGTGTAACCGTACTACTACATGAGGATGATGTCAACGAATCTATTGGATCGATAATACCATCTAAAGATAAACAGATAAGAGTTTCTATATATACGAAAGACAAACAAATCAGCGAACTACTTCGTAAAGAGATATCCACGGCAGCGTCAGCTAATTTTTCCATCAATTCAACTTCAAAATCAGATTTTAAACTATCTAATGAACTTCCATAAACACTCAAAGATGGTGCATCCTAAAAGGAGACATATCATTCATTCAAATCATTGAAATTTTCTTCTCCCAGTGCTTACTTGAAAGCTACCAGAACCAACTTCAATGAAAGCAGGAGCGACTTCTTTTTGTGAGTTTGGCACGTGAACTGGTGTCGATTTCGACCATTGAATTCTACAATAATATTTCAGTTACTTTTGGTTGAAAAGAATGGTGATTTAACGTACGGTAAACTTTTTAAATCAGCTTCAACAATATTCATCGATGTTTGTGGTGAATCAGCTGTACACACGTTAGAATTCGGAAGACAAACACTAACGGTCGCTTCCGAATAATGCTTAAAATGAAATTGAGGTCCCATCCATAGACGACGATGTGGAGCAACATGTGTATTCATTTCCACCTACATAAGTAAATCATTTCGAATGTATTATATAGCTAAAATGCGAATGCTACTTGTCGAAGCCAATCATCTTTCGAATGCACTTTATTCGCTGATGTTGGTCGATGTCCTTGTGATAGAAATGAATCAGCAACTGACATTCGAACTTCCGGCCATGTAAGTAGTCTAAATCAACATAATTACTCTGCACATTGATTCATAATCATCCATTCCACTATTACCTTTGAAGTGCCCATTGTGCTTTTGGAGAAGCTTTCACTGCAAGTGGAGTTTCTGATGTAATACGTGTACCATGTTTACTTGTATCTAATCAGAACAGATATATTCAGTAAGAAAACATTGCGTATGAACGTGATATACCTGGCACAGGTTCAAGAACGTATTCGATCAATCGGCCATACCAACTAATGATATACAATGAACTACAGGCACGTGGAACATGCTCTTGTTGATTGATCATATCTTCTGGATTGAGAAAACCACGTGAAATGCCAAATATTGTTGCTATACACAACGAATCGGTATTGAATGGTGCGCTAAGACCCGTGACGAAATTGTCTGTCGGTTGTCGAATAATTGCAACAGCTGTTGAAAAAATGACTTCATCATGCGTTCGTTTTGCACGTGTTGTTGGTGAGTAATGATTACCATGGCCATTGACTGCATTGAACGATAGATTTGTGGAAGGATTCAAGGAAATGTCTTTCGAACCATTATCAGTTCCATTGGTATTCGTGTGACGTGATGATTGGTCTTCTAAACCAGCAGTACGATGATACCGACTAGCTTTATTCACAACATGGTTTTTTGTATGACTTCGAATGTTCACAGCACCTGTAAATAAATCAAATGCTTTCTAGTTTTCAGATATTCCAGGCAAATTTACCTCCGTATGGATTGATTGCAAACAAATGTGTTGTTCCTCGTTTTGTTGACACAGCAAGCCATCGACTATCAGTTGTAAATGTAATATGTGACACTAAAATAAAAGATAAACGTGATGAAATTCCATTTCGATTTTGTTTTACCTCGACAATCAGTATCACCACGAAATAAAGTATATAAATGTCTGATGTATGTTCTTGTACATCGATAGGGGGATGCTTGAATTTCTAAGACATTAAAATAATGTCCACTCGTATCACAGGTGACAAGTAAATGACCACTTGGATTGAATTGTAAATATCCAATTGGTTCTGTATGAGCTTGAAAATGAGCAATAATCCAATTTTGTTTTTCATCATGAACAGATGACTGAAATGAACAACAAACATCGAATAAACTTTCAATCAAATCTTATCTTCTTACTCCAAACAATTTAACTGTATCAATAATAGTCACAATTCCTCCTTGTGGTTCTTCTTTACCCGAGCCATGTCGATGATGAGAAGAATTCGTTCCATTACCATTCGTGCCATTGTGCATTGCTGCTAACAGTTGTTGTTTGGGTGGTGACGATTTTTCATTCAAATTCGAATTGGTTCCTTGTTGTCCACTATAACCAAGTACACTCTCTCCGATCTTCACGACGCTTTTCGATAAAGATTTGGCTGCATTCAACATCACACCTGTATACGACGCATGCTGTTCACTTATGTTTCCATTGATTCCACCTGACGATTGATGAACTAAGTTCAAACGATAATCGACAAATGCTAACCATCGTGTTGCTAATGATAATGGTATAGATGAATAAAGATTGGCAAGAAAGAACTTTTCATCGAATTTAATCAGATCATATCCAATAATGAATGTGTGCGTGGCACAAATAAGAACATAATTATTGGATTCAACCAAGACTGGTTCATTTTGCAGTGTATTACCAGGTAAAGTAAGAATTTTAATCATTTGCTGATCAGTTTTCAACGATCGAATTTGAATGGAAGGCGGTCCGGCTGATTTAGCAAATGCAATCAATGGTCGAAGTGATTCATAAGGATCATCTTGAGTAGATTTTTGATGTAACAAACATGCCGAGCAAATGTTATGTTCCCGAATCGAAAACAGTTCATTTGCTATACCATTACTTTCAATTGTCCAGAATGTCAAGCCACTTTTATAAGCAATTAAGAGAACCAATGTATCATTGCGTATTGATGAATGCCACTCATGTGCATTCGAAAGAAAACGGACCCATTCAATCGGTTCTAATTGCTCGCTGTTTATCGGTCGCGAAGAGATTGCATAAGCCTAAAGAAATTCAATATGCACATTTATCGGTTGAAATTATGTAGCAAGTCTTTACTTGTGGAACTTTCTCGACAACTTCATGCAATAGATCCACAACCGATTCGACTACACTCTTCTCGCTAAAGAAATCGATCTGAGATAAACGAAATTCATTGAACTTCTTTTACTTGACAGCTTCAGGTCGGACTTTGCGTAGTTCAATGGATGATACATAGGACATTCAAGCAGTTAGTATTTTCCAAACAGAAAAAAGCTTTTGATTTGTATCAATTCTAAAAAGAAATTGCATATGACAAGAATGATTTGCTTTCATATAAATATTATCTACACAAAACTTATCATACGACAATAGAAAATATTTATGAAGGCAATTCAAATCAGCTGACGTTTTCATCACGGAGAAAAATCTGTAGATGACTCATACTTATGCCGTAGTTAGTTGAAAAAGATAAAAAATCTAACAAAGAATAGCAAACAAAGACCTGAAACGCTCGTTTAATTGGTTCTTGAAAGTAAATCGATGGACACAGATGTCGCTGTTTATGTTTCAGATTGCCAAAATGTATTAATGATTTATTTAGAAAGAAAAAGTTCTAATTACTACTAAAATATTTGTTTCATGCTTTCTATCTATCAACAAACACTGCATTCCGTTAAGGAAAGAAAAGAAAGATTTAGGATGTAATCGTTTGCGTTTGATAATTTGCACCAATTTTTGTTAACATGAACAGGAAAATTGAGAATGAGATCACTTGTGACACTACGTATAGAATCGAAGCAGTATCGAATGAATTTTCTGATGAAGATGAAGATAAAAGAGTCTGAGTGACATTCTCTTTTAATAGTAATGATTGTTCTTCATCGATTCGTTGAATATAATCAACAAGACGACCATATCGAACTAGTAATGTTCGTAAACGAGATTTTTCCAATGTATGACGAACAAGGACGAGAAGATGAGCACTAACCCAAGCATCAATAAGTGAAAATCTAATTCACAAAACAAATTACTGATTCACAAAGACTTTCTTTTTATTCCTTACTTTTCTCCACCGATGTATGGCTGATTATGTTTCTCTAATTCATTGTTAAGTATTGCTAAACATCGATCAGCATCTGTATATATCTATAGAAAATAATTCAGTCGAGAAAAAACAACTGATTGATTTTCTCACTCGATTCTCTTCTTCGTGAGAATACGAACATCGACTGCGAATTAGATTAAACCATACGCGGGCTGACGAGAACTTTTGACGTATGTAAAATAAACTACTGGGTAAACCAATTGTATAGTGATATAAAGTATGGACGGATGGTTTGTTCGTTTCGTCAATCCATTGCGAGTGCATCTATTACAAACAAGAAAAAACCCAACTCAGTTTTATACACGATATACCTATAAGAACATACAAATGCTGGAAGAAATAATCGCTTGAAAGCTGCTAATAGAGCAAGTTCATCAGCCGATGGCTAAACCACACAAACATGTATTCACTGGGGTTTCATAACTCAATATAAAATATTTACATCTGATTGACGACTGTATTGATATATAGCATCAAATCCAACATAGTGCTTCTTATTAATAACATCATGTAATGTCGGATAAGTTCCTATTGAATACTCCAGATGAGAAATCGTATTCAAAATAGAAAACGAGATAGATTACCGATGATCAATGATAATTGTCGATTGGCATTGACAATTGAATACGAATATCCTTGTGTTCGAAGCCATAGCTATACACTCAAATAAATAAATACTCGAATACGATAAACACTTGTCATACGGAAGCTGCTAAACAAGTCGGATCAATTGTCAATAGATTCTTGCAGTTAGGCCAAACAGAAAGCACTAAATTTCCTCGTACTTGACTCTAAAAGCGAAAGATTCAATGAATTTTCCCTTGAAAATTCACTTTTCTTGATATTTACATTCGAACTAGTTGATTCCATGTTGACTACTAATCAAAAGAATTGATTGACGAGTAAACAGTTGAAGAAGAAGACATCTATCTTCATTGCAATTGATCGATTGTATGCGTCAATCAAATTGCTGGTAGACACGATGACATTAAGATGGAATTTAAACGGATCGATCGAACAAAAAGAAAAGATAAGCCCTTTCGATAATGTCAGGAACATTGAAAAATTTTCGATCGATTTGCAAAAAAATTATTTGTATCGGACGAAATTATAGGTAGAAGAAATACTTTAAAACGAAAAATATTTGAACTCTATTTAACTTTTTCAGTGAACATGCCAGTGAATTGGGCAATGTAATATGATAAACCACTTTGATTTTCGTTTTTTTTTTCTAAGAAAACTTCGTTTATTAAGACTGTACCAACTAAACCAATGATTTTCATGAAACCTCCAAGTGCTTTCGTGGCGCCACCGAATGAAATTCAAGTATGAAACACGATAGACAAGCAGATCTTCAATACGCACGAGTTTTTCTGTTCGATTAGATTCCACCGGAATGGGACGAACTTCATCATGAAGTTGAATTAGGTGTAATCATTGATCAACAATGTCGAAATGTATCGAAAGAACAGGCGGAAAAGAATATTGGTGGTTATTGTCTTGCACTCGATATGACCGAGAGAAAAATTCAAGATCAATTAAAAAAACAAGGGTATCCGTGGTTATTAGCCAAAGGTTTCGATACATCATGTCCATGCGGAGATTTTATCGATAAAAGCCAAATCAGTCTCTCATCATCCGTAAATATTTGGCTAAGTGTGAATGGAAAAATGAGACAAAATGGTCATACACGGGACATGATTTTCTCTGTTCCTGATCTTATCGCTTATATTTCCAAGTATATCACCTTAGAGCATGGAGATTTGATTCTGACTGGTACACCAGCTGGTGTGGGTGCGGTAAAACGTGGAGATCAAATTGAAGCCGGATTGAATGGTGATAATAACTTGAAATACGCAATGAAAATCAACGTTGCCTCAAAATAAATAACACGAACAGTCCCTATGATTGATCCTTTTCTTCCGTTATAATTTAAACGCACACATAGTTTTGTTAGTTTAAAGATTATGAACACAAATATAATTCGATGATGATTTTGTATTTATTTTAGATCGATTAAATAGTCATGACGCACATTGCTAAGGAAAAACTCGCTACATTGCTGATGGAGTACCCAAAACCTGCTGGAATTGTGATGGGTTATGGAACAGCAGGCTTTCGCGCTCGAGCTGATACACTTCCATGGATTATGATTCGAATTGGAATTCTTGCTGCATTTCGATCCAAAGTTAAACGAGGTTATCTTTCGTAACTTCATTGATCTATGAACAAGGATTTTATGTTTAACAGCTTGTGTTGGCGCAATGATCACTGCCTCACATAATCCTGAATACGACAATGGTGTTAAATTGATCGACCCGTATGGTGAAATGTTAGAGCAAGCGTGGGAAGTTTACGCTAATAATCTGTCTGTTCTCGAGTAATTGACATTGTGCATATGAAAATTCAAATGATTATCAGGGACTTTTGTTTCATGTAGCGATGATATCCATATTCTTTCGGATTATCTCGAAAACTTGATGAACCAACTGAATATCCAAGCCAATGATGAAGGAATCGTTGCTATTGCTTATGATACTCGGTTTGTTGCGAAGTTCAATTCATTTTTTATAAGTTGATAGATCAAATCTTCCTTTAGACAGAGTAGTCCACTATTGGCAAGTATTGTTAAGCGAGCTGCCCAAGCGTTTTATACAACAATTATGGATTTCGGTAAGAAAAAAAGACTGAAAGTATAAGTAGACATTCTTTCGTTCGATTAGAATTGATGACAACACCACAACTTCACTATGCTGTTCGTTGTTACAATGACAATGGTACCTATGGGCATTATACCGAAGCTGGATATTTCGATAAATTATGCACAGCTTTTCAAAACTTGATTGAAGTGAGATTGTTGTGTATATTTTTCTTTTTGATGTTTTTAGCGTTTCAGATGACACCGAATATTCAACGATTCGAACCACTTGCTATCGATGCTGCGAATGGAATCGGTGCTATGAAATTAGCATACATGCGGCAAACATTAGCGAAATATATTCATATTGAGATTTTCAATGATGGAACACGTGGTCATTTGAATGAAAAAGTAGGCGAATGTGATTAGAAATCTGTCAAGGATGTTTTTTTTTCGCATTCAGTGTGGTGCGGATTATGTTAAACTCTATCAAAAAGCACCGGATGGTATTCCATTGACGAATTATTCGAAATATTGTTCGATCGATGGCGATGCTGATCGTTTGATCTACTTCTTTATTGATAAAAACAAGCAATTTCGCTTACTTGATGGTGATCGATTCTCTGTATTATTCGCCTCGTTTCTTGCAATGAAATTAAAAGAAGCTAAGTTGATTGATGATGTTAAAATTGGTGTTATCCAAACAGCATATGCCAATGGTCGTTCAACCGACTATCTCATCAATAAAATGGTAAAAAAAACTCTTTGTCAACATTTTGAAAATCGTCAAATCTTTCTTTAGCATGTCCCGGTGGCTTGTGTGCCCACAGGTGTCAAGCATTTACATCATAAAGCACTTGATTATGATATTGGGGTCTATTTTGAAGCGAATGGACATGGAACGGTATGAAACTGTAGAACGATGAACGAATTGTATGCGGATTTGTATAGGTCATATTCAGTGCTGAGTTGAAAAGTAAAATCAAAATGGTACTTGAAGATCCGAAGTAAGTTTCACTGATGCACGACGATTTATTTGACGGGAAATGATTTAGACGAACAGTGGAAGAACGATTAGCTGCAAATCAAATTCGTGCGTTCATTAACATAATTAACGAAACTGTTGGTGATGCAATAGCTGATTTATTAGCAACTGAAGTGATTCTTTCCATCCTACATCTAAATCTTGAAGGATGGTTAAATCTATACGATGATTTACCACAACGGCAATTGAAGGTGGCAGTTCGAGATCGAACAATGATACAAACAACGGATGCTGAACGACGTTGTATAACACCTCCGCACTTACAAGATTGTATTGATGAGCTTGTTTCGAAATATCCATCAGGCCGTGCATTTGTTCGGTAAGAGAAAGAAAAATCGATCATTTCATTTAAAGTTTATCTTTTCTTTGCAAAGACCATCCGGCACGGAAGATATCGTTCGTGTTTACGCTGAGGCTCTAACACAACAAGAAGCTGATGATTTGGCTGATAAAGTGCGCTTAGTAGTGGAACAGTTAACCAAATGATAAAACTGCATTTCGTCAATATAAGTATACAATCTATTTTTATTGTCTTATTTTATTCCAAGTTATTTTATGGATGTTGCCGGGTGATCTCAATCTGTTATCTCATGCATATTTTTATTGTTATTTTTATTCTAATACATTTATGTACTCAAAAATGAGAAGTTCTCGTTGAAATTAAGTCAACCGGGTAGAGTAACTTTTTACAAACAGAACAACATAAATGTGCTATGTAAATGATAACAAAGTATTAAAATATGTGATGAAATGATGACGGTGAAGATAAATTGAAGTATCGTTTACTTGTGAAAGAGAACAAAGTGTCAGATGTCTATCTTTTTCCTTCTTACATCGTCAGCTATCTAGTCTATAAATAAAACTAAACAAAAATACTCATGGGCTTAGACCAACGTCCCTCTTGTTTGCGTAATTTTCCTCATGAACTACTCTATGTTAGTACTCTGTCATGCGCGCAGTTGCTTACTCAAGCTGCACTAGGAAATGTTCTGGTTCCATTGCACATTGTTGGTCCGGATATCGGTATCACAAACACTGCTGAATTGCCGTGGACATTGGCGGCGTATTCGTTAACCGTTGGAGTTTTTATCATGGTTACGGGACGGTTAGGCGACATTTTCGGGCATAAATTGTTGGTCATAATTGGTTATGTGATGTTTTCGATCTTCAGTCTTTTAACTGCTATGGCTGCGTACGTAAATAATGGTATATATTTCCATATCATGAGAGCATTCCAAGGTATAGGGCCAACAATGCTTTTGCCCAACGCTGTAGCTTTACTTGCTCGAGCTTACCCAGTTGGTTTGAGAAAATCGATTGTTTTCTCAATTTTTGGGGCCACAGCTCCAGCTGGATTTATTTTGGGTGCCGCATTCGGAAGTTTATTTGCTCAATTGGTGTGGTGGCCTTGGGCACATTGGGTGTTGGCGATCTTCTGTTACATCTTAGCTATTTCAACTTATATTGTAGTACCTAGTGAATTATCAAAACCGGTGCATCCTACAGGTAAAACTGATATAGTTGGTGCAATTGTGGGAATCTTAGGTTTAATTCTATTCATTTACTGTTGGAATGAAGGACCTGTTGTTGGTTGGGATAAACCATATGTGTATGGGGTACTGATTGCCAGTTTAGTCATTATCGGTATTTTTATTTTTATTGAAAGAAAAACCGACGAACCGATTATGCCACTTTCGATTTGGTCTGTCGCCGGCTTTCCCGGTGTACTTGCTTGTATGGCGCTAGGTTGGTCAAGTTTTGGCATATTTATTTATTATATTGTTCAATTTCTTGAAAACATTCATCATGCATCACCATTATTAACAACAGCCATGTTAAGCCCTTTGGTTATTTTTGGTCTGGTGGCAACCATTATTGTTTCTCAATTATATGGTCGAGTACCTGCTCATTATCTTCTAATGGCATCGATGATTTTCTTCTGTGTCGGTAATATTCTTATTGCTACGGCACCACCTGATCAAACTTATTGGGCACAAGTGTGTGTAGCCACAGTGCTTACACCCTTTGGAATGGATATTAGTTTCCCTGCTGCATCATTAGTCATCAGTAATCGAATGCCTATTCATCAACAAGGTGTAGCAGCAAGTATGCTCAATACAGCAATCAATTGGTCAATCTCATTAGGTTTAGGCATTGCTGGAACAATTGAAAGTGAAATGCTCAAAAGAGGCAAAACTCCTCTCGAAGGTTATCGATACGCCTTATATGCGGGTATTGCCCTAAGCGGACTAGGCGTTCTCATAGCATTGCTATTCTGTCGCGTGCCTAAAACAACAGTTTCCGAGAACACATCTGACGTAACTCCGGATACAGCGATCAATACTGAGCGAACCGGCGATGACAGCTAAGAGGATGCTGTATTTTAATAGGATAGTGACATAAGTATCGTCTAGTTCATTCTACCCATGATTTGCATATACTTTTTCTGTCATTGACGATCACAGTCCATTCTTGTTTATTGAAATAAAAGAAACGAAAAAAAAATTTAACATTCATTATTTAAATACAATCTTGTTTCTTCTGCATTCTGCATTGATTGCGTAATTTTATGAACACGAAATTTCACCGGACAATCGGTTGACGAACATTGAAACCATCCATCGACTCGATCTGAACATGCCAGACATAATCGCTGCAAACCAGCGTGCTGTCGTTCTAATTTATTTGCTTTATTTTCACATATAATCATCGTTTCAGTTAAATCCTCTTCTTCACGACATTCACTACATATCGGTGTACTTGCTATTTGTGAACAAACGACACAACGTTTTCGAAGATTCGTTCGTTGAACGTTCCCATCGAACATTTCTCCTTGCTGTTTATCAGTAGAATTCATTTCAGCGCATAGATCATCGATCCATTTGAAGCAGTTCACACCAATCAGTGCTAAACAACGATCAAGTGCAGGTAGAATTTGTTTTTTGATATAATACATGGAATTCAGTTGAAATTCCGATTTGAACTCCAACACATTATCCAGAGTCCATATACAATCGATAAGATTTGCATTTGGATTATCATTATTCAAACCGATTAGATACGGAACGCGTTCACCTTGATTTGGTTCAGCTAATGGATTGTGTCTTGCTCGTTCCATCGCAATGCGTAAAGCCGGAACAGGAGCTGCTGGATGATATCGTGCTTTGCCGCGATATTCTTTTGCAAAGATAAAATCCAATAAATTCAAACGATGCGTCATGATTTTTTCACATTCGGATTGAACATAACGTCGAACACGTGTAACATCTTTACTTTGGAATAATAATTTCAAAGAATGTTGGAGAATTTTCGATACAATTGCACACGTATCACGACGAACTGTTTCAATGCCCTTGGCATCAAATTTACCTTGTTGTTGATCGACCGTTTCATAGGACATGCCGACATAACGCTTTTTCGATGCTAGAACACTTTGCATAAAGATTTTTTCAAATTTTATCTTAATTGGCGAAGGATATAGTTGATTCAGTGCCTTGACAAGTAAATGAGATTGCTCGAAAGCTTGTGCACGGGTCGAATGAGGAAATTGAATGAATAAAGAGTCCTAGAAACGAATGCATTTATAAGATAGTGCACAAAACTCAACATACAGTATCACCGTAAACTACGCGACCACCGAAATGTGGATTAGTCTTGATAAAGTCAATAGCACGTTCCAGAACTGTACGAGCAGTATGAACGATAGTATCACCAACCTACAGTAAAACATCCAGACGAGTATGATTCAAAGAGATAATAATAAATTGAACTTACCTCGACGCTTGGCATTCGTCCACTGAAACTAGCAGATGTGTATCCAAATGTTACATTGGCAATTAACTTTAAACACAATTGTCTAGCATCTAGCGTTCGATAAAGTGTTGATTTCTTATCGATTAATTTCATGGTGTTTTTAACCATGACACGTGTGGCTAGAATTTCTTCTAACATAAGAGGTAAAATTCCTTGTCGGACATGTTTTTGTACGAATGCGATGCCATTCGGTGAGCAGAAGATATCCGTATCAAGGTTCAGATTGGCTAATGTTTTATTTGGGACTGCTAAGGACGTACAACCGAATTTGAACGGCCCTTGCCGATCAAGTTGGTCAATACGTCCAAGACATGTCGAATAACAAATATTGTAAGCCATGATGATTGATGGATACAGTGATTGAAAATCCAGTACGGCGATAGGTGTGAAATAGATCGAAGAAATCGGTTCAAGAGTTAAAGGAATACATTCAGGTGCACGCATATGTAGTCGTTGCATGTTATCTGGGGTAACTGTGACATAATTGAGACATTTCGCTAATCGAATCATCATAGATTCAACGCGATATTGAGATCCACGAGAAAGAACCTGTATTTCAGAAGAGAATACATTTCATTCCACGATATTTTTCTAAAAGAACATCGACTTACATGATAGAATTCAATTCCATAAATTCTTGCGAATTCCGATGTTTTATTAATTAAATCCAGTTCCGCTATAAGTCGAAAATTCCCTGCCGAATGTGTCCAACCATAATCCAAAAATGTAACAAAATCTCTTAAACCAAACGATGGATTCATTCCTACAATCCGCGAAACATCGTCTATTTCCTCAATTTCCAAACACAACCCTACCCTCATTGATAAACCACTTCGAAAGAAGATTCAATTCGTAATGCGGCACACGTTCATGTAAAACATGGTACATCGCGTTTTCAAATGTGTAAATATTCAACGTAATTTCACTTCTTAAAATTTTCCATAGATCGAGTAAAACTCTTCCAACAATCATCGGTACGTCTAATCCATCTGCACTCATATGACTTCGACTTCGCGTGATATTCTCGTGTTGTTCTGGTATACGACTGAATTTAACTAATAAATCTAAATTGTACTTTAATTTGGCTCGTTTGATTAAATAATATAAGGATAACTTCATGTCATAACAGACGAAGAGATCCGGATCGATTTGTTCGACTATTTGAGAAAATTGTTCGATTAGTTCTAATTCGGTTTTAACGAAGTCAATGGATTTGTTTTCTAATGAATGGAATGATTTTTGTAGAAGTTCAGGTTTGATTGGACGTAAATGTTGTGTGGAAATCAGAACAGCTGATTGAGTTTTCCATCCATCTAACGTCTCAGTTGCAACGGTATAAAATATAGAACAGATTTCATCCTTCTCAAGTGCAAATGCATATGTTTCATTTGTGTGACAGAAGATTTCGAATGAGAGGACAGTTAAATGTTGGCATTCATGGAGTAGTTCACTTTTGTTCAGGTGATTTGTAGGAAAATCTAGATTACTGTTTGAAAAGGAGCTACTAGTAGCGGAGATTAAACGAGACTTGGTTTCGGCACCAATTTTGCTTAGAAATGCAATCGTTTTCGTTGATTCTTTTCGAAACAGAGTTCGCCGTGATTTCAGCGTTTTTGGTGCTCTAAGAGAATGCAATAGAAAATACTGAAAACAACTGTTCAGGATTACTTTGTATTCGATATTTTATAACAATCAGGTCGCGGTGGTGGTTGTAATGGTCCGTACCATTGACCACTGATTAGAATAAGAAAGAAAAATCATTCCTAATGTGTCAAATCAAGTTTACCCTCTGTCTAAGCTAAGATCTATTTTCACTTCTTCGTTTCGTTGAACGTCCGTACGTTGATGATGCTTGGAAACAAATTCTGGAATGTTAGAAAACTAAAAAGAAGCTACGGAATGGGTGACGAAATATGAAGTCGACATACTAGTTTAACAAATGGTGTTTCATCTTCGATATCTTCGCAAATAATTTGTGAAGATATTTTCTGATTGAGAACATTCGTTGTTCGTTTGCGTAAAGGTGGTTTATTTATTGTTTCTAACCAACAGTATTCCGCTGAAGATAATTCATTTGTATTAGTTACTTTTCCAAAGAAATCTGCCAGAAATTTCTTGGTTTCTTCTCGTTGAAATTCACTTGTTTGAGAAAATGTTTCCGCATTTGTCTCTGTCCATGTTGGGGATGGTACAATCAATGAATCACATTCACTTTCTAATGGATATTTTTCGATGCAAGATCAATTAATATATGTTTTCAACATACCGGTGATAACCATTGAATTATTGATTGTTGTTGTTTGTCTAAATGGAAAAGAGATTACGTGATTGAAGATATACATGACTGAAAGACTTACAAATCATCATCTAGTAATTCTTCATCGTCATCCGGTTGTTTGATATCAGCTGAAATGAGAAAGAGAGTGAATAACTATGCCAAGAAATACAGAAAAGTCACACCTGCGAGAATACTATCATTTTCGATGCCTTGAGAATCGCTAATTTCATCATTAACCATCATTTGAACCAGAATTTCATCATCGACTTGTTGACCTACACAATAAAAACCAGATTTGCCTCAACGTAACAAAGTGTTAGTCAAATGTACTCATAGAGTTGACGCGTTCAATTTGTGCTAAGTCGATTGTTGTATCATTATCAGTAACAAGTGAGCCAGACTGGGGTGTTTCATCACCAGGGGGAGGACTATGAGAAGATTGGAATTTTGTATAATAACTCGACTTTGTTTCTGTTATGTTTACCGTTTTGCAACGTTTGTTTTGAGCTTCTCTTGGTGACGGATCTCTGCCGCAAATGGATTTGTTCGAGGACGTTCTATGAAATTTATACAATCGTAAAATAATCAAGTTTTTTTTCATCGAAATCTCATTACCTGGAGATGTGGGTGGAGTCAAACGAGCGGTTATATTCAGTTTTGCTCGTCTGCTCCGTTCACCCTCCCAGAGAGCTTGTAAACCAGGATTGGCAATACCTTTTCCTACGAATCAAAAGCTATGCGAACAATCAGACTATTTCATTAACAACTAACCTATTTGAGGTGGTTCATTACAAATATCATTGATATGTACATCGTATTCAAGCTCACAAGATGATATTCGCTGTATCGATGATGAACTACAACATGAAAATAGACGAATTTTCGCGATTCAAAATTTTTACTTTGTTGTTTGATTGTTTGCTGTAGTGAGATTAGCTAAATTATCATCAAGGTCAAATTCGATCAATCAATTTCTATCAAACAAGTGTTTACTAGTGGTTGGAGAGGAACTCCGTAAATGGGCATTATTAAATAAAATGAAATTCATTCCATACAGATTATAATCAATGAAAAACTAGACAAACTCAAAGTTGGAGAAATTCCCGTCGAATAAAACAAAACTGACTTGAAGGTTAAACGGCACATGGGCTTCATGAGGTTGAAATTCTTGATTCATGACGGCTCCAGCCAAGAGAAGATCAGCAGCTCTAAAAGAGCAAACTCAACCACTCATATGGATATCCGATATTCGCCTTCCTACTTTCGAATGATCGCTGGATTATAAAATTCAATTTTCCAAAATTTAATCATCTTCTCATGATAACCATAGATTGGTCTAAACAAATGCAAACCTTTTCCTCACATGTTCAACTGCAAATGTCGACTATCTCTACAGTAATTCAACGAGTTTTATATCATAAACATGTTTGGTTTCAGTGTCTCCTTTTTCTAACGATAGATTAATCGCCATGTCTAAACTTTGTGCCAATTGTTCACCATAGCGCAGTTCATCTGTAGGCGATTTGACGAGTAGATATGGAAAAACTCCGTGCAAGTGAAGGCAAACTTTCTTTCCTGAAACAGTTAAACTTGCATTTTTCAACGAGAATGTTCACATGTTTCGAAATCATATCGAATACCCTCAAGATTCGGTCCGAATATTCGAATAATTGGAACTTGTTTTATCGGATGTCGAAGTTTCGAATAGACCGGATCGAATTGTGAACTAACTGTTGTGATATAAGTATCTGTGAGTACAATACGTGCTGATATCATCATGTAATCGATCTATTCGAAACAAAGATATAAAAGACACGATGTAACGGTGTGATCTTCGTTCGAGTGATGATCTTTCTTCTTCTTGTGTCTAGGTTTATTCATGTACATCATCCACGTAAAAAAACAGACAAAATTTCATAAAAAAACAACGTAAACGAGATTGAATCTTGAGGTAACAGTATTTTTTCTGGAGGCTTTTTGTTGTTTTCCATTTGGATGACGACTTGATGGTTTATTTGGATCGTTCACGCATACCTAGGAAAAGATAAGATGTGATGAGAAGATTTGGTCAATACATGTTTGAACTTACGTCTACGTTTACGTTTCAAACGTCGCATACGCTTCTTACGCCACTTAGCTCGCATCGTTAATCAATATCAGATACGAGATCAAATGTAAAGTGAAAAGAAAAACAAGTTACCGAGCGAGCGTCGTTTGCACGCTGATAGGTGAACGATTCTCATTGGTCGAACTGTTTGATCGTTTCACCTCCATCAGATTTCGTACGCACTAATGCACTTCGGAAAAAGAAAACTTTTTTTTTCGGAAATTCTCGACAATTTCGAATAAAAACCATATTGAAATCATACAAAATACTCCAAAGTCGAATTGCTATTCGTTTCCGATTTCTTTGTTCGCGGCTGCCGATATCGTTCATTGAAATTATCGTCAGATTTCATTCTTTGTCTTAGGATGAATTTTTCATAAACATCAACGTTTACCTTCTAGATCGTTTCGTTTTCTGGTCTTTAAAGTCATATTTACTCAAATATGCGACCATCGATTAAACGTCAATCAATTATTATACCACGTCCGACCAAAGCCTCGTTAGCACGTCAATCGAAAATCCGCAATTCAATCCTTGTTTCAACAACGAATACATTGAAGCCGATCCAAAATGAGCAAATTAAGAGCGAAAATGATTTATCCACAATTGGTCTCAACAAACAACAAGCTCAAGCTCGACGATCCAGTGCAATAGCCAAAAATAATATTGTCTTCAAACGACGACGTTCGTTCCATAAACTAGCTGTGATCGTTTCAGGCTCTTCATTAGATAACTCAACTGGAGAAGGAGAAACTTTAAAACAAGTTGTAAGTTTCTTTCTCGATCTGAATCATTCTGTTTGATTTTTCTCTCTTGAAACAACAGATTGTTGCTTCATTAACTGAAAATGTCAAAAAAATGGACTTAGTCGAACAGCCGAAAGGCAAAACGTCGACTAACAATGACAATAAAGAAAATCGCGCATCGAAACGTCCGACAATATCCAGTGCAATACGGAAAAAAGTAATACCAATACCTGTTCAAATACTCGATAAATACGCTGCCGAAGAACTAACAATCGAAATTATCGAGCAAGCATTAACAAATGAAGAATTACAAACCGATGAAGATGATGAACCAATTGATCCCACATATGCGATGGATTATGTCGCTGATATTATGAATTTGCTATATACATTAGAAAAAAAATATCCGATTCAATCCACATTTTTAACAACTTCATCGTCAGCAACATCATTTCCATCAACAACGATGGCAACAATGGCTAATGGTAGTGCCACAAGATCATGGAAACTTACCACAAAACATCGAACCATTGTTGTCGGATGGATTATACAATTATTTTATGCTCGATTTCACTTATCACAAGATGCTATGCACATGTAAGAATTTGTGTTTGTTGAATATTTTTTATACTCTTCCTTTTCGGAATAGTTGCGTTGGTCTACTTGACCGTTTTCTTCAACAATGTATGAATTCTTCAACAGCTGGTACATCGTTTGTGACACAAAAGAATTTACAACTAATTGCCGTTGCTGCATTTCTCATTGCCGCAAAAGTTGAAGTACGTTGATTTTCTTCTCCAGACGAATCTGACAATGTTGTTTCTGTCAATTGCAGGAAACACATCATCCACCTGTTGATGAACTTGTCTATGTAACAGATCATACTTACACAAGTGAACAAGTCAAGCGAATGGAAAAGAAGATTCTTCATGAGTTACGATTTGAATTAAATCGACCGACAAGGTAAATCAACTGATTTCTTTCCGAAAACCATCCGCTCATCTTCATTTGCTTTCATTGTAGTCTTCAATTTCTTCGCCGTTATTCCTTCATCTCAAGTGCAGGTGACGAACAACATGCAATCGGAAAATTTCTCATTGACATGGCATTACTCGATGTCTCATGTATTGGTTTAGCTCCGTCGTTAGTTGCTGCCAGTGCCACATACATCGCACGTTGTCTTCTCCATCCAAGTCAACCAGCAACATTCGAACAATGTTGGCCAAGCGAATTACAACAACGTTCGCCCTACAAAACCTTTGAATCACTTTCGAATGGCATTAGAATTTTAGCACAATTTCTCGACAAAAATCTTACCGGAAATAATTGTAAAGAATGCGAAATTCTTATCAAACGTTATGAACATGAACAATTATCACAAGCAAGTTTGTATTGTGTACAACAACGAGCTCTTATTCGTCAATTAGCAAGTGAATGAAAACAACTGAAGATCAGATCAATATACATATGTATGTATCTTTAGATCCTTCTTTCTCTCTCGTATTTTTTTGTTATTGTTCTGTTTATTCTTCCTATTGTTCAAATGAGCACTGTGCTTTCGAAATGATAATACAGGTTTGTTATTTATAAAAATATTTTTCCTTCGCTCACGATCGCGCATCATCAATTGAGACCTCTTCGATTATCTGTTTTCTTTTCTTTCCTCGTATTGTTATTGTTATATTAGCTTGTTGATCTCGTCATAGATTCATCTTTTCTTACTTTTTGCAATTGTAAAAGATCATCTTAATTCTCTTTTTCTTCGTCTTCTCTAACGACTTGTATGTGTTCTCCCATCTTTTCTCTTCCCTGCGTCAAAATTCAATTCAAAGAAATAAAAAAGAATAAAATAATAACATCGAAGAAGATTCGCCATTGTTTGAAACGTATCTTCTTATAGACCAGTTCGAGTCTTATGAATTATCTTCGAAAATGATTATCTTTTACTGTTTATTATTCACGACATTTTCTCATTTGACCACGCAAGGTACCCATGAATTTCTCTTATCATTTTCTGTTCGATGGTGATTTCATCCTTTAGAATGGATTTCATCACTTAATCCAATAACATTCTCACGAAGAGCAGTCGAAACTCTACTGAAACATGGAGGCTATGCGATTATCAGTGCTGGAAGAAATCCTGCCATTATGACTGATTTGTATTTAACTGATAGTATGATTGAACAGCGGACGGCGAAGTTGATCGATGATATTCAAGATGCATATGTCTATTCATCGGTTATTGGCTCGTATGACGGAGGAATTGAACAAAGTTTTCTACTCATTCTACACAATGAGTCACCGAAAAGTGAATTACAGGAATTGATCCAATTAGGTGAAAAATATAATCAAGATTCAATCATTTATGTGAAAAAATCAACACCACCAGTTCAGAAAATGGTCTATACAACAGGTGACTATCGCGGTAGACATGTAAGAGGAACTGGTTATGAGAAATCGCAACCGAATATGACCGATAACTTCAGTCGGATTCAACTTTGTTCGAACGGCACATTCGAGTTCATGTTAAACTTCAATTTTAAATACATGTATCGTAATAAGATTCCATTCCGAACGGACCAGCTGGTCGATTATCATCGAAAAAATCAAGAAGCAAATAAACACAAATGTCAGAATTAATAGAAACCAAAATGCGAATGTTATTTTTATTAATTTATCGAATTTTTTTTCAAAAAGTTTTTGTAATAAAATTTATATATTAATTGGAAGCGATGTTACATCACAAGCTGAATACAATCGTCTCTTTTTCTCCCTCGTTGTCGATCAACACAATCATTTAGAATATTAAGATAAGCTTTTAGATCGTGCATGTTCCCATTCTTTTTCTGTCGGACTAAAGCTTAAATAAATCGAAGAGGATTGAAGACAAAGTCTGTTTATTTCCACTAAGAACATTACTTGTCGAACATATCTTCATTAGAAGTAAACCGAACAACTGTCGATCGATGACGAATCTTAATGAATTGATTAGCGCATGGCTTATTGTTCTAAGAACAGTTGAATAAGTTAGAGGTGAAGCCTTGCTCTTCATGGAAGAGATCAACATAATAATGCTATTTTCTAGTTACGGAAATTTCTCTGAATGAATGTGTGTGCGTATTTATGTTCAACTAATTAATGACAAAAACGTGCCCTTATGTAAACATAGACAAAAGAGAAAATGTGAATGTGTGTATCTAATCCGAATTTTATTGATTTGGTAAGCGAGCGAGAAAAAAAATCAAGAGTCAATCGTCATCAATTGAACAAATAGTTCATAATGATGAAGCACATACGACAGTGGCAGCGGATGTTGTTGCGCATTGATACGAGTAACGTTCTAATAGTGTTGCACGATCTTCGGTGCATACTTATCCGATAATTGAAATCACTGTAGCACTAAATGCTCATCGTGTTTAGCTTGTGCATCGCAATCGCTTTAGGGGACTGACTGGCTCGTAGGAATACTATCGCCATCAATTTCTCTCTTGTATTGATGGGTACGAAGTCCTATACAAGTAAACAATCAATCAATTCTATTGCACATCTTCATCTCGGTACATAAATAGATATTTTCCTCGAGATTGAAAAGATGTGTAGATGATAAACATTATTTCAAGAGAAGAAGAAGAAGAAGAAGGAGACGATTGAAGTAAATATATATGTATGTGTGTTTTTGTGTTTCTGAAGAATCGATTAGATATGCTTGAATTCAAGAGATCAGAGAAATCAGTTCTAACGAAAAAAGAAAGAGAAAAGATCATCTTCCATAACAATCTTCTCCTTCTTCTTTCACTTCTGTTTGCCGACAGAGATGATAAAATCGTTTTTGAATGTCTATTAGTTCGATAATGTGACATGTTTAGATCATTTACAATTCGAAACTGTGTGCTTGTCAGTTTAGTTTTCTTCTCATCAATGAGAGGGAAAGAGTTCGATGAAAAAAACGACCCGCTTGAGAAATCAACGTTGTATTACTTCACCTTCTTCTTATATTTCGGTAAGAGTTTCTTTACCAGAAAAAAAGAGAATACGATTGAATTGTGTACGGACACAGAAGTCGTTTGTTTCTTTTTTTTTCTTTTTCTGTTAAGCTCAATTCTCGTTTTATTTCTTGTCATCGTTTTTACCGATATGAGGCGGAATACACAAGTTATATTCAATAGCTACGTGAATTCACATTCAATCTCTCTCCAGAGATTCGATCTAGATGACATCTAGAGCTAAACAATATTCTTGTTTGTTGTAGTTCAGAAAAGCGTAACCGATCTGTGTGAGTAATAATATGAGTTGGCAGATGTATGACGCAATTGCAAGACACAGAAAATGAAGTTGAAGAAGAAAGAAAAGAAAAGCCGCAAATGCAAGGTAGTCAAATTAAAAATACTAAAGTGTAGATTAATTTTTCAGTTCTGTTTTATTCACTGAAACGTTGTTTCGAGTTTTCTTTTTCTCTCGTCCTTCCGTTTACCATTTCTATATGTTAAGTATATTCATCAATGTATGCAGTGACGTTCAAAGTATACTACTTGAATTAGTTGACTAGTTTATTTTTCTGTCTCTTTTTTCCTTTTCCGTTTTCTCCTCCTTCGCCTTAAGTGTGTTCTACTCAAACACCGATCAGATAGGTCAGTGTTTTTCTCTATGCATCGCATACCGTGATACATTGTCATCATTGTCTCATTACGTCAAGGCTCCGGAAATAACTATGTATGCCAAGTACATAATGAATTTTCTCTTCCACATCGAGCAAACAAATCAGTATGTTTAATCAAAACTAGGTTGATGATTAGGTTATTAGCAGGAGGTCTCACATGCGCGCCTACATACATCATACTCATTACAGGCAACATTCCACGTTTTCCTTATTAATACTGGCTGGAGTCTCTACGAACAACTGTGAGTAATTCCAAGGATTTAGATCTTAGCATTCTGGAAATGACCATCGATTGTCATTGTCACAGCAGTTTTCCTTTCTGTCATGTGTGAGAAAATGAACGGGAGAGAGGGTTGCTCTGTTCTTTTTCACAAGTCTCCAAATGTCTTTGGAGATATCTGGGAGATCATGTGTGTGTGTATGCATTTGAGGAGATAATACAATTTCTGCTTTCTTGCTTCTCTAGTCATCTTTGTGAAACTGTCGGCTTGTTGTCGATCCCAACTGTTGATTGAATAAGTGTTGTCGCAACCTTGTTCTTTCTTACATTAGTTTTTTCTTGTACTATCGAAAAAGAAACAAGTTGAAGAAAGAGAGAAGGAAGCCGATAATCAAAATCGCAAACCGCTTCTCCGCCTTGTGATTTTGATCGAGAGAAGAGAGAGAGAGAGACGTGAACATGCAATGTAGGAGAAAGCGACAATAATATTAATAATAACAGAAGAGAAATAGGAAACGAAGGGAGGAGAAAACGAGAGTAAGAAAGAAAAAGATTGGAATTTTTTTCTCCACATCATCCCCATGTGTACAGGGAAAATAAAGGAAATCAGGCGCTCATCTGTTTGTGGTAAATGTGCATGAGCGAAGAAATGTGTATTCCGGGAATAGTCGAAAGAACAGTGACTAATTAGTCCGTATTTTTCTTCCTTGCTGTTCGTTTTCACATAAGATTGTCTTACAATGACATTATCCATCGACAAGTGATCGATATTCGAACAGTATTCGTCAAATTAATGATGTCTATCAATTTGACAAGGTTAGTCTTCTACTCAGTTCGATACAAATGTTTTGCAGCATTCAATTTACTCAATAAATAAATCATCATCATCATCATACTCAGTGATGCCGACATCGTTCATATAAACTATCGGTTTTGTCTTCTGCTTTTTCTTCTTCTTCTCATTTGAAACAGAAAGAGAAAGAAGCGAGATGAAATATCTGCCAACCCCTGAAGCGTTTATCACTTCGATATCGTTTATTGTACGAATTGTAATTGTTTAACGATTTGTCGATTGGCACAAACGTTCATCTATCTCTTTTCTTCCATTTTTCTTCGGATACGTTTGAGAACAAAGACAGCAGTTGCAACTATGAGAAAACTAAAGATAAGCAAAGCATCATTTGTTAAAGATGAGACTGATCAGTGATAATATGTGATGCTTGACTTTCCTTTATTCACATCGAGACTATCGACATGATGATCAACAATAGAGTAACATCATTCAACATATTAATCATTTCAATAGAGTTAAGTAAACGATTTGAGAAAGAGAAAAGACAAATTTGTCTAATAAATTTCGACAAATATGTCCTGAGAGACTTTGGTCTTTTCTTGTTCTTTTTTTTTACAGTGTCGAAATTAATGATAAATATATTAGTGAACATTTGAAGGATAGAAAATGCAATGCTGATGAGAAGGAACTGGTTTGTCAGTGAGCGTATAGAGGAGTAGAAAATGATTCATTTCATTTCCTTCCTCTAGTTTTTTTTTTTGTTGACGTTATGAAGGAAAGAAAATGATGAAGAAGAAGAAGAAGAAGGAAAAGAAGAAAAAAGTTTGTCAGAAAGATGGATAGAGCTAATCGAATCTATATCAAAGACTATATACTCTCTCTCTCTCTCTTTTTTCAATCGTTCTGCCCGATAGGCATATGTGAGAGGCCCGATATGATGGTACTTCCTGTATCGTTTGTCGTTGAGTACAATTAAATGACATCATTCGAATCATATTCTCTTCTTGATTTTGTCTCCTTTGATTTCTTTTTAGCTGAGAAGAATAGAAGTAGACTTTCTACATGATTTGAATTTCAAACGAGAGAAACTAGCAATCATTTGATTGAATTGATTGGCTATGTTTGTAGTTTGCTTTATTTGCCACTTGTGGATGTTCATTCAAGGTAAAGTGGAACTTCGAAGTTCTTTCTTTGTGTGCGATTATCTATTTTAGGAACTACATTGGCTATATCATTTCTTCGCGATCTACACAATTTAACTGTTGTTTATAAACCAAATGCATTCGTTTATCACATTTGTCAAACATCATCACATCACATTAATTTTAAACGAATCCGTTGGCATTATGAATCATCAAGTGATCAAACAAACGATACTGATACACATTGTAGACGTTTATTTAATAATTCGGATTGTTTTGACTTCTATTATGGAACGTCGACGAGCGTTCTCGTTGTTAAAGAACCTGATATGTTCGGTGGAAAGTATACTTGCCATGTCAACATCAATTCCACATACGAAATGGTCTCATCAGGGTATATCGATGTGAAATCACCGAAGAATGACATGAATGAGTATGACGAATCAATGGACATGTACAATGAAAAGGAATTAGGTAAATTAGCTGTTCAAAACCGTGTTCCATTCATTCTCGATGAGAACGATGTGACAACGTTTGGAAGACGTGTTCAAATCGGTGGACTTTTTCAAACCAAATGTCAATCTGTAACCAGTTCTTATCCAATACAATTTTTATGGCTACATTTGAAGAATACATCTGATAGTGAACATTCGGAACGCATGAAGACTGTTCGTTTTATTCAAAATGACGGCAGACGGGTCAAAATACAAGAGACTCAACATTCGAGTATGTTAAAGAAGTCGGTTCTTGTCTTGAATGCACGACGAGTGGAAATTAGTCAAGGAAAAAATTGATAACTCCTTTCGAAATAAAACAGAAAGCAATGTCTTTTCTGGCTTTAGAACTTTGATGATAACCAACATTCCTGAGGTTGATTTCGACGTTCTTTGACTTCTGTTTAATGAGATGAAACTAAAAAGTGTCGCGAAGAGGAAAAAGACCGAGGAATGCATAAATAAGCAGGACTAATCAAACGACAACCTATTATTAATCTCGACTCTAATAACTAAAAATAATCAACGAATACTTTTAAACTCCCACCGACAAATATCTTCCTTTTGCACAAACCAAGCAATCAAATCTCTCTATTCTCTCTCTCTTAGGCACCTTGTCCATCTATCCCGTTGAATTTTCGGACGACGGAGATTATGTTTGCATTGCTTCCAACACTTTCGGTCGATCCTACTCCAGCGTACGTTCGTTGATTGTCTCAGGTAAAATTGATTCGCAAGTTTCGTATGCCTACGCACGTCTTGTTTGCTTTTTTTTGTGCATGTATCTATACTGAAATAGTATTTAGAACGCATGATATATCCTCGCATACGCGAAAACTTGCGTAACCATACTCAAATCGATCTTCAACATGATGGTGTAAAGGATCTGCTGTGCGTTGCCGATGGTTATCCGGAAGCCGATGTTGTTTGGATTCGAGGTTTTAGATTTTGATCGAAAAATGCATCCGACTTCATTTGTCTCTTTTGTTTTTTTTTTCTCTCAGCATCCGATTCAAATTTTCTTGCACGAAATTTCACACGAGCATTACTCAGATTTGATCAGGAAATGCATGGGGTGAACACATACATTTGTGAAGCAAAGAATAAGCATGGATCAACGAAAATATTTATCACTGTTATCATACCAGGTGTGTGCGAATGAGCGATAGATATGCATTTGTGAACATTTCGTTTAGATAATCAATCCAAACCGTTGTTAAGTGCTACTGATATTCAAAGTCGCAGTGTTTTATTAGCATGGAAAGTATCGAACGGACGTTACGATCGATTCAATCATTTTATTATTTATTATCGTCGTTTACAAAACTCTCCCGATGATAAAAACGACGAATCCGATGTTATTAATGTTCAAGATTACAAACAAGTCCTAGTAGACCCACGAACGACTCATTATAGTTTTACCTTTCGAGTAACGATTTGATTGTTGAGGGAGTTAAGGCAGTTTTGAAAGATTTCCTTTGTAGATGATGGATTTGACTCCATATGCGAAATATGAATTTCGATTAAAAGGTTTCATTGGTGCTACGCCGTCGGCTTATTCCAATTCAGTCATCGTTAAAACAGTCGAAACTGTACCGGACAAAGTAGAAAATCTCCACGGTTATGTTTGGAATGAAACAGCTGTGGTGGTTCATTGGACACCGCCAAACTCAACGAATGGACCGAATTTCGTAAGCAAAAGAAAAGAGGAATTTTTTATCTTCCGGCGTACTTGATATATACGAGTGTCAACTGTTTGTAGCATAACGTCTATCACGGTCGTGATTTACGACCTTTTTTCTGACTTGCCATGAAGTGGATAGACTTCATTGAACTGCGTCTTACAAGACAAGTTCACTTCTCGACTATGAAAGCAGCCGACCGGTGATTGTGACTTTGATGAATTATTTTCAAGAAAGAAAGAGAACATTAAATATGCTTTTTAATTAACATTCCTTGCTAAAATCATCATCAAACATCTTTCATTCTATTGATCGTGAACATCCGTAGAAAATTGTTAGTCGAACAAATAGCATAGTAAACAAAGTTGACACGACAATGTTACGAAATTCTCAAGGGTACATCTCTTCAGGAAATCATCTCGAGAAACAAAAACTACCGATCTCTTTCATCGTGTTGATTTACACTTGAATATGAAGATTTTCATTGTCAACTTAAAGAAATGTTTTACTTGAATGAAACAGGAAAACCGATTTCCTTTGCTTTCATCGTTTTAGTATTATGTCCTTTATTACACAATAAACACATCGATACCCTTCGAGCAATGGTCTCATGTTGTTGTTCGAACGTATCCATTCGATGTTTTATCCGTGACAATTCCCGCGCAACATTTTCTCTTCATTCGTGTTGCTACTGTGAATGCAAAAGGTTCAATCCTAAGCGATTTTCATATAATTAATCGTACGTTAATAAATCATCATGTAATGTCGACAATCGACAAATTTCAATGTTCATCGAACGAGAAAAATCAATTATTTTCTATTCAATGGTCGATCGATTATGAATCACGTTTATATATTAAGAAATATCTTTTATACTACCTCGATGTGACAGAAACCAATGATGACTTAGTACGACAATTGATTATTCCATTAAGCTCTCTGACTATTAATAAACAACATCCTTATGATTTATATAAGTACGAAGTGAATAATTCGATTTTTGATTTGGATTATAATCAACAACATGTTTTGAAATTACATTTGGCGTTTATCGATCATAATGACAATCACATGGCATTGACACAATCAGCGATTTATTGTACTTTAGCGAGAAAATATGGTAAGAAATGTAAATTTGTATTGCTTGTCTCGACACTCGATTGCTTTTCGAATGGAAATTATATGTCAAGGCTGATCTTCTTTGTATCTTATCAATTGTTCAGAAGAGCGTAATGTTGACGGGCGTTGTTCTCCAGAAATATTTGCTTCTCTCTTATCGAAATAGCAAATAGTAGGAAGATTGTATGTAAATGTTGAAATTTTTTGTGAAAAATCGAGCATAATAGAAAAGTGTCTGTGAACGGACGAGAGAAGAACAATGAGAAAAGTGACGTTCATAATCAATAAGTAGGAATAGAAAAAATGCAAACGGTGGATGTCAGTTAACATGATTCTATCTCATCTAGTCGCAGTGTGTGTTGTACAGTTTCATTTAAAGCAGGTGTTCAACGACTAATGAGCACATGCAACGTCAGCAGGCGATCCTGAAGAAAAGAACAAAAGACAATTCATTCTACTCAGCTTTTTTGCATGATTAGAATGGAAGAAGTAACTACTTATGTGACATTTAGATCCAATGTGTCACATGCAAATTTTACTAAGGAAAAGGCAAACTTGCTAATGAAGAGTCTCGCGTACCAGGAAATCTTGGATTAATAGATCAGTATGTAGATGTGCGAAGATAGATGTTTGTCGGATGTAGTCACTGTAAATGATGAATCAAATTCTGTTGAATTTATTAGACGACCATCGGTCGAAACAATGATTTTCTTCTATTTTTTGTTCTTCTGTTCTTTCCTCTTTTTCTTCTCCTTCTTCTTCTTCTTCATCATTTTTATTCATCGTTCAATCCATTGTATTTTACAGTATGTATTGAGGACAATGCAATTAAGTTAAAGCAATATTTCTCTCTCGCCGAGCCGAATAGACGATGGTGGTGATGATCGAGGTCGCTCTTGTTCTTCTTCCATTCTGCTTCCGTTCTCTATGTGTTTGAGAGAGAAAGAATTGATTGCACATGATCATGGTCTCTTCACATTTTTTTTTCTTTCACACTCTTGTCCAGTTTGTTTATTCGACTCAAACTGTACTGTAAACAATTCATTTTCAATTTTCCGAAAACAAAAAAATCTTTCTCTTTCTCTTTCGTCATCAATTCGACTTAGATAGACACTATGTTCTATTTTATTATCATTCTTTCTTCAATATTCTTTTTTATTACGAATAATTTCGCTCAAATCTCCAACGATATTCGTATATTAGCTACCGATAAAGATTTCATACGTTTATCATGGATGAAACCAACACGTTTGCCAGCGAATGTTTATGGTTATACGATAAAATATCGTCCAATTCATTCCAATCAATCCTGGATAGTAAAACAAACAAATGACACTCAAATCTTTCTAACAGATCTTCGTCCAATCACCAAATATGAAATTATTCTTCAACCTTATTTCAACTCATCGTATACCGATTCGTCAGGTCCATCGACACGCGTCGAAGTCTTTACAGACGAAACAGGTAATTTCCTGTTCGAATCAAACAATGCTTGACTGACTGCGCATGACGATGTCTAGACAGAAATATGTATTCTTTTTCTACGTGATAGATCAAAGAATAACGTGTGTGTGTAGCAATGTTTGGAGAAGTATGCGATTGAAAATGAATTTTCGATGAACATACTTGAATAGTTTCGATTTTGTTTAGTTTCATACTTGAAGACGAATGCAATCTCATATATTCGCATTTCTTTTTCGTAGGTTAGATTTTCAATTATTCAGCCTTGGAGAGTTTTGCAATCAAATTGTGTAGGTTGGAAATAGGAAAACAATATTTCTCAGATTTTCATCTCAATAGAATAGAAACAGAACTATTCGATGCTCGCGAAACGTGTAAAACCGCATGAAGAAGAATACGTCACTTATGGACTCATTGAGTTTTATTTAAAATCTTAAGTGGATATGACAGTGATCTTTGTTCGATGATCCAATCTGACATCGTGAGTGTAAATATGATAATAAAAGAAAATTAAAGCCTTGACAATGACATTGATAGTTCAAGATTGTACTTTGCTTCAACTTTTCGAAGATATTTATCCTACACTTTTCATTTTTCGAGTGTTCGTCTCTTTTCTTTCGAATAATCTCACATTTTACACTCCATTTTTTCTTTCGTTATAAAAGCATCGTAATGACTTTAATTCTCAACAATCGCGTCTTTCCAGGTACTTCTCTAATGTATACGATGATAAGCATTCCATTGATTTGTAACGAGTATCCAAGGTGTAAACATCTACTCAAAATACATTTGAATTACACGAAGAAACCTAATGGGCATTTATTGATTGCTCTTCTCCACCTTGAAGCAGTATCTTTTTATTAGAAACATATGAATAGTATTGGTTTGTATCATTCCTTCTCTCTACTTGATCGGATACAATACATGTTTGTGTACACAAAGCATGAAATTGATATTGTATTCCTTTTAGCAATCAAATTGTTTGACAGATTTCTCGTTGTTGATTATCATCGATCATTCGACATGGATATTTGTGTCAAATCAATTCATGATTGAATCCAAATCTGTCTTGATCAACTTAGAAGAAAATAAACATCCTTCTAGACACGAATCTAGTTGAGTTTTGAATTAATCAAAAAATAATCATTGCATTCGGAAATAAATATTTCATGAAAGAAAATCAAAGTTCGTCCTGATATTCCCTCTAGCACTGACGATTTGTTTTTCCTTCATCGGGGAATTAACTGTAAGAATGGAGAGTTTAGCCTTGCAAACAAGGAAAATATTCTTTCGTCTAATCTTCTTTTTCTTTCTTAGATTAAGTCTGATAGAAATGATGAGATTCGCTTTGATTAATTTTACAAAATTCTTTCAAACAACGAGCGAGATTTGTTCAATCTCATCACATAATGTCTAGGCAAATGTCTTTCGGTTTCTCTTTTGGTTAATCAATTAGAGAATAGCAAGTATCCTCCTTCTCGCGTTGCTTTTTACTTATGAAAGAGACGGAGTGACGCAAGACCGGGAAAGTACAAGTTTGCCCACTAATAATCGTCAATCGAACCTACTCTTTTCTTCGCACTAAGTATTGACCTTTACGTCAAGCAGAGAATCGTTAACAGGCAATAGCGAATTCAAGCTTATATGTATCGCGAGTTACGTTGATATGAATGGAAAGAAAATCAGTTTGGTAAATCTTGTTTGACACGGACGTGTGCTTTAATACAAATCTATTGTCAAATCGTATACCTGCTTCATTAAATGATCGACGCGGATGTGATTAGTCAAGCAGAAAACTAGGTCGAGAAAATCTTCGTGAGGAGATATTTCGGATACGATTAGACAGAAAACAGGAAAATCCCCAGTAGAGTCTCGATACAATTTCTTGTCATCATTATCATGACTACCCCCTGATGTCGTCGTCATCATTTAACTTTTTTTTTTCAATTACTATCAGTCGGCTCATGTTGAGCTATAGCTTTTCTTCAAATACATTTAGAAAGGAAAACGAGAGGGAAGACTAGAATCAATATAGATGTTTCCAGTCGGCTTTATTACTAACGACAAATGAGCTTAGTAATCGTAACAAGTCGTGGAAGAAATTCTTAATAGGAAAAAAAAATGCGTAAGAAGAAAAAGATGTGTCAGCTATGCCTGGTTGCATTGCACATAAGATAACTGCATTTCTCTGGCGGAAGATGACACATTCAAGGTTCATTTCCTTCTCTATTACACTTGTTCGTTCGTTCAGAAAGCTACACGAGAAGAGGAAGAAAAAGAAATAATCGAACCACTTAAAATTACCTTTCACTTACATTCTTTTCTGCTTGATAAACAAGTAACAGGCCAAATAAAATTAAGCAGATGAGCATTTCTAGACGACAAGATATTCCGAGATGCGTCAATCCAACTTCTGTCTGTCTTTCTTTCTCTTCTCTTCTCGTATTCAACTGAGAAGAATTGGTCAGCTAATTTAGAATGACAGTAACAATTGATCATCTTTTAGTCAAACGAGCATCCATTGCATTACCAAGCAAAATAGTCCGACAGACGGACAACTGTTCGTTTTATCTGTCCCATTGGATGTATCCATATCATTTCAAATGCCACAATTAATAAAAACATCATCAATGTCTTCTTGTCTAGTTCTCTTGTAAAAAAATGTGTTGTTCTTTCATTCAGTTAAGTGAATGTGTTAACACTTGAATATCTCAACTGATAATCATCATTAGACCGTAGAAATATGTAAAAAGAATGGAAATATCTCGATATAAATATATCCGGGATGACGATGGAGAAGAAGAAAATTGAGCAATTGATTAGGAAAACTTAATTTTATCGTTAGCGTGCTTTTTAAGCTTGAAACTCTGTATCGGATGATCGACGGAAAAGATAATTTCTCAAATAACATAGCATTGAAATGTGTGTGTTCCCTTCTGCTCGTTTGCAATAGAGAAGGGCGGAGATCTTCTAATGAAGAAGTCGTTGTCGTCGTCGTTGTCTTTGTGTCATCGAAGAAAAGATGACGAAATAAATGGAATAAACTGTTCCTGTGCTCTACGATGCTTATTGTAAAGTATGAAACGGAGAGGGACAGAGAGGAGAACAAGAGGGAGAGGAGAGGAGAGAGAGAGAGAGCAAAAAGAAGAAGGGAAAATAATTTCGGATAGATGCTGGTTGATGTGAAGAAAGGAAAGAGAGAAGAGGAGAAGTGGAGAAAGAAACAGTTGGTTGTCGTAGATCTGCTCGATCTGTTTTCAACAACGTCAGCCAGTCAGTCAAGCAATTCGTATGCGGATGTGGTCAATATTCGTCATCCTATCATTTTTAGTTCCACTTGTCGCACCGATTAATGTAAGCGCATATATGATCAATCAAACAGCAGCTAATATATCATGGATATATCCACTTGATACCAACAATCCCGATGATATCTCGTTACTTGGTGGGATGATCAAAGGTTTCTACGTTATCGTTTTCGCACCTTTATCAATGCAACCACCAATCGTTCATCGTAATTATGAAGGAACTATCGGTACTCGATACTGGGATATTGTCGGAAATTTAACACCTGGAACAACGTATCATGCGCAAGTGAAAGCCTTTACGAAAAAAGGCGATGGAAAACCAAGTGTGCCATATATCTTTACCGTTCCAAAAGAAGATTTTAGTGAGTGAATTAAATGAAGAATTTTCATCATAATCTATTCTCTCTTACACACACTTCTATATCTCCCTTGCCTCAACCTTCTATTATTTATAATTCGAGTATATATGTACGTTATGAAAGATTACTTAGCGTGTATATAGATGAAAAGTGATTGATCATCTTGATGATCTTTAGACACGCCCTTAATGCTCGAAAAACGAGAAAATGAGAAGAAAAATTACGTTTTCTTTTTCTTCTGTTTTCTCTCAGCATTTTTTTTTCACATAGATATTCTTATTTCTCTTCCTTGTTTATATATTGAAGAGCAATAATTGTTATAAAGGAGAGAAAAAAAAACTCCACAGAAAGAATCCGTCGTTATCTTGCCGATGTGTGCTCATCACTATTAGGAGTAGTAGCAATAGCACTATTCTCCTACCAAACAGACAGAAATCAATAATGAAAGTTCTTATGCAATGCTCGACTTTTTTTCTTCCTCACAATACACAAAGACATAGTGCTGCTACTACTACTCCTAGTCAGTCGTACTCTACTGCGCATTGCGTCGTCGTAGGAGGGTGATGAGATGTCTATCAATAATTGTCTATTTTTGTAGAGACTTTTTTCTCCTATAATGAATGTGTATATACATCCTGCTGAAAGATAAATGAGTTCAATCGACAATTCAGGTGGATACATTTGTGTGAGTTAGTTAGAAATTCTTCGGCAAGAAAAGCATGCATGTTAGTTGTGTAATGTTCTAAAATGTCTAATGAGGTTAGCTCGATTGACTGTTGTCCGGCTGGTGATGTTTTCAAACAAGATGTTGTATCTAATTTACTATTCTTAACTGCTGGGAAAACTTGTTTTGTTTCTCGTTACATCATCGGCATGTCATAGGTCACGATTGTCGAAATAGAACTGGTCATCGTAATGTTCAATTGAGCATGTGTGTAGGCTTGCCGGAAGTCGCCGTTCTCTGTTTAGTGCGTGACAGACACCCAACTAATCCATATTTTACTTAAAGACACTTGATCGAGAATGAAGTGAAAGGAAGAAAATGTCTTGATTGATCAAACTCTTCAAATAGATCTATACAATGTTCTTAAATAGAAGCAACAAAGACGACGAAGATGATTTTCAATATTCATTATTGCTCATTCTTCTAGATTTAATCAATGAAAATGAAATCACAAACTAGACAAATTTTTTCTTTTCTTCACTTTCGCCAGTGCTGGAGAAATCATGTGGAAATCGACTAGATTCGATAAGTGAATGAGCGAGAAAAGAAGCAGAAAGACACAAAGAAAGTATTGACTACTGGAGATTGTCAAATGAAGCAAAGAGTAGCCTTAAGCATCATTGACCGTCTGATGGACATTAGATTTGAAGTCTACAGATAAAAGTTGATTAAATTCAAATCAAAAGGTTCGATATCGTTGCATTTAGATAAATCATCGATTGCAAACCAGGAGTTAGTCATAGAGTTTATTCGGAAATTTCTAATCAGAATGATCTCCATTTCGATCCATGCATCATCGGTGTTCAGTGGATGATCGAGATAAATGACATCGAGAGTGTGACAAAGTAAAGTTTTCTTGATCGAACTCGTTTTCGGTAATTCATATTTATGACGAGAATTTTTAAGTAATAAAATATAGTTCTTGTGGTGTTTTCGTTGAAGGTAGAGTGAGATCGTGTATCGATTAGGACCAATGATATTGAATAAACCTTGACCTGATAGACCAGTTCGTCCGTGAGGATTTTTAATCAAGAATTTTTCATTGGATGACGAGACTTTATTCAAAGAACATTTCAAAGGATGATATGACGGAAATGAGGCATTCCACGAGGAGTAGTCTACCGGAACATATTGTCGTTGTGATTGAATGTAAGTTATCAATGCTTGTAACGAAGTTTGAGATGTATTTGTCGAAATGAGTGATTTTTTGCGACAAAATTCATGAATTTCATTCTTGGAACGAATGACTTTCCATTGAAATAAGGCGGGATCGAAAAGATTCAATTGGAAAAGTTTGTTTTCATAGAAATTCGAATTCGTATTCAATTGAAAACATTTCGGAACTGATGGTGATTGAACAGTTCTTTGTTTGTGAGAAGAACTTTTTCCTTTAGAAGTTCTAGGCGGATCATTTAGTTTTGGTGGCTCTATTCCTGCTTCGTGTTTTGTATTGATATCCTGAATGAATTGAGTAATTGTTATTGGAGAAAAGTCAGACTGAAGATTCGATGTGTTGACTAGAAGAGACTTGAGAAACAAATCAAGCTTTGTTTTGCAATGTGATTACATTTCTTGTCAAATAATTGCGATTTTTCATTTGTTCGAGACGATCTTTTGAGAAAATTTCCTTCATTCATCGATTTCTATTATGTCTCAACGATGAGTGTATTTTCTATGAGGAAAATTCTATTTACTAGCTTTTTATTTGCTGTCGTGAAAGGATTCTCGGCTGATAATGAATCGAACGAATCTTCATCATTGTTCTGTTGTTTTAGAAATGGGATAGAGTCGACTAAATAATCAAATTTAACTTAGAAATTTAAAATCGACATTGACATGCCTGATAAGTACGAGGTCTTTTCATTAGTTGAATTTTGTCCATCAAATTCTAAAATGAAGCATTTCCAAAGGGAACTACGCACTGAAAAGTTTAATTTTACAATCTTCCAAGTCTTTTTTCTCTTCTATCTACTCCTCCACACGCTAATGGAAGTCGTGATGTTGGTAATGCTTTTCTCTCTAGTTGTTTCCGGATACAGATCCTGTTATTTTCGCTTGAAATTTCTTTGTTGTTAAAAGCGTCTCGTCTGTCGAATTTTTTTCTCTCTTGGATGACTTCTAATGGTCAATGAGGAGAAATTTCATTGTCAGACATAATTACGTTGATTTTCTAAGGTTTGATTTTGTCGGGAATAGAAACCATTCTCACTCACATCGTTTCTGGTTGATAATTGAAAGCCAATTTCACTCGTTGGTGGACTGGGCAAACGATTGATGAGACTTTCAAATGACTGTCGTGATGACAAATTACTCTAATTGAATTCAAATGTTTGATTAAGTTCAATAATTCAATCTGCCAAACCTTGGTGAAAGTTCGTTGATTCGATGAGAAATTCTCGTGGAAACACAACGGTAGATCGTAGAGAGGCGATGAATGAAGTTTTACTTCAGTTTTCCAAATCTCGTTGATCGACGACATTGCATTGGAATTTTTCTCATTTCGATTCGAGAGAAGATTTGCTGAATGATAAATGTCCAGTTGATGAAAGCATTTTCTTGCGAACAAACAGCAGAAATGGCAGATTCGTTCTTTTTCATTCATTTTGGAGAAAAAAAAATTTGTTCCCGCTCATTGAAATCTTTCATTCTTTCTAGGACAACTAATCCCGAGTAATCTTACGGCGTACGTTGTCAACGCGCATACATTGAGTTTAACCTGGGATTTACCGTCGAATGTCAATGCCATCGACCGAGTTTATATTGTTGCCACAGAATTGGGACCGAAAAATCGCACGATTCAAAGTCAATCGTTCGACAATTCAATCAAAAAGTTGGATTTTCAAATCAATCCCAATGATCCTCATAGTAAACGAACTTTCTACATTCTTGTTCTATTAATTTCATCTTCTCGGTATTAAGGTATTCATCCCAATCAAACCGTACTGTTTTCGGCATTGTGTTCTGATCGTAATGGACAGAATTCGTCGAAAATTGAATATCAATTTTCTGTCAATATAAATAGTAAGTTTAGATGTGAATATTTAACGATTAGGTTTCAGTCGGTCATTTTTCATCAATATGTATTTAACGTCGCGTACTTCTTCAAACATATTAGGATTCAATAAGAGAAGAAAAGACTGATGTTGACAGAACGACGTTCTCTCATAAATTCATGCGCATATACTTAGATGAGTGGCAGCTATTATTATGTTTGATTGATGTTACACGGGGAAAAGCTTCGATGATCGATTGGCATATAAAACGAGAATTTCCAAGGTTTTTCAATCGGATCGATATCTTTGTTCTTTTTCTCTTCATTCTTCATTTGTATATAAATGTTCAATCAGATAAGCAAATCAGAAGAGCATCTTCTTTACTAGAAATCAGATCATGTGCATGAATACAGCTTCATATTACATCTCTTGAGATGAATGTCGATGTATAAACATGCGTGTGATAGACGATTCGACTTCATCACGCTTTTATATTTGAGAATTTCTCGTTGTTTTTCTTCTGTTGTTCCCATTCTTTTCCATCTCTTTCTTTCTTTCATGAAGCGAAAGCACATTTCTTTCTTTTTTGTTTGCATATTCTAAGCAGACAGAAAAAAAGGCTAAAAGAATAGTTGTAGTAGATATCTACTCTTAGTTTTTTTTTCTTCTTCGCCATCCTATTCTTTTCTTTCTATGGCATTAACTGCCCTGAAGAAAGAAACGAGAACAAAGCAAGCACATAGAGCAACATAGAATGAGAAAGAGAAAGAACGTTCAATGAAAGAAAGTCTCTTTTCTTGACATTGCCCACATGTAAAATTTGATCGTTTTTCCTCTCATTTTCTCTCTCAACTTCTCCATTTCTACTGTGGTTATTATTAAACAAGAAAAAAAAAGAAACGAAAAAAGAAGAAGAAAGACCACGCCAATGAATCTTTCATCATAGATTATTGTATTAAAACTAAAGAATAGAAACAACTTACGTCTATTATATAATGATAAAGACAGCGATAATAACACCAAGCCAAGCATTATTTTAATGCCTCACTTCATGTTTCAACACATTCTTCTTCTCATATTTCTCTTCTTCTTCATAAATCCTCATTCGACGTTGAATACTACTTTACGTCCAAATATTTATTATGCGCAAGTACCTCGTTCATCACCTTGTAAGATCCACAACACACGAGAAAGAAGAAGATCCTCTTTGAACGATCAAATATTTATCTACGCTTTTATTTATCTAGATCCCGCGCCCCGTGACGTTCGTGTCGTCCGTATCAATGATACCACAGTTCAAGTTTTCTGGTCGCCTATTTATCATCCAACAGTAGCACGATATATAATTCATTACAATGATAAAGCTGATCATAAACCTGAAAATAATTGGTCATTATATTCACCGTCGAATCCCGGTTCGACGTCAGCTATTATCAGTGGGTTGAAGCCTGATGCTATGTATAATGTTCGTGTTAGCGCCGAATTTTCATCCGCAAATATTCACGATCCACATTATGTACCAGGCACAAGCTCACGGGAAGGTGATTTGTCGGAAATTCAGGTTGCCGATATCTATCGTCGTAAGTCTGCGAGTTGTGAAAGTCTTTTTTGTGGTTATTGCATGACAGAAAATGGTTTTTCTTGTGCATGTCATGTCTCTTTTCTTCTCAATTAACCAGAGTGAATAAATACTAGTAATTCTTTTAAAGCGAACAGGGTATGTTATTAGAGATGAGAACGAAGGTGTAGAAGGAAAATTTTGGCAGTTTTGAGTTGTTGTTTAGCACGGTTAGAGAGATACTGCTGATCTTAATTGATGTTCTTTGCATTTCTAACAGCGAAAAATAAATATATGCACATGTCTCTTCGTGATCGATTCGTCATGTGCATATTCTTTTAATGATCTCCGTCTGTTGATCGACGTGATGATGTGTCTATCATGTAATCATTGGTCTGTAAAATTGATCTATTCGACTGACCAGCAGTAGAGCGAGCTGAATGATCAATCTTAGGAGAGATTCTCATACGCAGTAATCATCAATTCTATTAGGCTGTCCGTTGAGATCAATAATCAGTTGTAGAGATCTTTATCCCCTGAGATTAAGGAAAAAAACTAATGGAACAAGAAAAAATGAATTAGGTTTTAATGATGAAATCAAAAAACTGAACGAAGTGTCACATATTTTCAATTGCAATATCGATTCTATTAAGAAAAGATGGTTCAGACGCAGACAAAAAGAAAGAAATCGATTTTCTTGTTGATAATAGCATTGTTACCAAGTCATGCATTGACAATTAGAAAGAACATCGATAGTTTTGGCTGAAGTTAGTCTCAAACAGTTTGACAATAGGTTAAAGGAATAGAAAGTAATTCGAAAAAGCCTCGGAGTACTTTCTGTTACTTTGATATAGACTCATGATAGAAGAAAATTACTTTTACATGAGAATAAGGAACAGTTACATGACGTGTCAAGATCGGATCAAAAAGAGACTCAAAGTTAATGAATGTATACATGAATGATGGAATGTCAAGTCATTCTGATAGGTGTATTGGTATCCGAGCGACTAGTTCGATTATTTTGATCGATTGGAAAGTTTGGAGGATTTCTGTTGAGATGATAAATTATTTTCAGCAACGTTCGAATGACATTCTTTGACAAGAAAAAGAAATGAACAGACAGACGACATTGACTGACGGAGGACGAGAACCTGTCAGAAAAGGGAACGCCTTTGTCGATTGAACTATGTAGATCTGATTTCCTATGTAAAATATTCGTGAATATTCATTTCTTTAGGTTCCAAAGATATTATTCATTACGATGATCATTTAAGTCGTCCATACAATCTAACTTACGTTGACCTGACATCTAATAGTGTGAAATTATTATTCTTTTTCAATGAAACAAATCCTGATCCTCGCCGACATATACAAAAACTTGAGGTTTGTTTGATTCTTCACGACAAGAAGCCACAGCGTCTCGATTCTTATTTATCTTTTCAGGTACATTACGAAGGAATTCAAAATTATGTCGATGGCTTGGGTACAATACGTAGTACATCACATCATAACTTAGCTGGTCTGATATCAATACCTGCAACTCAAGGTTCACGTGAATGGCTAGTAACAGGCTTAGTGCCAAATACTCAATATACATTCAACCTCACCGGCACTATCTCATCATTTGAACAATCATCCATTAAAATCTATAGTCGACCGGCAACGATACGTTTGTCAACTGATTACGATGCACCTCCATATGTTGATCGACCCGAACAAGACCGACGAATTCTTTTGCAAACATCAGGCAGACCAACGCAGGCATCAAAAGTTAGTTTACGTCTCCATCGTGCATCAACAAAGAATGGACCCATCGACCGATACTATGTTGTTGTTCATTTGATTGAGCATATATCTTATCAACAATATGTTCCGCAAGAGGTACACACAAGCAAAGAAGTCACATCTGTTGTTTTATTGACTGCTGTCTTTATTTTTCTATAGGGTCGGAAAGAATGTTGTTATACAGCGGCAGTATTTAATGAATCTCAGTTACCGGATGTATTTGTATTAGGCGATGGTAAAGAAACACGTGATTGGGAGCCTTTTCACCATCGAGTCTATAATAATTCTCCATTATCGAGCGTATGTAGAGTCAAACTAGTTTCCTGGGGTTTTAACCGTAAAAAGGAAAATTTAACAACATCAAGTGCGACGATTGAAGTGAATCTATTACCAAAAATTGTTCAACCACAAAATCAAGATACATTCAACAGTCTTCTTTGGATATTTGGAATTATAGTTTTGATCTTCTTAATTCTCCTGATTATTATCATCTTCATATTGAAATATAATCGAACGAAAAAGAAACCATTAACACCGCCACCTGAATGTGTGCCATTCGATTTAACACCTAAAGTTCTAACAATGGAAATGCAAATGCCAATGATACCAACGACCATTTCACCAGCATCATCGAATGAGCCTGTAGAATTTCGACGAACCCAACCATCCAATACATATCATACGGTTACTAAAGAAGTTCCCGTCAATACTCATCCTCCGATACATATCGATGAATTCGGTGAACATCTCGAACGACTGAAAGCTGCTGATAATTACAAGTTCTCTCAAGAATACGAAGTAAATTATTGTTTCATCGTTTGATCTTGCTTATCCACTCTTCCTTTTAGTCGATCGACCCTGGTCAACAGTTTTCATGGGAAAATTCCAAATTCGAGTACAACAAATCGAAAAATCGCTATGCGAATGTGATTGCTTATGATCATTCTCGTGTGATTCTTCATGCTATCGATGGTATTGCAGGCAGTGATTATATCAATGCCAATTATCTCGATGGATATCGAAAACAAAATGCATATATTGCAACACAAGGACCCTTGCCGAATACATTTGCCGACTTCTGGCGAATGATCTGGGAAACGAATTCAGCATGCATTGTAATGATGACAAAATTAGAAGAAAGAAATCGATTGAAATGTGATCAATATTGGCCATCGAGAGGAACGGAAGTCTATGGATCAATTCAAGTTACTTTAACGGATTTTATTGAACTATCATCGTATAGTATTCGAACCTTTACAATTGCATGGGTAAGACTGACAAAGACAATTGTCATTGTAAGAAATGCTTTGTATCTATAGACTGGCCATCCAGAAAAACGAGAAGTGCGACATTGTCAATTCACAGCTTGGCCAGGTACGAATGCCCATGCGGAGCTCGTTGTCTGATCTGAAAATCATTCTGTTTTTAGATCATGGAATATTAGAACATGCGACATCGTTTCTAATGTTTGTTCGACGTGTTAAAGTTCTTAATCCAGTTGATGCTGGACCGATAGTTGTACATTGCTCTGCTGGCGTCGGTCGAACTGGCTGTTTCATTGTGGTAGATGCTCTACTAGAACGATTAAAATTGGAAAAAACCATCGATATCTACGGACATGTCACTCTTTTGAGAGCTCAACGGTAAGATTTGTCGAAGATAATGAACGAATAAATCGATGATTTGATTCTATGAAATAGAAATTATATTGTTCAAACTGAAGAACAATATATATTTATCTATGAAGCCATTAATGAAGCTATTCAGTCGGGTCAAACAGAAGTTCTAGCAAGAAATTTGTTAACACATCTACAGCGATTACTACAGCCAATAAATGATAGTTCATTGACAGACATGGAGCTTGAATTTAAAGTAAATGAATTTGGGATAGAAAGTGAAGACGTTCACGAACAATTTCTAATTTAGCGTTTGGCAAATGTGAAAGCGCAACCATCGAAGTTCTTAAGTGCGAATAATCCAGCGAATAAATTCAAAAATCGTCTTGTGAATATCCTTCCTTGTAAGTTTACAACATCTTCCAAACCTTAACTATCTTCTTGTCTTTGCAGATGAAAATACTCGAGTATGTTTATCTCCAGTTCGCGGCGTCGAAGGTTCAGATTATATCAATGCGTCTTACATCGATGTAAGTTTTTTACAAAAATAAATCTATTCTTTTCGATTGAATCATCGATGATGGTTTAGGGCTATCGATTCAAAAATGGTTATATTGCAACTCAAGGACCATTGACGGAAACAGTTGATGACTTCTGGCGAATGGTTTGGGAACATAATGTCACTATAATCGTGATGTTAACTAAACTAAAAGAAATGGGCAGAGAGAAATGTACTCAGTATTGGCCAACAGATCGATCGGCACGTTATGGATACTTCGTTGTCGATCCAGTTGGTGCTTACAACATGCCGCAGTATCTATTGAGTGAATTCAAAGTGACTGACTCCCGAGTACGATATAAACTTGAGACTAGAATACTTTTATGCGAATTTGTTTTCTAGGATGGACAATCTCGAACAGTTCGTCACTTCTTGTACACTGAATGGCCTGAACAAGGTGTGCCCAAAGTCGGCGAAGGTTTTATTGATTTTATCGGACAAGTGCATAAGACCAAAGAAGGTTTCGGTCAAGAAGGTCCAATTGTTGTTCACTGTTCAGCTGGTAAAGATTTACACAAAAAGAAAGTTCTCCAAATGCTCATTCGCATTGTTTTCTTCTAGGTGCCGGACGAACGGGTGTATTTCTCACATTAAGTGTTGTTCTGGAGCGAATTCGATACGAAGGTGTTGTTGATGTTTTTCAAACGGTGAAACTCTTGCGTACACAACGACCTGCACTCGTTCAAACTGAGGTAAAGATCTTCAGAACGAAAAACATCGATGGAATATTTCTGTTTCCTCTTTTTCAGGATCAATATCAATTTTGCTACCGTTCTGCATTGGAATATTTGGGTTCATTTGATAATTTCGTCTCATCTTGACAATCGTTGACTAAGAGACATTGACATATGCAAATCTAGTCAACACAGTGACGACTTTGTTTTCTTCTTTTGTTCGACTCGAAACATGAAAACTTCTAGATTAGTATTCTCTGATAACAAAGCGAATTTTATGTGATGTTTTACAGGAACAAAACAGAAAACAAATTCGAATTCTTGCTAGAGCTTCTATGATCATTTCTTTGTCTGTACATACATATTCTTTTCTTTTTCGTCTTTTGATACTATTTTTCTAAGCAGGTGTTTTTCTCTTTTTCTCCTTCTTGTTTCTCTTTCTTCGCTCATTGTGCTAAGAACTCTTTTGTCTTCTTGGTTTTCTCCCCTTCTCTTGTTCACATGTGCATGTATGTAATTTAATATTAGGAATGAGATTTTATTGAAGTGTCAAAATTGTAAAAGCTCAGATTCTTCTTGTTTCTGTCTGTTTTGAAATTTTAATTAAAAAAGTATTTATTAACATAAATCAGATCGATTCCTTCATGAATATCATACTCAACACTGTAAAACGCCTCTTTGAAACGACTCATCTCCAGACTTTTGTTTAAATTTAGTTTTTGGATGATTTCCACTGCATATATTTAATTATGTTTACCCTGATATACATCACGCAATGTCTCCGCACACACATGCATAGAATTTCCAAAATTAACATGAATAATGAAAGACCTTTCTATGTTTATATTTATTAATTAACGATAAGAATATTTCAAGCATTCCCGGCAAGTTTGTTTTTCTTCTCACCGCGCTTTATTCTCCTCGAGATTCAATTTCATGCACAAGTCGCGTAACCCATGCAGGTACGATCGGTGTTCGATAAGCCACATACGCTCCACGATTCGTATTGCAAATAATATAATCTCCATTTTCACTATTTCTCATCGTTATCGGACGAATGCGTTGAACATTTCCATTGTACATAAATCTCACCAACGGTGTCGACGGTATTCTTGATCGTTGGTAATTATCATGTGCCATGATCGATGAATTAAGATCGCTTATTGATGATGAATAATCATAACCAGCACTAATGCCCGAATCATCATCGGTATATGCATTTGTTTTCAAAATATTGTATTCGCTGGTCGATCGTTGCATATTCAAATCGATGTCGATTTTCTCTTTCCGTGTGTTATTTTATGAAGTGAATAATCATTGAAGAAACACCGATACAGGAAAGGGAGAACGTATTCCAAGCCGAACGTTTCATAAGAATCGTTAGAGAAAGAGAAAAGGGCACGGGGAAGGTGGAAAAGAAGATTTGTTTTAATAATCTCTGTTATGAATCAGCTGAAATTTATTAAACGAAACAATCGGATGTGAAACTGAAATGCGAAGCGAACATTTCATCTGGTTTCGTTGTTTTTTTTTCTCGTCTCTGTGATTGTATCAACCGTTTGCATAGATTACAAAGTAAAGAAATTTGATATTTGTTTTCGTCTTTGTCAATGACTATTTGCATCCGTCGAAAGAACAAAAAAAAAACAATATCTACTAAAATTCTCTATTCATTTCGAAAATATATTCATGACAAAAAAGAAGCAAGAATGTTTTTTCGGTTAACATATATGACCGTATATTTAACACTCAAGTAGTTAATCTTCAGATTAATCATACAACCCAACTTTCATTCGATTCGTTAAGTACGAGATAATCAGTGGATGATATCCGATAAGACGTCACCCTCTAATTTCTATCAGCTAATAGAAGATCTAATTAACTTGAAAGAATTGAAGTGAATTCTTGGAGAAGGAAAAGGTGACTTATTAGCAGAGGAAACTTGACTCTGTAAAATTCATCTACTTGACATGGAAGGTTCTTTCTCGAAGTGTTTCTTTTGTATATTATTAATTGCTACTCTTTCTGTCTACTCATTTCAATTATCAACGATGACATCGAGTCAAGAAGACGGCGAACCTCCTTTGAAGATGTACTATTGATAACATTCGACAACTCTATTAGACGGGATTCTTCGAGAGAATATGGTTCGGAATACTAATTAAGATACTGAATAGAAGAAATATTCATTGGTTTCGAAATTCACTCGCGAGATTAGAAGAAACAGAACGCACTCAATGAATGCAAATCGGCTATTTTTCTTAGTATTAACATATTCGGTCAAATGGATAAACAAACTAACTAGAGACATTCGCACTGATTAAATAGTTTTCGCTTTCTGCGAGAAAATCTTCGATTAATTATTGAATAAGTCGAAAACCAATCTCGCCGTTTAATCGAATCACGACAAATGTACATGAATGTTATTTATTTCATTAGGAAAGCAGCAACTAACAAAAATAGAGAGAGAGAGAGGAAGGAAAAGAAATCACGTAAACGATGATTGATATTGTTTTTTATTTAAATATGACAAGGCACAAATAGAAAAGAATCTTGATGTCAAGTATGATTTGATGTCGGATGTGTTGACATAAATAATGTTTCTTGTTGAGAGTTCAAATGTACAGATGTATCATCCGCATTGGCGAGAAGACTTGCTTCCTGGTTGGCGAGTTTTTTCATTGGGACACCGTTTAGTTTTCCATTTGAGGAAGAATTTTTCACGTGAGAATACGTTTGAGTATATGTGGCAATGGTAGATTCAACGGGCATTTGATACGACGATGGCCGATCATAAAATTCACCATCAGCGATGTTAGTCAACTGTGTTGAAGGATGATTCGCTCGACGGCGACTTAAACACCAGCATATTTTAAACAAACATGGTACTATTTGTTGAAATTCTTTGCGAAAATTGTCGTTTAACCATGAATACAAGAACGGATTGTAAACTGTCGATGACATGGCGATAACATGTGTACTGAGAAAAAGTACTTTGTAATGATTTAGTGTTGGACGACGAAATTCAGCAACCATATGAACAATATTTAATGGTAACCAACATAGTGCAAAGATAACAACCATAGCAATTAACATACGATTTGTTCGTTTTTTCCGACAAATTTCCACCTCCTCGCGTAAACGAGTACGACCGGGTAACGAACGACGTGCAAGTGCAACCCAAACTTTGTAATAGCTGAATGAAATCACTGAGAATGGGATTAAATATTGCAAGATTAAAGATGAAAAATTAAAGAAACGTCGAGATGTATACTGAGGCCAATATTCCTAGGAAAAACCAACGGAAATTTTCAAATAACTTTCACTTTATTTCTGAACTTACTTCACATTTACCATTATCAAACCGCATATAGATTGCCAATGGTAATGATATCGAGATGCCAACAATCCAAATAACAATAATCAATAATATACATACACCTAAGCGCATTCGTGAACGGAATGGATGAACGATAACAAAATAGCGATCGACGGCGATAGCTAATGATGTTAGTGTTGAAACATAGACTTATAAGAACAAAGAAGAAGAATGAAGCCGAAAGAAGATCCTTCACAATACCTGAGATTCCCAACGACATGGGCACAAGATGACACAAAACTTTGCCAAGATGCCAAGTATTGCCGTAGGCTGATATAGGAGTGAATGGTACTGCTAAACAGCACATCTATAGTAGGTAAAAATATAGTTAAGTGGACCTATTATTTCCTTTTTAATATATTCCTACCAAAATATCCGAAAGAGCTAAATTTGTAATAAAGACATTGGTTACCGTTTGCATGGCTTTATTTCGGCAGACGACAACTAAATAGAGAGAATCTTATTACTGAGATGATTCGATTAGGCAATACTTACGAATGACGAGTGCATTTCCAGTAATACCGAAGAAGAATATTAGAACATAGAGAGATATGAATGTAGTCATGATCAGTGGCCGATTTTCCAGCGGAATCGGTCCTGGAGTTGTTGTGGTAATACTTGCTGAAGATTTCGGCATCAGTGCCGCAAATAATGACATGTTAATTGGCGAATGACTAAGACTACTTTGATTAAATCCGGATAACATTTTAAAATGTTTATCTTATTGAAATTGATCTGAAAGGTATTCGAAAATTCAACATTAAACATCGACTGGACTTTGACGTTCTCTTCAAAGAAAATAATCAACAAATTTTCTCCGTCGAATACTTGACTGCAAGAAAAAGAAAATATATATTTGAGTTGAGAAAAAAAAGAGCAAAGGAAAAGTCTCCTTTCTTTTAACAAACAATCTACGCGTTGTTTTTTTTAGGTTCGACATGCTTTTTAGTGTGGTGCTGCGTATGTGAGTAAATGAAAAAAAAAGAGCGCACATCTTCCTATCGTTACTCTGCGCGCTGCTATATTGCTTTAGTTCGATAGAAGTCGGGTTTTTTTGTTATTTCCATCGATTCTTCTTTCTCGCAGTAGACTGCTTTTTCTTGGTTCAGGCACAGCGTTTTCTTTCCTTCATTTTTTTTCTTCTTCTTCTTCTTCTTCGTCTTTGTTCGCAACATTGAATAATGGCAGACAAGAAAGCGAACGGGAAGTGAGAGGATGGAAACCTCGAGATGAGGAAAGAGAAGAATAAGGAAGAAAAAGATTCCTATGGTTCGTTAAAGAAATAGAATCCGATATAAATAAGTGAACACATCAATTCAATGTTATTACGAACAGATATATACGCCAAGGAAAAACAAGTCAGTCCCGTTGAAAGAATATCCTGACAAATGAACACGACAGAAACAAGACGCTTTCTAATTATTCTGATAACAGAGAAATATTATCATTCATCGTATTTCTCTCTTATTAACATCGGCAGTTGTTTTTCATGCTCATCGAAACAACTAATCTATTGAATCTAGCGAACGCTTTTACTAGTCTCAAAAGAAGAGAAATGGAATAGAAGATGTGTTCGCATTAATAATCTTTTTTTTTCTTCGAAGTAATATTTCTCTCTTTTCTCAACAGCGTATTTGCTCTAGTTAATAAACAGAAAAATAACAACCGACAACAATAGAAGAGGTTAAATGAATGTTTCAAAAAATTTTACCGGAAAAGAACTTATCTTTGTCAATTTGATTAATAAAACGAAAGACAAGCGTCATTCCTCATCTCGTCATTCTTTTCATAAAAAAACTAATGCTTTAGGTATCATTCAATACACAGATTATCCAGTCTTGCAAAACAATGCACACGCATTTCCTTTCTCGAATTGTGACAATCGCGAAATTCGATTGATCTTTACAAAAAAAAGGAACTTGACCTCATTTTCCTGATTACATTCACACAGCGTTCACCGAATGCTAAAGAATGTTTACTATACTTGATCAATTCTATTTGATATGTAATCGTTTTGTTATGCACGATCATTTATTTAAATTGGTTAGCTGATGATGATTGTCGAATCATAGAGTCTGACATCAATGACGACATAAGAGGTGAGTGCCTTTTCGCGACACTTAACGTCTTGGTAATCACCGATCCATTCAAAGAGAGAGAGAGTATGTTCATATTTTTCTATTTATCTCGATGATTTATTGTTGAGGAGGGGAAGGAATGCTGAAACTGAATAATTCATCGTTTCGAAAGAATCTTTTTTTTATTTTCCTGAAATTTTCCAGTATTGTTAATAGAATTGATTGTTTCCATTCTTTCCCTTATGTGATTTCATCGTGAAAACATCATTAGCTTAGTGAATTTAGTATACTATGAGATTGATCGGCACACCGATAAAAATTGACGTTTTCCTTATGTTCGTGCGAGAGAAAAAAAAACGCGGAAATGCTCTTTTTAAACACATCTTTCTTACGACAGACAATTCATGATAAAAATTGTTGTTGAAAAGATTGGCCGCGAATCATGAGTCGATGTTCTTTCAGCACGTGATAATACTTAACAGTGTTTTGTTCTCCCTATGTGGATTTAACTCGGTTATCTGCAAACGAGTCATTTCATCCTATTGAATAATTTCTTTTAAATCAAGTCTATCGTGACTAATGTAAACTATTATTTTTTCAAAAAAGAAAAAGAAACGATATATAATATTAATTGTGATGAAAAACGATTTCAAGACGGAAGCTTTTTGTGTGATTTCACTACATAATCGAAAAAAGAGATTAAAAAATAAACTTGCATAAGAAGCAGAAAAAAAGCTACAGCATAAAAAAAAGAGAGGAAGATATGGTTCATGTACTGTTATACCGATGTGGCACCAGGTTTATATCTCACACTTCCATTAACATCACCATATTGACCAGATGAAAGTTCGCGATTCACTAGATGCTCAGCTTCTTCCTAGAAAATAAACAAGAATTGTTAATTCCTCAAGTCTGTTTCATGACGAGTGAAAAGCGAAAAAAGACGAGAAGTGCATGCATGACGAACTGATTACAAACGGGAGTTAATCGTCTTCGGGATGGCCGGCAACGAATGTCACCGTTGGTGTATCATTGGATTTTCGTTTGTTCTTTAGACGTGAATGTGCAGCCTACAAGCAATAACGTGCATATGTTAATTATTTGACGAATGATTTTGTCAATTTGGAATGAAAAGTAAGAAAGAAACGAATGAAAAAGAAAGACTTTACATTTGAATCTAGTGCTGTTTCATCAGATGCGTGAGCTTCTGTGACGAAAATCAATGGAGTGCGTGATGGATCGGAATCGCTTGTTGGTGAATGAGAATTATCCATATAATTTTGTTTTTGTGATGAATCTTTTATAACCTAGATGAAAGGGAGAAATGAATTTTTCATGCACAGTGAATATAAAAAAGATCAATTGTGTTTGCGTGTATCTTTCTCATGCATTTCTAAGTGAGAATCATCAGTTACCGACCGACCTCATCGATACTTCGCAAATCTTTTGTTGTGTTTCGAAACGGATTCATATCAAGGCTATCAAGCGCGGGCTGAAACGGATTTTCATGGAAAAGTCAATCAAAAATCGCCAAACAGATGACCTACTGTTAATGATTCGTCATTGTGAATGTCACTTGCTGATTTCGGTATATGAACATTTCGTGTCGCAGATAAACGACGAACGCGACCCATGTTCTTGCCTGGTAGAATATCATCCAACCAGAAGAGTTCTTCTTGTGTAAATACCTGATCCATTAGTTTACGCACGAAACATGTTGCAAGAACCTAAAAAACCGAGAAGTTCACTGAACATTTCCTTTCATCAAACGAGATTCTCACCAATAATGGAAAACCGATAGCGATTGATTTCACGCTTTTGACCGCAAACATTCCAGCAAGGGAGATGATCTGGATACCTGTAAACAGGTGAACACGACTGATACGAACATGACGTAAATACGGATGATCAGGTTGATGCTTTTGAGGCATAAATATCAATAAGACTCGATCGAAAATCTACGTAAAATGATTTGAGATTTGAGAAAAATTCCGGCTGAATGTCACGTACTTGCATGTTACGAAGAGCCGAAACACCCATAAACATAAATACACCGTAAAGAACCGGCATTGGTATATACTAAAACGAGAACATTCGTGTAGCATAAAGAAACAGATTATTTACTTCTTCTTTTCAGAGAGCAAATAACCATAAATAAGTAGAAAATTATGTGCACGAGAGAGATCAACATCCAGTCGTTTGTGGTGTAATCAGACATAAATTTCTTTTTGTCTACAAAGAAGATAGGCGCGAAACACTTACACTTAGGATTTTTGTGAAAAATACACTAAGTCCAGTTAATATGGCCATGAGAAGAGCACTGACGCGTTGTTCTCTGAAAATAAAAGAAACTTTTTTCGTTGAGTTTAAAGACGCAATGATTTCTTACAGAATTCCTTCGAATTTCGGTTTTTCTCCTGGAGCTGTATTCTCGCTCATGATTTTCAGTGCATTGACATGTGTCAATGCCAGCACTGTTGCTGCGACAAACCAAGGTAAACCGAGCAATGACTGGATTAGAATTGTGATCGATAGAATGAACAAATCCAAATGATAACCAAGTTTTTTCTAAATAGAAAAAAAAGTAAATCTTTCGAAGAGTCATCCATTTGAAAGTTTACCTTTAATTTAAATTCTTTTCGATTAATGATAACAGCCGTGATCTGTTGATCCATAAATATTAATATAGTAGCAATCAGAGCTGGAACGATGGCTATCGGTATTGTCCAAATAGGATTCCGTCCGAAAAATGGTATCAGCCATCCGCGATCGTCCGGTCGCGTTGGTTTAAATTCCGTTGGTACTTTTAATTTCGGTGTATTCAGATGTAAATATGTATCCCACGCTGACATAAGTACAATAGCGATTAAGACAGAAAAATCGCCAAGAATTGTTCGAATCTAAATAGAAATGTGCACATATTCTATTCCGAATGCTACGTTTGTCACTTACTTTCGTTGGAAAAAATGAGCTCTGTCGAAATTCTTGCAAAGTCATACAAATGAAGAAAGTAAAAAGAAAAAGAAGTACGCAAAACAAGAACACATTTGGTTGATAAACTGGTAATGAGCAACCTGGACCCGAAATCTGTCCACCGGCTTTCTCGCACGCCATTTGAGCAGTTTTATTCAATGTTGTAGTATTCAATAAATAACTATTAGCACCAAGAATGGTTGTCCATACTTTCTTCTGAGTTGTATTAAACATACATAAGCACGTATAGTTTAATGGCACATCTGCATCGTAATTAATTGGATATTTCTTTCGAAGACCGAATATTTCTCGCACGGCATCATAAATGAAGATTAGAGCAACTAACGATGCAAAACAATCTTCAGTAAAACGTGTGATGTATTTGACGAGAAAGCTCAGATTGAATGCGACAAAGATAAATAAGAGACAAAAGATCCAAACGCCAATCCATAAGCGAAATTCGAGAAAATTGACCTTATAATCCCTTGGAAAACAATACTATGCAATTGAAATTACCTGTGACAAACAATCTCTCTCGTTACTTGCAAAGATGTTCGATGATACGTTCTAAAATTAACATCGGACCCGTTGCTGAAAGAACATTTAACGGTTGACCAGAAAACAGTGCGTAAACAACACCACTAATTGACGCGGCGAGAATACATTCCATTGTAGCCTGAGAAAAACACATATCGTTTCATTTAGCTTTGATGAAATCATAAATGGAAGAAATGTTCTATTTTAAAGTTATTTTTAGATATTCAGTGCTTATCGAAGTATTGATGAACTCAATATTTTAGTTATTTCTAGATATGCTGACTTTCAAAATCGAGTTAGATGAGAAAGCATGTCAGCTGTTTGTCGGTATGTCAACATAAATAGTATTCACTAATGCGGTTTCGAAAAAATGGAATAATTGGACAAATATAAAAAAGTACAAAGCTTTCAAGTTTCTCATGGTTAATAATAGATATTTTGAAGAAAATTGAAGAGAAGACATGCAACTTACCATGTAATTTTCTGTTGCCGCACCGAGCATGCCACCAAATGCTACTACTGAGCAAAGACATACCAGATAGAGATAGAGTGTAGCGGCTATACATTGTAAACTAGCACAATCCGTGAAATCTGACGGATAAAACGGCAGTTTATTTCGTATGTCGACAAAAAGACCGTGAAACGGCCTAAAAGAAAAGAGTGTTCGAAGTTGATAAGAAAAGGAATATATTTAGTTACCTTTTCGATGCTACTAAATTCGGATCCGCATGTGGAGTTAAATCAATCTCTTCGACTTGTCCTGCTTTCTCCTCGGGTGCTTGAGATTGTCGTTCTTCCTACAAGAAACACATAGATCTATCACAAAGTTCGCCATTCAATGTTACTTTGCTCATGTATTTCGGTGGTGGCTCAATACGAATCGATGGATCCCATTCTGATGGTGGAATAACATATGTATCTTGCATAAATCGATCCATCATTTGCATAACGTCTTCGGAAGATCTAGCTGTGTATGCAAATTCCCTGCAGATATCATCAGTTAAAATCGTTGCCATTGTTCGTCCGATTTGTAATAGTTGTTTTTCGCTTTCCTCAGGACCAATGAGAAGAACGATAAAACGAGAGTAGAGTTTGATTTCAAGCATTCCTAGTAATTCAATAGCATTTTCCAAACGGACGAAGACAATAGTTTGTTCTTTAACGAAATCGACTGGACATATTAAGACCGATGCACCTTCTGTTTTTCGGCTGAGTTTTCGTTGTAATTTCGTATTATAATCCTAATGTCAATAAATTCTCCGTCAACTTTGTACAGATAAGGAAGAGAAGTACTTACCTTGGCGGACGGTGTTGTTGCTGTACCCGAATCGTCACGTTCGGTCAATACCATATCTTGATTTGACGGTTTACTATTAATCAAACGCGGTGCTGACATATCCTGAGCGGTATCCGACTCATCATCTATTGGAAAAATAGAATTCATGCCGAAAGCTCGCAGAGTTTAAAACAAACCTCGTCGGGAAAGACTGTTGATGACAAAACTTGGACTTGCATGAAGGCCTTGCTTTGTTAAACTGATAGAACTCGCCGTTTTTGTTACAGAACGTTTCTCATGATGATGAAAATGCGGCAAACCAAGAATCCAACTAAGCTTTTGCGCATGGGCCGTATCATCAAGATATTGAGCGTCGATCAATGCTTGAACAATCGTTTCTACAAAGACGAAAGAGCGATAAATCTGACTTCGATGTACAAATTGCTTTTACGTGAAAGAAATGCTAAATCAATTGGTTGAACATTAAGTAAAATAACTCCGGACGATATTAAATTCTTCAAATCTAGCAAAGCTGTTTGCATCAATGTTGCCACGTGTGGTTTCGACCAACGACCAAGAACACTTTCTGCTATTTCTTCAAAACGTACCCAACTGAAAGAAATCAGGTAGAACATTAGTAAGAGTAATATTTGATCCTTACCGTGCTTTCTCTTTCCAATAAGCATACTCCCCATCTTCAGATCGGCGAAGTACATCCAATTGACAGAATAATTGCGGCACATCCGTTTCTGTAAAACCCAAATGAAATGGCGATCGCGTTGGCTACGAAGAAGATGCAGAAAAAAAACCGGATAGTTCATTCAATGAAATCTTGAATACCTGTGGGCCAAAAATACTAGTCCTTTTCGACATCATCGATAAAATTTTATATGAATATTCAAATAAAAGATTAAAAGAGCAGCTGACTTTATTTTCTTGCCTCTGACCTTGACTAGCAATCCAAATATGTGGGTGTCCTTTCAATTACTCATGGCATCCTTGTAGATAAATTATCTTGACTCGTTTCATCAAAAGAAATATCTATGCGTGTTTTTCTTTGGAAAAATTTTCACTTAAAAGACAAATGCTTGCAGATGATTTCACCAGAGCAGTCGCGACTAGAAACTTACCTTACCTCTGTCGAACCGGTTGGATGTACTGGTTTCATCATGGTGTCCGTGTCCGAGTGACGCCGGTTGTTTACGCCTATGGAAAAAGAAGAAAGACAGAGAGAGATGAATATTCGTGAACGTGTTAATCCAGCAAATGATTTGAAAAAGTCTTCTCAAAGCTGTCAAAACGTCTATTTACCTGGAATACGAATGTGTGTAGAAAAGAAATTGGAAGATTATGATATACTTACTTCATTATATAGGTGTGTGAGCGTATATATATATTTATTTAATCGATCAACAAAATGAGAAGCTAAAAATCAGATGAAAATCCTTCTCTCTTTCTCTATGCGATCGAATGAAAAACAAAAAATGATCTTAAGCTTTATATACACATAAAGAAAAACTCTTAATCAAATATGTTATCAAACAAAAACGTCAATCGACGTCCTTTCGCCTCGGTTTCTTCTTCGTTATTTTCTTTGGTTTCAAATGTCCGCACTTGTCTTTGACATTCAATTGAAATTATTATCGACATTTTCCTTATCTTTCAAGCATTTACTTTCAAGAGAAATGTTTCGAATCTTAACAAATCAATTTCTACTACCTTTTACACAAACATTTTGTCGAATCGTCTTTTCATCTCTACACATAAGTCAAGAAAAGGTACCGAATTAAACAGTTTCTCAAGGTTAATGATCATTACCAATCCATTACTCAAATGCTAAGTATCAAAGCATAACCAACAACACATATATTTCATCTAATGAAACAACTCATTCTATTCTCATCAAAAGCTAATGTACTTTTAGCGATATTGCACGTTGAAAACACTTCCAAGTCAACACGGTACACATGAAATCCTAATCGAATCCTTTGAAATTGTAATATGATAATGTGTACAATTATTCGAACAACGAAATTTCGTTCTTCAAGGCCGGACGAGTTTAGTCGATTACACTTAATCTTTAACTAAGAAGAAAAACATTTTCATCGCTCACGAGAGATATCTCGTCTAGATTAGAATGAGTACAGTGGAAGTGAATGTACTTACCATAAGGTATGGGTTGTAAATGTGTGTTAAACCGTCGATTGGAATCCATTGTCAAATACACTCAATGCTTCTCTTGTAAAGTTCTTTCCTGAAAATCAAAATCACTAATTATACGACAATATTTTTCTAACATACGAATATAAATAGATGATATGCTTTATACGGCCTTACCTGTGTCATTATCATTCGAGTGATCTTTTTCTCAATCGTCAAAAGGCACATTACACTCACTGATTGACGTCAAACAATTATTTATATATATTTATTTTTTTTATTTCTCAGTTTACTAAGTTATTTTTATTCGACTGCCATGGCCAATGTTAGCTAGTAGGAAGCAAATGTGTCAATGCTAATAATCATCAAGTGATCATGTAATCGAATGATTTATTTCAAAGAAGAAAAAAAAAAAAGAAATTATAGTCATTCAAGTAGAAAAGCGTGGCTTCACATAGAGAAAACAATATTAGCATGGTTTTGAAAAGATTGTTTATCATGGAAGGGTGGAAGCGGAAAAAAATCCGACAAGAAGAGGAGTTTCACAACATGGTTTGTTTCATTCAAATCATTGGTATTGCTGCTGAAAATAGAACATAAAATCAGTTGAATGTCCATCATTCGTGTGTCAATTGTAATAACTATAGGAGATATCATATTGCACTAAATGACATCGATTCAGTTTTATTTTCTAGAAAAGTGTGAAAATAAACATATTCACTCGTCTTTTTGTTTCAAAATCGTTTTCATACATTTGATATTCTTTTTAATTGTCGTTTGATGTGGTATACGTGATGCTGTGCTGTCGACAAGTGATTGGCGACGCCGTTGTTTAGTCACAGATAATCGGCGATGTTGTTCATCCGACGACGGTTTCGATAATCGAGGACTTTTGACGGGTGGATTCGGCTTGTTTGATATCGTTGTATCTGTCAAACGTTTCGTTATTGCATATTGTTCATTGGACTTGTTCGATGAACGACGCGATGACGAATCTAGTTCATCGAGAAGTTCCTCTTCGTTTTCTTTATTTTGGTCGTTCTCATCATCGGACGAATGAGCTGAGAAGACTGAAATGGGCTTATAGGAACGAATTTGATCTAGCTGTAAGAGACCGTTATTGGCCAGATCATGTAATGTGATCGTTTTCGAGGCGAGAAAACATTCCATCATCGTCTCAATTCTTGAGATAGATTGACGGTCAGCTGGTAGACGAAGAATAGATTTGATTTCGATTAGTAATGGAATAAATTGAATACGGACGTTGAGAACCGGATCGAATCCAATAGAAAGTACTGTTTCGAGAAAATTCTCTTTGAAAAAACGTTTCGAGTAATGTACAAGGATTTGCCGGCAAACTTTTATATACATAAGCCGCCATTGATAGGATTTATTCAATAGTAGATCAGTCTTTAGTTTTTGAAAGGCATTTTTTCTTACTGATCGACGAGGTATTTTTCGTAATGATTGAACATAACTATCCACGGCGACTTCACGAACACAGACTTGTCTCTACACAAAAAAAAATGAGATAAGTGGAAGAACGAAAAACTGGAACCCTCTAATTACAGTAAATATACGTGAAAAGATACGCGGTAAGATTTTCGTTTGGATTAATTCACTTGATAATAAACACGGTAGATGAACGAATGCTTGAAGACATAAAATATACGAACGCCATGAAAGCGTCATTTCAAATATCCGCCGTTCATATTCGAGAAGAGAGTTTACAAATATTTCAGGATCAGGAACCTATTAAATATACAAACAACTTCGAAACTTTCTATCCCAGTCCCTCTCTTACTGCTGATGTTGAACAAATTGTTCCATTGATAAAACCTTCGCTTTTATCTCGTGAAAAAATCTTAAAAATATCCAGCAAGTGTCTTGCTATTGCAAACATCACATCATGATTGGTATTCTCCAATAACATCAGAAACCCATTCCAAATGATTGACACATCATTTTTCTCATTCTTATTACAATAGAGTTTGGCAAGCTAAAAATCAAGCCTATAGAAACGATATTGAACAAAAGCTTCAAAGAAATCTGTTCTACTTACAGTAATTATTGTCGATGGCATTGTTGAACAAATGTTCACGTCATTATCTTTACAAAAACGAAGAAATGTATCTTCTAATTCCCTTGTGAATTGTTCATGGTCGAGATAATCGACGACTGACTGAAATAAGGAAGAAAATCGTTCATCGATCTGATGGAAAAGATATTTCCTACCGTGAAATGTTTCGCACATGCTAAGCGGCAAGCTGGAATGTTCTACATATATAGAAATAGGATATTTGGAAAAGTGAAATTCAGTTATCATTTACTTTTTCTTGAGTTAGTCGTAGAAACATTTCTTGAATAAAACTGGCTTCATTAACATTAAAAACTTTTCAAGACAGAAAAGTATAAGATGAAAGACAATGTTTGTAGTTAGTTTTAACTTACTAGTAAACGCATGACATATCTCAGGAAGATGTACGGCGATACTTGTCAGAAATGTTGATGTTCTTGACGACAAACCAAATTTAACAAGAGAAGTGATCATTTCTCGAACTTGTTCATTCCATTTCGGCTCGTTTAATTCGTTGTGAAGTATCAACAATGATTCTAAACATGTTTGACGGACAGTCAGATTCTCATCTTTGGATAATATGACAAGTAATGGTAGAATTAATGTGGATACTTTATCAGACCTAAAACAAAATCTCTATCAGAGAATTCGATGTATTCATGAAGAATTTACTCGAGTGATTGCGCAAGAATTGGTAGTTTCTCACAAGCAAGTGCACGAATATCAGCATTGGTATCGTTGATGAAATTCTTGAATACAGGTAGTAAACGATTTTCCACTCTAGAATCAAAGAAATGGTAAATGCTCGTCTTTTCCCGATTTTTATGTCATACGCTTGTGATGGTAATCGATATGACAGTTTGGCTAGAATGATAGCTAAGCGATCGCGAACATATGAACCGTGTAGAATACGGTTGAAGATCAAATCGAGCAACTAAAATAGAATATTTTTCATGAGTCGAAATTATAACGAACATACCGAAGTGAATAATGTTGAACTTGGAAAGGCATCGATCGTATTGCATAGTGCTTGGCACCATATACCACCGAAATCTGATTAGAAACAAGAATTTTCTCACGGGATGAGAATCATTCATCATTTACCTGTGGAAAAACGATTTGTAGTTGTCGGAAACAGAAATCCGCATATCATTTGTGAAAAGCAAGACATAAAGTCAGAATATGACAATGCTTGTTGTTGAATCATCAATACAATAGCTTCAGCACCAACTACGTGTTCTTCACTATCAACTGTCTGTTCAATGATTGCCTAAAACGATAAATCAATTAGGATTTTGTCCTCCGAATACACGAAACCTACTTTAAATTTCGGTAGTATTTGCTGTGAACCTTCAACGGGATATGAAATTACAATCGATGGTACTGAACGAATGCCCGCTAGACGTTGAATATCCGATTGAGAACTAGATAGATACGAATAGAACTGATGAAATGAATGTTAAGATACATACTCTAGCAATGCCAATGTTTTCGCAACTGGCGTAAGGTTTTCCGGAACTGTATGTGCTCGAATTTCTTCTGCAGTCTAAAGACATATTGATCTTGTTCAACGTGATTCAAACAATATGTTCCATTACTTTAGATTCCACGGCGATCTTTTCAAACCAATAATCGTTGAGATCATCCCGTCGGCGATGATTCGTCGTGATATTTCGAGTCATTGATTAAATCTACAAGAAAAATTCGATACGTTGTTTACTGTATGGCTCATGTCCATGGTAAAAAATTTGAAAAAAGACAAATTCCAATAATCACGTAAGTCATATAATAATAGAAAAGAAATGTTTGTTTCTTAAATAAATAAAGAATTCTTCTAAGATTTCCATTTTTTATATCGTCTTGTTTGAGTTGATCAGCCGAAATCAAATATAAGAATGGGCCGCTGGAAAAAAGAAAACGTGTTGCTACTTGTATGTGCATGACGAATAATGCAAAGCAACTTAAAAAAAGCATGTAAATAACGTGAGGAAGAAGATCTTTTCTCGCCAACCAAATATTGATTTTTTCGTCGGTTTTATTTGTAAATAAAAAATCGAACTTTCTCTTCCAGAGATCTGGTTTAATCAATTGAAACCAGGTGATTATCGATTTACTAATGAGAAGATAAACTGGAATAGCTAACAGAAAATTCGGGATCTGTTTCCAAGTGTAATATTTCAAGAAACCAACATTCCAATACGTTTTTTGGACATATTGATACGAGAACGGGAGTATTTTTCGACACCATTCCGATGAGAAGTTACTTAATGGCATAGCCAAATCATTTTGAGAGCCATAGATTTGAAATTCGAAGGAAATTTTCTTTTCGAAACAATATTCTTTATATAAATAGTATTGCGTCATAAAGAATGGGCAAATGAAGAGAATAAGATAGTATAATGGAAAGATTCGTCGTTGTCGTAGATAATAATAGACGATAAAAGCGAATGAAACGATACCATTCGAACGTGTTGTCGAACCCAATGCAAAACATAAATACGAATAGAATACACGATGAGATTGTAAAAAATAATGACCTAATAATTGAGTGAATAGAAATAACGTTTCCGAATATGGAGCAATGAAAAATATCGTTGCTGGATTGATGATATAAAGTATTGCAGACCAATAAGCATGATTGGGTGTCAGATGATATTTCAAAGCGATCTTATAAATTAAATATGTATTGCAAAATCCCAGAAAGAAGTTGATCAAAATTGAACTTAATAAATAAGAATTGGATTCTTGTAGAACTAATTTCAATAAATAAGCAAATGGACGAATGAATACTAGTGGATATGTTGGAAAGAATGCAAGAGAATTTTCATAGATATAACCATATCTGGCTATGTGAAGGAAATGTACAGCATCCCAACGGCGTAAACCGGAGAAAAATCGTTCGATAGATGTGTCAACTAGTGTTTGATTTGCTGATGGCCATGACGGTGGGTAGAAAACGTTCGCATCATGGTCAGGTATGATTATATTTGCAAAAAACTAAAGAATAAATATAGACATCGGGATCGATTTTCTTTCTCTAAACGAACTTGAAGGAGATATTGTGCAAATCTAATTTGACAATAAATCCTTAGAAGTGATTGAATAATCATTTTTCAAGAATAATTGGTTACTAAAGAAAAGTAATGTGAAATTCGATTTCGATTTTCAAAGTCAACATCTGATTGGTGGATGCGATGGACCAATGAAAGAGCTAAGTGCTATGGGGAAGTCATTTATGACTCAGAAACAGAAAAGAAAACGAGTGATGGTGAAATTTGTCTTTTTTCGCTTACCTATCGACGATCGTATTTTCTCATTGCGCAGTGATTGTTTTGATTCAATGCAGATTTAAGAAAATAGAACTTTGAATGCGATTACAATTGAAATTTTTTCAGATATAGCATGGCTTTTCGTCGACCTCGTGTTAATGTTAAACCAAATGTGCCTGCAGTACGGCCAGCGAGCAGTATTGCACGACCACAGGACACATCCGCTGCACCAGCACCAGCACCAACACAAGAAGAGCAGATTGTCGAGCAAGTTGAAACAGCGTCGACTTCACCGACAATCCAAGGTAAACTTGCACAGGAAAAAATATATTCTTATACGTTAGTAATACTTTTCAGAGTCTCTTTCCGACGTCGTTGAAGAAACAAATGAAACGCCAGCATTACCTACTCCTACATCCCTACCGCCTCCACCTGATCCAGTTCCAATCGAACGACTCGCTGTACCTATTTCTGTTCCAATTGCTCCATCCTCTCCACCTCCTCCTGCTCCTCCTGCTTCTACACCGGCTTCAAGACTGATATTTCGAAAGAAAATAGCACCAAATATTGGCGTTAAGTCTGTCATACATAATCGCCGGTATGTTTATCGATGCGATTTGAATTCTCTCAACAATTTTTTGTCTATTATCGCTAGTGCATCTGCTAGTTGTTCAGGTACAGAAAGTGAAAGTGAATCAGTTCGTCAAAAACATTCAACAGCATCTTCAATCACCTACACACGAATCGTTCCATCAACCTCCAAGTTCGTTTTTCACTGTCAAAAAGGTCCCATTCTCTGAATTTATCTCTATTTAGAACAATTGTTGAAAGCGAACCTCAACTAAATCCTACGTCAGATACTTCAGTCAACGAAGATGTTAGCAATTCGACCAAACTTGAAGCAATGATAACAGACTCTCCAGAAATTCAACCACCGGTTATCGATAACAGTCAATATCAAGTACCGTCTCTGCCAACTCGAATGAATACTAGAATTAGCCGTGAATATATCAGTCAGCACATCACATATCGAGCACAACGACTCGCGGGAAAAGTCGAACCTGAAATGGTAAATCGAATCTTTTCACTCTTATCCTTCACAGTGCGTTTTGCTTTTAAGACTATACGAAAACGTCGTGCAGCAACGCTCGAAAAATTGGACGAAACTGGTACTAACAAAGGCACGCCAGTTGATACATCAAAATTAAAAATTGCTGACTTTGTTCATTACAATCCTGTTGACAATCCCATGGAGTAGGTTTTCATTCGCATCTCATTTTAAAGTATTCGAATATTCTTCTAGAGTCAAACAGAAATCAACAGTCGACACTTCCACCAACCCTGTCCGGAAACACAGTTTTTCAAGCACAGATGGACAGAATTCAAGTTTAGCTCCACAGTTGAAAATCGATGCTAATGGAGTTTTAGTTGTTGATGAAGAAAGGTAGAGTTTTGTCTTTGTTAACATTGCACTATTTATGTTAACATCTTCTTATTTAGCTTATACATTCGAAATATGGACGACACTCCTCGAAACACAGTGATTGTCGAAGGACAATTCAATGATGATAATTTAACGCATCAAAGTTATCGTAAGATTGGACGACGAAAACGTTGGAGTACTCGAGGTAGATGCTTGTTTTCGTTTTTATTCGCAAAGTAATTCTATTTTTGATTAGATACATTACGGTTTTATCAAGCGCTACGAATGTGCGGAACTGATTTTACGTTAATCGCACGTGTTTTTCCTAATCGCGATCGAGATGACATCAAAAGAAAATTCAAAACCGAAGATAAAGCAAATCGAACACTGATTGATTCAGCTTTGAGTACGATTCGATAACAAGAAAGTTTTTGGATTTATTTCTATGAAATCTTCTAGATCAACGCGTTCCATTCGATCTAACATGCTTTTTTTCTCCATCAGAAGAATCGTCCGACGATGAAAATGGTGATATGAACGATAATCGAACGAAAAAGGGACGAAAAGGACGATTAATCAAACGAAAATCTAAACAAGTAGGATCAATTCTCATTGATTCGATCGAATATCAATGTTGTCTTCGTAGACATCATCATCTGATCCGTTGGAAATCAATCGACGTCGAGAGAGACGATTACAATCAAGTAAGATCAGATATCTGTCGGCACACACACATCTCATTTTGTTTATTCTTCTTTAGAAAAGAACAGTACTCGTGTAAAGAAAAGTGCAGAGTTCGTCGATGACGAAGATGAGGATGAAAACGAGGATGAAAGTTCCATGGACGTCGCTGATACAGTTGAAGTCTCCACAACACAACCGATATCCAAAATGGAACACACGTAAGAAATTCTTTGTATCATTATCAGAAGCTTTTTTGATCTGAAGAATGAGATTTCATTCGATGAGTTACCCTTGAATTCGAGTCTGCTGATAGATAGAAGAATTTACGTGTTTAATTACCTATTTTCAAGGCAATTCGATCCGTTAATCTTCAAGATTGTCTAATAGATACTTCTTCCTAATTATAATCGTTCAGCCACTTGAAACACGAGTCCTTCCGTCTGGTACTATCGTTTAATACTTTATCTATTATGTCATGTAGGGATTGAATGTGGTTTGCACTTTGTAGTTATACTTGTCAACAGTGAAGTTTATCTTTAGCCTCTTATGTTAAGCGTATAAACCAAGAAATTAAACAACGCATATAACACATCTGTTGTCACCTTCGAACTTAGATGGAATTTCCTTGACGAATGAATATTTCAAATGTTTCTATTTAATTACATTTACAATATTGATGTTTCCATTTCAGAATTCCTCCAACGCAAACTGAAGAAGATGCAACTGATGTAAATGATCTATGAAATCTTCTGAGCGTTGTTTCATTGATATCTATTCGACTTTTTAGAATTCGTTGACTAATATGGCTGAATTAGAAAATCTTCTCGGTCGAATCGACGGTGGTCATTTATTATTTGTGCATAATACCGATGAGACAACTGGTCTTGATCGAATCGATGTACATGTCGTCATGCCGAATACAATTGAGAATAATCCTTCCGAGCAATCGATCTAGTTTCTCTACACATTCATCAAGAAGTGTACTCGTTTGTTTTTTTTTCTCTCTTCTCAAGTCAAATGTATATAGACAGAAGAAAAAGCGTACCCAACAATTTTTGTTATGCTAGAACAACTCAATATTACATATTTTTTATGTTTCGTTTCTTTTTTTTTCATTGTTCTTCTAAGATAAAGTCAAAACAGCGTCATAAACACTTTTACCATGAGATCGTTGAATTAATTACATTCTTATGGCAAATAACTAGATGGTGATGTACTCTACTCGTTCTGTAAAACTCAATTCTTTTGTTTTTCCTATGAAAATAACTAATTTTGCTTTTGAGAACTACCTGGAGGTAACGGATGTCTTTTGTTACTGGCAAATCGTCCACGTCTATGATTTATCCAAGTAATTTATAAGATCTGCTATAAACTTGATATTCAGTCACAGTTCTTTAAGCATGTGTTGAATAGAATCGTAGATCAGATGTCTACTTAGAATAAGTAGTATATTGTGAATAACTACCGGACCGCTGTTATTGAAACATGATATTTATGACAAATTATGACTTTACTTGGTTTGTTATGTTTCCGAGCTTAGGTGGAAAAATATAACATAATCCTTACAATACACACGTAGGAGTTTTAATAAATATACACGTGCTGTTGACATATCTGTTTGATTCCCCGCATGGATTCGTCGTATGCGATAAATAGGTGATAGTCGAAGTGAAATATCTTTGAAAGAAGGAGTTGTTAATAGAATTTTGATGACGTTACTAATAGCTACTCGAGGTCGATAACAATTAGAAAAGATAGAATATACAAAAGAAACGGACAGAAGAGCTGTAATGAGAAACTGAGAGAATTGTCAAAGTTTTCTTTCTAAAGAAAGTCCTATTTAGACAAAAAAGTGAAAAAGTACCTTGTCATTCTGTTCACACTCCCTTTCCAAGTAAGTTTAAGACATTTCTTATATTTTGTCAACTTTTGACATATTGCACATGATGCAAAAAAGTGTGGGGAATAAAATGAAGATTTGTCAACAATAACTTTAATGTACTTCAGATTTGCATACGTCAACAAATCATGTAGGAATATCAAAAAATAGACTTTTTGAAGTATTGTTTCATGGTGAAGGATTACCAAGCCTCATTCTTGAGAGCTGCCTCCGTAATCTTATTTTTAATAACTTTCTTAATTCATCTGTGCAGTACAGAGAAACTCAATTAACGCGGAAACTGACATATATATCACACGCGACACAATTTCTCTAAGATATACTCCTATGTAAACAATCTCACTTCGTACAGGTATTTGTATGAATCACAGCTGTGTGGTGTTTTTTCCGTTTCCGTTTCACACCTTAGTTCTAGTGTGAGAATGTCAATTGAATAAGCATGATATTGACGTATGACTTTACAGAGTGTGACAAAAGAGAAGAGAAACCCGTGGTGTGTTTATGACAATCTCAAACTGATAATCTGATGTTTAATACAGTTACGAATCGTCTATCTTCTGTTATAAACTCTCAAGTCTGCTAATAGTGACATGCCAACAAGTATAAAAAATACTTGCAGTTCTTTTCTTTTACAATCGAAAGTCCATTGTAATCGAACACCCACTCGTTATTCGTCGCTAGATTTCAAATGTGTCAATAGATTTTTTACTATTTTCTTTCGTGCGAAAACATAGAATAGATGAAATATCAGAAATGATATTATATGAGGGGGTGGGTTTTTTTTGAAAGTATAAAGGTAATCTTATTTAGACATATTTTAAATATATGACCGACACAGTTTAGATGTTATATGTTTTTATAATCTACGTCAGCAATTTTGATAAAATAATGTAATATTTATTTTTCATCGACGTCAGCCCTTATTCGACAAATATGAACAGCTGGAATCTTTCTCTTATTTGAGGATTTTCTCTAATAATCTATGTTTTCTCTAGAGAAAAAACAATAGAAGAAATTATATATATATATATATATATATATTTAAAGTTTTCTTAGGTTTATTCACGTAAACGCCATCTTTTTGACAGTTGTTTGATATAATTACGACAACTGAATCCTATTCATCACGCTGCAAACGTTCTTAATTCTTCGAGAATACTTTTTTCCATTAAAGTAAAGCGTAAGCATCCTTTTGTCTTTTTAGAAACATGAGAGCAAGAAACTCATCAGATTTTCCAGTCTTGCACCGAATCAAATTGACGTAGATATCTGTCTTTCTTATGATCTTTTTTTGTCTTTCGAGCGATGCAGTTCTTTTTCTCAGTACTGGATTGAGCCTATAAATAACATGTCTATAACATCGGATACATGTTTCTTTCTGCAGTATTTAAGATAAGTGACACAAAACGCTCTGTTCTCACCGACGCAGAGCTTTGTAGTGCAGTGCAACATACTGTAAAATCACTACTTTTATACATTTTTCAGGTGCTAACGATCTAATTATAAGATTCGATTATAAACCCAGTCGTCAAGGTATCAGAATGTAATTTCCCAAATTTGAACCAGTTTAGTCTTTATATGTCACACGATAGACAGATCTGGAGAGACCATATGATTATTTTTTTTCTATTGCACCTGAGCTGATATAGGCTAGTGATGCGTAGTACAAGGCAAAATCAATCGCGTGAGCCCATTGATAGCGGAGTGGACGTAGATAAACATTTTCTAAGAGAATACACGAATACCGTGACTTAGAACAGAATTCTAGTTTATCTCTATAATTAACTACCGTCATCAAACGTAAGAAGATAGTACAGGAATATTCTATCACGCGAGAAATTAATATACCTCGCTTTTGTGAAAAAGATTCAACACGGCTAGTACTTGAAGTACCACATCGGTAGGATATAGGTATCTTGTTTTGTTTCAGAATGAACAATACGTGCGTGATCCTTGTGCTGTTCTTTGCATTGGTTTCATGTATATTATCCTCGTATCTTGATATCCCACCGCCACCTGAACGACCTATACGCTTCAAAACCAAAGAACAAATTGAAAACTATCTCAAAGCTGTGAAAGATTATTATGATGCATTTAAAGTAAAGCTTGTTCGTCGAGATGATTCAACTTCAGACGTGCATAACGACTGGAACAAATTCATCAATACTGTCGATCACAGTGAAGATTATGGTACAGACGACTCTCACGACGAAATGCGTCTATTAAAGAAATTATACAATAATTATAAACAAAAACATCCATCAAGAATGATGATCAGACCGGCCGAACAAAACCGCGTCACATAATGGATTCCCATTTGTATGAAATTAAGATATTTTTCTTGAATATCAAAGGCAAACGAGAAAAAGTTTTTTTTCTTCTAAAACTATCATTAATCAATCTCTATGTCGTCTGCTTTTTATCTGTTTTATCCAAAACATACCTATATGTTACAAAAAAGAAAAACAGCAAACATCACGCGTTTTAACAGATTGTACGTAAACAATAAAATTAATCTTCTTACCCCGAATTTTAGTTGATGTTTTTCAGTTATGAACATATTTTTAATATAAATACACAACAATCGATCGTTCTAGTTGCAAAGTCTTTTCTAAGCCTTCTCTGGATATCGAACTAAGCTTAATGAATGTAAAATTTATCGATAAACTATGAACAAATTCTCGTAATTAATCATTGTTTGGCATGCGATGCAAAGAGTGTTGTTACCACATACACTTCGAAACCTTTTGTTCATTAGAATACGTTTCCACTAAATGCCCCGAGACAGAACAGGAAAGGTCTCTCCGTCACGCAGTAATTGCTTCGATCAGAAGTAGTAAGAAATCGTGTCCTATATTTATTAGAAAACCATGCGAGAATTCTTATTGCTGCTAATCTCTCAAGATTAATGGGATTTGATCATGTAGAATAATCAAAACAACATCGAGACATACTGACAACAAAATTACATATATAGAAATGCAAAATTCGCAACGGCAGTCGACAGACAGTGTAGAGAACCGATTTTCGTCAATTGTTTTTCTTTCTATCAGACAGTTCTTGTTGATCTTCAATGCTTTTATCTATTTTAATTAGATTAGAATGTCCGGAATGTCGCAAGATAAGAAGACGAGTAAATAGAAGTAGACTGCAGATTATTCCAGGTGCCATACGATCAAATTTATCATTTAATGCATAGTGAGTGTAGATTGCGCCCAACATCAAAATTAAAAGAACAATATTTGCGAGTTGCTTCAGCCGACCTTAAAGTGGATTTTGAGAGCAAATTTTGAAAAGGAAACACTTTTCTATTTACCAGGTACAAGAACGAGAGTAATTCCGCACACAATCTCCACAATTCCCACAGTTAAACGATAATTTTTCGCATACGGGCGCCAACCGGTGAGTTGATAAAACGGAAAGACTTTATTATTGCGACCGAATTCTTGTTTCTAATTGAATTGTATTGAAGAAAAATTTCTCAAAAAACTTGAGGAAATCTTACCATATCTTCATAAACATCTGGAAAGTACCTAGGTGTAACTTTGAATTGACCCATGAGAATAAAAAACATGCCAAGAGTTAATGTCAAAACGGATGGAGCTAATGAACTCATTATCTACAAAACAAAATGCAAATCTAGTCTACTATTGGCAATGAAGGTGAAGATTGTTGAGAATCGAATTTTAATGCTACATATGTTTCTCTCTCAAAATTGTAATCAACGGTATCGGAAGATGCTTCGGACATTGTACGTTCACGGTGGATCTTTGTATAGATTAATTCCATAGGTTGATGATCAGATACTGATGAACTTTCTTCTTCACATGTGATGATAGTAACCCGATCCGATTCAATTTCCAATGATAAGGCTAAGAGAGAAAAAGATGTTGAATTGAAAATGGGTCCTTTTCTTTCACTTACACTGATATGATTGTTGAGACGGAAGCGCTTTGTTTTGTTCGGCGAGTGATCTATTTAAAGAATGGATTCGTTGCAAGAGAGTTTCTTCCATTTCGTCATTTAATCCTAAGTCTAATTCTTCATCGTTCGCTCGTCGTTGTTGTTGTTCTTTGAACAGTTTTCTTCGACGTTTTCGTTCAAGTTTCGTTTCAAACGATTCGTAACGATGTTTGAGTTGAATTTGTGTATTGGCAATCTTCTTCGGTATCGCTTCTCCGGATTGTTCTTTCGTTCTATCTCGAAGCAAATGATCAATCGTTTGAAATAAACGCTTCGTTGGCATTAAACTTATCAATGGTGAAGCTATTGGCGTTACTCGTTTTGGTGTCAACGTTTTCAAAACGTCTACAATTTCAGAAAATGATGAATGTAATGAGTAACATAGACGATAGCCGAGATATTTATCTGGGTAAGTCGTTACTGATTCATAATCTTGGAAGCCAAGACAGCGGTTTGTCAAGTTTTGGTTGAAATTCGAATGATATTCATGGTATTCGACTAATAATTCACCTATAAACAAGATCTTCGATGTTTGAAAAACAATTCAGATCGAATTTACTCGCAGCAACTTGTTCGGTGAACCACATGATTGACAGAAATATTCGGATAGGCTTGTCGCAGGTTCGAAATAGTGAGCAAGGCTCAGTATAATTTGACGCTGCTGAGCGACAGGCATGTAAACGTGTGACAGTTGGGTCAGTTGTTAAACACTCTTGTATAATAGGTAAACATGTAAAGAATTCGTATTGACTTTGTTCAACGTGTACACGCATATTCAGATTCTCATATAATGTTCGATAAATTTGTTCGTAACCGACTCGAGCACTAAAAGTGAATAAGTTTCAAATATTTCAAAATTTGAATTCGTCGTCAATACCTTTGCTTGAAATGAAAATGAACATTGGATTCTTCTTTCAAACGCGATTTTATCCAAAGAATGAGAGCTTCACAACTGACTTCACGAGTTGGAATGTGTAAAATTTCCGGACGAAAGAATGTCATGTCAATGTAAAGATTATCAATAGGTTTGAAAATATAATTATCGTCATTATCAGTGCGTCGACGATGTAGATGAGTTAATCGTTTACTTTGGCCGTGATAAAGACGAAAATCACCAGTAAATAGAACATTTCCATGTGCACCCTCGATCCAAATCATGATCGAGCCCGGACAATGTCCTGAACCAAAACAAGTTACCACAACGGTTTCGCCAACATTCGGTGTATGAAATGCGAGAGTATTTTTTAGACTTTCATTATCTAGAATTATTCGCCTACATACGAGATAGGGCTATAAACTATTTACCTGCGCCATCTTTTTTCTTGGCTTGAACAGGATCGTTTGATCGAATTGTTAATGTAAATGGTTGATCAATTGGAACTGATTTGAAATAGGGCACTAAATGTCGATATATTGGCATCGTACTGAGTAGTTGTTTGGAAATATCTGACATATAGATTGGTGCATTGATTTTAGCGACATATCGACCGAATTCCGGTCGTTCTAGACCAACAAGATGATCCAAATGAATATGTGTAATAAAAAACATTGTACTTGTATAATTATAACTTTCAAATGAATCGATCGAAATGAGAGGATATTCCTCCAGAATACCGTGGTAAGTACACATGATCAGTGTTGAATATGAACGTCAGACGTTCACGAGGAAGTTAGCGAACAAATCTAATTACACTGTCCACTCATTGTTTGAGACATAGGACAGACGAATAGTTGATCATCATATGAGACAATGATCTAATATTCTGATTTGATGAAAACATGGTATCAATTTTTCAAAGTTTTTTAATGACACTTTTAACTTATTTGACTAGGAATGTCACTATTGAAAAATACTGTTCTATTGTAAGACAAAATTACAGATAATAATTAGCGCCATCTCTTTCACTGTTTTACATATGAACGAAGGAAAAAACTTTTAGTTGATCACTATTTGTCGTACAATCTAAAAATATTGAAGTAATATGCACACATGTTATTTGTGATTAACATTAACTGAATCGAATAGAAAGAGAAAAGGAAATCATGCACAACCAAGTTAGAAATGACCGAGAGCTATGGTGTGAAATATCTCGTGTTAAAGGACAATTGTGTCATCTATCATTATATGTTTAATGAAATAAGAACCATTTACTAACGAGGGAGATTCCTCGCTAGGGTGTCCAAAGCCTTTAGATCCCATCTCTTGATGATAGGTAGACGTCGATGAGCTATGAAAAGCCTCAAGAGGATTCATCTCCTCGCGCCTTTATTTGTGAGATATTTAATTCGTAACATACATACAAAACTGAGCCGAAGTTGGAATGCTCGAGTGAATATATTCAACATAACTCAACCATCGAAGTTTCCTGCACAGAAAAAATGACATATATAGACAAAGAAAAAAGGTTCATTAACAAATTTCATCAAATCTTCACTTAGATTTTAAGTTAAGGACTGCTCATCCATTAATGTCGATTTTATTAATCTGACTTATTTTAAAAAAAGCATTAGCTGCTTCCAGACTTCCATTGAACGGTTCATTTGTTCAGTTTTGGAAAAAGTTATTGTATTTTGAACATTGAAGAATATATTCATAGATAACATCAGGTGGATATGTGTTCAGATCAGAGGCAATCTTTATACTAGCAACAACAACAATTGTACCAATAGCCAATACTTTATATTTGCGAGGTTTGATACTATCAGCAGCAATAGTAAAGCAAATAAAAACGAGTTCATATATTAACAGCTTTAATTTGTCGATTTCTTTGATTTGATGAATATCAATGATGAATAAATTGAATTCATCATTAGCCGTTCGTTCACCGTGAATAATCCATGTTTGACGTATACGATTCCTCTGTTGTCTTGTTGATGCCAATAGTATTGTTGAATTATCTTGTAGAGCTAATACTTTACCAAGTAAAATACGCAAATTCGAATCTCTCGTGTCTTGAATACGTTCTTGAAGTTCAGTTTTATTAAACTCTTTTGACAAATCATGAGTTAATACAATTCTATTTTTCATTATACTTAATCGATTGACATCGTTTGCTATTTTTCTAATATAATTCATCGTGTCCAATGGATTAAAAACATCTATATATGGTAATGTGTGACTTTCAATCACATTTATTTCATGATTTCTTGCTGCTTGTGTAGTACCAGTGATACTCTTAATGTATAGAAAATAAAATTAATTCACATCAAAGAAAAATACTAAATTTACTTTCATCAGTAGTACTTGATAAAGTACCGACACAGTTAAGAAATAAACTTTCATAAGACAATTCAAAGGAAGACAACGAAAAAGTAGATCGTTTGCTCGTCTAAGTGTGAATATTTTTCTTTTCTTAGTATTTATTATTTTTCATAACTGATTCATTTATACAGAGGCTTTTTCCTTTGTTTTTTTTTCGTTCTACTACTGCGTCACTTGGTTTTCTCCCTTGGTTTTTTCCAGATATTTTCAAAACTTAAATAGAAATTGAATTTCGATATTATTTCACATAATATATAGTTTGACAAACGTTTATTCATAGTAAAATACACAACATGATTCTATTGATCTTAACTATAACTCTATCTATCTCGACGATAAACTGTGGACAGGTTAGAATTTTGTAAAATTTTCATATTTGAATCTACAACTTTTTTTAATCGTTAGATGAAAGCTCCAGTGGAGCTTAGTTTTGGAGAATTTGAGGGATATGTTGAGCATGCAAAAACGAATAATAAAGTCTTTGATTTATTACATGAAGATTTCAAATATGAATATTCCACGTATACAAGTTATACCATAGAAGAATTTCAAGAAGAAGTTAATGAAATGAAAAACATCGATGAACGAAATTTTCTCCTTGCAATAAAACTTCGGGGAAATGGTCGTACCATACATACATTAATTGATGATAGCAGTTGGAGTTATACAAATCATACAACATTGTTGGCTACTTATGTTCGAAACTCAAGACATATCGAACAATATGATATACTTTATATAAAAATTAGTCAAACTAAAAAGATCGATACGATTAAATTAGCAGCTGCTTTGACGGCAGCAGGACTAATAATTACAGCAGGCCCATTTGGAATGGCATTAGTTGGACAAACTGCAACTGCTGCAGCAGCAACAGCAACCGGAGCAAAAATTGCAGCTATCGCAACGGCAGCATTTAGTGGAACAAAAGTTGCAGCAGTTGCAACGACAGTATTAGGTGGAACAAAAACTGCAGTTGCTGCAGCATCAGCAGTATGTGGGACAAAAACTGCACTTGCTGCAACAGCAGCTGTGACAGCAGGTAAAATTATTCACGAAGCTTCCGATATGTATGACGTAGCAATTGGCTACGGTATTTATCAAATGGTACAGAAAAAAATCTTTCATATCGACAATGGTCAGATATATTTAAAGCTTTCATAAAACTTTTCTGTATATCTTCTCGATTTGAAAAATAAAATTAGATGTCTGACCACCAATAATATTTTCCATCAATGAATTTAGTTGAATAATTATCGGAATCATCATTTGATTTAATTCGATGTTCCCATTCTTCACTCCACGATAGATCTGTATTAAAAATACACAATGAAAATAGATGACAAGTAGTTTCGTTTATTTTGGATAATAAATAATCTAGAGTTGCATTAATCGATCGATGAGAATAACCAAATGAAATATATTGAAGATGAGGACAAAGATGAATTAATACTTCCATCATTTTCTTCGTATAAGTATTTTTAATAACAAGATTTTTTATTTGATTTCTTTTCGATACTAATCGAAAAATTTCACTTTCTTGTATTGATAATAAATCATGAGGAGTCTCCTGGATATTTACCCAAGTTAATGTATGAACATTGAATGTAAATTGTAAGATTTTAATTAAAATACCTAATTCTGAAGAAATATTATTCATATTTAATGTATTAAGTCGTGAGAAAAGAATAGTTTGTCGAAGACGATCAATTAATTGTTCGTCACCATTAACAATAGACCTTTTAGAAAAAGTTAATTCTGTTACATTTGGGAAATATTTTAAAGAATTATGAAATACATTTATATCTTCAATTGTGATATGTTCAACTGAATCACAATTTACTTTGTTGTAACACTTACATTTAGCAGTATATAACTCGTCATTGAATGTAAAGAATTTTTTTCTATAAAATCAAATAATGAAATTGAAATTCAATTTTTTCGAATTTTACCGAAATGGACGAAGAGAACAGAATATTTCATGCAAATATTCTATAGACATCGGTACATGACTGAAGAATTGTTGTCGAATTCTTGGTAATGTGGATATATAAGGATCATAAACCGAATGATATATTTGTCTCGTATCATTACAAAGTCCTGTGATTAATTGATGAACATCAACAGTATGTAAATGTGGCATATAAGGTGATATTGATGGTTTCCATGTATTAAAATGAGTCGAATATTGTGCAGATGAAACATGTAAGATTTTAATGTTCCGAGAATATTTTTCAAGAAATTCTTTAATACTTTTACGTGGAAGAAGATTACTTACGACAGAGATATGCGTTGAGTTGTTTAATATCATGAGAAATATAACTGTTTCTGTTAAGCAAAATTCATGTTGATAGGTTATTGATAATCGACGAATTTTTGGAGTATGTGATAGAATCATATCGACTTCATCAAGATCAACATTATCAATAATAATAAAATGTTCAATAGAACTTAAGAAATTCGAAGATAAAGATTTAGATCCTAAGGGAATATTCCTTTCAAAATGAATTTTACAATATTTTAATGTTGATAATTGAAATATTTGATTGTATATAGTCATTTTATTTGAACCATTACTAACATAAATGGACAATGAAGAGAGATTCAATAAAAAAGATAAATCAGGAAGGAGTTGTTCGAGAAATGTTGATTTCATTTTTCCCAAAAAAAGTGATCGAAGTTGATAACATTTTGGGATATTTTCGAAAAGAGAAGTAAAGAAATCTATAATGAATATATCCACTAAATGTAAAGATATGATTTGATGTTTTTGTGGCAAAATGAATTGTTCATAAAAATATTGAAATGTTCTTTTAGGTAATGATGAAATATTCATTTCAATTGAAAAATTTACGTTCATACAAACATTTCGAAATCGTTCATTAAGATTAAAAAATCCTTGATAAATATCATAACCATCAAGATATTCAAATATTTCATAAATAAGTTCATTGGAAAGATCTTCCAAACAAGTTTTACAAGATCTACAGATAAAAAAGTTTTCTGTATTATTAATTACTCGGAGATGTTTTAATACCTACTTTACCAACTCTTTTGTTGTGATTGACATTTCTGAACTAGAAATGCGTGGAAATTTTCCTATTTCTTCATTATTATGATCATTGATATTCGTCGATTGAGATCGGTGTCGTTTTAAACCATTCATATTAAAAAGTTTGCAAAAGAATATAATTCAAAGTACAATGTCAGATTAGATTTTAACAGTAATATTGATATATATTCGATGCATTTCATATATTTGTGCAATTACATTGTCGTATTTTTACGAAGTAGAATAGAAAAAGAAAGTAACAATCATCGTCAGGAAAGGAAGAACAAGTGTTTCAAAAAATTGACGAGAAAGTAATATAACACAACCAGAAAATTTCATTAGCATAGTGATGGTTTATAAAATGATTTCAATGAATATAATTTAGTGTCGATGATAGTTGTATTTGTATTCTTCTCTGACGTTTACATCGTCAATTTTGAATACTTTTAGTATATCAAATGATGAAAAGGTATTCATAATTAGTTCGAAAAAAAGAATAAAAGAAATGTTAATTTGTTGTATAATTAAAAGCATCCCACCATAATTGATTAACATCTTTATAAGGTAGATTATTTTGATCATCTTTATCCCATGGTTTTGATAAAATAAAATGAATAATTTTTATTTTGGAAATATGCCAAATATTTGGATGAGTTTGAGAAAATGTTTTTAATGAATTATAAATAGATGGTAAACGTTTCCATGATTTTACATAATATTTATTTAAAAAATCTTGATCAGCAAATTTAAATTCTTCTAAATTCCAATTATTTAAACAATTGAAGACCCAGCCCCCACCCAAAATTCTATTTTCTCTATACAACATCCGATCTTGATGGAACTTTCAGGGAAGATGTGTCCTGGGGTGGGCACCCTGTGGTAAAAATTTCAGCTTGAAACCTTGAGCCTTTCACGAGATAGCTTAATATTAATGCTCAAAAACTAGGTCTTCGTGCGTCCCAGATTTCTTCGCCATTTTGAAAGCTAGAAAGCTCGGGTTTGTTTTAAATCGTAGCTAATGTCCACCACCACAACTTAACAGAGCCCGACTTTTTAAATATTTCTCTAGTTTGGTTTTTAAAGAAGTTTTATGTAACAAGATGAAATTAGTAAGGTGAAAGTTCTCAAACATTTTCTCGTTATCTAACACCAATCGTGAAATCAAAAAATCGGGCTCTGGTAAGTTATAGTGGTGAACATTAGCTACGATTTAAAACAAACTCAAGCTTTCTAGCTTTCAAAATGGCGGGAAAATCTGGGACGCACGAAAACGTAAAAGCAAAAGATCTCATTATGAGAAAAACGCAAAATAGTTTTTAGAAGTGTGTTTCATGAGTTTTCATCCAGTAATGCTGTTTTTTTTTATCATCTTTAATAATAAAAGACGCTTTTTACTCATTATAGCTGAAGATATAATGACAAAATTTATTAGTAAGTTGGCCTAAATGACCTTGAAAACCCAGAGTTATGAAATACCATGCGATATAATGAATAATAGGATAATCAAATTAATGTTCAATAAGTCATTTACATCATGTATATTTACTGATGATGATGACGATGATGAACTCATTCGCTTGTTTTTCGCCTGCTGTGCTCGGACTTGTCTCATAATAGATCGTGTATTTTTCTTTTTCGGACGAATATTTTCTTTGCTCATTGTTTAGAAGATTCGTATCACCTTTCTTTTTCGTATACTTTGAATTCTGTTTTTATCAAAGTAAACACGATGGAAGCATACAGGACGAACGTAAAAGAAAAATAAGTATATATCATGCTACGTGACAGAATGAAAGTCAAGATAACATTCTGTACTATAGAAAGAAATCTGTTTTGGCATTGTAAATTAAAATACCCAAAAAAATTGGTTTATTTGAAAAATGATATTTTTCTTGAATAGTGGTTCTCAAAAAAGCCTCTGCAAAACCATTAAAAACCATCGTAAACATAATAAACTGTAGTGCATTCGATAGCGGATGTGATGCTCTATCAGATGCGCTATTAAACAAAAAATCGATAAATTCGACAACAAACGACTTTTTTTGGGTGGGGGCTGGGCCTTAAAGAAAAAAGTGAAAATAAGGACCATTTATGAACCAAACCCATGTTGTAATGATTTTTCAACAGTTATATGGTATTTTGCCAAACCGCTGCATATATTTTTTACCCATCATCTGACCACCATGATGACATAACGTTATACGGTTTCTGATGAACCTATCGAAAGTTGATGTATTTTTGGGAACGTAGGGTCTACGACCTAGAAGTGATATTTTAGTCCAAAGAATTGCTCGGTTAAGTACCGCAGAGCTACATACAATCTCCATGAAAAATACACCCTCAAGATGGAGTTTTTCAAGCTGCATCGAATGAAACTATTTTCAGATTTCTGTAAAAAGAAAAAATCATAGAAAACCTCACTTCCTAAGGAAAGCCTAGTTTTAGTTATACTTATGGGAAAAAACTGTTTTTCGAGATTTTTGACTAAAAAAGAGATCTGGAAAGCTTTTTTAAATATACAGTTTTGTACAGCTCTATCGATCTATGTAAAAATATCGAACAAAAAAGCTCACTCGATTTTTGAATTAGCTGCACCTTATATCAACCCTTAAAAAGCTAATACGGCGACGCTTATGCCAACAGCTTATATGTTCGGCATTCAAAGGAGATCACTATCATTATTTGAGATAGTTTTGTCCTCCTTTCCTATTCACACATTTGCGTGTCGATATGTTTAGTTTGACCTTGAGTCTAACTTTGATTACTGAACAATTATTCATGCATTATGAAGTGGATTGACAGTTTGAGTGGCACTAGGTTTGAATCATATTACGAAATCGTACGATGCACGATGAAACATTAGAAATCGAGATTAGATGAAAGATGACATGTTCAACCAATTTGCATCTNTTAGTAAGGTGAAAGTTCTCAAACATTCTCTCATTATCTAACATCAATCGTGAAATAAAAAAATCGGGCTCTGTTAAGTTGTAGTGGTCAACATTAGCTACGATTTAAAACAACCCCGAGCTTTCTAGCTTTCAAAATGGCGGAAAAATCTGGGACGCATGAAAACGTAAAAGGAAAAAATCTCATTTTGACAAAAACGCAAAATACTTTTTAGAAGTGTGTTTCATGAGTTTTCATCCGGTAATGCTGGTTTTTTATCATCTTTAATAATAAAAGACACTTTTTGCTTACAAGTAACGCTCGTCTGTGGACTCGCTCAGCTCTTTCTCGTAGAAATCATCGTCTATAATATCACTGAAGTTTCTGTTTATATAATATGTAAAACCTGATTTGAGATTCGTAATTCTCGACTTCGAAAACCCTTCGGTCAAACTTCACCAAAAAACAATTTTTCCGTAAAAAGCAACCCTTTTCCTAAAAGATTTTTTTAATGAAAAATTTCAAAAAGCTAACATCAGATTCGAAGTCTTCGCATCGAAATACTTCTGGAAATGTCTTTTCGGAAAAACCGATTTTGGATGTTTTTTTTGACCCTGCAGACATACAAGCAAGCAAACAATTTATGTTTCTAAGACTCTTCTCTACGAGAAAGAGAATATCGATAGAAAAAATTCATTTAAATTAGTTTTATTTTGATTTGAATATGAAGAATCACTATTAAAAAATATTGTTCGATTTCGAGACGAATTAATTGGCTTCATCTATCTGTTGTTTTACATTTGAGAAAAAGAAGAATGAGTGAACTACATGAATAGATGTAGAAAGAGACTAGAGTAAGAACAGAAAATGAACAACAGAGATATTGTAAGAAAAAAAGAGAATGGTTAGTCGAAAGACACACACGGACAGAGAAAAAGAAAACAGAGCATTGAACAGATCACATTAAATTCGATATATTCAAAAAAAAATTCATCACAAAAACTGTCAAATTTAATGTAAGAGATTATCCGTAGATTTCTTCGATGAATCAGTATTCGATGATGACAATGAAGTATTATCAATTGGCGTTGTAACTGTTTGGTTCGGAAGATCATCTCTTACAATATCAGGTTCACATGTCAGAACTGGTTCACACGTCTCTATTCGTTGTAGAGACGGTTCTGAAAAGAAAATGAAAAGTCCAAATTCAAATACAACTAACAAGGAATTCTAGGAAATCGTCGTAGCTATTAAGAATGCAGATCGGAGCGAGTCGATTTATGCAGAAAACTATCTTCATGCCGGTACGGACGATCAAATCTCATCCAGTAAATGGGATATTGTTGTGAAACGACAGATCTGTTTCATTCTATTATGCTTCTCATGCATTGAACATGCAAGGTGACATATAAGGCATCCGATATTGTTCACCTGATGTTTTTTTTCTTAGCATTAATGGTAAATTCACATGACGTTGATCTTTTCTTACTAATCGATTATATCGAAACGTGTTAGTGGGTGTCTCTTTCGTTTTGGTCTTACCTGTTGTATAACGTTTGTTATGTGGAAGGAAAAACAGAATTGAACTGGCAATTAATATATGCCATAAACTATGTGTATACCAATAGTTTTCGTCTGTTTCACAAAATGCAAATAAAACTAATCCAGCTAGGGCTAGTAGAAAGCCTGGTATAACTAACAAAAAACGTTTTGTCGATGGCCGTAAATGATGATATCTCAGCGAAACGATAATCTAAATATTGAAAATAGAATAGCTGATTTCGATCGGGAAAATTCATGCATTTACCCAGGTTAAAACAGTGAATGTGAATGTAATACTGATCAAAGCAATAAATTGTAAATGATCAAACCGATCGCGTGAATTAATCGCAATACAAGTTAATAATCCCAACATAAACAGAAATACTTTTGTAGATCGTGGAATTATAGCCATAGTTATCAATGTTATAACAAATGAAGCATAAGATCCAATGAAATCTGATAGTTGTAAACCATCATATTTAAAAATACATAATTTATTAATATCTTGATCACATGCATGATAAAACTACAAAAGATAAATGGATTTATCGAAGGAAATTCATCGTCATTTCTAATTGATATTACCGTAGAGAAAAACATATTGAAGAAATAGACCAACGCTTCGATGTACAAACGTCGGTAAACTGCCAAGACGATAGCTGGCATAAACATACAATTGCTGAGTGTTAGAAAGAGAACACTAGCTAAACTTTTCGATGCATATGCATGACTGTCATCTGTACAACCATAGCCGCGATAGCCTAAATGAAAATCAACATTTTTGCTGCCGAAATCATGCTGATTTTTAAAGAGATGATCGGCATGAATATTTTCCTAGCAATAGAATGATTAACTGAAGCAAAGAGTGAGCATTTTGATTAGAAATTATCGATTCTGTTGACGAGACAGTTACCTATGATGCGATTCGATTAAAAAAAGTTTCCTATTGTGTTTAGATCGGAATTATACGTCATTTCGTTCTCTCGCTCCACTTACCAGCAAGGCACGAGCATGTGGAAAACACATTTTGTTGCGATGTTAATATTCGACAGACACCATATGCTCCACATTGTTGTTTCGTACACTGCGATGATGAGATTTGAAACATCAACGATAACGAACTGTTTCCACATTCCGATTCCGAACTAATACAAAGATTTTTTAAGCGATCAAAAGGAAAAAGATGAACCTACCCAGTACAGATGTATTCTAATGTTAAATACCAGAAACCCATTTCTGGATATGGAAACGATTTCATTGTGATCGAATTTTTATCGATGAGGATTTTAAAAGGTGATTCACAAGTCGCATATGTACGCGGTTGATACTTGGATAAACATCCATGTACACTAATATTTACATTCGCAGATACAGACGACTAGAAAACAAATCTGTCAACACTATCATTCGTGGTCAATGAACTTTTACCATCACTCGTGATTCAAAATCAAAATGTAATGTTCCTCCTAGATTTCTATCATCGATCATGAATTCATACGAATATATCGATAAATCGTTGTTATTTAATGTTATTGAACTAGTACTACCACTATTAAAACGATTAGTTGTATAAATAGGTACATATAAAAAGTCATAATAATAATTAAACATAATTCGTCGTGTTGGATATGGCTGAAGACAACGATTATTTACAGAAAGTAAACATTCTACGCGAAACAACGAATGCATTGAGGGTAAAAATCAATTAGATCTGATACCTGATGTACGAAGAAGTACGATGCCATGCTGAGGATTTATCAGACAAGAGTAATTATTCGTTGTGAGTAGAAAATAAACCGACGTCAAAGAAAAAATTTCATCAATCTCCATTGTACATTTGGTTTTCGTGCAGACTAAAATAATAATCATTATTAGTGTTGTGCATCATTATCTTTTTCTTGTGTTTAACCTGTTACATAATCGTATCGAAAAGTACTTGGGAGAGCATTTAATCGCGCAAATATGGAGATTTCACAATCATTCGACGACCATTCCGCTGCAAACATTAGCCGAGATTGTCCCACCATTGTATGATGTCTAAAAACATAGATACACTTCTTGAACCAACCGAAAAGGGATGGATAGATAGTTGTTTACGATAAATAAATCGATGTTTGATTATAAGTAATGGCGACTTGAAGTGGTTGATTGGTTGCTAATGTATATATCGATGGAAGTGTCTGATAATCAAGCCAAGTTGATAGGTAAAAGTTACATCCCGTTGTAAGCTAAGAAACAAACCGCGTTTTCCGAAGAAAGTCTTTATTTTCAGTAAAACATACTTTTGGTTTGATTGTAAATGTTTGATGATCGACAAATATCTGAAAGTCAAAGCGATTCTACACGGAAATTCAATTTTCGAGCAGATACTTACCATAGCAAACCATGTTCCAATTGCAGGATTACTTAATTGAATTAATGGGTTAGTTAATGATTTATTAAAAACTAATTTAAAAAGATCATGGCGATAAGTTATGTAGGATGGTGGATATGATTCATTTCGCGGCGCGACCAATGGATATGCACCATGTTGGAGATAACTAAATCATCCAAAAGGAAATTAGCAAAACCGAAAAGTGAACATATAACATACAAATGAATATTCGATGAATAATCAGTACATGTGCCTTCAGTGGATATGGTTATCGACCAATTGGCTAGAGTTGTGGGACCTTGAATATTGAATTTGAGAAATTTAACGTCTGCATAATTATCGTATTCGAATATGCGGATACGAGAATACTGTTGTGCGAGATCATATCCTAAATAGAACACAAAAGAGTATAAGAGACAAGAGAGCATGAAAATCCTACCGGTTAATAGATCCTTATTTGCTGTCGAAGAATAGACCAAAGCGAAAATTAAGATTATGTTAAACATTTCATATTAAATTCCGAACATTTTTTGGCTTGATCTAAAATATATTAAAGCATATAGACTGAGAGAGGAAAATAATACTGTTGGCTTATTGTCTGGAAAAGTTTCTTTTTAAAATATGTATACATATGTATATCTACACATATGTCTAAATACGAAAGTATGCGCTTGTTTAAAACTAACGGTAAAAGAACACAAAAGAAAATGAAAAGATCACTCCACTGAATGCTGACAACAAATTTCAATTAGCAGACAATTCTGTTTTGCATCAGGTCTAAAGCAGACATTGAGATAATAAATATGAGAGAAATTGTTAAATTAATAGATATTTTCGCATCTTGACCAATCTTGTTTCTGTTTACATTCCCAGTATTCATTGGTGTATATGTGAATATCCGAATCGGTAAGTGCATCGTGTTGCTTTTTGAACCATTTCGATTTGTACGGATCGTGTCCATTGATTTCTCGAGCATGTCGGGCTTGGCGTTGTTTTTCTTCGAGACGTAGTTTTTCTTGGTTAGCTTCATCCCAACGTCCTTCTTCCATCAAACGTTGATCAGGACGATGACGAGAATCCGTAGGAGCGACATCAGGTTCCATTTCATTCAATTCCACGGCCAACTGAGTGAAATTATACATGTTTTCAAGATGTGCCGGTGGCATTTTACGTTGCCATAATAGTTTCATATTTCGTGTTTCCATGTGATGTGAATGAGCGTGACGACCAGACGAAGCTTCAACCGGACCACCTTCGATTTTTTCTGTCCATGTACCTAACATAATTAGAAGTTTGAAAAGTATATGATATTCTTTAGAGTAAGATTTCAATCATACCAGTTAACACCCATTGAGCCTGCCCGTTAACGTCGGTAACAACACCGGTTACTTTTCGCGGGACGTCTTTAGAAAAATAACTATACGGAAAATATTTCAATTTACAAACATCTTTCGTTGTGTGATTGATGATATCCATTTCACCAACCTAAAAACGTCAATTAATGTCTTACACAATATGAAAATTTCTGCTTAGATAACTTACATTATCGATCCAAAGTTTACCGACGATTATATTATTGACTAGAGTAGTCACTTTTCTCCATGTAAAATGATTACCAGTGTTTTTAAATATCAAATGAGAATAACCTATGTAAGAAACGAGACGAAGCATTGTCTCCGAAATCGATTGGCATGAAGTACATACCCAATGGAGTAATACTTAAATATTGACCGCGAAATTTCGATGTCATAGTGAATTCTTGATATAATGTCCATCCTTGTCCTTCAGCATATGTAGACAGGGCTGGTGGATGATGACTAACTTGTTCTACAATGTAAATGTTTATTTTTATCGGCTAACGGTATATTCGAAACAAATATCTTTACCAGCAATGGATTTCCAGCCTAAATCATCTGTTCGATCGCATTCAAAAGTTTCGCCAAGCAATGGATTGAACGGTTTATTAACTCGTGTTGTAGTTGTTGAATAGGATGAAATAGTGAATGCTGCAACATACGCTAATTGTTCCCAACTATCATTTATTTTCGCTGCTGTATCAAGCACGGAACTATATTCAAGTTCTTCGGTAATACGCTGCAACATCGAGATGGGTTCACTGAAATTAACCGGAATTGGAATTTTGGTTAGATCTTTTCCAACACAGTTCTTAACGATACTCCATAGATTGACGCTAAAATTCAGCATTCGTAAGGTTCGAATAACGATGAAGTACACGATTACCTATAGTTCGGTCTTTCAGGAATACGATCACGACGTTTGCGTTTAGCTACTACGGTTTGTTGTTGGGTACTAACAACTGGTTTTGGCACTGTTTCTTCGGTAGTTGTTTGAGCTGGTAATGCAGCATTATTGCTTGCTTCTTCTTTTTTCGTAGCTAAACAAGATCAATCAATGATTTCTCTAACGTACATGAGCTCGATTGAAACTAATTCGACATACCCTTGACTATAACCATGGGTAAACTATTTTCATCCTGTTCCTCCGATTCGCTATCGTCGTCATTACATGAACTAACATCGTCAGCAACAATGTTCGGTGACTGTTTATCATTATTCGAAACATGTTGCTGAAGTCTACAGAGGAAAGACTACTTACGATAATGAAATTAAGACAAGAAGAGACTTACGGAATACGAAACACGCCAATCGTTTGTGGATCATCAATAGCATCATAAAATTCCTCATCATCTGACAGATTTGCACCTTCAGTTGTTCCTCTTAAATCCGATGATTTCAAAGCTGTTAGCGTTGAACGTCCAGACAGAAGATTTTGTTTTTCCGAACGTGATGCGCGTTGAACTCTCTTCTCCAGTTTAACACTCTGTAGTGCGATTTGTTCACACATGTGTTCCAAACGTATACGTGCGTCGCGCTCGACTTGAACACTTTTCTGCCATTTGCGACCTTGATTTTGAATTAACTGAACCAATTCTTGACAAGCATTAAGCATAGCTACAAGAAACCATCATCAATTAACTACGAAATGAACGTCAGAATTAGACTTTCTCGATTAATAATCTAACCAAATGATTTTATGACTCTACCACATGATGGAAATCTCGGGTACAATAGGAAATAATCGGCGAGAAAACGGCGTCAAAATATGACTACTTATAGAACATTATACTGAGAATGTGTTTTTTGTTTTATTACACAATAGATCGCGGTGATTTACCTGTTGATGTAATGCGGAATAATGTTGCACGTTCATTGACACTTTTAATCGCATTTACTGTTGCTTCGGTTTTGTCAAGCTGTTCAAGGTCACCGAGCGTACGGCAAAGTGCTTGATAGTGCCGATTAATCAAATCCATGCACATTTTCAGATCCTCTAATTTGGCATCGAATGCCTTGTTCATTGTTATTAGTTCAGCGCGTTCATCATTATTTGGTGACTTATTCGAATCATTCGGACTGGTTTGCGGTTGACCCAGATTTCGTTGTTGTTCATTGAGTTCATCAATTGTGGACACTTCTTCATCGGAATCTTGGTATTGTCGACGGATTTTCAATGCCTTCTGTCTGGCTGTTTCTAACGCATTCATCCAACGTTGTTTATCAGTTTCTGATGATGTACGTAAATGTATTACAGTGGAACCATTCGAAATAACAAAATGACAGAAGTCATTCGATGATAAATGTGCTGATTCAAGATAGATCGTACCACGACACGCATGCGTCATTTCATCTTGTGAACGATAATATGAAAGTATACCAGCTTGAAGAACGAACCAACGTTTTTGATAACCTTTTAAATACTAAAATAAAGAAGAATCAAGGAAGGTTCTTGCTTTCGGAGAGAGAAAGAGGGAAATTACGTTTGTCCATTTGTACAACCAGCCGCGTAGTTCGTCTTTTCCGTTAGCGACCGACGGGGTTGTCGATTGCATATTCAATGGCTGTTGAGAGAATGCATGAGGTTGAACGATACCTGTGCCAGCCGAATTCGTTAGATTTTGCATAGTTGGTGTTGAACCATATGATAGAGCAAATTGTGGACGAGTATCTATTTCGAACGAAGAGGTCAAAATATGTGAGACAACGTGTACGTTCTGATTATTTACTGGAATCTGTTTTTATGGGATTATCAGTTGTGGAGCGCTGTGTATTGGGAAAAGTTGCTAACGATGAGATCGTCGCATTCGAATTGCTTGATTGTTTCGTTCGATTAAAAACTTGTGACGAAGCACTCGACGCAGGGTTTTCGTCGATCGTATCTATGAAAAGACAAAACAAAGATGAAAATTTGCATGAATATGTTGTTTTTCTTTTGTTAGTGAGCAAAGTGATAGCACATGCATCCAAGCAGCTGTTGTGCTGATTCTATTGAATCATTGTATTCTCCTAAGTTATTGAGCGAGATAAATTTGTTATCTCTTCTCTTCGTACGATCCACTCTGCTCTCTTGTTTTTGTCGTTATGGTTATTTGTTATTAAATTCATTATGGTTGAATTGTTATGTCAAAAATGGTCTAGTACATTTTTGTCGAACAGACAACTAAACTGTTGATTGAGAAGACCAGAGAAGGAAAACAAGCACGTTTAAGTTCAGAAAGCAAGTTATTTTTAATAAAAAGATCAAGATAGAGTGACAAACTCGAAGTAAAATCGATCTAACTGATCAATGGTGATGTCTATTGTCAGAGATAAAGTTCAATCGAGTAGAAAGCAAAAGAAGAAAAAGATACTTAAACACATACGAGGATGATGACTGGCATCGTATGAATGTCGTTTTCGATGTATTCGAGTAAATGACGGTCGACATCTCGAGACAATTTCGCGCATACGATGCGGCATGTATATCGGATGATTATTGAAAAGAAAAGAATGAATGCAACAACGAAAAGCACACGAGTCAAAACACTAACGAAAGAAAAGAAGAAAAAATAGACAGAACCAATGCTGTACACATCACAACGTAAATAAGTCGAATACGGACTCGAAAAAAAGGAACAAAAAGAAAGAAAGAACATATTTCATTCGAAATAAAAACACGTACAAGATTAAAAAGGTTACAAAGCGATATATTAGACTATTAAGAGGTTAGACATTGATAAGAATACGAGTTAAGCATGACTGATTTGTTAGTATATAGTTAGAAGAAGATGTGTTCATACCAGAGATGTGCATTGCTGGTTGAGTATCATTGGCAGAACGCTCTTTTGAGCGCGATGTGATACGCATACTATTTTTAATATCATCTTTTAGCTGCCGAGCAGCATCTCTTGCGCGATGTGCTGCCATAGAGGTCTGTCTGACTAAGATTAAACGAATTATAGAAACGAAATGAACAGCGAGTGAAGAATGTGTCGGTCATTTCGTGCGAACGTTACGAAAAAAGGAAATTTCACTTACTGAGTTATATATAGATATAAAATACAATAAGTTAATCTAGAAATGAAAAACAAAACCTTTATCTTTCATTGTCATCACTGCGTGATGATTTTTCTCTTCAGCTGGTTTTTTTAATCAATAAATAAAACAAAGATATAGAAAACAACGCTAAACTATATTAGGGAGATACAGGTGCTAATTTCTTCTTATTCAATACTGATGATGCTGGTTCTTTGTCTTCATCAACCATGACCTGGATTAAAGAAAGGTTAATCATAGCAAATGAAATACAATCAAGAAAATTTTACTCGATCGACTCGATGCTTGTAAATTCGACCATCACCTCGAACATAAAACGTGGACAGACCATCGACATGTCTGAAAGAGAAGATCAAGAATGGTGGAATTTGAATGAATCAGATTGACATATTTACTCAATATAATCACGAATGTTTCCAGATACATCTCTTGGTTTTCTCCAGCCTTTGAGAACTCCAACAAATGATTTATTGGATAGACCGGAAATTCGCCATCGGACTTTAACACAGTTTGATTCTTCATCAATCGTTGTGTTTAGCAAATGTACAGTGACATTCATCAATTTAAAATTTAGCTTTGTTCGAATCCAGAACATGGCGAGCGCATAACCACCTACTCCTCTACGAGGAAAAATTCAGGTTAAAACTTCATCGAACCAAAATATTTGACTTGAAAATAGACATATGACAATCTGTTTTATATTCAAACAATTTCTAATCATGCATTCATTTGTCATATGTCTATTTTCAATCACACATACATTGCCTACTTGATGACTTTGGGTGGATTGTCATAGTAATTTTCGAAAATAAGATCAGCTGTGTACAGACCATATGGGTGCATTCGTTTACAAAAATCCGGTAACTAAAAATCAAAGAATTTTCATCGAATGGAAACCAAGCGAATAAATATTTACAATTAGTTTTAGCTGTTCTTCAATAAAACGTAAATGTTCAAGTTTTGGCTTATCATTCGGTTTGCCCGGGGGAAATCGTAACGGCGCCTTAGTATCATATTTTCTTGGCGTTGACGACTTTTGATCAATTCCTGGCACGTGTAGTGTGACGAAACGTTTTTGCTCGTAATGGATCCTAAGCGGATATTGCGTTACGTTGCACCGAAGATTCGATTGAGATGTTGAAAGTAATCTATGTTCATAATTAATACGTTCAATCGTTGATAGATAACGATATATGGTGTAGAAAGACAATTTGAAATACGATCTATTGGATGTTAGCAATAAACAAGACATATCTGAAAGAAATATCTAAAACATCCATTTCTCAAAGATCCAGTTGCAATTGAAACCCAACAGGAAGTACTCGTTTTTCTCCATCGCAGGAGGAAAGGAAGTAAAAGGTTTCTTTTATAAATTGAATTCTCATAAAAACCTAGCACATACTTAAATAAACTTCCTCGACGACGTAACAATAGAATACAATCATAGCAATGCATCTTCAATTCTTCCTCTTTAAAAATTTTCGTTAAAATCAATCGAATTAGGCCGAGACTGATTCATGAAATATTCCATTGGGCAGACTAAGCAGTCAGTACACGTCGTTTGGAGAGGTTTCATTTAATTCAATAAATAAAAAAAGATGATGATTGACAACTATTGTGTTGTTTTATAATACCATCGTACGAGCTGAGAAAACATATCTTTTTTCACCAATCTTGTGACAATCTTACTGACATCTATCGGAAAAGTAGACTCACTAGAAATAATTTCCGATGAAACTAGATTCAGTGAAATTCTTCGTAAAATTGCAGAAAATATGATTTTCCCGAAAAAATTCAAAATGAAATCTTCATTGGTCAATTGGACGAACAACAACAACAATATAAAAGAATTGTTTATCGTTATTAATTCTTTTGTTAATCGAATAAATGGCTTCATCAACCGATCAAACGAAATCGTCATCAGCACGTTCCTATCAATTACCATTAACGAAAGTCAAATCAATAATAAAGCTTGATGAAAATACACGAATGATCAGTCAAGATAGTGTTTACATCTTAACATTGGCAACAGAAGAATTCATTCGGATGTTAACGCGTGACGCACATAATTCCATGAAGCAATGTGCATCGAAACGCTTAGATCGCTTGCACATATTCAGTTCAATAAATACGAACCCAATCTATGAATTTCTCGATGGATCGTTTGATTAAAACTCTTCTTTGTTATTATACTTCACTTGTCAGATATTGAATAAATGTTCCTTATGTTCTAGATTTGAATGAAACAGTCATCAACGGCAGCAACTAGCAATCCACCACCTTTACCATTACCACCATCCACACCTGTCCTAACTCATATTGATAAAGCAGCCAGAAAGCAATTAGATGAACGAGAGAAGCTTTTTCTTCTCTATGAACATGAAGGCAAACTACCTGATTTAATTCCCGATGTTAGCCATTTACAATCACCACGTCTTTCAACAACCGATCCAAATGCGATCGATCACTACGGTTTTATTCATGAACAACCTATAAAAGCAATGACAATCAATGAAAAGAAACAAATACAACAAGAGATCAAACGTAGTGAGCGTTGGAATAAAATGCTAAGAAAATCAAGTCATTCAATCAGTCGAGATAACGAACAATTGAGGAGACGAATGTTCAAAGGCTTACCAAGTACATTACGTGGCGCATTCTGGTCCCGGTTATTTGATCTTGATGAGCAATTACGCGTTAACAAAGGCTACTATGAAATATTGAAAAGAAAAGCTCGTTCATCATCAACATATCTCAGTCAGATCGATTTGGATGTTCATCGGACATACAGAAATCATCAGATGTTTTGCAATCGATATTGTATAAGACAAAAACATTTATTTTCGATCTTGGCTGCATACAGGTATGTTTGTTGTCGTGACAGGAAGAAGGTCTTTTGCAATTTACTTTTCCTTTTCAGCGTTTATAATACAGAGATTGGCTATACACAAGGAATGAATCAAATTGTTGCTTTCCTACTTTTCTATTTACCGGAAGAGGAAGCATTTTGGGCATTTTGTCAATTAATGACTGGCTCACGTTGGATGATGCATGGCTTTTTCTGTCCGGGATTTCCCAAATTATTTCGTTTTCAAGCACAATTCGAAAAAATTATGAAAAAAATGCTACCGAAAGTCTACAAACATTTTGTTACCTGTCAAGTACAAAGTGATCTCTATACAATACGTTGGTTTATGCTCTGTTACCTCGGTAAGATGATTAAATGTCGATCTTGATCTGCTGATCAGTACTGAATTCGTTTTTAGATTGCCTACCATTCCCGTTAACGCTTCGCATATGGGATATATTTGTGCTAGATGGTGAACAGGTTCTCCTAACAACAGCATTTTGTATTTTACGCATTCATCGAAAGAAACTCTTGCATTTGAAAACGTTTGATAGTATAAATTCATTTTTAAAAAATGAGCTGTGTACAAATTTTGCCAATTCATCATTAACCATCGATGAAATTATTGAAGAATATGTTGTTTGCTATGAAAAATTAAAACAGAACAACTTATTGGCATTGCCATTGCCAACTGAAAATGAAATTCCGACAAAGCCATTCAATATCTCAATGGGAGACATAACCAAGTTTACAGATAATAACTCAAATAAGAATGCCAATTCAGAAGAAACAAGTAAGTCTAAAGGAATTCAACTCTTGACCTTCGCGATAAGAAGAAAGTTTACGATCTGTTGTCAACAGTATAATAATTCATTTAATCAAGTTTATCAAAAGTTTGTCTTTGAAGACAATCGAAAAAATTTTGATAGACAAGGATGACAGGTCATTAATATAGACTTGTCAATCTGTAATTTCTTCTGTTGAAAGATTGAAGCACAACTACTCGTAGATGTTGTTACATACGTAATGATTTTTTTTGTTTTAGAAGCAGTTATCTCAACGCCCAATAAATCAATGACATCACCACGACTCATCACAAGTCAAATGTCACCGAAAAGTACACCAATACCTGTGACAGAAACTTTTCTTGTCACATCTCTCGCGCCATTAGCAACAGCTGATGAAGACTCACCATCGATGGTGAATTTACGTGATACATCAATCGAAACGCAATATATGGAAATAAAACGTTTAACGAAGCCATTTCAAATCCCTGATCAACAATTCTTAACTGAATACGATAGTTGTACAGTGTTATCCAGTGCTGATCAATCACTAAGTGGATATCGACGACGGCAAGGTCATTTTGGTGATGATGATGATACAATTAGTTCAAAAAGTGATATTATCGATGATGATGAACATGTGCAAATTTCTCACATGATAACCACATCATTCATCCATGATGATGATTATGAAAAGTTAAAACGATCTTCATCGTTTTATGATAATGTTATTGATAATGAACAAGTCAATTATCACTATATACGTCCGCAACACTATGCATTCGATACCAATATTCGATGATAGTCACAATTACAGAAAATAAGAATTCACTTACTTTTCACTTTCGTTTTTTTTTTAATATAAAAGTACTTCACGTAGAATTAGTAGTGCAAATGCGCGCGGAGCGGTCAAGAAAACAAACAAAATATCATATTTGTTGTTGTTGTTGTTTTTTTGTGTTCCTAAGTGATATCTATATACATATACATATATACATATTATATTTTGTACGTATAACAGTGAGATTCGCTTCTGCTTCATTTTCTTCTTGTGTTTTTCTCTTTATCTTATACAATTTAGTCATACACGGGTATCAGGGAATGAATTCTATTGTTTGCAAAAAAAGCTTTTTCTTTTGAACAGTCGAGTATTTTAGAATCATCAAAAACGTTTAGATGTGTTTTTTTTGTCTCACTTTCACTCTCACTTCCTTCTTTCGTTTCTTTTTTGTGCCTCCAAGATATTTATATCAATATTATGGTTGACAGATTTTTATATCATTGATCTTCATTCGTAAACAAGATTAATAATAATAATAATAAAATTACAACAATAGTCCTTTTTATTTTGTGTTTTAGATTGAAATATTTTTTATTTTTGTGCACTGGTTTTATCCAATCAATTGGCAGCAATTGTTCTAGTCCTCTGATATATATTTGATTGATTATTAAAGGTAAGCAAGGGTGATTAGTCGAGTCTAGAGAAAGGTACTAAGCGCGACGAATGAAACCATCTAATTCGCTGCTAATATTTTCTTTTCGACGGAATTCATGCGATAACTTATGTAAGGAAGATTTCGTCATTGGTAAAAACAAAGGTGGATAAGAAGTAAGAGTAAAATGACCAGATGGGTTATTCTGTTTAATGCATTCGGTGAATAAAATGAAAACAAGTTGTGTTTCCTAACAGCTGATCAGAAATTCTTTTCTTTCTCGCAGTGCATTCGTTTTTATTCATCAGGTTTTTTCCTCTTTGAATATTTTATGTGCGTACATTGAAAGTAAATGACACGAAGAGAGAAAGAATGCATTCGATGTAGTGACGAACGATATTGATGATGGTGGCATCAAATGAAGCACGAAATAGCACATAGAAATGAAATAGGAAGTATCATTGTATGCTATTGATTGAAAAGCAACGAGTAGAGAAATCGGCAGAGGTAGGAGGATGACAATCAGTATCGATGCTGCATCGACTACTCTGCTATACGATCCTTATATTTAGACGGTGAGTGAGAGTAGGTCATTAATGTTATACGCACGTTCAACAACTATTTTTTCTTCTGCTCTCTCTCTCTCTCGCTTTTATTGTCATTCATAGAGAACATCTTTTTTTTTCTTCGTCTTTTTCTTACTCTCGGAAGAGAAAAAACCCGTCGACGAGACGCGTGTGCAAACAATGTTGTCGTCGTAGTTCAATCGCTCTCTTTCACTCTCTTATGATCGTGTAGCGTGCATGCATACGTATGCACAAGACTCTCTACTATTTGTCGTCGTATATGTCGGCTGAAATGATTTCTCACTTTGTTGTCAGATTTTGTCTTTAGCTTAAAATAATCATTTGTGACCTTCTTAGTAACCTGAAAACAAAAGAAATTCATTAAGAATTCGAAACAACACGCACGCGCCAAATTGATAATCAAAGACAATTTCTAGCAGTAATCTTTTTTGAAAAAACCGTTTTTTTGTAATCACATCTCTTATTATAATAATGTATTCCTTGGCTACGGCTGGATCAGCCGCCGCAGCACCGACGATTTCCACCAGGTATTTGTCGTTTATCCATTCTATTTTCACTACGCTATTTTCTTAATCCATCTTGAGTGTGATTTAAAACATGTCCTGTCGTATTTCAGGTCTTTCCTCTCACCGGGCTGGTATTCGTATAATCCAATGAGTACCGAAAGCTTGACATCGAAACTTCTACTTAATGCAAATACTAGCAATAGTCCATCGACAACGCCAACATCATCATCACCAGTTACAGTCAATGGTACTGACCATCATCATCATCAACAACAACAAATGAATGGCAATGGCAATGGAATTCTTAATGATGGAAAATTATCAATAAATTCTTATCAAAACGGTGTACTTCCTGATATTCAGGCTACATTCCAAGGTTCATCATGGAGCAATGGTATTGACCCACTGAGTGGTGCATCCGGTGATCACCCATTTGATGTACACAATAGTGGTCGAATGTTCTCGCCACAGACAACAACGCCACCACCACTTATGGCCATGCAGCAGCAACAACAACAACAGCAACAACTGTCTTATCAACAAGTAAATTAGATATTGTACGAGAAATATCAATTGAACTCTTTCTTCCTAGGCAATACAGAGGAGACCGATAACAGCTTCACATAATTTTTCAAATCAAACACTTCGCAATGGTATTTCAGCTCCACCGTCTCAAGCAGCTCCATCACTAAATGGACGTGGGGCAATACCATCTCCACTGTGGAACAGTCAATATCCACAAACGAATCTCTCGATGCCGCCATCACATATGCAGCAACAACAACCGCCATCACCTTCATGGAATAACACATCAATTCCGCATGGGTTTCCAGCAACATCGTAAGTTGAATTTCTCTTCACTTCATCGATGTTTTGCACTGTTTTCTTATTTACGTAAATCCACAGATCTCGTCGCCCAGTGCCATCATTAACAAATCCAATTGGAAACGGTAGTGCAACAGCAAATAATTTAAGTCAAACCTTGATGCTTGGTAATGGTAATCATCCAATGTCTCAAACAAAGAAAACTTCATCATTAAATGCGCAAAATAATTTCTTTCCATTTCTTCCAACGTCGTCAACATCAATAACAAATCAAAATAAGTACAACAATATTCAATCGTTATCAACTCAACTTCAACGCGCACCTGCCATGACAAATTTTATTCCGACACAAAACGGACAATCACCACCTCCTCCACCACCACCACATATGAATGGAAATGATGTTGATCAAAACTTTCCAGCGATGAATGTAAGAATCATTTCTCGGTGATGCTTTCCTTTTCTCTATCGACGGTTGTGTTTTAGTCAGCTGATGCTTATGACATGAGTTCATTTCAACAAATCATGGATATGATGAGAAATGTTTCAAGCGATGGTGTCAAACGTGTTTATAGTGATGATAGTGGAATGGGAAGTATACTTGATACCGAAAGTTTAATATCGGTTGGTGGCGGTTGCGGCGGTCCATCATCATCGTCAGCTGGATTATTTGGTTCACCACGTGCAATGTCAATGGATATGAATAAAGAAGAACGTTTTTCACGTAAAGTTTTTGTTGGCGGTCTACCACCGGATATTGATGAAGGTAAATATGTCTTGAATATGAATTTGTTTTTACGGAAGTGTGATTAATTGATTGTTTAGAGGAAATCATTGCCCATTTTCAACGCTTTGGTCCTTTGATTGTTGACTGGCCACACAAACAAGAGAGCAAATCTTATTTTCCGCCAAAGGGTTATGCCTTTCTAATTTTTACCTATGAACGTTCAGTACAAGAACTAATCGACGAATGTGTTATCGATGATTCCAAACTTTACATGTGTGTTTCGAGTCCAAGTATGAAAGACAAAGCTGTACAAATACGCCCATGGCTTTTAGCTGATTCGGATTTTGTTATGGATGGTTCGCAACCATTAGATCCAAGAAAAACCATTTTTGTCGGTGGTGTTCCTCGACCATTGCGAGCGGGTAAGATACTTCGAATTTCTCTGTTTCGTAATTAGAAAGTTTCTGCTCATCTTAGTCGAACTAGCAATGATTATGGATCGATTATATGGTGGTGTCTGCTATGCCGGTATTGATACAGATCCTGAATTGAAATATCCAAAAGGTGCCGGTCGTGTCGCATTCTCTAATCAACAAAGCTACATTGCAGCTATATCGGCTCGTTTCGTACAACTACAACATGGAGAGATTGATAAACGAGTATGTTTTATGCCTTTTAATTAGCATTTGACAAGTTTTTTTCTTTGTGATCGAGAAAGTGTTTGTAGTGCTGAACTTAATAACCTTTTCTTTGTAATGAGATGCTTTCTTGTTGAATGATATTGTCTGTTCGACTAGATACTTCAGAAGAACAATTGTGTTAATTAACGTGCGCAATAACGCTTTGAATAGATAATGAATAGATACTTGACGAGACGTTTTAAACACGCACAGAAAAAATAATAAGTAAATGATGTCTTGAGATTTTCACTGTTAGTACTACGACGCACTCATTAGTATTCCCTTCGAGACAGTTGAGATTGCTTTTTTGGCTGAACAGTGCTAATTTGATTTGTTTAGGTGGAAGTTAAACCATATGTTCTCGATGACCAATTATGCGATGAATGTGCTGGTGCACGTTGCGGTGGAAAATTCGCTCCATTTTTTTGTGCTAATGTAACATGTTTACAATATTATTGTGAAACATGTTGGGCATCGATTCACGCACGTGCCGGTCGTGAATATCACAAACCTTTGGTTAAAGAAGGAGCTGATCGTCCACGCACATTACCATTTCGTTGGTAGAGAAAAAGAAATCTATCTATCCTAGATGACTAAATCGATTGTTTTTTTCTGTTTTCTTTGTCAATGTTGTTATTTGATTATTATCATTCTTGTTTTCTTTTTTTGTTTATTTTCCTATGTTGTAACACATGATTTTTCTACTCTTGTTTTTGTGTAAATTTCATTCTTTTGTTTGCTCTCTCTCTATCTAACTTTCTTCTTGTGAACACATTTTTGCGCATATGTTCTTTCTTGATTTGTTTCCGTAAGACCTAGCGCATTTCGAATAAATGTTGTTAGTCTTTTCTTTCTCATTTCTTTCATTGTGGGAGATAAGTCGTTGGATGATCTCGTACTTATTTGTGTTTTTCTTTCTCTCTCTGATAAATACTTTAGAAAAACCCAAATTTATCTAGCGCGTCTTTGATCTTTTTCGGTTTTCTTTCGTGCAATCTTTCTTCATATATATATATATTGGCTTATAAGTCGAATATGATGTATGGTGGTGTTTCTTTCTTGCTTTCCTAAAAGATGATTATCTGTGCTTGGTGAATGATAATATCTTGGAACTTTTTCTTCTTCTTTAATTGAAGAAAAAAGAAGAATCATTGGATGATTTTTGTTTTCATCTTATTTGTTTCTATGTGTTCGCTTTTTTTTCGTTTATTTTGTACACAAGTTTTATTTTGTATGAGTTTTCTCTATTCATTCATCTCAGCTTTTGTTTTTTTTTCTTTTGTCATATCTCTCTAGTGGGCAGCATTCTCTCAGCGTTGTTATTGTTATTGGTGTCATTATTTAACCTGTTCATCATCAACACATTCTTCTGCGTTTTTTTTTTGATATTCGATTATATTTTTTGTTTATTTATTTTTTATTCTATCATCATGATCATCGTTATATCAGACCGTGAAGAAAAAATCTAACAAATGACATGATTCGAGAAAGAGCACAACTTTCCGGTGGAGTCGCTCTCTCCATATTTTGTACCTTCAAATAAAACAGGCAATTTGGCGCGCAGATCTTCTTCTAACTAATAAACCAAACGCTTGTCACTATGTTTGTGGAACCTTTCTTATACTTTCATTTGTTTTTCTTCTCTCATTTTTTTATATATTACACACACATACATTCGTTGGTCTTTTCGTTTCTTTTTTTGTCTCTTTCTCTATCTCTCCCTCCTTCGCTTCATGATCCATCTTTGATTGTTGTCATTTTTTTTTAATTCGTACTTTTTTGTTGTGCTGAACTATTACTACTTATTTCTTTTTTCTTTTTGTTGGAATAAAAATCAAGAGAATACAAAAGAAAAGTACTTCCATGTTTCAATCGGACCTTCAACTAAACTTTGACTTGTATTGCTGCCTTGTAGATTTTTCAAGAAACAAACCATGCTCGCGAGATCACCGAATGCAGCATCTCGTAATGGCAAGAAATCTGATCATATCAAACGACGTCTTCAATCGGTATTTGGCTATACTCCATATGCGATTTATTTCGGTTTTGTTCCGTTAGTGATTTATTTGGGAATGAGGCTTGGACCGGACCCAGGCACACCCGAATTTTCATTGGCAAATTTATTACCGATTGGTTAAGCAAGCATTAGATTGTCTTTTCCTATTTGCTATTGATTTTTGTAGAAGAAAAATAAATTGAGAGCAAGCACTCATTGCCATCCAACTCGTCTTTGTGCATCTAACTAATGCTTGTTTTCTGGAAAATTGAATATTTTTCTTGTGGATCTATAATTGATAAGCAGAAATTGCACTTCCTGAAAAGATTTCTTGCTAGTAAATGGATGTCTTTCAGTACATTATGCCTAAACAAACGAAAATATCTGCTAGTTCATGTGAATTTGTATTGTTGGTTTCTAAGTAGAACAATCACTTGTTTCCATTAAATATCTATTGCAAAACGCGTTTAACGCAAAAACCATGACTCATATATATTCATAAAAATCATTATTCGCTAAGATTTCTGCATCACCCGCAAAAATCGAAGTCACATAAGCGTTGCATGATTTAGACTATTACTAGTCTTGATCTACGGAATCTTTTGGATATAGTTTCGAAAAAAGGAACAAAAAGCTTACGACACTCGGTATTCCCAGGCGGTCACCCATCCAAGTACTAACCGAGCCCGACGTTGCTTAACTTCAGTGATCGGACGAGAACTGGTGTATTCAACGTGGTATGGCCGTAAGCGTAGATTATGCTGTTATTTATTGAAATGGTCTATAGTTTTTGTAGATCATAACTGACTCAAACAAATTCGAATGTGGTTTCTTTTTCTGTATAAAGTATAGGACGAGATAAGTTTAAAAAGTTATTGTATTCAGTTTTAATCTATCATACATGCATGGGAAAATAATAAATCATTACTTTTGTGTCAGCTAGTTTAATATGTTAAAATACAAATGAGAAAATTCAAAACAGTATTCTATGCGTTATCTCGAATCGTTTTATCAACAGTAAAAGCATTTTGTACAATGTTTTCTTTTGTTAATGGATCAGCCAAACCAGATTGTTTCAATATTTCAATAACTTTCTTTTGTTGTTCACTTGGCATACTTTTATAAATAGTTAATAAGGATTCTCTATCATCATTTTTCTTGTTGATAGCGTCGATATCAAGTTGCTCACCCAATTGTTGTTTATTTTCTATGACCATTTTTGTTGCTTCCGCATCTGTTCGTTTCTTGTCATGAATTGATACTTTGAAATCTGATGATGTCAATGCTTCAAGTAAGATCTTTTCGTCTGTCATAATAACTAAACAATTGCTTATTTGTACTGTTTGATCAGCAGAAAATACTGCTTGACTTCGTCTGTTTCGACTACTGTTTCTCTCATTCTGTTCTTTACTATTCCTCAGATGTCTTGATCAATAAAAAAATTCACATACAAATGGTATCACTCATCGACGGTACACATCGAATATAGCCGAAAATTTTGCTTTGTAATTGTATATTTGCATTACATGCTCTTTGAAAGCAATCTTCTCTTAGAAGAAATGGATTTTCCTTCGGGATTATTTGAACAGTACATTTGTAAATTATGATAATCACATTGACTAGAGTGCTGTGATTACTGTGTACTTTTCTTCCCTTCATGTCTGGATTATCTTTGCTCAGCAGGCGGTAAATGAGCAAAGGAACGCGTCGTCTCTTCGTATGATCATCTAAATGTTGTACATAAGACGTGTGATTATCATTTATCGAAAAAAAAAGAAAATTTCTTGGTAGTCATAACTTTGCTTTTCGAATTGTATCAAATGATCGAATTAGGATAGAATTTTATTGGTGATGAACATGCATCAATTGAAGTTGGTCTTTATGCAGCTGTCTACTTAAAAAACAAAGACAAGAGTAAGCAAAGCAACATGAGTACTTAACTTGTCGGTCGTCTGTTGCAAAGAGACTGACCCATCACTTTCACAAGCTAACATCTGTTGCCTTAATTTGACAAATGATAAGACTAATATTTAACCCTTCAGGGCAAAAACGAAAAGAAAATTTTTTTCTGTGTTTTCTTTTTGCTTAGATTAAATAAACAAATCGAGCCATGAAGTTTTTCTTTTTTTTTCGAACTATATATAATCAAGACAAGTTCAATTGATGAAGAAAAACAGTGGGCTGTCATGAATAAACTAAGATGAAAAAAGAAAAGAAATCGGCCAGTACGATTGATGAGTTGTATGAATCGAATATTTTTTAATAACATCGTCCTGACAAGATACACCGCTCGGCGATAGTGATGATCAAATCATCATGACGAAGATGATTGCTGACATATCTTCTGATTGAACAACTTTTGCCTTGCATAGATATCTCGCCGATGACTATCGAGATAAACTAATATTGAATAGAGCAGCAAGACAAACAAAAGACGTGCGAATCAAATCGAACGTTTATTTAACGTGGCTTTCATATATTTCTATGCCTATCTCCAAAGACAATACTTGTAAATACATCTGAATCTTCATTGTTCTGTCCGATAACCATCGACATATGTGTGATCATCATGATCTTTCCTACTTACATAATATCGTTAGATTCATTAATATTCTATTTAGTCACAGTAGATTGAGGTGAGAACGTATAATTGTTATTGGAGAAAAATCTCTAATAATATTGTTGTTAGTTTTAAAGCTGATGACAAATTCCTTGTTGGCGATAATATGTGTGTGAAAATGGATTATCGTTATAAGACATGGTAAGGAAAGAAAGCCGATTCTCACAGCTTTTTCGTTTCAATCAAGAAAGGGAAAGAGAGAGAGAGAGAGAGAGAGTGCGCACGCGTGAACAAAAAATACTGCTTCGAGCATCATTCAATTGTCTACCCGTCTAACAATAATAATAATATATATGTACATACAATAGAGAAAGAGAGAGAGAGAGAAAAAATGAAAGAGAAAGCAGAATAAAAAGACTTGATACTACTAACATCATATTATCATCTCGAGACACTATAGAAAAGGTGCGTAGATCGTAGCACTTGACATATATCATATCACGCAATCATTTCGAACGATACAGACTGAATCGATTATTGAAATCGATCATCAATGGGGACGACCAGATGCTATATAACACTCGCATTTATCTACTATAATATTTACTTATTTCATTTTTCTCTCATATCTCTATACATATACCTACANCTAACATCATATTATCATCTCGAGACACTATAGAAAAGGTGCGTAGATCGTAGCACTTGACATATATCATATCACGCAATCATTTCGAACGATACAGACTGAATCGATTATTGAAATCGATCATCAATGGGGACGACCAGATGCTATATAACACTCGCATTTATCTACTATAATATTTACTTATTTCATTTTTCTCTCATATCTCTATACATATACCTACATATACATACACACACTTCTCTTTTTTCTTATTCTTTTCTTCTTCTTCTGTATATAGATGATATCAAATCACACACACATACATAGGTAAGCAAGTAACAACAATAATGATCATCATCGAAATACTGATTGAAAATAGATTACAAGATGACATACTATACGCGTATGTATGTGATGAGTTAAAATACAAAGAATGGCCAACACGTGCATATTCTACTCTATTCGATCAATGAATTGCCTCTTTCTTTCTTTCTTTCTTTGTGCATGTGTTTATTCATATGGCAACTGTAGTAAAGAGCCTCCTCTGAACATTTGACAAGTTGAAGTTGACCGTCTGGTTTCGATCAAGTATCCCTTCCCTTCCTCTCCCATGCGAACTACAGCAACTATGACTAACGTAAGATAAGGTAAAACATGAAGGTCACTAAAGCAAAATCTTAAATCGGTAAGTTAATTCTTCTCTATGTATTTATTCTTTGAAGTCCAATTTGTTGTTTTTTTTGAAGGGCCGCTTGACAGAAAACAGTTTGATTATTGTTCTCACAGTCGTGTTCAATATATGACAATTACTCCGAACTTCGTCGGTATAGTTGAGTTTGATAAGTGTTAATAATGTTCGCATCATAAACAAAGTCTTGACAACGTGTGCGTGTATATATTAGTGAAAGATAAGAAGAAAAAAATGAGCGAACCGGCGTCACTACTCTATCGAAAAAAACATGTACTGTGATATATGTGTTTATTACCGTTCGGACAGTTAGAAAACAAAACTAACGCGCATTCTTCATATTCATTCAATAATGCTAAGTAATCATAAGACATTTGCTCATATACTTCAATATACATAATGATTATAAATGACTTCTGCATTGTTTTGCCTCTTAAAAACGATGTGTGTATATGCATATAATTCGTGAAACCTCTATCGAAAACAATATGAGCTTCTATTCAAATAGAAGATTAATTAATTTAAGACAAAATCAGATTAGTTCATCGAATTAAACTAGACGCTTCTCTTTGCTTTTTTTCTCCTCTCATTCTTTCATGCCAGTTTGACAAGATGACCTTACATATAGTAATTGTACAGAGAGAGAGAGAGAGATGGGGGAGAAAGGGAAAAAGAAAGAGAAAGAACAAGAGAACGTCTCATATAGCCAACGAGCGATGACGATAAAACACACATACATTCGCTTTCTCTTGTATGCGCGGCATCTTGCAGAGTTATGTGTCACATCATGGATTGCGTACACTTTCACATATGTGAAAAAAGACGAATAATGATGATTGAAATCTACATGAAAATGTGTGTCATTTTAGATCGATAAAAAATTGTTCAATGTGTTAATTATCGTTCCAGTTAACAATCATTTAGTCATAGGCAAACTACAAAAAGAAGTATATTTCAAGTTTTTCTCTCCCGTCAAATTCATCCTACCATTCGAAGAATTCTACATTCATGTCAATCAAGACTTCTGGTAAGTTATTTAACAATTAGAAAATCTTTTGAAAGATAGCTGCATCAGCCTTGACATTTTCATGTTCTTATATCCTATATGAATCAAGTAAGACAAGAAGAGTACGACTTGTGTTGATCATTATTGTATTTCTCTAAGAGATATGCACATCATTTTGACTTGCTACTCTTATTTCTTATCGATTCGAAGGACAGATATCTAATGTCGTGTTAGACAAAATGGAATAGATTATTGAAGTAGAACGATGTCTTCAATCATTGTTATTCTATGATTTCTTCGATATGGAGATAGAAATGGTTTCATCATTACTGACAATAGCAAGAAGATGCAGAATCCCGTACTTATTCAATATAGAATTATATTTGATGATTTACATCGATTGATAGTATGAAAAATGTGCTAATGATTTTGTATATGTCTCTTGTATGAAGAGGTTCGAAACTCTTAACGCATTCGTGTCTTGCTATTTGTTTAAGGCACACCCGCTGCTTACCAAACACTTGTAGAAGAAGAGTACTAGTAGCGTATCGAAAAGAGGGAAAGAGTGAAGAACGTATATGACTGTTTACATGTGTTGATCAAGCGCAATGTTTGGACAACAGATTGATTTCTTGTGTGGCATTACGATCATGGGTGCCAAGTGCATATTTGCAGCTTCTTTTTCCACACTTCGTTCGCATCTATTCTTTTTCTCACCCTCTGTTGAAGCAATGAGCCAGGAAGAACAACATCCTAGTTATCACCTATCTAATATTGTTTTTCTTTAGGCTTTCTTTTCCTTCTACTCTTGCAATTCTGCTCGATTGTTGATCTGTCACCGATCGATAATGATGGTCTTCGTCAAACACAAGTACCAAACACAATTGTCAATCAACCGGCGCCAAGCATCTTAAGGTATTATCTACATACATGTATCCATTATTGATCTTTGGTGGAGAATTGATGTATATATATGGGAACGAAGCCTGACAATCGGTTAAATGAGAGAAATATTGCGTATCTATGCATCCGTCAATAAGGAACATGAATTGTCTCATGCATGTTCTAATCGTATAAGTACAAGGAAACAACATAATGCTTGTTCAATCACGTAAAAATAATGCTCAAGGGTTTCTTACCTAATCAATCGAGTAAAAGCCGTGCATATGTACATATACATTTCTAAACTAAGATTGATGAGTATAAGATCTCTATCGAAGTTTTATTGACAGAAAGTAACTCATCTAATGATCATAATGGTCTTTAAATGTATTGATCAATTTCTGTTCCTTAAAGCCACAGGGTCATTAATCATTGATCAAATTATACATTCGAAGATTATACGTACGCTTTTCTCTGTTTTATTAGTACGTTGCAAACGAATTTGCTTTCATCAACGAATATGCAATGGATAAAGACACTGAAGAATGTTACGGAAAACGGTGGTAGCACAGTCATTTTGGAATGTCAAGTTCAGTCATCATATCCAGTATCATTCAATTGGTATAGATATAATAATCCGCTTGAAAAGAATCGCTTTACGATTGATCAAAGTGCATTCCGATCGAGGTAATATGAGATAGATAAGAATAAACAAAAATATTTTCTTATTGACTTATTA